AACAAACATAAGGAAATGAAAATACAGTGAAATCTTTGTACCTTGATAAAAACAAATGCAATAAAATGTTAATACATTCATAGTCTTTCACAAGGAATCTTTTAAAACTACTTGATTTACAAGGCTTTTTTAACCAGAAAAACCAGAAAAACCAGTCAGTTTGTGGCTCAACGGCCAAGATCTGGCTGTGTTTAGAATAACCCCGCAAAGGAAAAAGCTCCCTGATACCAAGAGAGGGATATACTGAAAATACAGATAGATAGACTTTAATTAGAAAATAATGAACTGTAGTGAAGTTGGCGGAAGTCCACAATTGGTGTTTCTTTTCTCATTTGATATGTGTTAGTTTTTGAAGAATGAATTATATATGTATTTGTGTCTTTCCTCTCCTTTTTGTTTTCTTCTTTTCTTTTCTTTTTTAAGGTTTAAATGAATTAATGAAATGTATATATTTATATTCTTTGTTCTTTTTTCCCTTTCAGTGCTTCTATCTTTATTTTTTCCTATTTTTTAAATAAAGATCTTATTATACTTTTGTATTTCTCTATTTCCTTTTAAGTGTGTGTATCTTGATTTGAATGTATATATGTGCAATATAAGCAAATGATTTAAAAAAAAATTTAATATGACAGGATATTTATAACCCTGGAAAAAATAACCCCATGTAGATTGTTTGGTCTCTGTTTTGGCTTTCTTCCAAATCTACTAATCAGTATAAATGCTACAGTGAAAGTTTCCTAGGTAGAATTGTCCCTGACACACCTTGGTAACTTTTGTTTATATAGAAATTGTAACCCTGCCCTATGCACCATTTATCCACAAATTTCTCTTCTATGTTTTGATATAATTTGTTGTTGTTGTTGTTTAGTCGTTTAGTCGTGTCCAGCTCTTTGTGACCCCATGGATCAGAGCATGTCAGGCACTCCTGTCTTCCACTGCCTCCAGCAGTTATGTCAAACTCATGTTAGTAGCCTCGGAAACACTGTTCAACCATCTCATCTTCTGTTGTCCCCTTTCCCCTGTGCTCTCAATCTTTCCCAACATCAGGGTCTTTTCCAGGGAGTCTTCTCTTCTCATGAGGTGGCCAAAGTATTTGGAGCCTCAGCTTCAGGATCTGTCCTTCCAGTGAGCACTCAGGGCTGATTTCCTTCAGAATGGATAGGTTTGATCTTCTTGCAGTCCATGGGACTCTCGAGAGTCTCCTCCAGCACCATAATTCAAAAGCATCAATTCTTCGGCAATCAGCCTTCTTTATGGTCCAGCTCTTACTTCCATATATCACTACTGGGAAAACCATAGATTTAACTATACGGACCTTTGTTGGCAAGGTGATGTCTCTGCTTTTTAAGATTCTGTCTAGGTTTGTCATCGCTCTTCTCCTTTTGTGACTGCTGTCATCATCTGCAGTGATCATGGAGCCCAAGAAAGTAAAATCTCTCACTGTCTCCATTAGTCTCTATATTAAATTGGTAGAACCTTGAGAAGACCATCTATCTTCCATTTTTTTAAATTTACGTTTGTTTTCAAGACTTGTATCCACTGCCCTGCAGTAAAGCTTATAGGGTGGTTTACGAAAACAAGATAAAATAAATAAATGAAATATATAACAATAGTAAAATACATATTAAAGACTGAGAGAACAAAAACTTAAAGGATAGTAGTGCAGCAATAAAACTGCAAGTACATTTGCAGAGGGATGTGGGTGGTGCTGTGGATTAAACCACAGAGCCTAGGACTTGCCGGTCAGAAGGTTGGTGGTTCGAATCCCCGTGATGGGGTGAGCTCCCGTTGCTCGGTCCCTGCTCCTGCCAACCTAGCAGTTCGAAAGCACGTCAAAGTGCAAGTAGATAAATAGGTACCGCTCCGGCGGAAAGGTAAACGGCATTTCCGTGTGTTGCTCTGGTTCGCCAGAAGCAGCTTAGTCATGCTGGCCACATGAGCCAGAAGCTGTATGCCGGCTCCCTCGGCCAAGAAAGCGAGATGAGCGCCGCAACCCCAGAGTCGGTCACGACTGGACCTAATGGTCAGGGGTCCCTTTACCTTACATTTGCAAAGCTAAGCAGGGTCTGGTATGGTTTCAAGTTGGATGGGAGACCATGTGTTGAGATTCCTCCACTGTAGGGGGTTGGACTAGAGGACCCTTAGGGTCCCTTACAATTCTAGGATTATATAATATTAATGTTGGTGCCCAGTAAAATTCCCTGGAGAGAATTCAACAAAGGAGGTGCTGCCATTGAGATGACTCTGCCTTATTTTCTTACTTTGGATGGTGAATGACTTGGATAAGAGTCAACTACAATTCCCGGAGGTCCCTGTAAAGAGGGATTGGATGTTAAATCACTCTGTGAATTCTAGGTCTGTGAGGATAATAGAGGTCTCTGAACTACTTTCAGCACCCTTAACAAACTATAACTCTAATAATTATTCAGGGGAATTCCATGCTTATAATAATAATACATAATCTTACATAGTCATATTCCATAACTATGATAATAATTATTCTATGACTGCTCAAAGTCTTATATTACTTTAGATGTATGGTGTGAATATGGCGAAAGCGAGAAAGCACATTGTGTTCTACATATGTTGTCTTTTTTGTATGGAAGAACAGCTTGTTGTAGGAAGCTTGAAACCTGTCCCATTTGTTATGAGCAAGTGCCATATGAAACTCCTGTTTTGATATTTTTAAATATTTCCACCATGTTGCCTCTATGTTGTCTTTTTAGCATTCATATGTCTGCATGCAGCCTTCTGTCTTCTTTCATGGCGAGGTATGGTATGTTTGGGTGGGTGCACAACTGAGACATCAGATAGGTTAAAGCTACAGTGGTGCCCCGCAAGACGAATGCCTCGCAAGACGGAAAAACCGCTAGACGAAAGGGTTTTCCGTTTTGAAGTTGCTTCGCAGGACGAATTCCCCTATGGGCTTGCTTCGCAAGACGAAAATACCTTGCGAGTCTTGAGATTTTTTTCGCTTTTCCCCCTTTATCTAATCTGCTAAGCCTTTAATAGCCTTTAATAGCCTTTTAGCAGCTAATCCCCTAAGCCTTTAAGCCTTTAATAGCCGCTAAACCGCTAATAGCGCTAATAGCGCTAATCCGTCAATGGGCTTGCTTCGCAAGACGAAAAAACCGCTAGACGAAGACTCTCGCGGAACGGATTAATTTCGTCTTGCGAGGCACCACTGTATTAGTATAAGGCACCTTTGCCCCTAATAAATACCTTCAGACTGCTCACCTCTATAGCCTGCAATCCCACCTGAGAGAAAGTCCAACTGAAATAGGTCTTACTTCTGAGTATACACGTACGTAGGCTTTGCTCTGCTAACTCTTGCCTATTCTATTGAGGTTGAGGGCTTGCCCTCCATCCCAAAGCAGGGATATAAAACTATAAAACCAATAAAGCATAAGCTTTAGGGCCCCTAATCTTGGAGGGACCTCAAAAGGGACTCTGGTCCACATTGCTTTAATTTTTTGCATCTAGTAGACCCAGTTTGACTCATGCACACAACTCAAATTGTCTATTTTTGTGCGTGGATATATTTCAGCAATCCCAAAGTTGGAGAGCCAGTAGTACAGGCACAGATGTTGTAAAGGCTTTTTGAGCTGCCGTGGAACAACCCCACTGAAGGAAATGACAGCAGTCACTCTGACCTCACTGATGCTTGCCATGGGGCCCCCATAACAGCTCCAGCTTCAGGGCCCCCCAAAATGTAGGTCTGCCACCAGGGGTGCCAATTTGACTAAAATATGGGGGACAGGGCTCAGGCAAGCACTGCCCCACATAGAATCATAGAGTTGGAAGAGACCACAAGGGCCATCGAGTCCAACCCCCTGCCAAGCAGGAAACACCATCAGAGCACTCCTGACATATGGTTGTCAAGCCTCTGCTTAAAGACCTCCAAAGAAGGAGACTCCACCACACTCCTTGGCAGCAAATTCCAATGTCGAACAGCTCTTACTGTCAGGAAGTTCTTCCTAATGTTTAGGTGGAATCTTCTTTCTTGTAGTTTGGATCCATTGCTCCGTGTCCGCTTCTCTGGAGCAGCAGAAAACAACCTTTCTCCCTCCTCTATGTGACATCCTTTTATATATTTGAACATGGCTATCATATCACCCCTTAACCTCCTCTTCTCCAGGCTAAACATGCCCAGCTCCCTTAGCCGTTCCTCATAAGGCATCGTTTCCAGGCCTTTGACCATTTTGGTTGCCCTCCTCTGGACACGTTCCAGTTTGTCAGTGTCCTTCTTGAACTGTGGTGCCCAGAACTGGACACAGTACTCCAGGTGAGGTCTGACCAGAGCAGAATACAGTGGCACTATTACTTCCCTTGATCTAGATGCTATACTCCTATTGATGCAGCCCAGAATTGCATTGGCTTTTTTTAGCTGCCGCGTCACACTGTTGGCTCATGTCAAGTTTGTGGTCAACCAAGACACCTAGATCCTTTTCACATGTACTGCTCTCAAGCCAGGTGTCACCCATCTTGTATTTGTGCCTCTCATTTTTTTTGCTCAAGTGCAATAATCATTGCACATAATCAATCACATGACACGGCACCCCCCCTATTTGAATGGCAATGCCCATGATCAGACCCTCCACATTTCCCCAAGATTTCCTGTACTAAAAGTGAGACAGACAAATGATGACCTTATGTGCCATCATATAAAGGGCCTTGCTTTACTCTTTACTATGTATGCCATTGCACCACCAAATTTGAAAGATGGGTATCTTTAATTTGAAAGACGTGGGGGGAGGGGAGCCGGCCCATTCAAATATGTTAATAGGGGGGGAGGCTCCTATTCCCCCCCCCCAAACTGTCCCGGAGCAACGTCCCTCGTGGCGTTGTCTTCTGCACACCAGGGCGGGAGACCTCCTCGTCTGCTCCTCTGGTTCCCCGCCCCTTTATCTTCCAGCGCGTTTTTCCCCGCTACGCCAACCCACGCATGGGAAGAGGGCGCGCGAGAGGCGTCTGTGTTGCCGCAGGATCTTCGGGGCCGAGTCCCCCGCCTGCCTCTGCGTCTGCAGCTCACGGAGCAGGAAGTTCCCGCGTCGTCGGAGGCCAGCTTTATTATCGTCACGTGACTCGGCGCGGGCAGCAGCCGCTCGGGTCGAGTTCGGCAATCCGCGCTGAGGGAAAGAAGAGGAGGAAGAGGGAGAAGCCGGGACCCGCTTGACGCCCCCGCCATGAGGAGCGCTCCCCGGCGACGGCGCGGCGTTCAGCTCGGGGCTCTGTGGCTGCGCGGTCGCCCCTGAACACCGTGCTGAACCCCCGCTTTGCTCCATGCAGCGGCTCCTCCATTGCGGAAGCAGCAGCGCCTCTCCTGCAGGGACGGCGCTGGCCGCGTCGGCGGGAGCAGCAGCAGCGGCGGCCGCCTCAGCCGCGTGATTCCCCCTCCGCCCCTCCGCCGCCGCTCCGCCGCCGCCCTGCGCGCCTGCCTGCCTGCCTCCCGGCGCGAGCTGGATGGTGCTTCCCCCGGCCCCGCCGGTGCGGCCGGCGGCAGGAGTACTATGCTGACTCGGGTGAAGTCTGCGGTGGCCAATTTCATGGGAGGCATCATGGCTGGCAGCTCGGATCACGGCAGCGGCGGTGGTGGAGGAGGTGGAGGAGGCGGCGGCGGTGGTAGTGGTGGAGGAGGCATGGACCTGCCGCTGCGCTTCCCCTACGGCAGACCCGAGTTCCTGGCTCTGTCTCCGGACGAGGTCGAGTGCTCCGCCGACCACATCGCCCGGCCTATCCTCATCCTCAACAAGGAGACCAAGCGCCTGCCCTGGACCACGGGATACGCCGAGTGAGTAGCCAGGCACAGACCGCCCCCCCCGGGTCCCGAAGCAGGAGGACGGCTGGCAGCGTCCCGTCCCCCCCTCGGCTGCCGGTGCGCCTTGGAGAGGAGGCGCGCCCACGTCCCCTCTCCAAGGGCGCTGCTGCAGCCGGGAAGGGGGGAGAGGCCAGGGTAGGATCACCTGCCTGAACCTCAGCGTCTGGAGCAAGCCCGGCACACTCCTTTTCCGAACCGGGGTTGGATGGATATAGCCTTAACTTCTCCCATCATCCTGGGAGAACCATACAAGCGTAGAGTTGGCAAGGGACCACTTGGGTCATCTAGCTCAACCCCCTGCAATGCGGGGGTCTTTTTGCCCAACGTGTGGGGCTCGAACCCACGACCCTGAGGGTTAAGAGTCTCATGCTCTACGGGCTGAGCTGTCGCGATTGACTCAGCCCTGGAAATGGGGGGCGTGGAGGCGAGGGGAAAGAGCTGTTTCAGGTTTTCTGTTGGGAGGGAATGGTCAGCCACCCTGTGGGTAGATCCTGTCGCAGGTGGACTCATGTAGTGTGGCTGTGTGTATGTCATCTTCCTTTGGATGCCTCCTCCCTCAATTCAAAATTCACTACTTGTGGTTATGGGAATGTTCTCTGTGCATACCCCCAATGCCCTGCTCTTCAGGTGTTTGGGGTGGAACCTTGAGAAATGCCGCTTCAGGTTAAGTCCTCTTATGTTATGCGCTGGGTTGGTTTGGTCAAATACTCTCCCACAGGTGATTTGGGGCAGCTTTCACTTCTTCATTGTCTGTTCTGAGTGGGTGTAAAAAGTTAAGTTGCTTTTAAGTCCTGTGTACTTCAACTTATCTGATATAAAATCCAATCCTCTTGAATCCAGTAGGTTTCACTCCCAAGTGGGTGTGCATAGACATACAGCCTGACTCTGTAAATATTTACTTGGAAATAAATTCGGTTGACTTTAATGAGACTTACTCCTGGGTGCAAGCGTACATAATGCTGTAGCCATAAAGTGCTTATCTTTGACCGGGTCATGTGCATCATGCACCATCTGGTTTTGCAACTCCATGTGTCTCTTTGAGATTTTCTCATCTAGGTCTAGTAATTTTGATGGGGTTATTAAAAGGGAAGGGAAATGAAAAGCGGGAAGTTTGCCCTTTGAGTCTCTCTCTCCTATCCCCCCCCCCCATGTGCAGATTTCACCCAAAGACTGTAGCATTTTTGTTCTGCCGTAGATCTGTGTACTGCAAGTCTCTGGATTGTTTATTTCTACTGATGCGGAAGGGGTTTAGGAAGTGTTGTGAATGTATGGGGAGAGGTGGAGGCAGAGAGAAAGAGATACAGGGTGCTATCTTACTGTTTTGGTAATGGGAGACTGGCATTTAGTGCACACCCCCTTTTCCAGGCCTGTGCTGCAAAGATGATGGCTGGAGTGTGTGTCATTGATCTGCTCCATTCTCAAAATTTTCCATCCTCCCTGCACACGAATCACTCTCTTGCTGTGGAAGCAGGATTCAGGAAGGTGGAATGAAGGAGACTACAGTAGCTTTTTGTGCATATATCTTTCTCCGGATTCCAAACTTCTTCAGTTTTAAGTGTCACGTTATATTATTCTTGTGCTTATTGTGTGCTTTTAACATCTGAGTGGAAGGCTTACAATGAAGCAGTGATCTCCTAAAATAAAATGTGTGGATTTTGTTTGCAGGGGTGCATATTGTGATAAGATGGGAGGGAGCTGCAGCTTTTGAACTGGTAGCAGAAAGCTTCACCCTCCCCCAGGTGGTGTTTTTGGGATGGATTATGTTACTGCAGCCCTGGACACAAATAAAAGTGAGCATTTACCTGTGATGAAGTTTGTGCAGGCAGATTAGGATGATCTCTGATCCTGTCCCAACAACTCATTAGGTCTAGGCTAGCTATGCTGCGTTGCATTCAGCAATAACCAAATTGAATCTTACTGCTGTGTTTTATTTGTTTCCATTCATAATGCTTATTTATAAATTGAAGGCTCTCTAATGGTTAAGCAGTAAAAAGGAGGCAAACTATAAAAAGATCTGTTAGCCAGTTCAGAAGGAACACATTGTCTAATGAAGTTAGTAGCCAATCTCTCAATATAATGCTGCAGGATTAATGGTGGAAGAACTTTCTGGTCAATTCAGTACCTGCTTGTGGTTCATGACTTCACTTTGTCATGTCACTGTTGTTTCCTTGAAAAGGGCTTAGTGATGGCCAGCAGCCAAAAGAATCATTTTTGGCGTAATCCAGAGGTTAAGCAACCACTTAAGTCCTCATCTGAGTGGATACTTAAATATATGATTAAATTTCACTGGAATTTTACTTACAGTTTAACTTAGCACTGCAGGATTAAATACGATGAGAGCAGTGATTGCATATCTCCCCTCATTGAGAAGAAATAGATAAATTAGAACTCAGAATAAGTCCCGCTGAGTTCAGCGGGACCCGTGTGTGCTGGGATATTGCTGCCAGTAATGATAAATCATATATTTGCTATGTTCACCGGTGAACAGTGTCACTTCACCCCAGTGACGTTAGGGCTTTAGGTCTCACCTGCACAAATTCAGTGTAATGTGGGTGTCGTACAACTGTTTGTGTTGCTATCAAGAGCACAAGGAGTCAGTCAATGTTTATATGTAGTCTGGATTAGGTTAATTTGGACTATGATGACTTTTTTCAGAGCTGGGGAAGCTGTGGCACTCCAAATGTCCCCAACCATTGGCCATGCTGGTTGGGGTTGATGGGAGATGGACTCCTATCCTCTGGAGGGCTGCAGGTCCCCCCTCTTTGTTTTACAGGTTACTGGGAATTATCCCAAGTACAGTGGTACCTCTGTTTAAGAACAGCCCTGTTTACGAACGATTTGGTTTACGAACTCCGCAAAACCAGAAGTAGTGTTCCGGTTTGCGAACTTTGCCTCGGTCTACGAACGGAAACCAAACGGTGGGTGGCCTCATTAGGGAAAGTGTGCCTTCGTTTAAGAACGGATTTGGTTTAAGAACGGACTTCAGGAACAGATTAAGTTCATAAACCGAGGTACCACTGTACTCTAAATACGTCATGTGATTATTTCTTTGCTTTTCACTGCAGGCTCTAGGATGGGGAATAAAGAGACTTATGCATGTTAACTGGAAAGATAACCACATTGCTTGCAATGAAATTTTGTCCTAAGAATTAGCCAGGTACCAGGTGTGTTTTGCAACTGGCATGGGTCCATTTGCGACCCCATGGAGATCTATGGTTGCCAGGTTGGCAACTGGGGAAAGCAAAATGTCACTTAGAGGAGGATCTGAAATATTTTCCTTGACACTTGAATTTGTTTTATTCTGGATTGCTTCATTTGATGATTTAATGTGTTGTAAACTGCTTTGAGATTTCTTCTTTAAAATGCAAAGTGGTATAGGAATGAGATGATGAATAATACTACTACTAATAATAAGTTCCACTGCAAACAAAAAATGGCACCTAGACATTCCATTGTGGTGGCTGCAACCTAGGCTTAAGGTGCTATTTGGCAATTAGATTATATATCTTGAGTTTCTAACACTGCGTCAAATGGATTGTTGTGTGTCTATATATGAAATGCCCTCCAATTTTTAGATACTATACTTTGTTGAACTGCTCTTCTGTGTACTTTGTTGGGACTTGTAGCTATTACCTTCCATATTCTGTTTGTGATTGAAGTTGGTTTTCCGTAGAAAACAAAATCTCACCCCAGGGACTTTTAAAAGACTAACTCAGAAACCCCTCTCTACCACTATTGGTATGGGTTCTGCAGAAGAATCACAAATTCTTACTGTACATGCTAGTTCATTATATTGAAGACTTCGCCTGGGAGACCAACTTCTCTTGTAGTTGCTTTATCAACCAGATGAATTGAGTTCTATTAAGCTTCGACAATCTGTCCGCCCCTTTCTGTATCGTAACAAGAGATGGTTATTCCTTGCTGCTAGGCATTTGGTTTTATTCCTCGGGTAACTTGTAATGATCATCCAGTTTTGTGCGGCAAAACAGAAAAGGCTTTGTTTCAAGTCTGCTCTGGGGGGGGAAAAGTCGTTTTAAGTCTATGTGAACATGTATTGTTGAAGTATTGGTAACTTTAAGAAGGGAATGTGACCCTGCAGAATTTTTACTAAGGGCTTCCTTGTAACCAGATAATAAATTGGTGTTTTCTTTTTCTTTTGTTCTTTTCCTTCCTTTCTTTTATGTTAGACTGAAAAAAATGTTTATATTTTTACTCTGAATCTTAAGATAAACTGTAATGCCCCTAATGAGTCCCCCCCCCCCCTTTAAGACTGTTAGGCTCATCAGTGAATCCAATTAAAATTGGTGGCACTAACTTGAGAGACCGAATGCTTTTAAGATTATAATAGCTTTAGGACAAAGTGTTGACCTTGCTGAAGTAAATGCAGTTTTTGCTATTTACTTCAGTATCCCAAATTTGCACTGTTACTCTTCTGTGAGCATGGTTTCTACATTATTTTTGGAAAGACAGAAAGCTGGTGCCTAGACAGTACTTCTCTATACCACAGGCCTGCTGTGTGGTGATCTCCAGCCTTTAATGGATGTAGGTGTAGCATTGCATAACTGTAAGCCTGTAAAACACAATGCTACTTGGCTGCAAGGATAATTTTGTGAAAATAGTGAGGAACCAGGAGACTTTTTTTCTTTCATTAGGTGCTTTGTGAAGACATGGCTTTTTGTGTTTTCTCATGTAGATGTTGTTGAGTAGATATTACATGGTGTATTATTTATTTACATAGCATATTATTCATTACATAGCATATTATTATTTTATTAAATTTCTATGGCACCCTTCATCTGAGGATCACAGGGTGGCTTACAATATACAACCACCAAAGTAAAATAAATAAATCAAGAATCACTTGGGGGGGGGGGTTGTCAGTCATAATTGACACTTTCCCTGGAATAATTATTACTGTCTTGTCCTTCTTTTGTTTGTACCCTCACTAGAATAAACAGTTGGATTGTGCTGCCGCCCCCGTCAACTTTGTGATGTCTTGGCATCTTGCATCATTACGCCATGCCTTCCTATGTGCTACATGCAATCTGGCTGGGTTGAATCATATAATCTCATATTCAGGACACAGGAAACTGCTTTCTACTGAGCCAGGCCATTGGTCAATCTAGCTCAGTACAGTGGTACCTCGGGTTAAGTACTTAATTCGTTCCGGAGGTCCGTACTTAACCTGAAACTGTTCTTAACCTGAAGCACCACTTTAGCTAATGGGGCCTCCTGCTGCTGCCGTGCCGCTGGAGCCCAATTTCTGTTCTTATCCTGAAGCAAAGTTCTTAACCTGAAGCACTATTTCTGGGTTAGCGGAGTGTGTAACCTGAAGCGTATGTAACCTGAAGCGTATGTAACCCGAGGTACCATTGTAGTGTCTACAATGACTGGTAGGGGCTCTCTAGGCTTTCAGATAGGGAGTCATTTCCAGCCCTACCTGAAGATGCTGGGGATTGAACCGGGGACCTCCTGCATGCAAAGCAGATAACTCTACCACTGAGCCACAGCCCTTCCCTATTCATGCAAGATAATCTGACACCATGTGAACGAAAAGCATTGAATGCATGGAGTATGATGGGAAGCACTGCAGAAGAATAGTGACAATGGGATTTCAAACAAAAGTACCCATTGCCAAGTAATATTGAGCTTCCTGCGCTTTCCAGATATCATCTCTGTATGCTGAAGAAAGCCTGGAAGTGCAGTTCAGAAGTGGCACACCTGCTAGATGAAACACTCGCTGGTGTTTTCTTTTTGTTATAGTTTTCAATAAGGGAGACAAGTGGAAATTTACTAATACTTTACCCTTCCATCATGAAACTTTAAGCAGATCCATTTACACTTAGGAGTCTAAAATCTGTACTTGTTCAACTGTCCCCCCCCCCCAAATAATAAAGGTATTTACTCACATTTTAGTACACTAGTCGTTAACCATTTACCATTGATAGATCCTATATCTATCAAAGCTCAAAGTGGTTTATTGTGATCCTTCACATTATCTAGCCTAACAACTTCCAATCTTTTTAACTTAATAAAGAGCTGTACATTTCCACTGACTCATAAAGGTGATTTTGGCATCAGATAGAAATAAGTAGGCTCAACCCTATATTTTATTTGCTTTGTCTAGCTGACAGATTCTGCTCCAGAGCTCTGGATTCCAGTTAGGATTTTGTGTGTAGAAACACCCAAGTTTTAGAGTGCATTAGTAGAGTTGGTGGAGTCTCCTTCTTTGGAGGTCTTTAAGCAGAGGCTTGACGACCATATGTCAGGAGTGCTCTGATGGTGTTTCCTGCTTGGCAGGGGGTTGGACTCGATGGCCCTTGTGGTCTCTTCCAACTCTATGATTCTATGATTCTATGATTCTATGAGTTAAATGTATTAGTAGTCATTTTGATGGTGCTATCAGCAACAGAAAAAGAAAGCAAGGAATCTAATCACTATTGTTTGTATCCAATGTTAGGGTTTTCTGTGGCGATGAAAGTAAAAAGTTGAATGAGACTCATACAGTGGTACCTCGGGTTAAGTACTTAATTCGTCTGGAGGTCCGTTCTTAACCTGAAACTGTTCTTAACCTGAAGCACCACTTTGGCTAATGGGGCCTCCTGCTGCCGCCGCGCTGCCGGAGCACGATTTCTGTTCTCATCCTGAAGCAAAGTTCTTAACCTGAGGTAATATTTCTGGGTTAGCAGAGTCTGTAACCCAAAGCGTATGTAACCTGAAGCGTATGTAACTCGAGGTACCACTGTACCTCTCCCTACATGCAAATAGAAAGACTTGTCCAGTGTTTACTTTCATTTTTGAAGAAACCGGGCTTAGCATTATGTTTGAACCAGATACTGTGGCTTTAAGCAAACTGGTTAGTTAAACAAGCTAGTATCATAACTCACACGTTTTTGGTGTTTTAACAATGCCTTGTTTGGACTGGCCTTCTCTTTATAGAATTTTATCTTGTAGCTATGTGAAACACTTACCTTTGCGGATGTGTTAATCTAGGTAAAGGCAACTATTTGCTTTGTGGTCTTATTATCGTTTAATGTAATAAGATATTCAGATATGCCCCAGAGTGCAGCTTTCTTCTCTTTCCCCCCCATAAACACATAGGCATTTCTATGAACAGACAGTCCAGCAATTCATTGAGGGGGATGAGGTACGTTGCCATCAACCCTGCTGAGTCACTTTCACACTTTGCACTGCAGTATGTGTTGCTCACACAAGGATAGATCTTCCATCTGTCACATGGAGGAGGTTATGCAAGGGTGGTTGTTGAACTTGGTCCACTCGGAAAGGTCTTTAATTGAACGTTGTTTTCAAATAAAAAAAATGCAAAGGATACCAATTTAATGCCACATCACTTAAGGACAGGACAAAAAGTAATCAATATGAATTGTGAGATGATAGCTTTAGCTTTCTTCAAAGTACTGTGCTTTAGGATTGGGCTATAAGAATGCTTAGCCACGTAATACAATATTTATATAAATTATCACTTTACAGGAGGCTATAGCTTGCCAAGAACTTGTTTGCTAAAACATCATAATGCTTAGTAACGGTTCTCCCTGGTTTTGCCAACTAACTTGTTTTGGCTTTAAAGGACACGTAGCTTTTAAGCAGCAGAGGATTTGTAATATTATTTACAGTGCTCTCAATATTTGAATTTTCATTACCATGGAGAGGAATCAGTGATGTTCCGTGCCTGATGTTTTACACATAAAGCATCAGCTTTGTATTCCTAAGCTAATGTGTTTATTTACAGAATTTCTATGCCATTTTGCAACATAAGAGTTTTCTGGGTGGCTTCAATAAATAAGACAATTTAAATGTAAAATAAATCCTAAAACCAAGATCTACATAAATACAGCAATGGAAAACTCTCGGATGACTTTTGAACACTGGAAGGGCAAGATTTGTGCACACAGAAGCCTATATGGTTTCTGCATTCATAGGCGTTGTAAGTAGGGAGATGCAGAAAATAACAAAAGTGTGAAACTTTACCTCATCCATCTTTAGGAGTCCTCTGACAGTATTAGCAGGCTGTATAAACTGACATTGTTATATTATTGGCAAATCGTCAAAAGCTTTGTTGGAAATCCATACTTTCTCACCAAGAGCTCCTGTGTAAATTTAACATATCTTCTGTATCTGTTAAATGGCAGAAGAAAAGTCACACAATAAATTTTCTGTGGGAGACAAGGGAAGCAGCTGAGACTGAAGGATGGTACCAGTGCTATTAAACTTACTTTTTAAATGATTTGAAGTTGGAATGAGTAATGAAGTGGCCACATTATCAGATGGTCCCTGAATGGATTCAGAAGCAGATTATCAAGAATGTTGGAATGGTATCTCCAAACCGAGTGAACGAAAATGCACATTATATTTAATGCAAGTAAGTTCACTGGGACAGAAAGAAAAAAAATCTTCCCATGCTCTGAAGAGGTCTGAACTGGTTGTGAATATGAGAGACAGAGAGAGAGCGAGAGCGAGAGAGAGAGATTGTTAGCACAGCTGTACAGGTGCAGGCAAATAGGAATTGGCATCCAAAACAATCAACAGTGTTTTGAATGTTGGGATAATTCACTGAAAGTGTCTACCCAGTGTACAATAGGGGTTGTAAAAGAAAGAAAATGACAGGTTAGGGATAAGGAAAGAATCTGTATGGGAATGACTGCATTGGAGCACGAAAGGCTCGAATGTTTGGGGCATTTTGGTTTATGAATTGGCATGTTTTACCAAAATGTATGTGAACAAGTGGTAGATAGCTAAGTAGGAATGCATTGGTTTGAAAAAGGGGAGAGTACACTCTTTGACTCTGTTGTCATGATTGGAGCACTTCCCAGTGAGATTTAGACACGCAGTCTGCCGTGGGGTGGTGAGCTTATTTGGATAACCCACCCCATAGGCTGATGGATTCCCGAGAGCCTTGGAGAGTTTACAATCAAAGCCCTTGTTCTGTGGGGAGAGGAGTTAGGCAGTTGACACAGCAGCTCCTAAATGCTCACTCCCACTGAACAGAGATTTTTTGCTTTGCCAGGGAGTTGTGGGCAATGAAACAGGGAGGCGCCTCCAAAGCGAATCTGACTCAACATGAGAGCTCACTTCAGAGCCCATCGTGATGGCAGCAGTGGAGAAACTCAAGTTCACCAATGATGTTCATGCATTATAGTTTATGCGTTGGCATTCATTTACATGAAGTAAATACCGTGCCACCCAGTAGTAAAACTTATTCATGACACCATATCTCTCCAGCTCGCAGTAGTTCTTTGAAACTGATAATCAGCTGCCATATTATATTAACATATTTGAGTCACAGTCAGAATATTTCATATATTCAAAACTGTGGTATTTCTAAGGTAAAAAGGTAAAGGACCCCTGGATGGTTAAGTCCAGTCAAAGGCAACTATGGGGTTGCAGTGCTCATCTCACTTTCAGGGTCATGTGGCCAGCATGATTAAACCGCTTCTGGCTCAGCATAACACCGCGATGGAAGCCAGGGCGCATGGAAATGCCATTTACCTTCCTGCCACAGTGGTACCTATTTATCTACTTGCACTGGTATTCTTTCAAACTGGCAGGAGCTGGGACAGAGCAACAGGAGCTCACTCTGTTGTGGGGATTCAAACCGTCAACTTTTTGATCAGCAAGCCCAAGAGGCTCAGTGGTTTAGACCACAGCGCAACCCACGTCCCACTTATATTTCTAAGACTGACTGAACTGGGACTCAAAACTGTCTCTTTGCACAGTGGTATGGGCTGAAAACTTCAAAATATTATGCACAGTTGTTTAAAAGATGGGGCCACATTTTACAAATGTGAAATAACCAGTGGAAGAACAATAAAATGTCTAGTTAAAATAATCACTTTATCATTGCAGACTGGAATATGTAAGTGATGGAAGTGGCTGATCTGTGTCATATTCCTTATGTGATATGTCTTATTTTTCAAATGATGGACTGACTGTGATTGATTCTCAGTTAAACAGATGACAACCTTGAGCTAGGTTCAGTATTTTAAGAACTTAAAGGAGAAAAGCCACTTTATGCAGGGACAGTCCCCTTATCTATTGTCCTGTTCCTACCTCTTTTTCCTAATGGTGATATAGACCATTCATAATGTAAGAATATTCTTTACGGCTATGAGCAGGGCAGTAGGGTGGGTGAGGTAAGTGAAGCTACAACAATTAGCTATAGTGTTGTTCATTGTTTCTGCTCAGGCTGCAGAGAGAAAGCATTTTGGTTCCTGAAATTCATACTGACTGTGCAGATGACTGATAAAATTCTACAGGATGTGGTATTAGTGTGTGCAAACAGTCAAGATCCAATGATCCCCAGGCATGTACCTCCAGATGGTGGATATGTCATGTGCCGTCCTGGCACCCAGGCATCTTCACTTGGTTGCGAGTGGCTGGTAGTTGAGTGCAAAATGCGCTTGGTGCCTGACTAGGTACAGTATAGTTTCTCAGGTGAATAGCTATGTGCTAAGGAGTCGGGAAGAAGGGTGCCTCTGAGCACACGTTTAACCCAGTAACCTGTACTCACACTGGAACCAAGCTCACAAGTCCTTTCACAGAAAACAGACCCCTTGTTCTTCCTCAAAGTGTCTTTTTTCCAGCAGCTAATTTGGAAGGAGGAATGGACTTTTTGATTGTTGTTACTGTTGTTGTTACAGTTGAGAGTTAGAAACCCATGGCAATCTACTGCAAAATTATCCAGTAGATCCTGATCTGTCTTGCCTGATTCCCTGCTCTAGAGCAGGGGTGGCCAACTTCCAAGAGACTGCAATCTACTCACAGAGTTAAAAACTGGCAGTGATCTACCCCCTTTTGGGGGGTTCAGGTCAAAGTTGATGAGCTTTTTTTAGGAAGGAGGAAGGCCCGTTTTTTAGGGGTGCAGGGCAAAGTTATTGAGCTTTTTTTAGGGGAGCCAAAGTTGTTGATCATTGTTGAGGGGAGCCAGTGATCTGCCACAGACGTCCAGTGATCTACCGGTAGATCACGATCTACCTGTTGGATATGTCTCAACAATGCAGCCTTTTCTGCATGTCCCACCGTCCCCATTAGAACTACATCTATTTGTGGGATTTTGGATTGCCTATGATAAAATGCTGTTTGGATGGGATTTATTTCGAAACTCATTGTCGTCTTCATCTTTGAGTCATTGAAAAGGAGCTTGTGAGCAAGTGGACTGAAACAATTTGGACCCCCTTTCACACGTTTGTAACATTATGTCACAGTGAACTTGATCTTAATCTTGACACTGCATTTTCAAAGGAGTTGCAGGTGTTTCATAGCAGTTTAATTCTTCAAGCGTTCTTGCAGGTGGAACAGGGGAGTGGCCTCCGTAAATGGCAGTATTAATAGGTGAGTTGTGCTGTGGAATCTGTTCCTGAGCATGGAATGTTGCCTTCTGATAGTGTAACTCTTGATACTGGATTTGGGCTGGCACCTTACACAAGACCTCGAGAAGGGTACAGTGGTGCCTCTGGCTAAGAACTTAATTCGTTCCGGAGGTCCGTACTTAACCTGAAATTGTTCTTAACCTGAGGTACCACTTTAGCTAATGGGGCCTCCCACTGCCGCCGCGCTGCCGCTGCATGATTTCTGTTCTCATCCTGAAGTAAAGTTCTTAACCCGAGGTACTATTTCTGGGTTAGCGGAGTCTGTAACCTGAAGCATTTGTAACCTGGGGTACTACTGTACTTGTTTCCCAGCCTTCCTCAACTTGGCTGCCTTTAGGTCAGCCTTTCTCAACCTGTGGGTCCCCAGATGTTGTTGAACTACAACTCCCATACACCTATCTAGCAAGGCCAGAGTTCAGGGATGATGGGAGTTGTAGTCCAATAACATCTGGGGACCCACAGGTTGAGAACCGCTGCTCTAGGTATTGTTGCATTCCCTACTCCCATAGTCAGTGGTAATTAATTATGGGAGTTGGGAGTCCAAAATATCTGGAAGGATCCAGATTGTAGAAGGCTTCTTTCAATGTGGTTTTGACCTTCAAGATTTTGAGAGTCACATTATCTTGACAGGCAGCCAGAGAGTGAATATTAGGAGAAAGCTTTTGTTTTGTATAATGAGTAGCTAGAAGAGTTGGCAACTCTCCCTCTCATCCTTCCTTTCTCTGTTGCTGTACTTGAAATTTCTTATTGTGTCTCCCTTGTAAGTAATATACTGCTTATGTGTCCCAGTTGTCATTACAGATTTATGACTGCTTCATATCAATTATTGCTACTTCATGTTATCTTCCTTGCTAAATGGCTGCCTTGTAATATTGTTTGTCAGGGCAAGCGAAATGAGACGTTATCCTCTGAGAATGGCAGCTCCGAAGAAAGAGAGTTTATAAAGTTGTTGTTAACGCTTTGATTTGAAATGGCATGAGGAAGAAAGTTGGTTGCAGTCAGTAAGACGTCTGTGCTAGTAAACATAGTCGCAGTACTTCATTGATTATTGCTTTCCACATATCCATAGGATTGTTAGCTAGCAACAAAACGTCAAAGATGGTACTGATGCAGGTGGATGTCTATATAAGCAGAAAGCCTGGTCTTCATGCAGCATTGCCAGTGGTACTTAGAATAGAGTGAATGCCTGGAGGTGGTTGGAGGATGGATGGCGGCTAACAGATTGAGGTTGAATCCTGACAAGACAGAAGTACTGTTTTGCGGGGACAGGGGGTGGGTGGGTGTGGGGGACTCCCTGGTCCTGAATGGGGCAACTGTACCCCTGAAGGAGCAGGTACGCAGTCATTTTGGACTCATAGCTGTCCATGGAGGCGCAGGTCAATACTGTGTCCAGGGCAGCTGTTTACCAGCTCCATCTGGTATGCAGGCAGAGACCCTACCTGCCCGCAGACTGTCTTGTCAGAGTGGTGCATGCTCCAGTTATCTCCCACTTGGACTACTGCAACGCACTCTACATGGGACTACCTTTGAAGGTGACCTGGAAACTACAACTAATCCAGAATGAGGCAGCTAGACTGGTGACTGGGAGTGGCCGCCGAGACCATATAAGACCGGTCCTGAAAGACCTACATTGGCTCCCAGTACATTTATGAGCACAATTCAAAGTGTTGGTGCTGACCTTTAAAGTCTTAAACGGCCTCGGCCCAGTATACCTGAAGGAGCATCTCCACCCCCATCGTTCAGCCCAGACACTAAGGTCCAGTGCTGAGGGCCTTCTGGCAGTTCCCTCCCTGTGAGAAGTGAGGTTACAGGGAACCAGGCAGAGGGCCTTCTTGGTAGTGGCACCAGCCCTGTGGAATGCCCTCCCATTAGATGTCAAGGAAATAAACAACTATCCGACTTTTAGAAGACATCTGAAGGCAGCCCTGTTTAGGGAAGTTTTTAATGTTTGAAGTTTTATTCTGTTTTTAGTGTTCTGTTGAAAGCTGCCCAAAGTGGTTGGGGAACCCAGCCAGATGGGTGGGGTAGAAATAAATTATTATTATTATTTTGAAAATATGCTAGCTTTATTGACTTACTGGTGGCTGTGAAGATTTATTTTTTTTAATTACTCCAAATGGGGTTATGACTGAGACACTAATTGATTGAAACTAGTGAAGCTGCACAGAAGCTAGAGGTGTCTTTTCCCAGAACAGCTCCAGTGACAGCAGGGTTTTTTTTAATAAAAAGAACCACACACATCAAAACCCAGCTGACATTCCTTATCAAGGTGCCATTGTCACAGAGATTATTAGTGTGATGCTTAGAGTGCCTTCTCTGACTTGCAAAGTAGAATCTCTACTGCTCAAGAGAGAAACATTGCACTCTCTTTTCAATCTTGACAGCTGGAGAAAAAAAACCCAAGGCATTTTTTTGCAGCTCAGAAATGGGTTACTATGGGTCTGAAGGATCAGTCTGCTCCCAGTGTCTACCTATCAGGTCTTCAGGATGTGATGTGCCATAACTGTTTGTTTTCATGTAAACCAAAGTCATCTTCATGCTTTGGTCTAATTCGTACATCACAGTAAAACATGGTTAATGGTTTATCTTCAGCTTCTGGGTGACTTTGCCACACACATACACATACCTGTGTAGGAAACCTTGGCTACAATTTGTGGTTCGTTTGGAGCAAAACAAACTTCAAACCCTAGTTTGGACATAGCAGTAAGTCAGGAATCATGGTTTTTCTTCCTAGTGATGGGGCAGTTTAGAACACAAACACACTTTCTCTTTGTGTGGATGGGGAGATATATATGAATGACCACTTGATTGTAGAAAAACCTCAAAGTGCTGTCCATACACGTATATAAAAGGTAAAGGGACCCCTGACCATTAGGTCCAGTCGTGGCCGACTCTGGGGTTGCGGCGCCCATCTCGCATTATTGGCCGAGGGAGCCGGCGTACAGCTTCCGGGTCATGTGGCCAGCATGACTAAGCCGCTTCTGGCGAACCAGAGCAGCGCACGGAAACGCCGTTTACCTTCTTGCTGGAGCAGTACCTATTTATCTACTTGCACTTTGACGTGCTTTCGAACTGCTAGGTTGGCAGGAGCAGGGACCAATATTTTAAATAGTTATAAACAGTTTTAAATATACAGTTCATAATAATCAACACCTATATTACATATAATACAAAAGTTTAAAAACATAAGTTACCTTATCTTCTTGGGTGAAACTAAAGCATAATACACATTTAACAATAGTAGCAGTAGTATTAAAAAATGTGGGTGGTGGCGGCGGCGGTGGCGGTAAACAAGGTACAAAACGCATATATGCTTTCTTCAGCAAAACTAGCTTCTAATCAGCAAAATGGCAGACCCTCCATCCAACTCTCACCTAGGTGCTTTCCTTTCCTTTCCTAGTTTCTCACCCTGGGAGATCTCCACTTCCTTACCTCACTGATGTCCGTCTGCCATTTATCAGTGAATTCCAGTGGAGTGCCAATCCCATCTTCAAGTGGCCTTCTGGTGTGACCAAATGGGTGACAGTCCCCCTTTGATCTTGACCTGTTGCAAGGTGCTTGGTTTTATTTCTCCCCATCTCAAAACACACTCTCTGGGCAGCTGGAGTTCAGCTTTCCTGTGTCTGCTGCCGCCAATATGTTTCTTCAACTTTGGGAAAGAGTAAAGCAGGCATAACTGACTTGCGCTGAATTATGGAGGCTCACCACCTTTGACCAGCCATCTCTATAATACACAGGTTATGAACCCATTTTCACCTCAGCACAATAGGAAGTTTTCCCTTCCCTTGTCTCAGTTTTTGAGACATGTGTAACAAGTCACAGGGGGTCGGTGTGAGCTATTGAGGTGTGAAAAGAAAAGAAAAAACATTGACAGAACATCCGGGAATACTTCCAGATTAGAGGACAAATATATTTACTCCTTTTGCAGTATCTGTATTTTGCACATGCCTGCATATTATTATTATTATTATTTTAACATAAGAAACCACACATCTTGTTTTTAGAGCTTTCCCAGACATACAGTGTGATGAGATGATGAGCTGCTTGTGCGTAAAATCGTATCCCCTCAGAGTTTGTTCAAGTCCGCAAACCTCTGTCTGTGACGGAGCCCCTCAGACATGGCTCCTCTAGTCACTAGCAGATTCCGACAGTGGTTGCTTTGCAATCGCTTCCAACATAAAAGCTCCTTAACGGAAACACGTCTTCTGGACTCTCTGCGTGACAGTTTCCGGCGAGGAGTGGGTGTTCTTACAGGAGGTCCTGAAACCTCCCCACTGTTCTCGCTGGAAGTGTCTCTGAGCCATCCCTCCAGCTCAGCTCCTCTCCCCTGCTGGTTCCCTCTTCAGCTGCTGCGTCTCTCCCAACCTGTGTGAGCCCTTTCACCTCCCTGCTGGTTCCCTCTTCAGCTGCTGCGTCTCTCCCAACCTGTGTGAGCCCTTTCACCTCCCTGCTGGTTCCCTCTTCAGCTGCTGCGTCTCTCCCAACCTGTGTGAGCCCTTTCACCTCCCTTCCGTCCGATGGCAGTTCCATGACATACAGCCATATGTTTTGCTGCTTTAGTGTTTGAATAAATATTTGAACTGTTTGCCTTTAGTAGCTGTTCGCCTCTCTCTTTTATTTTTTTGCTCTTGCAAAAGCAAAGAAAAATAGACTGCTTACTTTCGTACATGAAGGAAAGCTTCTGTATTCCATACCGTCCAACATTTATCCGATGAAAATAAGGACGTCTTTTTTAATAATAATAATAATAATAATAATAATAATACTCCACCCATCCAACTGGGTTGCCCCAGCCACTCTGGGCAGCTTCCAACATATATAAAAACATAAACATTAAACATTAAAAAAACCCTTCCCTATACAGGGCTGCCTTCAGATGTCTTCTAAAGGTTGTATAGTTACCATATTGGCTGGAATAAAAGCCGCACTTTTTTTCCAAATTCTGACCGTGAAAAGTTAAAGTGTGGCTTAAATTTGCAACCTTACAAAAATTGGCTTTTATGTTTTCGGTGCTGAAACAGACATATGGTAAAATGGAATGGGAGTGAGTGCCTGCGGAATTTTAAAGGAGCGGCTTATATTTGGGTATTGTCTTTTTTCTCCGCCCCCCCTTGAATTTTAAAGGTGCGGCATATATTTGGGTGCAGCTTATATTTGGGCCAATATGGTATATCGGTGGTCGCATAACCTTACCGAACCCCCCCCCCATCAAGCACCACAGGACAAACTAACTTGGGCCCATCTTAGATTTGCAGTCTTGACCCCCTGAGCTCCATCACCCTCTTAATCAGAATCGCTCATTACCTTCATTCCTGTAGCTCAGCTACAGTTTTATAAGCGGGAAGACGAATATTTGCTTTGACATCCTGTTTTATGGTTCTCTTGCTTTGCAGGAATCAAATCTATACATAGCTCTTGAGGATGGATTTTGGCTGCCTTCCTGTTAAGGTTTATAATTTCTGAAATCTTCATCTAATCCCCCCAAAACTGATAAAAAGTGGAGGAATACAGATTTATATCTGTACACTGATGCAATCAGAGTTAGATTTGCTGGCGGAGGAAATTCTCTGCATTTGAGAGTTAGCAATCATTTCTGAAATCCAGATTAATAACCTTAAAAAAGAAAAAGGCAGCTGAATGTTTATTCGAGCTAGAATGTTGATGGCACAGAGTCATCAAATGTGGTCAAAAGCCCTGATCTATACCATCATGGAAATTACATTTGGTAAGAAATATATATATGCTGAATCCTATCTTGAAGTTCTACCAACTACGAATCCTTAATGCAGTCAAGGTGACTGGGTGGGTAAGACAATATATTTGTGGATTTTATTTGCATTTGCAGAATTCTACCGGTTTGCAGCAAGGCTTTAAAAAAATTAAATGAAGTACATATTTATCAACTGAAAGTGAATCTGTTCCATCAGTTCACATAAAGCAATCACAATCTGATGAGCAGCTCTCTTTTGGAAGCTCTATTACATGAGCTTTTAAAAGTAAAAAAAAACCACCACCCATTTTTATGCGGCATTTTTTTTAAATTGTAGGAAGGGAAGCATGCTATTGAATGAGAAGGCACTGATCACATGTTAAAAATAAACACAGCAAGCTTAATATTAGATGGAGCAAGCTGGTAGAGTTGGCAGTTCAGGGGAGATGTATGTTACTGTTGAAGTTCCTACTGGAGTCACTTATTTCTGTTTGGCAATGTAAGCCTTAATGCTGCTTGCAGCATGTTAAATAATAAATTAGAGCAACACTTTGTGGTAACATTTTAGGAACCGAATTGATCACACATTCCAACATGCTAGGAATACTTCCCTTGAAAACAGTACAGATTCAGTTGAGTCATGGGCTGCAACCGTAATAGGCTGATCATATTGAACTTGAAGACAAAGGGATTTAGGCAGCTGTGGGCAGGGCTGAGTGAGTAACCCTATATATGTTTACGCAGAAATCAATTGCTATTGAAGTAATTGTGGATAGAATTGCAGTATGAAGACTCTGTTCTCCTTCCCTTCATTTATTCTCATTTTAAAGAAGATGGAATGAAGCTAAGAAACCTTGCCAAGGGCACACCCAATATGGAGGCTTAGCCAAGAGCTGAAACACAACCTCATCTTCAGACTTGGCAAGGAATACCAGCCCTCCAAGTGTCCCTATTTTCCAGGGTCAGTCCTAGATTTACAGGAAGCCGTTCAGGTTTCTGATTTCATCCCGGAATGTCCTGCTTTTCCTTAGGATGTCCCTATTTTCTTTAGAGAAATGTTGGTGGGTATGCGGGTAGCAATCCCAGGAGCCTTTGCAACTGCACCCCAACAGCCAAGTGAATCTGACCCACAGCCAAGCACTTTGGGGTACCAGTCTACCTCTGAATCACAGCCTGGTACTTTAGTGTACCGTCTACCCCTCTCATTGTTTCCAGCGATGAGAAAGAGTGAGATTACCATTGATGCCAATATGGTAAGTGCTACTGGTTTTTCAAAGGTTTCAAGGGTTTCCAAAGGTTTAGAGGGTGTTTACAGGCTTTTTAGATGGTGTTCCCCACCATACATGATTCCACGTACAGTGGACCCTCGGGTTATGTTACCTTCGGGTAACGTAATCTTCGGGTTGCGAACACGGCAAACCCAGAAGTGGGTATGCCGCTCACGCGTCCTCCGGTTACGAAATCTTCAGGATATGGCCGGACCTCCAGAACGGATCCCGTTCGTAACCAGAGGTACCACTGTATATGCATGGTCCTGGGAACATAACCCCTGGGTAAGTGGGGAGACCCCTGTATTTGTTCCCAAGTTACCACTAAGTTCCTAGAGAGGAATGGAGATTGGATGGGCGGTTTCTGGGTTCCTTTGCCTTCTACTAACGCTGCATCAGCTGGCTTATGAAACCAAAAGCCTTGGCTCTTCCCCCTTGCCTTTCTGGCAATCTATCAGAAGTGAAAAAACCACGCCGCATGACAATCCAAGCTGTTATCACTACAAGGGTTTTGAAATCCTGACTTGTCTGTTTTTAAGGTGCTGCTATGGCGTTTAAACGGTTGTCTTAGCTGTATAAGTTACCTTTTTAAATATCTTACTGCAGTTTTTAGTGGATTAAATAGTGAGGCCACAGTATTTGTGATATTTAGGGCTGGCTGTATGAGGCAGAGTCTAATATTTACAGGGCTTTTCTCTTCCTTTTGAAAAAAAAAAGCTTGTCATGCTTGCAACCTTAAAGGGCATCTGAATGTGATTTCATTAAGTCTCTCATTTTTAGATGCCGCAAAACAATTTTGCATCCTTATTTCACATGTTAAATTTTTTTTTTGAGCTGCTGATAATGATACTGCAGGCAGATTGGGTTGGGTTGTTGCCCTTTCAAAATTTTGTTTGCCTCTCCTCTGCTGGAGATTGGCAGCTCTGGTTCCTGAAAGAGGATCTACTGCTCTATAATGCAGGAGCAGTTTTTTCTTGGTTTCCATCTGCTTTTATAGGCATCCAGATTTCCTTCCATCTGACGACGGGTGGCAAGCCAGTTCTTTGCATCTACAGAATCGGGAAGTCATTCTTCCCTCACCCTTCTCTGGTGATATCCATAGGATGTGTGTGGACACAGGCAGGGGGAGGTTTTTATATTATTATATATCTTTTTAAAACCCTAATGATTATGACTCAACTGAATTAACATAGGAAATGGGCCTGCAGAAGAGATTGTGCAGTAGGACATTAGATTAACAAAGTAAAGTCTGAATACAGAGCTCAAACCCTCTGTTCTTATAAAGAATTTTCTTACCATGGCATATATATTTTTCACAGTTCAGTAGTTGCTCATCCCGGTTTTTTTTATTATCCCACGGCTACTGATGGCAAACCGTTTCTCATAAAGCAAAACTGCTACTGGCAATTCACAGAGGAGACGGGAACGCAACTTCAAAGCATTTAGCGTAGAGCAGTAAAAATTAATTAATTACATGGAATTATGTAAATTGATTGCAGAAAGTAGCACATATGGTTAGAGCTTAACTTCAGTTTAATTTTTTTTTGGTGTGTATGCGTGCTGTAAATTCAAACACATGGCTAGGCGTATAAAGGCAATCTTTACAACTGGGTTTTACACATTTTTTTTAAAAAATAAGAAAACCTACTCGTTTAGTTGGCAGTTTGAACTTGTTATCTCTGGTTGCAGAAGAACTGTTCTGTGCATGTAGATGTCATTCTGAGTTCTCAAATTTTCTACCTTGACAAGGTCTAGGCAGTTGCCATATCCATGCTGCTTCTGTGGAGAGGACTGTATTGATGTGAGTTTCTTTAACCAAATTGGGATGGGAGGCTGCCTGAGAACCAAAGGTACATTACCTTGGAGTTTTTGCTAGCAGAAAGGTGGGATATAAATGTAAGAAAACAAAATAATAATAATTGATTGTGCAAGCTCCAAACACAGTAGCTTAAAGCTGCTATCCTGTGCACATTAAGAACAAACACAATTTAACTCCATGGAACACACTTGTTTCCCATGCCTGGCCAAATCTGATTAGCTTCATGGCATTGGGAGGTCATTAATTTTTATTATTCTGTCCTTCATTGACTAGGACAGGGTTTCCCACACTTGGGTCTCCAGCTGCTTTTGGACTACAATTCCCATCATCCCTGACCACAGGTCCTGCTATCTAGGAATGATGGGAGTTGTAGTTCAGAAACAGCTGGAGACCCAAGTCTGGGAAATCCTAGGCTAGAATCACTAGAGAAGAACAAAGCCCAGGGATGGTGGTAGTGTCGCAACAGTATTGGAGAGGGAAATAGCAGTGAAGAAATGCACCACTGTGTCTTTCTGGGAAATTTCCCCAAGCATGTTAAAAAGGGTAAGCATTTGGCACAGTCCTGTTGTACATATAAGCAGTTATAGGGTCTAAGCCTTTGTGGGCTCATAGGCCTTTGCAGGGTTTCTAGTCATAAATAGCACTTTTCATTGTGGCTGGAAGGTTAAAGAACGTCATTGCACACTGAAACTCTGACAATGTATTTCTAGTAGGCTATCTCTCAACACACTCCAAACAGACACCAACTCAACCAATTGTACTAGTGTAGCCTTGGTCTGTACCAAATTTAAATTCATCTAGGTTTTTACATTTCATTTTAAAAAGGTTGCAGTTTGAATCAGAAAAGCCTTAATCATTTCAGCCTTGCACATAAAGATTGAAAGGATTAAAATTGAGTAAAACGTTAGAAGTTTAAGATCCGTTTGAACGGAGATAAGGAATGTTACCCTCTTGACATCATTAAAATACTTCCCTCCCCCCATTTTTTGTACAACTAACCCATTGCCCTCATTTTCAGGGCTCAACTACCTTGCTGTTCGCACAGCTGGGAGCTTATATTTTCAGAACTGAAAAGAGCTACTGCTGTAGCAATCTGTCCACAGCTGAAAAAAACTGTTAGCTTCAAAAGCACTTAGGTTCTACCGGGTGGATTAGATAATGAAGCATTAAGGTCATTTGCCACACCTGTTTTCTCTGCAGTGTGGCTTCGTGTGTGTTATTCCTTTGACAGACTTGAGGTGAAGGAAGCAGCAAATACATGAATCTTTAAAATGCAAGTGTTTGAAGTGTATGTGTTTAAAAGGATAACCCTCTTCGGTTGCATCTGATGCAAGGTGGAGGTAAGAAAGGTGAGATATGTGGATTTGGGAGCCCCAAAGACACACATACGATGGTGATCGATCGTGGAAGCCATCGTTGCTTGTTTTCTATGTTACTTGAATTTGCTTGAACCCTGTTCATGATCAGGTGGCTCTGCAGACCTTGTTGTTGTTTAGTCGTTTAGTCGTGTCCAACTCTTCGTGACCCCATGGACCAGAGCACGCCAGACACTCCTGTCTTCCACTGCCTCCCGCAGTTTGGTCAAACTCATGCTGGTCGCTTCGAGAACACTGTCCAACCATCTCGTCCTCTGTCGTCCCCTTCTCCTTGTGCCCTCAATCTTTCCCAACATCAGGGTCTTTTCCAGGGAGTCTTCTCTTCTCATGAGGTGGCCAAGGGATTGGAGCCTCAGCTTCATGATCTGTCCTTCCAGTGAGCACTCAGGGCTGATTTCCTTAAGAATGGATAGGTTTGATCTTCTTGCAGTCCATGGGACTCTCAAGAGTCTCCTCCAGCACCATAATTCAAAAGCATCAATTCTTCGGCGATCAGCCTTCTTTATGGTCCAGCTAACCCCTCCCTAAACATGGGGAAGGTCAGGGGCAAGGTGGGTGGGACTGTGCACTTTGGGACTTGGTGGGGTGGGACTTGAGCACATACCCCCCCCCCGTGCCCTTGTTCATGGATACAGCATTTGTGTAATTTCCAGAAATCTCTGTGTACACAGTCTCATTCAGCCCACAGTGCTTTGTTTTGGCCACAGTACACAGTAAAGGATGATGCAATGGCCAAAGAAGAAAGAAATCAATAAGGGCCTGGGGTCTTCTCCCAACAGTTCACTTTGGTATGGTCAGGCAAACCATGATTAAGGGAGGATGCTGGGACTACATGCAACACCAAGTCATATTTAAAACAACCCAAGGTTCGAAAGCCCGCACCAAGCCAAGCCTTCAGGTTGTAGTTCATTGGCAGTAAATAAACCGTAATGAAACTATTAGGCAGGGGTCACACTTGATAATAAGCCATGGCTTAATAAGCCATAAATCAGTAAACCACCAGCTGCCCCTCTTTCAAACATTTAGAAGACAATTTGATTATCTGGTCTAGAATTTATTTGTCTTTGTTTATTTTGTTCCATTTATCCGCATTGGTGGAAGTATTATTAGGTTTTTCTGAGGTCAGTCCCCCTTTTTCCTTTCTGCTTTTGTGCATTTTGCAAAGTGGCAGAATTAACTGCCTTGCTGGAGAGGCTCCTCTTGAGTTGAGGATTCCCACCCCCCAATCCCTTTTCTTTAAGGATATGCTGAATTCTGCAGTGAGAGAGAAGATGTAACTTGTCAGCTCTATTTCCTGCCAGAATGGCTTATGTTCACTTACCTTTCAAACTGATGCTAGAGGAGAAGAACCAGGCTTCTAAAGCTCAGCTTCTCTTTTGTAGTAAGTCCAGAAGCTTTAATAATGCTGTGTAAAAATCAGGGCTCAAAATTGACAATTGTTTTGTTGCTGGTGGCAAGTTGAAATTGTGTGCAGGTGATCAAGCAAGGAAATCTTTGTGAACTGGGAAAGTTCGTGTGTTTTTCTCCCCAGTTTATATCAGTATTAAAAATGAATACAGTAGGCATTTGGGCTAATAGCTTTATGTGAACCTTTGTGCTAGACTAAAAGACATTAGCCTTCCTTTGCATTCATCTTGGACTCTTACTGCTTTTGAATACAATTAACAAGGTGGAATGAAAAGTTGATTGCCTCTCAGTGCATGCATTTCTGGTGTCTTTCCTTAAAAAGGAACTGTTGGCAGGTGACATGGGAGAAGTAGAATGGAGCTTTGGTTTGCCGAATAATCATTCAATTTAGAAATCCCTGTTGTTTCACAGAGTTAACACGGTAATTTAAATATCTCTAGTCCGGCATTAACACCAGACAATTATACAAACAAGTCAAGAGCTTTGCAATAACTTTAATGTCTCAATTTTACTTCCAACAGTATGCTAGTCCCTTAGAGCAAACTATCCCATCAGTGCACCTGGTTTCTAATCTGAAATATTCACTGAAAGAGAAAAAATCCAGCTGAACTGAGTAGAACTTAATTTCCAAGTGAGCATTGTCAGGCCTATCGCCTTTGTATAGATGGGTATAGGAAAGGGGTTGGGAAAGTGATAGTTGAGTTTAGAGCATTCTAAACTTTGAGCAGAAGTCAAAACTTTTATGTAATGGGTACTTAATTAAAACTAATGAACCGTGTTGTTCATTACAAGCTTTTCTTGGAGAAATGTGTGCTTCTGAACGGTCCTGTCATCATGATTACTGTTGCCATCCTGTAAAGCTCAGCAGGAAATTCTAGGCATGCTTATTTAACTATCAGGGCTTCTTAATTAGCTTTGAATATGTTTCTCTTTTTAGAAGGCCCAAACTATTTCATAATGCTGGAAATAACTGTTCCTTTTCCAGTGATAACTTCCTGTCAAAAAAACAGTGCCTGAAACACTTGATTAATTGGAAAGGTAAATGATCGCCATGGTCCCATGTCAGAAGTGCTTATGGTACAGAAAAAAACATTAGGTGTGACTCGTACCACCATTCATCATAGAAATAATTTCAGAATTGCAGTTGCATTGAGAAATATAGGGAGAAGTGTACCTTCTCAATTTTCTGCAGGAGTGCATGCATTTGTATTGAAACGAGCACCTTATGAACAAGCAAAGGCAGGTGCAGGAGCATACAGTCAAGTGAAACTGTTTTTTATTATTATTTGTGACCATCTCTGGCTCACATAGAAGATAAATCTCTTTGATCTGCACTCTTCTTTCTAAGTAGTGTAGGATCCAGTACATATTTTCATATGCTGAACAGTTCAGTGTTCAAAACTCCCATTTTGCGGAGACTTCCGGGGAGGTGCCTCCGGTAATGGCGGAATTCCTCTGACCGGGAAGAATCTGCTCCGTGGAAATCTGGGTCTGGCCTCCATGGCGAAGGCGGAGACCCATTAAAATCACAGGCGGGAGAAGCCTGTGAGTGTGGGATTCGGCGGGCACCTTTTGCGCCTCCCCCACTCGCGGGGAACCCCAGTTTTTGGGGCTCCAGAGCGACGTGGGGTGAGCGGCGCGGTGCATCGAATCGTCTGCTTCTTCCACGGAGCGAAGCCGCATAGCTGTTGCTGGAGAGCGCTGACCTTTTCCTGTGGACAATTTGACTTTAAAGTAATTACCCGTGAGTAGAGCTGAAGCGGAAGAATTGGATTTCTAAATGTTTCATTTGGTATCGTAACGGGGAGGTTCAAAACAGGAAGTCCGCCTTCCCCTTTTGTAAATAGGCTGAGGCAATGAAGTTGCAAGCTGGAGTCCTGGAAAGTCTTTCGTAAAAGATTAAATTTCCATCGGTAAAGAACATTAAACCCCCTCTTGGAGGCAGGAGAAGAGAGGGGGAAGTTGTAGATTGAGTATGCCTGCGGGAGAGAGCGAAGAGATTTAAAACACCGCCGCTCTGACCCTGGAAACGGGCTGCTAGTAGGACTGACGTATTTTGGAATCTTCATTGACAGCATTTAGAACATTCATTGACAGCTAGCTAAACAAGAGAAATACATTGTTTCTACTGTCTCCGGCTGCTTTAAAAAGGAGTAAAAGTAACTGAAAATTGAAATTAATTTGAAACTAATATTGGATTGTTTAAAAGCGGATACTATTGACTATTACAAATAGAAACTGTTTCCCCCTAGTAGAAGCCTTTGAAACCGGTTGCATTACAAGAGCTGGGCTAGGGAAATTTCCAGCTGCAAGTTAAAAACCGTGAGACTCTGGGACTGACCTTGAATCTTTTAAGTGTTATGGTAAATGGAAGAGGAAAAACAGACCAGTCAACTGCTGACAAGACATTAAGGTCTGGGAGGACTTGGCAACAATCCAGGAGAGGTCCATCATCAGGCTTCCCTGCTCTTTCTGTTGCAGCCTTTGTACCAGTATATTTAAAACCAAGAGGAATGTCGACAGAAGATAGTGGCTGCATTATATAAGATAAATGACTCATTGGATCAGCTTAACAGGAAAATGGACACGATAAATGCGAAAGTGGATGTTTCAACTATTAAAATTAACTTAATTACAGAAAGTATAAACAATACCAATACAGAAACCACCCAGAAATTGATACAGGAACCTACTTTGATACGGCAAACTGCGGAGGAAGCCAGGGAAAAAGCTGTTGTTGTTGAATGTAAAGTAACACAACTGGAGAGAAAGAGAAAGAGAGCCCCAGCCCTACAGAGGCAATTTGATGAACATAAGTTGACGCTTGCTATGACTGAACTTAAAGAAAAACAGACGAATTTGAGGATTAGAGTTCACCTTTGGTGGACATGCCCAAGGATTAAGACACTTTGGGAGATGATTCATAATGAAATGAAAAAGGTATTTAAATATACCCTCTTGAAGAAACCAGAGGCCTTTCTCCTGGACATGGTCGGCCAATTGGTGTTAAAGAAGGATAGAACTTTTTTCACGTATGCAACAATAGCAGCAAGAATAGTCATTGTGAAGTACTGGAAGACACAAGATTTAACTATTTGGGAAGAATGGCAGATGAAGTTGATGGACTATATGGAATTGGCGGAAACGACTGGCAGAAATCTGAGACCAGGGAGAAGAGTCGGTGGAAGAAGACTGGAAAAAGTTTAAGACTATGTATAGAAATACTGTAAAAATAATGAATGTTAGAAAAATGTTGGAATGAAGTTGTATGGCTTTAGTAGAAATGCTATAAGGAATTAAGTATAAATAGATTAATAGAGTATTAAAGGGAAAAATAAGGTTAGAATATGTTAAGATAATTATAGGATAGAAAACAGAGGAAGATGGAAAGGAATTGCTGAAACAATTAACAGAAGTGGAATACGAAAAGGGAGGTGTGAGGAGGTCGTGGAAATAAGGGAACGAAAGTTAAGATATTGAAATTGTTTTCTGTTTTAAATGGTTTGTGTTTTGTTTTGTTAGTCTTATGGGTTTTTTTGCTTTTTTGTTTTTCTGTTTTGTTGTGTTTAAACGGTTGGAAAATTAATAAATACTATTAAAAAAAAACACCTCCCATTTTGCGACAGGGAATTTCATTAGTATGAGCAGTTTCTGAGCTCTGGGTGCAGCACCTAAGATTTCAGATTAAAACTGCAGAGTGGAAGGAAAGGAGGGCCTTTTTCTGCCTCCCCACTTCCAGCTACTCTCTGAAGAAACCCTCTTAAGAATATAAGGGGGCCAGGCAGGAGAAGGACTAGACCATATGAAAAATGAAGCTGCAGTTCATTCATTTTCAACTTTGTATTCTTATGAAAAAGCATGCCTAGACATTTCATTGTTGCGCCCATAACCTAGGTTTAAGGTGCCATTTAGCTCCTAGAAACTAACACTGGAACATCTGTGCTATATCAACAAAGCCTTTTACTACGACCATATGCTGATTGCTAGATCAGGGTGAAAATTTTGAAGATCACTGTCACATATAGATGCAACAAGACACAGTTAAGAAAAACTAAGGTAAAAAATAACGGGATATGAACCTGATAAATGAAGTAAGGTGAACATATAACAATGTGCTCTTGGAAGCCCAGCTAATTTGCTATCTCTCAACTGGGCAGCTACCCTGTTTTCTAGAGGTGCTTTTCCCCTTACAAAAATACACATTTTTCGACTTCGATAGCAAATTGTGAAACACACCCAAGCATGCCAAGTTAAAATTGACGTAGCAGTTTCTAAAAAATGTGAAGCAATCTGTTATGGTTATCAAATCAGGCCTTCAGTTCTGTCATCTTGAATCAAAGTGTGCATGTTCTGTAAAAGCTTTCAGAAAAGCACTTCAGGACCAGTTCTCCTTTAAAACATTGCAAAACAAATATCCATTACAGTTGCTGATTGTGCTTGCAATATACTTTGTGAGCTTTTAGCAAAACTAAAACAGGAAAACAAATCGTGGAGCTGCTAGCCCTCCCCTGAGAGAAAAAATGTTTGTGTACAACACTATTCTATTTTGAAATTAGAAGCTTAAGTTATTGCTGCTGTTCATTTGGAAAATTAACCAGTTAACCAACTGAATGAAGTACAAGGGAATAATCAGAATGCACAGTGCTGTAATATGTTGATTTGGGTTGCCGGTTAGCAACACGTCATTCAAGAAAAACTGTAAGTATAAATGACTTTGGACAAATGTTTATCTTACCAGAACAACGTGGAAGCTTTACTTGTTAAAAGGGTTTAGGTAACTGAGATCAGGGTGCTCTGGAATGGGAAGAAGCTACGCCCATCTCATGGGTGATGTGCTTGCTTTAGTGGTGTAGGATCCATCCACAACAGAGACGTTCCATTGCACTGCTAAGCGTAACATGGGAATTGGCTCCTAAATGGCACGCCCATGTTCCACTGCCCCCTATTGTAATTCTAAAGCCTTATATTGGGGTTCCAAATTGTGTTTTGATCCTACAAACTGATGTCAGCCTCTCCAGTACACCTAGGAGGTGTGCAGACTCAGGCTGGGAGATATCCTGTTTTCAGCATTGTGATACATCGCCAACAAAACATTGCAGTATCCTGATAAATCACAATGTCTGAAATAAGGATGGAGCTATGTAGAGGCATGGGCTGGCTTCATGGTTTTTCCTGCATCGTGATTTTTGCTGACATCTGCTCTTGTGATTTGCTGCTCCTTGCATGAGGCCAGAGAGAGCTGAGCTGAGCTGGCAGAGTTAACGGGCTGCAGGAATCGAGAGAAACATTGACTGGCTTAACGGTTTCTCCCACGTTGTGATTTTTGCATAGTGCACACACTCACACACACTGATTCACAATATATTGCCAGTTCAAAAATTAAGAAACTGATATCACATTATGGACTTCAAACTGGTTTTGGATTATATATTGATTTATCGCCCAGCCGTAGTGCAGACTGGGGCAATCCGTATATGACAGATGGGGCAGACGCAGGAAGTGCAAACCTGCTCTTGCTCCTCATATGATTGTAATCAGGTAGTACATGCCAAATATGTACCTGGTGTCTCGATGGTTATCTCAGTGGGAGGTGGAGGTGGCGAGAGAAGAGGAGAAAAGAAGGGAGACCTAGGGTGCTGTCAGCGGTAAAGGTAAAGGACCCCTGACTTTTAAGTCCAGTCGCGGACGACTGGGGTTGCGGCACTCATCTCACTTTACTTGGCCGAGGGAGCCGGTGTTTGTCCGCAGACAGCTTCCGGGTCATGTGGCCAGCATGACTAAGCTGCTTCTGGTGAACCAGAGTAGTGTACGGAAACACTGTTTACCTTCCCATTGGAGCGGTCCCTATTTATCTACTTGCACTTTGAAGTGCTTTTGAACTGCTAGGTTGGCAGGAGCAGGGACTGAGCAACAGGAGCTCACCCCGCCGCAGGGATTCGAACCGCTGACCTTCTGATTGGCAAGCCCTAGGCTCTGTGGTTTAGACCACAGCGCCACCCGCTGTCAGCAGTAGCCTTTCCCAATTTAAGGGCAAGGAAAAACTTTGCTAACATTTACAGATACGCTCCAGATTAACAGTATGTGATTCATTGGAACATGGTTGAAAAAGAACATCATCTGATTGCTTCAGGTTTGATCCTATGGGCTGATATGGTCAAGAGTGAGCCCAGGGCTGCCAATCCAGACAGCACTGCATCATGTGGTTTTGCTTTGATATCATAGGTTATCCTAGGGCATAATGATCTTGTTCAAGATTGGCTCCCAAGGATGACATCATTGGACATTTGCTAGTGTCCCAAGCCAGCCTGAGGGCTGGTTGTCATAACAAAAGTGACCATTCTTACTTTGTAAGGAGTGGCCAAAAAGATTAGATGCAGCATAGGAGAAGTCTTGGCTTCCATGTCCTGTTCCTTTCAGGATAAGGAGGTCCACAAGATGGTGGTTTACGCAAATTACGCGTTGCTCATGTTGCAGGATGCATGGATTGCTTTTGTTCCAAATGGAAGGAGAGAGAAAAAGGAAGGGGGAAATCTCAAGATGTGGATTTGGTTTTATTTATAAACAAGCCCAACACATTTTAGCTTGCGTAAATTGACACATTGGGCTTGCTTATAAATAAAACCATATCCAGCATCTTGAGATTTTCCTCCTTCCCCCTTTTCTGATTTATTCTGGGTGCTGACCGTTTTCTTACTATTTATATAGATGGGGCTGACTGGCTTATGTGCCACAATGTGGATGTTGTCACTGTGACAGAGCCACTGCCTCTTGTAGCCACATGGTACAGGATTGCAACAACCAGCGAAGCAAGGAAATTTGCACTGTTTCTTTCTGTTACATACAGTTCATTATGGCTGTGTCATCACATCTTGGCATAGCTATAATGCACTGTATTGTGATTGGGAAAGCCCGTTGAAAAAGTTTATGGATTTGTTAGCCACTCTTAATGCACTTGGTTTTGTTTTGTTTTTAATTTGCCTCTAAATCAGTCTTCTGACAATATAACTAGGGCACGATGTATGCTACAGATCCATGAAGCATAAATATCTCAGGGATATAATTATCATGTTGTGGTGGTTTGAAAATGTTAATTGGAAGCTAACATTTGCCTTCCGAGCAGATTCCATCTAAATATTTTATCATCCTCATGCTAGAACTTGTGGGGAGATTAGTGGCTAAATTGTAATAGCCACTGTCTAGCATCTATAAATTGATGTAATAAGCATAGCGAAACCTAATTTGCCAAACTGTATGATATCATTATTAGTAAGTGTAGTTCATCTCATGCTTGTAGGCATATAAAGATGTATATCTGACTGGAGGAAAGGGAAAAGTTATTGAACCACAGTGACCTTAACAAAATATGCTTAGTCTCAATTCTCCAGTAGGGAGCTCTTGCGGTACCTGGGTGTTTGCCTGCGTGCACATAAATGCCAGCAGTGCTTTAATAGGAACTGGTGGTGTATATAATAGATAGTTTGCAAAGAATTAACTCTTCTTCAGTTTAGTGACCTCTTCTTGGATTTATTCTGGATATTTTTGTCATGAAAGGAAAGTAAAACTGGCAGTTCTTCTCCGGCTCAGATTTTTACCTGAGCCAGATAGGTATTTGGGGCCTTGTAAAGTTTGCCTTTCCTTTTGAGAGAAACTTCACTGAGTCTCTGAAGTTCACTTCATTTGGGATGATTTTGATAGCATCCTCTACACGTGCAAGAAGTGCAAGAATCACAGCGAAAAGACATATGGGAGTTTTCTAGAGGATGACTCACAATGTGCTTAGGAGGAGTTATCTTGCTGAGTGAAAAGCCATGTTTTACTGTCTTTATTTTTTATTATGTCTTTCGTGTTTTGATTTATTGATATTATTATTATTATTATTATTATTATTATTAATTTTGTGCTTTGTATACTGTAATTTTCTGTTGTGAACCATCCTGAGACTTATGGGTATAGGGCAGTACAGTGATACCTCGGGTTACATACACTTCAGGTTACATACGCTTCAGGATACAGACTCCGCTAACCTAGAAATAGTACCTCGGGTTAAGAACTTTGCTTCAGGATGAGAACAGAAATCACGCGGCGGCGGTGTGGCCGCAGCGGAAGGGCCCATTAGCTAAAGTGGTGCTCCAGGTTAAGAACAGTTTCAGGTTAAGAACGGACCTCCGGAATGAATTAAGTACGTAACCAGAGGTACCACTGTATACAGATTTAATTAATTAATTAATATTATTACTAATATATTCTTTTCCCTTATTGAGTGTAATGCACATAAGAAGAATCCTGCTGCTGAGAGCACATGTCTGTCTTGTAATAAGACAAAAGCTGCCCAATCTTAATTGCAAAAGCAAAAAATAGATTTCCTTTCTAAAACTTCTCACCACAACTTCTCACCATTAGAATCAGGTTCCAAGCAAACGAGTATGTAGGCGAGAACTTCACATGAAGTCTGATTTTGCCGCAGTAGTTTTCTGATAAACGGATGACATTATTTCGTGCTATATATATGTTGCAGGGAGTGAGTACTGAGAAAGGAACAAATCCTCTGTGGGCATATGTGAACTGGTTCCAGTCACGTGAATAGCTGTGTGCTAATTTAAGTTGACAGCTGTATCAAAATGGATTAGCGCCACCGCTGCCAAACTCTCAGAGTTTAAACTTTCCACACATATTAAACGTGAAGGAGAATTTTAAAAGCTTGAAATAATTTTATATAAGCCATTTATCTTGTTTTCCTTGAACCCTGGGAGACCCCAAGTCTGCAGATTGCCACATTGCTATTATTATTATTATTATTATTATTAATTATTATTAATCCCCCTCCACCAGCAGGTCCCAGGATGAGTTATAGCAATTTAACATTCAGTATTCAAAACAGCTAAAACAAATTACAGTCACAGAAATAGGATGAGGGTCCTGAAAGCACACGGCACAAATGTTCCAGGCCCGGGTAAAGATGTTTGCCTTCAGTGGGATGTTATATTATTGTGATATTTAGGTTGCGGTTATATATGAACTACTTTGGGAGTAAGTATCATGGAAGTCAGTAGAAACTATCACCTATATAGTTTTTTAAAATTAATATTAAATAATATAAGTATGATAAGTCCTGCGGATCCGGGAAGACGTGGGTCTCTGATTGTGTATTGTAGATTAAGATGTAAGGTTGATAGAATATAACATTTTGTGTTTGTGTGGGTGTGTTTCTTTTTTCTATTCCTCTCTCTTTTCCTTTTTATTATTTTTCTCTCTTTAGATAATAGCTTTGCTTGGTTCCTTTATGGTATTGTATCTTGAAAATGTTTAATAAAATTGATTCAGAATAGAAACTGTCTCCAAGGAGACCTACATTCGATTTTTCTGTAAATATGAGGGACAGTTTTAGAGAGGGAGGAGAATAAGGTAATAGGGCAGATTGAAGAATGTCTGCCTGGAGTAAAGGGGCAGCAGGAAGCTGCCTTTCATACATGTCCCATCTGAAAGGCCTTATTTGGAAAACGTAAAAGAGAAAATTAATGAAAAAGTTAATGGTTCCTCTCATTTGTTTACTTGCATCTTTGCTGCGTGTGCCGTCCCACACTTAAATATTTTGTTTGTTTGTAACAAACATAAAGAAGCCTTTAACAACTTGGCGCCCACAAGACGTTTCAGAAGACAACTCCCAGCATCCCTGACTATTGTGTCTGGGGCTGTTGGGAGTTGTAGTTGAAGGTTGGGGGAAGGCTGATTTTTCAACATAGTCAAGAAAAACCTATCTCATTCATAGAACGTCTGGAAATGTTGGTGCCACAAGGCCCGTTTTGCATGTTACATTATTGTAAAATAATTTAGCCGTCCTGAGATCTCAAAGTAACATCATCATGGCTTTCAGAAACAGCGTGACTATTTACTTTTCAGGCACCTCAGGAGATATAGATTGAAATAACTGCCATGGTGTCCAAAACATTACTTACGACAGCATGAATGATTTAGATTTTCCCTCTGGCCATATATACTTGGATAACACAATCGAGGACCCATCCCTAGAAAACTTTATAAAAGCTGCAGCAGGCAACGTCTTTATTGGGACCAACCAAAATGTCACAAACAATGAGCCCAGGAAGTTCCTGAGTTTGAAAGGCTTCACCATGCCACCTTGGAGTTCCCTGGCAAGCCTTGTCCTATTGTATTTTGTGATGCCATTGCATGTCACAATGTGGGCAAAATGTTGGGAACAAGCCTTTTCCATATTGAGTCACATTGGACACAGGAAGGGGATGGATAAGAAATAATCTTGTACTGCAGTTGTAGCTGCCAGTAGCTGTTCTCATCACAGTTGATGGGTGTATGGCAGAAATCCCTGTAAATAAGTAGATTAGATGAATACATGAATAGGAATTTTGGGTTCTGCTGGCCATGGTAGCCAAAATGCAGCCTCAGTTTTCCGAGATAAACAGTCCTTATCTACCATATGTTCAGGATTAAAAGCAGGGAATGGGTTCCACCATTGTGTCCTCATTTGAGCATCCATGAAACAGATGTGCGGCCGTTGTTGATGGGCAGACTTCTGTGGTAGATGAACCATTAATTTTATCCGACATGGATTTTGTGCTCTGAGCTTCCTGTTCCTTCAGAAGTGCCCCAACAGTGTGATTCCCTCCAAGTCAAGAAACGATTGTGGAGAATTACAGAATTGTAGACTGCATTTTCTGGCTTTATTCCCAGCAGCCCTTGCTCAGGCCAGAGTAGACATCTGGCTTATTCCAAGTGAATTGAATCTGAATGTTGTATTTTTAAAATTTTGTTTGTATTCTTTCTCTGTGTGTATATTATAGAAGGGTGGTGTACAAATTCGTCAAATAAACACAAACACATGTTTTTTTAAAAAAAATAACTTCTTACGCTGCTTATTTATATTTTGTTTATTTATTAGGGTGATCAATGCGGGTAAAAGTACACACAATGAAGACCAGGCCAGTTGTGAAGTACTTTCAGTCAAGAAGAAAGCAGGAGGAACTAATTCCACACCAAACAAGAACTCCTCTACTAAACGGAGGTCTTCGTTGCCAAATGGGGAAGGACTGCAGCTGAAAGAGAATTCAGTAAGTTGCCGCTTCCTTCTTTAATGTGTCCACAGTGAGATGGTTGCTTCACTTGCAGAATCCTTGTGCAAGTAGTCTACGCTGTAATGTTCTCTCACTAAAACACATGTGTGTAAGCATGGCAGCTTTGGATAGAATGGGCAATAGTTCCCATTCTTTCCAGCTTCTGGTGCTGTCTTTGATCGCTCAGCTTGTTTTGCACCCCTACGAACAATTGTGTTGAAAATGTGGATTGATTTATAAGCTCTGGGTTCAGCCCCTGAAATGCTTCCAATTGCTTCAGCTCACGATGGCCACCAACTTGGCTTTAAAAGAGGATCAGACAAATCCAGGGAGGAGAAGACTATCAGCGGGACTTGCCATTGCACTCATTCCTATCTCTGAAGTCCACATCAGCCTCTGGTTCACCCCTGTGAGAACAGGATGTGGGGCTCAGATAAGCCTTTGGCAGAACTCTTCTTATGTGCCAACCTGGCAATCTTGTCCTGTACTTACAGCTGCTCCAGAGCTATGTTTTGAAACTTAGTATGATAAATAAGGGTTAGGTGATTACAGCTGGTCATGGTGGCTGCTGTTTTCTTTGCAGAGGGTGAAGCTCTGCTTAGGATGCCCAGGTTGTAAGGCTCATTAGCTGGGAGCAGAAGCTGCTATTCACCTCCATGTAGCATGTATGGAGCAGTGACATTCAAAATTACGTATGGTATCCAACTAAGTTAGACCCATTTAGTTTAATGGACATGCTCATTGAAGTCCATTGGTTTCAGAGCATCTACTCTTCAGGGTGAGCAAGTTGGTTACAGCTCTGCAGCTTCTGCTGCTGATGCATGACTTGAGGTTCATCAAATAACAGGTGCAGCTAGAGACAGACATCTTCTCCCTTTCCACAAAAGATGCCAGTTGACCTGGGGCCAACAAGAGGGAGGAGACTCTGAGCTTGTCTCCCCCCCCCAAAAAAAACTTTTGAGAAATGAAAGTCTCTAGCCCTTGTAGAATTAAAGCAAAATGTGTGAAATGAACCCTGTCCAGCCTTTCAGTGCTTTTAGAAAATGAGAGTAAAGTCACAGCTGTGATTGCTGAGTGCTGTAGAGAAATTCTAGAATCGCAGGTGTGCCAGGAAAGATGAAAAAAATGGCCTTAACCAGGAAGTCCCTTCTCTAAACAACAAGGACTTGCTGATTCATTTTGAAGCTGATCTTTGTTTTTCTTTGGTAAAGAAGTGGCTGTTGCCCAGAAAAAACAACCAAGGAATTCAAGATTTTGGTTTAGTTGTGCCCACCCAAAACCACAAGTTAGCTGCAAACACAGGAGTTTGTGTGCTCTTCCTAACTGATTTAATTTCATTCAGAAATGTGATTTGCCCCTCTTTTGAGTATGCAAACATAAAAAGAATTACCACGTACGTCCAGCGCATTTTAGTATATCCATATATCAGGGGGACATTGCAGCGGAGAGAGAGCATGGGCTATATCACCCCTCCAAAATAGCCCAATTTTGTTATACAGTGGCAGGTGGATTGAGGGTGGGAGGACTGAGAGAGGAGTGTACGACAACCCTGAAGTGTAGTCTGGTGTTGCTATACTCTAGTCTCTTGGCTCTTTTTTTTTTTAAAGGAAAATGCAGTAAAAAACAACAACTGGCTTTGCATGGTTTAGGGGTAGCACTGGTGCAGAGCAGGGCTCTTGTGCCTGAAAGTTCTTTGACAGGCAAAGATTCAACAGGTTAAGTCATTTCTAGTATAGAAATACAGTTACGGAAAAGTTTTAATTTGCTGACCTCACTGTCAGACATCTTAGTATTTTTGTATCGCCTCATTTCTTTTTAGTCCCTTTACCTCACTCGCTAATGAGAACACAATTTTGCCTAGAATATAAATCATATGCAAATTTGTGCCCTCTTCTGCTTTAAACCCAGAAAATCTTGCTCACACACTTGTTTCTATGCATTGTGGATTTTTTGAAGGAATGTCTTGTCCTCAAATAAGATTCAATAGTCTAACTAAGGTAACTACCTTACAAATGTTATCTGTACCTTTGCTGTTGCATGGTTCATTTCCCAGTTCTCTGGGTGCCTCATTTTAAAACAGGTTAAGAATTTAATATATGTATAGATGATAACATGCTTTGAAATACATAGGCTGAGTTTATTGAGCTTCAGTGTTTCAGAAGAGATTAGCTTTAAAATATGATTGCTGCGAAACGCTTGCTGCTAGAGGGCAGTCTTGTTCCAGAAGCTAGCCCATTTCACTGGGCTGCCTTTTTAAAAGAATATGTAGCTGGCCTTCCTTGTGTGCAACATTAATGTGTAGTAGCACAGAAGTGAGACATTTCACTCTGCGTTTCTTGCTGAGATATTGTTGCATCTCTCAAAACTTATTAAAGCAAATGGATAAAACCTGAGGGTTGCAAGCACTTAGGAGAAGTCTCCCAGCGTGACATCAACTAGCAGACAGCCTCACAAAGATTTTTTTTGGGGGGAAATCTAGTAGCTTGGAAATGTACTGGTTTACTCCTTAAAGCAATTTTAAGTACTGTGACATGCTTTTTTCTTAATTATGATACACACACCCCCCCCTCCCTGTATTGTTTATTCTCTTCGTTCAGCCATACTTCAAATTTTGGATTTTACTGTTTTTTTGTTGCTGCTAATAATCTAATGTTTATGCATAGTTATCAAATATCTGATTGATCTTGTTTTGTCTTGGGTTACTCCAATCTTGTTTCATAAAATGAGGCTTGTGTTTTTATTTTTGGTCATAACCTGCTTTGAGGGCCTTGGGTGGAAATGCAGCGTATGAATCTAATTGTAAATGTAAAATAAAATTGTGCAATGAATTCTCACAGGCCAGGGGATACTTGGTCAGATGCACGCAGTGAGTGTTTATCCATATATATTGAATTATGCTCAGAAAATCGAACCCTGCATTCAGGGTGTGAGTCTTGTTGAATCTGCATGCACTGGTAGTGAGTCTGGTTGACCTCATTGGGGTTTAGTTCTGAGTAGACCTGCCAGTTAGCAGGGATGTGGGTGGCGCTGTGGTCTAAACCACTGAGTCTCTTGGACTTGCCGATCAGAAGGTTGGCGGTTTGAATCCGCACAACGGGGTGAGCTCCTGTCACTCTGTCCCAGCTCCTGCCAGCCTAGCAGTTCGAAAGCACACCAGTGCAAGTAGATAAATAGATACCACTGTGGTGGGAAGGTAAAACGACATTTCCGTGCGCTCTGTCTTCCGTCACGGTGTTCCGTTGCGCCAGTAACGGTTTAGTCATGCTTGCCACATGACCCGGAAAGCTGTCAGTGAACAAACGCTGGCTCCCTCGGTCTGAAAGTGAGTTGAGCGCTGCAACCCCGTAGTCGCCTTTGACTGGACTTAACCGGCCAGGGGTCCTTTACCTTTAGCTTACCTATAAAATACTTTTATAAATAAAATAACACAAATGTGTCACTTAATTATTTTTTAAAAACTACCTGGTAGCAGATTTACAGGTTTTCCAGCGGCAGAACCACAGTAAAACTGGTTAGTATTGCTGGGTGTCCTGTCTCGGGGTGACAGCCATCCTTCGAATTGGGAATTGACATTGGGAAATGCATTTGTTCATGACTGGAGCCACTCTTAAAACCCCATTCTTTTATGTTGTTGTTTTGTTTTAATAATACTTATGCAGGAATCGGACGGCGTATCTTTCCACTACTGGTCGTTATTTGATGGGCACGCTGGATCTGGGGCAGCTGTTGTAGCATCAAAGCTGCTTCAGCATCACATTGCAGAGCAGTTGCAGGAGATTGTGGACATCCTGAAGAACTCGGCCGTCCCTCCCCCGACCTGCCTGGGGGAGGAGCCAGAAAGCATGGCTGCTAACACCCGAACTCTAACCAGAGCAGCCTCCTTACGGGGGAGTGTTGGCGCCCCGGGATCACCCGGCACTCCTCCGACTCGCTTCTTTACGGAGAAGAAGATATCTCACGAGTGCCTCATTATGGGGGCTATTGAGACAGCTTTCAGGGAAATGGTAGGTGTCTCTTCTGCTTAGTAGTCTAATGGTAGGATCCTTCTCTGTTGTTTTGGGTACAGCTGGGGCGGGGAGGGGGAATTGACATGCCGACGTCAGCACATTTAATAAGTTTGTCTGCTAAAGATAAATAAATGCCAGTCTTCTTAATGGTATTATTGGGCTTTTACTGGCAAAAGGAACCTCCACTAGAAACCTGCGTAACGGTCCTAATATGAGTAATTGTGGGCACACAGTTTGTGCCTTAAGTGTCACCAGTGAGAGCTTCCAAGTTGCAGTCTAAAAGAGGGCACAGAACACTGGTTTAGGGTTAGGCGACCGTCATGATCCATGTGGCAACTATTGCAGTGGTGCACCCAAGAATCTGTGGCCTGGCTCAGTTAACCTAGACCTGTTTTTCTTTGCTGGGCCTACAGTAGATTTCACCAGAAGAGCCCTAAGTTGATGACAGAATATAACCAGAGTTTATAGCCAGTATCTGATCCATTGCATCATCTTCCCCAGTGTGAATGTAATGCTGACTTCATCAAATCATGTTTTGTACTCCAAAACTAGTTTTGTGAACTACTGTTCCTGTGCCTCATTTCTACTTTATAGACCACTTCCCCCCCTTCCTATGTTAACCATGTTACATTGTGTACCATTGCAAACCACGGTTCCTCCATAAACCATGGTTTGGAGTAAATTTGCAAGCCTGTTCCCTCTTTCCCTCTTGCTCTCTCCCTCTCTCTGCCCCTGTTTTGTCTTGGAATGTATTTATGTGAGAAGCTAGAAATTTTATTTTACACATGGAAGCTATGACAAAATGTTGCCATGTTCCCATCAGTCAACCATTCTCCTTTCTAGGACACTCCATTCTGTGCCATCTGATTTGTTCTTTCTCCCTCCTCTGGCCCTAACAATCAGTTGGCATTCTGTAGCCACTGAGGATTCTCAGTCCTCATAAGACTGTTTTTGGGTGTCTTTCCAATAGGGTGTTTTTTATTTCATTTTTAAATTTTTATTTCTGAAAACCTTCAGGTTCCCCCAAACCTGCTGTTAAATTCACAGTCACCCCTGAACTTTGGAAATATAGGGAATGAATTGAGTTCTGATTAAATGTGTTAACATTAATTTAGGAAGAATTATGGAGACTAATCAGATTCTGAGATTGCATTTGCAAGTCATATTGATCATGTGTTATGGTGGAGAAAAAAAACGGCCTTTTCTTTGTACGTACAGACTTTGCAGAATTTTTCCTCCTTTGTGTCCACTGGCTGCTAATAATTAAATTGTTCTCAGTAACTAAATCATTAAATTGTTTGATAATTACTGTTCTGATCATCTCCATAGGTTACATCTTTTGTGGTTTTCTCTTCTTTGATACTGCTTCAGAGGCCTTAGAGAGACCCTGTTGTTTAAAAATAATTGGGGTTGAAAAATAATTGAGGGCAGAAGCATGAATTAGCGAGATAAAATTAAAAGTTGTTTAAAACATTCATATTGATTGACAATTAAGCATGAAAACCAGAATATTAACTGAACTATGTAAAAAAAAAAAATAAAAATCCTGATTTCACCAGATGAATATAAAAAATAAGTTACCCCTTGGTAAAAATGCTAGTTTTACATTTTAGGTTTTCTTGCATTCACACCTACTGGAATTTGCAAAGCAGGTGCAAAATCTTGAGGATCTGATGCCCTTTTTAAAATGGGCAGTTTTTAGTCCATACAGTTGGATGTGTTTGAGAAATCCACAGGTTTGATCCAGAGGTGGCTTCCTTGAGTAGTTTGGCATTCGTTTCACGGACTATTGACCTGTACACCACTACTTTATTCTTCCCCTGCTACCAATTTTGTGGGGGGAAACCCAGGGCTCCCCAGTGAAGTACTGTGTCTCAATCAGGTAGAGTTAACAATGAAGATTGAAGTTTATTTCAAACACAAACAAGTTTTAAAATATATTCGAAACGTTGCCACTCTATTCCCTCTCAGTCTTGGCTCGGTCTCTAACTCACTCTGACTCCTCTATCTCCCCCCCCCCCCCCAAGAACCAACCGAACTAACTGTCAAAACCTCTGGGCTCAGCCTCAAAATCAGGTAGGCTCCGCCCCTGTGCTTTCTTATTGGTCAGCCTATTAATAGCCTATTAACCTATTAATTGATGCTTTTGAATTATGGTGCTGGAGGAGACTCTTGAGAGTCCCATGGACTGCAAGAAGATCAAACGCATCCATTCTTAAGGAAATTAGCCCTGAGTGCTCACTGGAAGGACAGATCGTGAAGCTGAGGCTCCAATACTTTGGCCACCTCATGAGAAGAGAAGACTCCCTGGAAAAGACCCTGATGTTGGGAAAGATTGAGGGCACAAGGAGAAGGGGACGACAGAGGACGAGATGGTTGGACAGTGTTCTCGAAGCTACAAACATGAGTCTGACCAAACTGCGGGAGGCAGTGGAAGACAGAAGTGCCTGGCGTGCTCTGGTCCATGGGGTCACGAAGAGTCGGACACGACTAAACAACTAAACAACAACAACTATTAACCCTTTCTCTCCCCCAATACAAACATATCCCCAAAGAATAGGCAAACGCCACAAGTAGAAAGGGACTTCCCCATCCATGCAAGTTGGCCCCATGATTGACATTGCCTTCTTTTGCACACATTGATATCTTCTGTCACTCTCCTTGCACTCCATGCTCAGAACTGGCATCTTGGAGGTCCCCAAGGGCTGCAGTTGAAGATGAGGGATGTGGGAAAGCTTGTCTTACGAGCAGAGTTCTACCTGTGTTTCTTTGGGTCCACCCTGCCCTGACCCAACTAAGGCGATTCTCTTGGGAAAGCCAGGCTCACACGTGTGTGAATTGGGCTGGCGCGCATCTCTTCCTTGCCGGATTGTTGCCCGTAGTTCCAATCTCAGTCTGAAGCATTTGGTCTCATCTCTTTCCATTGGATGTGCGGTCCTGTGTGTATTTGGATATGTTCTCTCATCCATTGTTTTTTAGGCAGTTTGTCTTACAGTCACATTTTGTTTATGCACAGATAGAGCAGGATTAGGGCCAGTAAATGTAAAAAAGCTCCATTATTTAGGGAGCTTCCTGATGACCCACCACTCTGCCCCTGCGGCACTAATCTCCTACCTCCCGTCCATTACACGGCCCTTCAAAGGATAAACAAAACTTCACTTGGTCTCCTGAGTTCAGAATAAAGCATGCAGGATTTATAGGAACACAGGAAGCTGCCTTTATATGCTGAGTTGGGCCATTGCCCATCTAGCTAAGTATTGTCTACCCAGACAGGCAGCAGCTCCCCAGGGCTCTCACTCCCAGCCTTCTTGGGTGTGTGTGTGGGGGGGTTTGAACCCGGGACCTTCTGCATCCAGAGCAAATGATCTTCTACTGAGCTATGGTCCTTGCTTCGCAAATGGATGCTGTGTGCTGATTTTAATCAGATTTGGATGTAGGAAGCTGCCTCTTTCTGAATAAGCATTGCCTACACCGACTGGAAGCAGCTCTCTAGGGTTTCAGACAGGGGTCTTTCGTGGTCCTACTTTGTAGGAGATGTCAAGGATTGGAACTGTCACCTCTTAGCATGCGACTGCACTGCCACGCTGAATTTCTTGATTTATTTTGCGTATCAATATGCAGGGGATTTGATCTTCACTAGAACCATCTCTTTATAGAAGTGCAGCAAATCCTGTTTACATCTTATTTTAACATTGGTGAGTTTTGAAGCGATTAGATGTAAAAGCACATACAACTAGAAAAATAATAATTATACCCAGTTTGCGTATTGCCATTTATCAGAGTTAACAACCTTTGATGACTTTAAGCATGCACAGGAACAAAACCGCATGCAGCAGTATTTCCTTGCGGGTCATGTTCAAATGTGTGTGCTTTTATTTATTTTTAAAAGTGTTAAAATAAATTCGGCTAATAATAATAAACCATTTGACTCACCTCCAGAATGCTTCTCCACTCTGAATTTAACAAAACGTACAATAAAAATATTAAAGCGGTGGGGAGATAAACTTGGTGCCTTTGTGATACGAACAACTCCACTAGCTTATGAGGGCTTTGTGCTTTTATACCTCTGTGTTCATCAAACACTATGAATACTGAATAAATAGGTTGTCTGGAGGAGCCTGAAGTGCAGTTCACACCTGAGCCAGTAGGTGGCCTCATTGGGCAGTTTACATCTTGCTTCAGCTTGTGCCTGTCACAAAACCATCACAGAAATTCGTAGAGCAAATGGGATTGAGCCCTCAGTGCTGAACTGCACAGAATCTTATTTGTGACAGATGCTATTAGCATCACAATCCATATACCCTGCTTCAGCCCACTTGGGGACTGCTTGCTTCCAAGTCCTGCCGAGCAGTCCTCTTAACTTTCGCACGTGCAAAATAACTTTCCTATTGCTGTACTTAACCTGGTGCCTACTGGATCTGAAAGCACGATTGTGGGGCTTGGTTGTCAATACGAATTGTGTGTCTTATCGCTAGTTGTCATGGCTACTGTTTGTTACGGTGCGTTGCCCTCAATACATTTATTTTCCGTAAGGGGAGTGGGGATGCCCTTCTGGGGCAAGACATGACCTGAAAGGAGAATATGTAGCTAAGGGCCAGGGGACAAACCACTAACCAGTCTTTCCTCCTGTGAGAAGACTAGTCTTATAATTAATAACGTTAAATGGCAGGTGACTAATGGCAATTGCTAAACAAATTGGCTGTTTTTAATATGTGGAAAGCAAAGCTGTTGGTTTGTTTGTGCGCATTTTGATCCAGTCTTGTGAATGCTCCAGGGATGTAGTCCACATTATAATGACAAACGGCCGACTTCAGGCCCTCCCCCCCAGGGTATGGAAAAACGAAATGAATAGATTCTACTGTATTTTGGGGGGGCTTGCAAAAAGGACTGCAAGTGCGATCTTCTTTGTGATGAAATGTGTTTGTCTCCCGTTTGGCAATGTGCTATGTGTACACAACTCGGCTCTTTTGGCAGCCGTTCAGTATTGATACTCCTGCTAATGTTATGCATTCTGTTCCCTCAGCTATCTTAACAAGATTTTTGTAAAAAAAAGAGAAGAAAATAAACAAAAAGGCTGGATATGCACATTTGGCACATGTACAGTATTTTTCCATGTATAACATGCCCCCGTGTATAAGACACCCCCTATTTTTGGGGACTCAAAATTAAGAAAATACACTCAGCACTACCCGTGTATAAGACGACCCCAATTTTTAAACATTCTTTTCATGTAAAAAAACCCTAGTCTCATACACGGAAAAGTACGGTACGTTATACAAGTTCGTTAATGGGCAACATAGGTTCGCAACCTGGTGCCCTTCAGACACGGACTGTAATTCCTGTTATCTCTCACTGTTGGTCATTCTGACAGGAGACGATGGATATTATAATTTACGTCGCCTTGAGAACACTATGTTGGATGCTCCTGCTCGGAAATAGCTCAGAGCTGGTATTGACTTTTTAGCAAAATGAGAGGATAAAATTCAGAAGTGATTCCCTGCACGTGGCAGATACTATTTTAAAGTTCCCCCTCACAGTTAAAAAAATACCAAGCAACTCCCTTCAGCCGTGGGGGTGGGAGTGGGGAATCAAGTATAAAAGGGACAAAGTTTTTAAACTCCTTCTGAAGTTTGGCTAGTCTGCTTTCCAGGAGGTTTTTTTTTGCATAAGTAACATTTTAAAAAGTGAACCTCCGCCTGCAGCCTAAAATGGTACATTCCATTTTGCCACTTCATTCCCAAGCCTTTCTGCAGTGTGCGTAATGGTTGAAAATGTTTAAACACATCTCTGGTCATGAAAGCTTAAGTTATGCTTTCCAGTTGTAGTATGTGTGACCATTTGTTGGTCAGCATTTGACCAATTGAGTTTGAAATTTTGTGTTTCAGGTTTTTTTTTTTAAACAGAGTGTGTGTGTGTGTGTGTGTGTGTGTGTGTGTTCGGAGCTGCCCAGAGGGCTCCTCCTGTTATGGTGGAGCTATCTATATAAACGGAGTGAATAAGATAATAACAGTAAATCGTTGCCCTTGTGGTGAGGTGTGCCTTTCATAAGTCCACCCATTGTGCAGTTAAATTTTTATTTCATACTTCATGGGGAATTATCGTTGTTTCTAAACTCAGGGTAGGAATGACTGGCTTTAGGGGCCAAATTAGATAGAAGGTGAATTTTAACTCTGTTGAAATACAGTTTTTATTATATAAACAGCAAGGTACTGTGGATAATTTGTCTGAAATGTAAAGAACAGCTGCTGAGAGACTCTTGGTTGGCAACATGGCAGGGCGAGAGGGTGCTCAGCCTCCCAACCAATGCCTTTTGTTATGTAAGTATTAATTGCATTGCCTCCAGGCTGCCTCTTAATTGTGGAAGACCACAGAGTACTTCATGCTCTAAAGACTGTGGTTTGTATGTTGTGCAGAAATCTGAATATTCTAGTGACTTTCTTGATGCAGTTGCTGGCTTGAATGTGGGGATGATGGGAACTGTAGTCCAAAAACAGCCAGAGGCCCAAGTTTAGGAAACCCTGTTCTAGAGTGTGAGAACGTGACTTGGCTTGAATGTGTGTGTTTCTTTCTCTTTCCTTTATTATACCTTCCTATGTATAAGGCTGCAATCCTAAACTCACTTCCCCGGGTGTAAGCCCCATTGAATTTATAGGACTTACTCTTGAGTTGACATGATTAGGCTTGCAGCTTTGCCAAGTTTCTAAATGGTTCTTCTTGCTATTGGTTTTCCTGCTATGGTTTCTTACTTGCCTAAAACAAGTGTGTGTGGTTATACACATGGCTCCAGAATGAGGTAGTAGAATGGGCCATAACACTTCCGTCTACAGGAAGAGGGAATTGCATTCTTAGATGTTTCCCAGTGTAGAAGTTGTGACAACAGAGCTGGGCTGTGTCCATGAGGCAAACTGAGGCAGCCGCCTGGTGAAATCTAAGGGTTGCCTCTTTGTGTGACCCCTCCTTGCTGCCGTTGGAGGAGAAGTGAGGAGAAGCAGCTGCTTTCAGTGAGATCTCACAGGGTTCTTTCAAGATCTTGCCAGAACCCAGAAGCCCTGTGACCCCAATAAGTGAGACTTCAACAGGGGCAGCGGGGGTAGGCAGATGGCACATGTGGGCGGCCACCTTCCCATTTTGCCTCAGGTGGCAAAACTGGACGGGCAGTCTCTAATAATAGTAGTAGTAGTAATAATAATAATAAAAATAATAATAAATCATCCTCACTAGCGGAAATCTATTACATCAAGGAGTGGGTTGGGAACTAGGGTACTGATCTGCTATCTTTTTCCTTGCAAGGAATTATTTTTAACATGCCATTGAAAAATGACATCCCTGACCTGCACTCTGAATTAATGCAGCCCACTCCCCTGCTTCCATTCTGCTACACATGCAGACTGGGCTTTCCTTTTGTTCTGTCCATGAGGTAATTGCTGCTTAGCTCTGTATCTTTCTTATACTCCTCCGCCTTTTCCCTGTCAGCTTCTCACTGCCTTCCTCAGTCTCTGGTCTCCTCTGCTATGTATCAAACATTTGTCATAACTTCTTTGATTTTTCTGAAGCGCCTGAAATAGAAAACCCAGCATTGTCTGCTTTTCAGTATAACTATGCTTCAGACGGCGTTACCGCTCACTGGGAAAAGAAAGACAGTATGTGGTTCTATGTGTTAAATTCTGACAGGTTCTCTCTTTTATTCCTCAGGACTTGCAGATAGAGCGAGAAAGGGCTGTGTACAATATATCTGGCGGCTGTACGGCCCTCATTGTGGTGTGTTTGCTAGGAAAGCTCTATGTGGCAAACGCTGGCGATAGCAGGTAGGCACAATTCTTCACGTTTCTTGGTAAGTTAAGAACATATAAGAAAAGAACGACAGGCCTATCTAGCCTGGCATCCTGTTCTCACAGTGGTCAACCAGATACCTATGGGAACACAGCAAGCAGCTCCTGAGCAGAACTGACCTCTTCTCTCAGTAAGCAGCAGCTACCAACCTGCTGGAAGCTAGCATTATGACTCAGTCCTGTCTGGTGAATGTTAAAATATCTAACCCATCATCTGTCAAGTGCATTGGTGTCCAAACTATCAAAGTGCATTGGTGTCAGGAGTCCTGGAATACATCAAATCTAGATGAGATTTTTCCTGCTGCAAGGATGGAGGACAGGGAAGTTTTTCTCAAATGGAAAGCAAGTGTCCTGTTGTACAATCCAGGATACATTCCAAAAAATGAGGTGGCTTCTTTGGAACCTCATGAAGAGCTAATATGACCCTTTTTTATTCACACATTAGATGGTCTTAGCTCATTCTTGGCTTTTGACATATAAAGGCAACTGGTTTATACGGTCACAATCTATACCTGAATCTTATCCAAAGTGTCTTACTGTGTGTTCTTGGCAAACGTCTCCTTTCCTGAGATGGGTGGAGGAGAGTACTTTCCAGTGTGTTCTTTTTCAAAGGGGTTGATATCAAGGTCAAAGCATTGATTTTCTGTCATTCAGAAATTGCATAAAGAAATGCAGGCACCAATCTCAGCAATGTTCTCTCAGCCTTTCTTCCCCTACTGCAGCATTGCTGTTTACTGTTCTGTTAATGTTTCAGCAGTGCCTTACAGTGCTAGGTACAATGCACTGTACAGTGGTACCTCTGGTTAAGAACTTAATTCGTTTTGGAGGTCCGTTCTTAACCTGAAAGTGTTCTTAACCTGAGGTACCACTTTAGTTAATGGGGCCTCCTGCTGCCGCTGCACTATTTCTGTTCTCATCCTGAGGTAGAGCTCTTAACCCAAGGTACTACTTCCAGGTTAGCGGAGTCTGTAACCTGAAGCATCTGTAACCTGAGGTACCACTGTAATGCATGTGCATTATAAGCTCTAGACTAAACTATTGCTGTTATAGTAAAGAATTTACAGCTCTGCTGTAATAGCCAGAAATTTGTCGTTTTGGATCAATACACAATTCAGCCCCTCTCGCCTTTTTCTAATTAGCCACTTGTCCTTTGAATATTTTACTTGTCTGCCTCCTTGCACCATTATTTCCTCTTGCCGCAGCCTTGCATATTGGCCCAGTATGTGGATCTTTTCCTTCAATAGGCAGAATGTTTTTTGAGAATTCTGTGATGTCACAGCAGCTCACACGGTGATTGGAGAGGGGGCTTTCAGATCCACAGAACAATGGAGCAGGATCATGGAGGAATGCAACTCTAGTACTTTTCACACAGCAGGAGCTATGATACGGTATCACTGCTTTTGCTTGGGCACCCTGTGTAACTTCCAAAACAAGGATGCTTGCTTGGTGAGTGGATGTGTTTTATGTGCCAGGGAAGATAACCAGTTTCAGGTGGCATCCGGGAATTCAGATGACACACAGCAAACACTGTCACTTCTTTACCTCCCACCATTGCAATGTATTCTAGGAGAATTCTGTTTGCAGAGTAAGCATAAAGGATCCCTTCACACCCCTAGACAACTGGGTAGCTGATTTGCAAGCTGCTCATGCTTGAATTCAGAACAAATTGATTTTCAGCATTGCTTACATTTGCTTGACAGGTATGTCCTAGCCCAGCAAACTGTTTGCTGGCTTGCATACTCATTTGCTTATCTGGGCTTGTCTCTGTCCACTGCATCTTTTGAGGTATTGAAAGTGGGGGGGAAATAAAAATAACTGGAGGCTACTATGATTAGACACTAGCTTCATTCCATCCCTCCTACCAATTCTGCCCCTGCTTTGCACCTGCCAACACTAAACTGTCCACTCTTCTGGTTTAGCACTCCAGTGAAGAAACAAAAGAATAATAATCTCCCATGAAGGTTTTTTTTCCCTAACAAACACATGAAACAAAAAAGTTGTCCTTACTTATGACTGGTTCATACAAATAAACTCTGTTTATTTTAATATATGGTTATGCTATTGGACATGTAAATAAGCAGAGAAGCGCTCTCTCTCTCTCTCTCTCTGTGTGTGTGTGTGTGTGTAGAGGAATTGGCCCCATCTATGGGGACTCCTATATCCATATTTCATGTGTGCACCTGCTCTTTCTCCAAGTTACCACAATTTAAGGAGATGCCTTCCATCATTCCCCTATGTGGTCATTTGGGTTCATGTGAGATCTTCTCCATGCAGCTGTGTGGTGCCGCCACACCTGGGGGCTGCCTGCTTGGACTTGACCCATGAGAGGGCCTTTTCATGGAAGGTTGTGGAATGCCCTCTCTGGCGATGTGTATCTGTCTCTCTTCTTATTGGTGAGGGAATTAAAAAATGGCTGAAAGTGCTGGTTGAAAGAATGTCTGTCTGTCTATCTATCTATCTATCTATCTATCTATCTATCTATCTATCTACTATTATAGATGTGTTTGCCATCCTGGCGTCCTTGAGAATTAAGGATAGGCTATAAATAGAATTAATAATAATAATAATAATAATAATGTAATCCAAGTGGAGAAAATAAACACAGATTCTTTGTTTGAACGGCGCCTCAGCCTCCATACTACTACATATCACAAGTAAGTAAGCCAGTGGTTTTTAAACCATTACTAGAAAATAGCAATGTAATTGTTTGTTTGTTTAAGGCAGTGGTTTTCAACCAGTGTGCCATGGCGGGCAGCACTGGCCTCGGTCCCTCTTTCCTTCCCTCCCTCCTCGGATGTCCTCTTGCGTCTCTGCCTCCCCAAGGCTTGCACAGCTGTTTATTGCAGCAGCCCTGGCTATAAGCGCCGCAGGCGAAGGGTGGCTCTGGGAGGCACCTCTCTTTGGGGGCAGGGGGCAGCTCAGAGACCAGGGGTGGCAGCAGCTTCTGCCCAGACGACTCCCAAGGAATAGGGGAGAGAAGGCTGAGGGAACACTCCACAATGGAGGGTGTTTGAAAAAAGGTGAGAGGCTGGTGGCTCTGCAGGCAAGTAGTGACATAACTGGGTTCCTGAGCCCCGCACAGGTGCCGCAGAAAGAATGTAGTTGGTTAAAGGAGCTGTGGGCTCAAAAAGGTTGAAAACCTCTGATTTAAGAGATTTTATAAACATCTAAGTAAAATGATTATCGCCAATATACAGATAAAACCAGCAGACTTTTAAATAGCAAAATTATATGCCTGGATACGCTTGCTAAAATAAAATAAAAGTTTTTAGCTTATTTTCAGCTACTCCTTTATGTTCTGTAAACAATCAGTGGATGTAGTCCAGGCATGATTCTGTGTGCATGTTTAGCTGCCATTGTAAGCAAATGGCTGGGGGAGAGGGAATTTTTCTTTTAGCCTTCAGTTTCCTCCGACTGCTTTGGTTGCTTTCTGACCCATATAATCAAATTCTACTTATATCGACATAATGTAGTCCCCTTGCCTTATTCTGTCCATCTGCTCAGTCGCCCTCTTCTTCTTCTTCTTCTTTTGCAATTGACACATATTGGATTCCTCTTCAGAGATGCCAGATGCTTCTGGCTCACCTGCATGTTCAACTGCCTGTTGACAAAATGAGCACAACCTCCCCGTGGCTCGGAATTCATAACACACTGTCAAACAGAGTTTTCCAAATGGTTTCTCTTTGTCACTTCTTGCCAGATTTTAGTATACCTTATAAAAATGTGCAGTTCAGTCTTCTGTTTCAGATCGTTTCTGGCTTAAAAGGTGTGCATTAGAATCAGGGCACGCTGTGAATACTCTTTTAGCAGGGGGAGGAAAATTTCCTGTTGTTTTGATCATAGGAATACCAATAGGCCTAACTTTTGTCTTCCTTAAATTCATCAGTTCCCCTCAGAAGTCTTTTTTCTTTTTAAAGTTGTGAATCATAGCAAAAACAAAAAAAAAAGTGATGGGGGGGAACCATGGTTAGCACCGGTGTTATATTAGAGATGTGAGGATCCCATTAAAGCTCAAATACTAAATGGATCCGCGATTATGAGCCAAATTTGTGAGCATCCCCACTGCAAAGAAGATTTAAGTTTCAAAAAGTATACAGTTTGTTCCAGGATTTGAAATATGTGAGGGTGGTTTAACTAAGAGGTAAGGTTGACAAAAAAATGAAAGGGAAAGTGCACATTTCTGAGACTGGCCCCTGATTTGCAAAGAGCTCTGGACCACATCCAAGTCAGCAATTTGAACATGGGTGGGGCAGTCATAAGGTTTGAAATACTGGAATTTATTTGGAATTTATTACTTGTTTCCTGGTTTCTCATCCATTAACATGTTATTGCCATCATATCCCTATGATTGTCTCCACAAGCACAAAGTGGTATAAAAGCTCTTTTAAAAACAGCAACTGGAACTCAGGGCTGTCGTTACCTGGGGGTGCAAGCGGTGTGGGGCAGCTGGGCACCGAATTCTGGGGGGCGCCAGGTGCCCGCCGCTGAAGCCACTTAAGCTCTTAACCTGTTATGAAATAATAAATAATTTTGATCAAGCGAGAAAAACAAAATACATATTGTAATGAGTATGAGTTACTCGTGCGTAAACTGGTGCCTCTCTAGGCTAATTTGCCTTGTTAAACCTTTCTGACTGCACAGCCCTTTCTCATCATGACTGTCTCAGTCACTAGCAGAATCCGTCAGTGGGCGTTTCTTGAATCTCTTCCAACATAAGAGTTGTTTGACACCCAATCTCCTCCGCCTCTCACTGCGCGGGAGCCTTCTGCGCAGGGTGGGCGTGGGTAGCGGGGGACCTGTCCCCTCCTCACTGAGTTCCAGTGAAGAGTCCGTGAGCCCTCTCTCCGATTTTCCCATCTGCTCACTTTTGTTCCTGGTGTTGCGCTTAAATGCTTCCCCTCCACTGAGTCGCCTCTCCCCTGCTGCTGGGTCCTTCTCCAGCATCATCCAGGAGCCTCCCCTTCGCCTCCCGCTCTGATGTCAGTTCCCTGACATCCACCTCCCCCCTAGAATCCCCTCCACCCCTGGGCCGACCTGTGGGACCAACTTCGTCCCCTTCGTCGGCCGAGGAGGCGGGGAAACCTCGGAAGGAACTGTCACCATCTTCTGTGGGTTCGAAACCCGCTTCCCAATCGCTCTTCCACCTACCAACGGGGTGGTCTTCCCCGTCTGATGCTTCTTCCTCCGAAACCTCTCCTCCCTCCTCGGAGTCAGAAAATCCCTCAAAAACCTCTTCCTCATCTGTGGTTCCAAATTGCTCCTCCCAGAATCTCTCCAGGGGTTTGGGTTTGTCCGGGAACCGGCGGTGGAATACCTCCACCAGATACCTGTCCTCGACGGCTTCCGTGGGGACCCACGTGTTTTCGGACCTGGGTTCCCCTTCCCACGCTACCAAATACTCCACCCGGCGCCCTTGCCACCTTGAGTCCAGTATTTCCGTGGCCCTGTGGTGGTGTTCCCTTTCTTCTGCCTGCGGGTGTGTGGTGACTTTTCCCTCTTGCCCCTGGAATTCCCGCCCTTCCCTATGCGGTGAAAGCAGGGACCTATGGAAAACCGGGTGTATTTTCATGCTATCAGGCAACCTGAGCTTAAATGCCACGGGATTAACTTGCTGTGTTACCTCAAAAGGTCCCAGCCGTCTGGGCTGCAACTTCTTGCACCCCCCTTTGAAAGGTAGCCCTTGGGTGGACAACCACACCCGGTCCCCCATCCGTATGGTCCCCTTCCCTGCGGTGCTTGTCTGCCTGCCTCTTGTAAGTTTCCTTGGCCCGCTCCAAGTTCATCTTAAGTTGCTGGTGTAGGGCCTCCATTTCTTCCACAAACTGCTCTGCGGCGGGTACGCTCCAGCTTTCCTCCCCACTCCCGGGAAGGCCCTGGGATGACACCCATGGTTGGCCATGAATGGGCTCATTCCCGTGGACACGTGTTCCGCGTTGTTGTACGCGAATTCAGCCAGCGCTAGTTTTTCTACCCAATCGTTCTGCCTCTCGCTGACATAGCAGCGTAGGTATTGCTGGAGTATACTGTTCGCTCTTTCTGCTTGCCCGTTGGTCTCTGGGTGTCTCGCCGTCGAGAAACCCACCTCCACCTGCAGTAAGCTCATGAGTTTCCTCCAGAACCGGGAAGTAAATTGTTTTCCGCGGTCGGAGATAACCCTCAAGGGGCGCCATGCAGCCGGAATATGTGCTCCACAAACAACCGGGCTGTTTCCTCTGCCGTTACAGCATGTGAGCAAGCTATAAAATGGCACATTTTTGTCAGTAGGTCGACCACTACCATGACTGCTGTCTTTCCCCGGGACTTGGGCAAATCTGTCATAAAATCAATGGATACCACCTCCCAGGGTTTCCCGGCGTGGGTAAGGGTTCCAGCAATCCTGTGGGGCAGCCCGCTCCCCTTTGCCCTTTGGCAGCGGTCGCACCCCGTACATATTCCGTACATCCTCCCTCACCCTGGGCCACCAGAACTGCCTGGTCACAAGCATCATGGTTTTGTGCTGTCCAAAGTGCCCTGCTGTGGGGTTGTCGTGGAGTTGTTTGAGTACCTTTCCCCTCAGGGTCTCCCCCGGTACGTACAGCGCTCCCTTATAGTACAGTACCCCTTCCTTCTCCTCAAACCCTTCTTGGGTCCCTCTTCCGTCTCGTAGTTCCTGGATTTTAGTTTGCGCGAACACGTCGTTTCTGGTCAGCCCGGCTAGTTCTCGTTTCCCCACCAAAGTTCCCCCACACCCATCGGTCCTCGGGGATCACGTGTCGTTTCTCCGGCGGCCCCTCTCCTTCCAGGTACTCCGGTTTACGCGAGAGAGCGTCTGCTCTTACGTTTTCTTCTCCGGGCACGTAGCGGATTTCAAAGAAAAACTTGGAGAACTCCTGTGCCCATCGAATCTGTCTCTGGTTGAGTACTCGTGCGGTTCTCCAGTACTCCAAGTTCTTGTGATCTGTGCAAACCTGGATCTGTTGTTGCGCCCCATCAGTAGATGACGCCAACGACGAAAGGCCGCGTAGATTGCCAGCAGTTCGCGGTCATACACTGTATAGTTTTGCTCCGACTTGCTCAGTTTTCTGGAGAAAAAGGCACACGGTTTCCATTCCTGCTTTCCCTTCCCTGGCTGCAAAGGACCGCCCCTACGGCTCTGTCGGACGCGTCGGTCTCTAGCCTCAGGGGTTTCTCCAGATCTACGTGCAGGAGTTGCTCTTCCGATGCGAACGCCTTCTTCAGTTTTTCGAAGGATTGCTGGGCCTCTTCTGTCCACACAAACTTCTTTTTGCTACTGAGACAATCCGTGATGGGCGCTGTCAAGTGGGCGAAGTTCTTGATGAACTTCCTGTAGGAGTTGCTGAACCCTAGGAACCTCTGTACGTCCTTCCGTGTTTTGGGAGCCTTCTACTCCAGCACTGCCTGCACCTTGCTTGGGTCCATCGCTAAGCCTTTGTCAGACAACTTGTACCCCAGAAACTCGACTTCTCTGGCGTGAAACTGACATTTTTCCAGCTTGACCCACAACTGGTGCTTCTGCAGTCGTTGTAACACTTCCCTGACGTCTCTAACATGTTGTTCCTCATTGTCCGAATAAATTAAGACGTCGTCCAAGAAGGCTACGCAGTTCTTGTACAGCAGAGACCCCAACACGTGGTGCATGAAAGCTTGAAAACAGGCGGAGCCCGACTGTAATCCAAAAGGCATAACTAAGTACTCAAAGGCACCTAGGGGTGTGAACATTGTGGTCTTCCATTCATCCCCCTCCCTCATCCTGATCAAATTGTATGCGCCCCTGAGGTCCAGCTTGGTAAAAATTTTGCCTTTCCTCACTCGCGTTAAAATGTCGTCAATCCTGGGCATTGGGAAGGTCACGGGTTCTGACACCAAATTGACAGCTCTATAGTCCACTACGAGCCTGGGTTTATTTGTGTCCTTTTTGTCCACAAAGAACACCGGACTGCCCCCTACTGCCTTTGATTCTCTTATGAAGCCTCTTTTCAGGTTCTTGTCGATAAATTCTCGCAACTCCTTCATCTCCCTGTCTGACATGGCGTACAGCTTACCCACTGGCAGCTGAGCCCCGGAAGCAAGTTGATCTGGCAGTCAAAGGGCCTATGGGGTGGCAGTCTATCTGCCTCTTTTTCGCTGAAGACCTCCCGCAGATCTACGTATTGTGGCGGCACCTCCCCTTTCCGCTCCACCGCCATCCCAGCCACCCTGGCCACGGTCATTCTTGGGGCTTCCCCCCCTAGACAGTGTTCCAGGCAATAAGCTGACCCAAAGGTGACTGTCCTCTGATGCCACGCCACCACTGGATCATGCTGTGCAAGCCAGCTCATCCCTAATATTATTGGGGGTCCTGCTAGCGAGGCGACGTGAAAGGCGATGGTCTCCGAGTGCCTGGACACCCTCATTCTCATTGGCGGGGTTTGGTGTGTCACTTCCCCTCCTAGAAGCTCCCTGCCATCAATGGTGGTCACTTGCAAGGGAAAATCCAAAGGCAGTAAGTGGAGCTGGTGCTCTAATGCAAAGTCCTTGCTGAAGAAATTACATGAGCTGCCTGAATCCAGCATGCCTTTCACCTTGACTGGGTGCCCGTTCGGGAGTTCTAGCACCACTTCGATGGCTATTGCCGCCTTGGGGGTCTGGTTGGGGCACTTTTACTGGTGGCTGGCTTGGCTGTTGTGCCCCTTGATTGGCAGCCAAGCGTTCCCGTTTCCCTGTTCCTGTTCCTTTACCACCTCCTCCTCACCCCCTGCGGTTCCCACCATTCCTTGCCAAGCCTTTCTTTGAGGGCAGGCTCTGGCAAAATGGCCTGGCCGCTGGCAAAGGTAACACTTTTTGGAGGTTTTCCAATCCTTTCCCTCCTTCTTGCGCCCTTCGCTGGTGCTTGAAACTTCCCGCGCGCGCGCCCCATCTATTTCCATTGGCTCTGCTGGCGGGGAGGGCTGCCTTGGTATTTCAGGAATGCGGTAGTCATGGCAACGTTGCTCTCTCCCTTCCCGCCTCTCCTGGGCCGCGCTTCCTGGCGCACGCCAATCGCAAGCACAGCCTTGGTCAGCTGATCCATCCCCTGTGGGCGGGGTGCGCGGGAAAGTTCATCCTTAACCGTTGGGGACAACCCCTCCTCGAATAACATCTGTATGGGTTCGGAGCCCAGTTCCCACCCGAGGCGGTGAACTATCATGGCAAAGCGCGACCAGTAGTCCCTAACTGACTGGCTCCCCGTTTACAGTTCATCAATTCCCGCTTTGTCACACTTTTTTGAACATCAGTGGAAAACATCGCGTCCATCGCTTGGAAGAATTTCCTCAGGTCCTGCATGGCGGAATTCTGCGTCGCCATAAGGGGTCTGACCCATTCCCTGGCCCCCGTCCTGCAGGTGACCCACAACATATGCCACCCGCGCCGCGTCGTCTTCAAAATCGTTATGCTGCAATTCCAATGCGTACTCTATTTCCGTTCGAAACGCACTGTATTCTTGCGGCTTCCCCCCAAACTTGTGCACCAGTCCCGGTACCTTCCTTGCTATGGGGGTGGGTCTGACCTGTGCATCTTGAGACCGCCTTTCGTCCAGCCGTGCCGTCAGAATGGCCACATGCTGCTCCAAATCTCGGTTCCTCTCCTCCAGCGTTTGCCCTCCAGCTGCTCCCCCTGGGTGCCTGCTTCTCCGGGCTTGCTCATGATGCTGCCTGCCTGCTGCTGCGCACGAGCAACTTTTCAGGGACTGACGGATTGCTGTAATGAGTATGAGTTACTCGTGCGTAAACTGGTGCCTCGCTAGGCTAATTTGCCTTGTTAAACCTTTCTGACTGCACAGCCCTTTCTCATCATGACTGTCTCAGTCACTAGCAGAATCCGTCAGTGGGCGTTTCTTGAATCTCTTCCAACATAAGAGTTGTTTGACACCCAATCTCCTCCGCCTCTCACTGCGCGGGAGCCTTCTGCGCAGGGTGGGCGTGGGTAGCGGGGGACCTGTCCCCTCCTCACTGAGTTCCAGTGAAGAGTCCGTGAGCCCTCTCTCCGATTTTCCCATCTGCTCACTTTTGTTCCTGGTGTTGCGCTTAAATGCTTCCCCCTCCACTGAGTCGCCTCTCCCCCTGCTGCTGGGTCCTTCTCCAGCATCATCCAGGAGCCTCCCCTTCGCCTCCCGCTCTGATGTCAGTTCCCTGACACATATATACCTAGGTATTACCAAAATCTATACCTACTGTTTCACTAAAGGACTTTCGACTTTGTGCGCTCATTTACTGAAGACGCACTGCGCCAGTGGCAGCGCTTGTCAGACTTGGGGGCGCTGGGCGGATCTTTGCACCCCGTTGGCGCATATGCTAAAGACTCCCCTGCTGGAACTTGTACTTTCAGGTTTCCCTACAGTAACTTTATTGATGGGACTTGAGTATGAATCACACATCTTGTTTTCTTCTTAATGTAGACCAAGGATGTACCATATCACTCCATTTAATTGTTTGAAACAATATGTGTCTTTTTGTAACATATTGTGCTAAAAATACTAGCAAGACACTTAATCTGAAAGATGTATCTTTGGGCTGAAAGATGTATTGTTCAAGATGTAGCACCTTATGTAGGGATATTTAATCACTGAGGGCCCTTCAGTTAATGTTGATGTTCTCATCTCACCAACATAAGTCAGCCTGCCTCATCTAGCAGTGGTACTACAGAATCTGACTGCATATTTGTAAAATACATGAATGTCAATACAGAATATGACAGATTGAGTCACCTTGGCTCTTAGAATCCAGTAGTTTTCATATCTAGATATTTCCTTCAAGAACATATTTAAGGGTTTTGAAGTGTACAGTTCTGTCAGTTCAATCCTGCCTTGAAATGAAATGATCAAATTTCTGCATTAATTTAGGACATAACGCTTCTAGTGGCCAGTTTAGTTGATTTAATCATTCTGCCAGACTCTAAATATATAAATGTTAATGATGGAAGAATGTTTTTGCAAATGCATTACCAGGTCTGGATCCCACCTCTGAAGGCCACAGAAAATTTACGAAGCCGGGTAGTGTTTCTTTAATGCTCTTAACTGCCCAATCTCTCAGTAGATTGTACTTTTCATTGACTGCATTTAAAAGTAATTGTCAAAGTGCCTCTAAAGTGTGTTTGTGTGTGTGTTGAATTGATAGTCCGTGAATCCAAAAGCATTTCTAAAGAAAGGGTTTGTCGTCGTCAGCAGTAGAAGTGCTGCTGGCAGAGTCTGGATGAGACTGGGCAGGCATCTGCTGAGACTGATTAGAGGCCAATTCAAATGTCATAACAACGACATAGCAGCTGCTGAATAGCACATAGCCACATGAGTCTGCCACATGGCCCACGCAGAGCCTTTAACTGGGACTGTCCAGTGATCAAAGCTCTTAGTTGATGGTTATCTCCTCCTAATTCTAAATTTATTTAAGGCTTATTGAATTTCAGGTTTAACAGTTGCAGTAACAGCAACAAACTCCAGTCATCCCTCCTTCCTCTGCCCACAACAAAACATCAGCTTTAACCCATGACGTTCAGTTTACTTGGAACTGCCAGGCAAAGAATCTCAAGTGTAACTGGTACACATGCAATGATAGCCATAAACGTCAGCACAAAGGTGAAAGGCTTCTGGGACAACCTGTTGACCCAAGTTTGTGGAGTCCTGTCTTCAGGAGAACCAGAAACATGCCCTTCAGCTTCAGCCTGAGAGATCAATACTTTATATCAAAAAATATGCTCTTTGAAGCCAGCATTCAACCTGACTCTGAATCCACGCATGTACATTATCTGCCTACCAACCAACTGCACCATTCAAATGCCGCAAGCATTATGCATGAAACCACTCCTAAAAGTCCTACTTTACTTAATTCTTCTCTTTCCTTTTGCCTGTTTGTCCATCCTGTGGTCACTTCATGCCGTTTTCACTTGACTGATACAGCTAGGATTTGCTCTTGTCTGCCTACACACAGTATCAAAACTCTTACTATTTCTATCATAGACTCATGCAACATCCTCCTTGTTGCTCTCCCTGTCACTGAGCTTTCCATCTCCAGTGTTGCTGGCCATCGTACATTTGGCGTTTTCCCTGCTTATCTCCTCCTCCTGGTGTGTGTGTGTATGATGTATAAAATATAATTAAAAACAATTCAACATTACATTTTTTATATGGCTGACTTCACTGGCTTCCTTGTCCTTTCTATTCAGCTTCACTTTAAGCTTACCATATTTTGAAAATGTCTGCAGAACTTCTTTATCTCTTGCTTTCTCTTTTCCCTTCTTTCTCTACGTTATGTTCCCTTCCCATTAAGAAATCCTCTTTGTGTTCCTCTCTGCTTGCTTCTCCCTACTGCAGAAATGCCCTTAAACTTGACATCTCACTCTCTTGGTCCATTAGTACATTCAAGTGCCTCTTCAAAACACCTTTTTTCCACTTTTCAACCAGCATTTTCTGGGTGGTGTTCTTTTGCCTTCCTCCATCATGCCTTTGATCAGATTGTAAGCCTGAGGACATAGTCTATTTCACTTTTCATTTTTGTACTATGCCTAATGGTCTTAGGTGTTGCTGTTGTCGTGCTTGATAAAACAAATAGTTGTATTTCTGAGTATGGCTATTTTAAAAAAATCTATATATTCCATTTTCTAAAATTCTATCTTCAGTTTTACTCCGGGCACAATCATTCAACCAGTTATACCCTTTGGATAACTCCTGTTTGTCTTAATGGAAGCCATTTAGAAGAAATCTTGATGGATATTCCTATGGTTATCTTACAATTTCAAGTGGGGTGGCATTTTCTGAAGCTTCATCACTGGGCTACCTTGTCCAAACAGGCTGACCTTTTGAAAAACGCTCTCATTTCTTGGAACTGACTTGTTCACAGGCAGTAATTGCATTCAGATAGATGGGCACAACAGCAACATATTTAATCACAAGTTGTACCTATGTTTTCTAGGAAAGAACCAATAAAGATCTGGAGCTACGATATTTTTATTACAGAGCAAGAAGGTTTCATGGTGAATGGAAGGAGGTGATGGAAATGTAGTAGGGTAGTTCATGTATTTTGCTTGATGAGAGTGCCTGAGTTATAATAAATGGTTTAAAAACAAAAACACACAACACACTTCTCGAACCCTAGTGCCCACCATATATTTTGGACTACAGCTTCCATCAACATTGGCTGGCGCTGATGGGACTTATAGTCCAAAACAGCTGCTAAGCACTAGGTTGGTGATGTGCAATCCAATATAATAATTAATTTCATTGAAAATTCAGGATCATTTAAAAAAATCCAGTCATCTATAAAATAATGTAGGCTGAGAAAAAATTAGGTTGACTCAAGGTATGGCAGGCATATCTACTCTCTTGTCCTTATAGTCTGTAGGCTCTTTGGTTCTTTTTTCCCCTTCTAAAATGATAAAACAGCTTTTCCCTCCAGGCTTTTAAAAAGAAAAATACCCTGGCCTGGATCCAAAGAACTGTGCAGTTTGTTCAGTGTGACTAGGAGATATTTGAACATAAGTTTTTCAAAACACCATGCCCACCCCAAATTCTGTATGGCAAACCTCTCCTGAAATTAAGGGGCATTTCAAAATCAGTTTGAAGGCATGGCAAGGGGCGGAGGTGGTCTGCCATTGAAAGTAGAAAGTAAAAGCAAACAATCCTGTTGGGTATTAAAGCTGCTCATTGGATTCCAGCCACTAAGTGTCATTTTCAGAGATTTTGTTTGCCCTTCTTGCCAGTGCAATATAGCTTTAGGTGCATTATGATTTCATGCAGGTCTTGCACATTTTAAATATTTGTGAAACATTTGAACCCAAGTTAAATACATTAGTACTCTACCTTTGTTTTAAATTTCAGTGATTGTGCTTGCAGAGAAAAATTGAAAGTGTAGAAAAGGGTGCATTGGACTTTTGTTGTGTTACTCAGTGTAGTATCACTCCTCCTGCTCCACTGATCATCTGAGTCCATTTCGAAATAGATTTTATGGGTTCAAGAAGTAAAAACAAACAAACTGAAACAACCTTTGGGTATCCAGTCACACCTTTGTAAGTAGAACCATTTCCCACTCACTCTTGAGAATAAACCTTTTTTTGGTCATTCCGGGTTACTTCCACAGTATTAACTTCTTCCAGATCCTACTTCTGTTTTGCTTTACTTTGTGTGATCATTTTCTTATGCATGAGAACTGCATAAGCATTTCTAGGCTCCTTATAGATGAAAGGTTTTCACTCAAGAGTAGACACACTGAAATTAATGACCATGAGCCACTTAGGTCATTACATACTTAGGACTCGTTATTGATTTCGATGGGTCTCTGCCTGTGTGTGTGTGTGTGTGTGTTAGTCAGTTGCTCTAGACTCTAGAGAACAAGAGGCGAAGCAGTCCTGTATAAATTGCTGGTGAGAATGCAGTATTTCAGATGAATGAAAGACTTGATCTTACATCTGATCCACCTATTGTTGAATCAGATTGTTAGTTCAGACATAATGAGAACAAACCTAGGCAAGCCTTACGTTTTTCCTCTCTCACCCTCCACCAGTGGGGCTGCGAATAGGAGATAAAATGCTCTCATTTTAGATTAACTGCAGCTTGTTGTATCAGCTGAACCTGGATAAGCTGCTGTTCATCTTAACTATCGTTAGTGGGGGGAAGCTTAACATCAAACCATAATTAATTACACTGGTTTGTTTTCCTTATCTACTTAAAATTAACCACAGTTTAGTCACAGTTTAGCATGTTATCAAACTCTAAACTAAAACAGAAACAGAACCAACTGATAGGAGTTATATAGTAGGGTTGCTATATTTCAGAAAGTGAAAATCTGGGCACAAAAGTTGTCGCCCTACGCCCAGTTTTCCCTGGACATTTTGGCAGATTTTCGGAAATTCTGCCTGGATGCTATTTGCAAAAAAGATGAATCCTGGTTATGTCCAGGAAATTCCGGATGTATGGCAGCCCTAGGTTATAATCCAAAACTTGCTGAGAAAGGCAATGCTAAAGGTAAAGGGACCCCTGACCGTTAGGTCCAGTCACGGACGACTCTGGGGTTGCGGCACTCATCTCGCTTTACTGGCCAAGGGAGCCGGCATTTGTCCGCAGACAGCTTCTGGGTCATGTGGTCAGCATGACTAAGCCTCTTCTGGCGAACCAGAGCAGCACATGGAAACGCCGTTTACCTTCCCACCGGAGCGGTACCTATTTATCTACTTGCACTTTGACGTGCTTTCGAACTGCTAGGTTGGCAGGAGCAGGGACAGAACAACGGGAGCTCACCCTGTTGCGGGGATTCGAACCGCCGACCTTCTGATTGGCAAGCCCAAGAGGCTCAGTGCCACAGCGCCGCCTGCGTCCTCCTCTCCTTCATAGCCCCTCCCTTTTCTTGCCATTTTCTGCCTTCCCTTTCTCTGAGCAAATAGAGCAATGAGGCCAGACTACACAAAGAGGTAAAACTTGTAAACGTAAAGAAGAATGAACTTCCAACTATTAGGATGCAACAAACATCCTGACTGCACTATTGGGGCAGTCACCTTTCAAGGTCATATAAGATCAAATTATAGCTTTTTGTCTGATGTCTCCTTCATAAGGTTTTAGAGTGACAGTTATATCATGGAAATAACAGGAAAATGCCTATTGCTGGAGAGGATTTTCTTTTCCCATTGGTGTTTGCAGGTAGGCTTTTCTAAGATGAGAGGGAGAGAGACAGTTCAGTTATCAGTCATCCCATTTCCTGTCTCCCTTGGCAGGTACCTAGTTAAATTTTTGTTTAGACAGGATTTCCTATGCCATCTCCATTTGCTGCTAGAATGGTTATGTTCTGACATGACATACAACTGGAAAGCAACTTATATGAGTCATCTGAAGCCAGACGGTTTACAGACACCACAGAGACCACAGCATACAGTGGTTTGTCCTCTAATCTGTGCTATAAGGTCCCCTAGGCAAATAGGCTTTTCTTAATGTTTAGATTAAATACAATGGAAAAGTAGTGTGTCTGGTAATTTTAGTAATACACTGTTGGGTCTAGGCTTTTTATAATACGGACCCAAAGGGACTGCTCTCCTTCACTCCCTCACTGTGTGTGTTTTGTTTTTATATATATATTGCAGGGCAATAATAATCAGAAATGGAGAAGTCATTCCAATGTCTTCAGAATTCACTCCAGAAACAGAACGTCAACGTCTTCAGTATCTGGTAAGGGTCTAAAGATTTGGATTAGTGGGTGGTGGTGTACATTGAGCTATCACCTTCTCAGCCCTTATCTGAAATGAAACTTGTACTGCCCTTCTGGAACTATATTGTTATCCCACACTTCAGCCAAAAAAGGCTGAAGAAATGTGGGTGAAAATACCCTGCTGCCAGGCTTACAGGCTTACATCCAAAAGGAAAAGCAAACTCGGTCACGATTTCTTAGTCACAGAGTTCTTGTAATGACTAGCCGTAATGGAAAGATTTTCAAGAGGAGGAGGAACTAAAAGTTACTGGTCTTTTAGCAAAGCTGATGGAGAGATGTGCTGCCCCATTCCCATCAGGCTGTAGGAAAGGGGATCTGCACTACATTTTGAGTTGGCAAGTAGGTATTAGGGCTGGTTGATAACTGATTTTCAATATTGCAATATATCACCAGCTCAACATCGTGATATATCGATATATCATGATACCTGAAATAAGGAAGGAACTACGCAGAGGCAAGCAGGACAATGTCCTGGCAATTGCTACTGCTTAAGGGTCTAAAACTGATAAATGATGGTCACTTTCAACAGCAGGCAAGCCAAAATGCATCCGAATGAGACTTCTGGTTTTGGGCTTGGCTTCCAAATGCTGGTATTCAGGACAATCCAAAGTACGGTGATGAGTCATAGTGAATACAAATAATCTGAGACTGCCAGCAGGTCTGCTAGGAGGCAGATGCAGCAGTGGCAGAAACAGTTTGCCATGGCCATGGTACGTTTCAGCAGTAGCGGTGACAACCTGCAAGGCCTTGTGGTGGTGATAGAGAGTGACGGCAGTAGCAGCAGTGGCCTGTGAGGACTCATGGCAGTCTGGCAGTCCCAGATAATTTGTATTTGACTCATCACCATACTTTGTATTGTCCTGATTACCACTATTTGGTAGCCAAGCCCCAAACCAAAAGTCCTGTTGTGATGCATTTTGGCTTGCCTGCTGGTGAAACTGAGTGTGTGATTATTGATAATGTTGTCATTTATCCGTTTTAGTCCCCTAAGTACTAGCAGTTGCCAGGACATTGTCCTGTTGGCCTCTGCATAGTTCACATCCTTATTTCAGACATTGTGGTAGATTGCATTGTTTAGCTGGTGATATTGTTAGGTTTGCCTGGTGATAACGTTGCAGTGTTTAGCTGGTGAGTTATTGTGATGTTGGAAACCAGATACCGCCTAGCCCTTACACACATTGTCATTGGTGATATATTGCCAGCTCAAATATTATGAAACAATTATCACCATGTGAACTTTTAACCCGTTTTGTATGATATATTGATATATCGCCCAGCCCTACTTGGTATCAATAATAGTGATACATTTAGGTTTGCTCTGAGAAAGGGTACTTTGGATCTTTCAGAACTGACAGCTCTCCAGAATTGGCAGATATTGGAAGGGTAACACGGCAATGGTCATCCTTGCCCTTTCAGCGGCTGTTGTGGGTATAAGAAAACACGCACCCTAAAATTCCTTTTGTCAGGCTGTGGCATCTGGCCTGTGCCTTAAATTCCACCAGTGCAACTGGCACTTCAGCCAGATGCTCCAAACCAGCCTGTTTCTCCCCATCTCTGAAACTTGACTTTAAAACCAGCGTGTCGTCATTAGTGTCCTCTCCCACTGTGCCCAGAAGCTGATGGGGACAAGCTTGTATAGGCCAGATGGCCTTTCCTTTCTCAGAAATGCTCGCTCTGAGTAGAACAATGCTTCGCTGGCTATAAATGCCGAAAGAAATGTGTGTGGTTGTGGTGATTGCGGGGAGGCGACTATATTCTTCTGTGCCCTGATTTTATTGCTGTTTACATTGCCAGAGTCTGAAACATTTCAGAGGGAAGAGCTACTTTTGGAGTCTCGTTTTTCACAGTGATGAATACAAAGCATCTGCAATAAATATTTATGCTGCCTGCATTTGCAAAAAAAAAACCCCAACGTGTTTGTCTTTTAAATTAGCAGGGATCTGTAGCATCTTGAGAGTGGGGTTTCATTTGAAGAAAGCAGAGATAAAACATTGCCTGAGAGGGTCTTTCCCCCCTTCAGCCTCTTTTGATGTTCATTCTGGTTAGATCTGAAAATAGCAGCTGCCTTGAAAAATATTTATGCTACTTCCCCTAACTCTTTTCTTTACCTTTGTTTGTTTACTGCATCTCCATATGTAGCAAATGCGCTTGGGTTATGGCGATCACGTTCAAAGGAAGTAGGTGGGAGATACCAGAAGTATGAAACCACATTAGAGAGATCCTTTCAAATGCAGTGGAAGTAACATGTAGAAGATAATTTTAGGACCATTGGTATTTCTGACCAGTTCTCACCTACTGCTGTTAGGTTTATGACTACTCTTGGTTTGTGGTCAGGGGTCTCAAGTACTCCTGCAATCGATGATTTCAAAAACAAATGTCAATACTTCTCCCAAGAGTATTCTGTACCACTTTTTAGATTTAGCATTTTTCACTCACGCACTTCTCCTTGCGGTTGTCTAAAATTGTTATAGCTTAATATTGACAGAACATTCTGCAAGGAAGCAATACATTTCAGAAGTCCTATCCTTACATTTGATTCTCTCCTCTCTCCATCCCTCCCCTTCCCTTCATATTTAATCTGATTTTGTGTTTTATAAGGAATTATTTGGGGTAAAAATCTGCTGCCCGAAATAAACAGAACTGCTTCTTTTCTTTGGTATCCTATTAAAGCAAGGTGCATGTGACTTGTTTCATAATTTAATATTTCTTGCTAATCACCTTGAGGAAAGGCAGAGTATAAATATTTTAATAAATAAAAGTGATTTTGTGCCTATCAGTTTTTTAAAAAAATTGCTACAGGGATGTGCCTAAGTATGTTCCCTTCTCCTCTTCCATTTAGCAGTTCCTGAAGAAAGCACATAAGAAGTTTTTTGCAAATTATATATAAAAGCACTGAGCCTGCCCACAAATTGAAATAACTGTTTAGTTATTACAAGAAAAAGAGAATATTGTATTGCTTAGGGTCTTGTCAACAAGCAAGAGGAATCTCAAATAAGCCATTGAACCTGTATGACTTGCATAAAAAAAGTTAGACCATAAATTTCTAGTATTATACCAATCCCAGTTTTAGAAGTTGCTTTCTGTGTTCTAAGCTCTGAGCCATCTATGACTTATTTCCTACAGTTCTTCCATCATGGATTCACATATTGACTCTTGTTTCAAGGAGGTCTTATGGTTTTTCCTCTTCCTTTTTTTAAAAAATAAATTTGTTTACCTGTTGGAAACCTTACCTAGCTTCCTCCAAATTTATTATGAGCTCCTATTACAAACACTTGATAAATTAGCAATTTTTTTAAAAAAATAAATTGATTTGATCCAAGTATCAAAACAAATGAAAGTTAACTGTCTCCACCCCCCCACACACACATATACCTACACACACAAGCAAACGTTTTCCCCAATAGTTGAGGGGTTTGAGCAGGATTGATTTTAAAAGAATACAGTTGTACCTTTGTTCTCAAATGGAATCAGTTGCGGAAGTCTGTTCGACTTCTGAAAGCGACGGCACGGCTTCCAGTTGGCTGCAGGAAGCCAACGGACGTTCGGCTTCCAAAGAAAGTTTGCAAACCGGAACACTCACTTCCGGGTTTGTGGCATTCGACTGTATTACAAAATAGCTCTTTAGATTTGCTTTAAGCACAGCAACTATTTTTAAAGATCAGGAAAACTTTAACTGCCTTGGTTGGCTTAGATGAACTGGAACCATTCATGGAAAGCTGAGGGTATCAAAACTCCTGATGACAATGCTGAACTAAGCAGATCTCTGGGTAATTTTGTTCGGTTTGCTTCATGCAAGCGGGCGCTGTCCATTATTTCAGCGAATGTACTGATACTCTGACAAGTATGCAAATAGCTTGCATGTTTCCTTTAATTTGCTCATTTGCCGAGGACACTCAGGTTAAGCCAAGCTCAAACATCATGTGCGTGTTCTTCTGTATTTAGCGATACAGCAGTAAACCAGAAGTTAATACTCGCGTTTTATTCTGAATGGCACCGCATCTCAGAATCCCCATGTAAAGCAGGTACTACGTAAACAGGTGGGGTATACAGGAAAGTTTATATAAAAAACCACCTCAGTATCCAGAAGCCTGAGCTGTACATGCTGTGTTCCAGCCTAAACAGACCCATGTGCAGAACTGATGGCTGCCCCCGTTTAATTTGATGAACTTTGATTGGACTGAATCCAGACATCCTTGTTCCCCTGCCTCCCAACAATTGGTCAATAGGACCTAGAAAAGCCAACGGTGCTGACAGTACAAAAGGCTAGAGCATTGTGCATGGTAGTAGCAGTGATTTATTATACGGTTAAAAACCAGCATGCTGTATCAAATACAACAAACAAAGCAAATACCAATAGGGATGAAACAAAGTAAAATAGAATGGTAGGCAAGCAAAACTGAAGACGTAGCATTAAAAGAGAAACAGGAAGTCTGTGTAGACCCAGTAGGCGAGAACAACTGGCGTATCTTGTAGGCTGCTGCACAAAATCTTGCAAGTGGACAATTCCAAGTTAGAACCTCTGGGCAAATAACGGGGCAATTACCGTATTTTTCGCTCTATAAGACGCACCAGACCACAAGACGCACCTAGTTTTTGGAGGAGGAAAAAAAGAAAAAAAATATTCTGAATCTCAGAAGCCAAAACAGCAAGAGGGATCGCTGCGCAGTGAAAGCAGCAATCCCTCTTGCTGTTCTGGCTTCTGGGATAGATGCGCAGCCTGCATTCGCTCCATAAGACGCACACACATTTCCCTTTACTGTTTTAGGAGGGTAAAAGTGAGTCTTATAGAGCAAAAAATACGGTATCTTTATATCTTGGTAGCAGGGGCAGTGTAAGAGAACATGGCCTATGATCTCTACCTCTCCATCAATACAGGGGCAGAGCCTTTTGTCTAAAGATATTTTTCTGTAGTGCCCATCTAAAATGGCAGTAGTGCATGCAGAACTCAAGCGCCAAAACTGGTGCCAAAGGTGATGGAAGAGCCACATTGCAATGCCTACCCTCAACCAAATACAGTACCAGGTTTTATAGGCAAGTTGTCCTGAACTGCAAATAATTGGCAGAAGCACAAGTGGTGTAAGTTGAGGACAGAAGAGGTGACAAAATGTTTTTGCAGTAGTTCAAAGGTTTGAGGGTAGGGAGGGGGAGACTTATTATCCAGTGGAAGTTATTTAAGACTTTATAATAGTGGGCTTTTGAGATTTTGTTCTTCATTCGTCTACAATTGCCACCTCTCCTTGAAAGCAGAGAATAACAATGCAAGAGCTCCAATAATGATTGTCCTCTTTCATCTCCCCCTTTTTAATCTTGTAGGCATATATGCAGCCACACTTGCTGGGAAACGAGTTTACACACTTTGAGTTTCCAAGGAGGGTCCAGAGGAAGGAAGTTGGGAAAAGAATGCTCTACAGAGACTTCAATATGACTGGCTGGTAAGAACGCCTCCTGTTTTTTAGAGGGCAGCATCCACACAGCAGTTTGTTCCATTTCCCCTGCATTTCCCTAACACAGGCATAGGCAAACTCGGCCCTCCAGATGTTTTGGGACTACAACTCCCATGATCCCTAGCTAACAGGACCAGTGGGCAGGGATGATGGGAATTGTAGTCTCAAAACATCTGGAGGGCCGAGTTTGCCTATGCCTAGTTAATTTCTGCATTATATTTGGGCTTTCATGCAGAAAGCCACTTCTGGAAAACTAATGGAACATAGTGCATGCTCAGCACTCATTTCCATGTTATTTGATTCCAGAAATAATCTGTTTGCAACCATCTTAACTTGGAAAAATGTGTGAGTAAAAGTGATGGAATTTGGAGCAGTGTACTGGTGTATAGTTCTTTGCTGCTGTTTTCCTGGGGGAATTGTGGAAAGCGCACACATATTCGGAAGGGGTGGGCAGGTAGCGACATTGTCCAATGGCATTTGTTGCTGTGTCACAGCACATTCCATGATTTGAATGAAATTTAGTGTGACATGTTAGCAATATTGTTCAAAAAGCTGCAGTTCCCTAATGCTGCACCCCATGAGAAAATTTCAGGGGGGGAAAGACAAAACTGGAAAACTATTTTCCATATTGTACAATTTCAAATCTATGCTAGATGGGACCGATTTGAGGTGATGTTGGTTTCTTTGTAAACTTTCTCTTCTCCTGGGCTCTGGAACTTTTTCAGAGCAGTTGGCTGGCCAGCCTGTATAGGTTTGCTGAAGGTGGTACTTAATGCCCAGGACTTGTATCATCCATTTAGTCATTGGGTTGGTTCAAGGCTGCTACTCTTAACTCTCTTCAAGCATCCCCTATCACTGTAGCTGGTGACTTTGTCAGGAATTAAACTTACTAGAGTACATAAATGCGAGATTAATGCTTATTATCCTCAGTGTCTACTTACTTGTGACACCTACTATGGCTGGCATTGTAGTTACGGAACACAGTTTATTGCAGGACAAGAACCTGGGGTACCTCAGACTGAAATTTGCCATCTGGTCATATTTAATTGCATTTTAAAGTCCAAGTATAATTTATGTCCTTGGGATTGAAAGCGGAAATAGGACATTCAGACAAAAGCCTGAATTACAGTTCTCGTGTGACTGTATTAAGTACTTTGAATGTTTCCCATGCCTTTTTTCTGTGGGCCAGCTTAAACCTTTTCAACCAGCAACATAGGAGCAGCCCGAAATGTTGAGGAGTAGACTCCAATCCTCAAAAGACTGTGCCACTTCAGAATGAAGATTCTCTCCCACATCAAATATTACTTGAACGTGGAAAGCTATAGATGGTTCTCCCTGAAGTTCTAGCTTTTTATGTTGAAGTGTAGTCCAAGCATACAATTCTCACAAGTAGAACGTACTTTTGTGCTCTTTCTGAACCTTTTGGTCATGTTAATGTGGTGTTTTTTTAAAGGAAACCAGACTTGTTTACAGGTTGCCCCATGAATATTTCCTTTTATATACTCACGTCATTTTCACATGGAACAGCAATAGGCTGCTACCAGTTGCGGCTGATGAAGCAGCTGCCACCGCCGCTGCTGGAGGATGATTAGAGAAGGAGAAAGTACTTTGAGCAACTTCTGTGGCTTGTGCACAGCTTTCATTTTCTGTACTCAGAAAATATTTTGTTGTGATACATACAGTCAAACCTCGGATCCCGAGCGCCTCTGTTTTGGAGTGTTTCAGCCCTCGAATGCTGAAAACCTGGAAGTGAACGCTCCGGTTTCCGAACGTTTTTCAGAAGCCAAACGTCTGACGCAGCTTAAACTTGAGTGCAGAAAACTCCTGCAACTAATCGGAAGCCCGCCTCAGTTGTGAAACATTTTGGAAGCCGAACAGGCTTCCGTAACGGATTACGTCCGACAACCAAGGTTTGACTGTACTTGTTTTGTCTCAACTAGCCACCTGACTGCTCTTTAGGCCTTATAATATGGCTTATAAGTCTCGCCCTCTTTTTTTTTTTTTTACTGAAATAAAATAAATGCCATGATCCCTAAGGGATCATCTTTGGAACGCAGAAATCTTCTCTGTCGTGTTCAGCTGCAGGCAAAGGGTTAATAGCCAAAGCCATGATACAGGTTGCCATATGTCCTCTTTTTCCAGGACACATCCTCTTTTTAATGGGTATGTAAAATGAGAGTCGTCATAGTGATCTATAGTTAAAAGTAGAAGTCTATAGTTAAAAGTAGAAGTCCTCTTTTTTTGCTCTCCAGAATATGGCGACCCTAAGTTGGTAGGAGTCAGGTGGATCAGCCTATGCCATTCATTTGTCCCCAGTGGCTTTGCTGCTTTGTTTCTGTAAGCTTTCCTTGCAGTTAGCGGGCAATGTCCATTGGGTATATATTTATTTTGGTGTATCTCTCCCCCTCTCCTCCCTTGCATGTGTGCGTGCATGCGCACACACACTCATTCTGAGGCTGGAGTCCTAAGGGCAGGGGACCCTGCAATGTTTTCTGCTTTCATGGAATGATGCCTGTCAAATTGGCATTGTCCTTCCTGATAGAGCAGGTATTCAGGTCTCTTGAGTATTTGATTTTAACAAGCAGCTGCATTCTAATCTTGCTTCTTGTTTCTTTCTTTCTTTTATGCGCGTTTTCTAATTTCGTCTGGGGTTGACCTTTTTTGCTTTTCTCTTGCAACTAGCACCAAAGCTAGTCTGTTTTAATTCCAGTTGGCAAACAAAAAAACAAACAAACAAAAAACATGGTCCCAGAGGAAGCCTACTAAACACAGCAGCTCATGTGTGCTTTGCGTTGTGTAACTTGCATGTTGCGTTCAGCAAATGTTTTAGCTGTGGGCGCTTCTCTTCTTCTTTATTGCTCTGCTCTGTGGCACTTGACAGCCCAGCCAGGCAGTCTGGCAGAGCAGGGGATAAGTAGATTGAGAAATGCCACAGAATAGTTTATGAAGCCAACACCAGATCTGCACTGCCTCCTCCCCTCCTCTTTAATATAAATTGATTTATTGAATCAAGTGCAGAAGCCCTGGTTCCAAAACCTTAGGCGTTATCCTCCAGAGAGCCGCCTAATAAAAGAGGCCCAACTGACAGTCCTCATTAGCTTTGCCACAGATCCCAAGGCAGTATTTAAAGTGGCAATGTCCCTTTCCCAGACCTGGATTTATCTGCCAGCCAATGCCGACGGGCCTAATTAGCTTGCTCTTATTAGTCTTATTCAGATAAGTGGTCTTCTCTAACAGTCTGACTCCAGGGTACAAAGAGCAATCCGCAGCCTGCCTGCCTTATGCTTCCACCTGCTCAGTTACACCTTGCTTTCTAATTCGTATAATTCTCATGAGCTCCCATGGAAAATGGTGTCTGTGTGTTTAGCTGGATTTTTTGTTTTGCTTTGTTTTTCCTAGTGAAACATTTCAACTTCCAGCAGTGATCATGATTTTGAGAAAGGGAACATATCTCAAGTGCGCAATTAAACAAGCCCTTTCCCCCCTCTAGTATGTGATATATATTTCATCCAAGTAGCTTTTGTGGTTTTTTTAAATAAAATATAATGGTTATGGAGACAGCAGTCCTGTTTTAGGGAGCGGGGTGGTTAAAGAAAGATGACTGCTGTGTTAATCTGCAGCTACTGACAACAGAAGGAGACAGAAGATAGAAGTGGAATTAGATTTAACAAAAGCCCTTTGCACAGGTACTTTTGGGTTCCTGGCGTCATGCGCCCCAGAGAAACATAGCTCCCTGTATTCTGTTTGTAACACGTTTCTGGAATGATAAATGGCTGTTCACAACATGCATGTTCTGCATCTTTTCAAGATTTGCAGCTCTGGCTGCAGGAACAGCAGGGGAGGAGATCTGACCTGCTGTGTACAGCACATCTCCTGGCAATGACAAATGACTCTTCTTTCCCTAAGTGCACACATGCCAGAGGAACAGAGCCAGTGCTGTTGGAGCAGGGCCAGCTGGAGACAACAAACAAACCAGAAAAGCCCCATAGTCACCCCCTAACTGTGAGGGAAAGAATAGCAGGGCAAGATGTGTTTTGGTAGTCTGCTTCTTGTGATTTTTTGCACTGCCTTATCAGTTTTGTTGTAACCTCCCAAGATATGTTTAGTGTGTCATTTCCCTCCACATTAACACAGGACGACCTTGGAAATAAGTACTTTTAATTGGTACCTGAATATTCCTAATTGATATTTATTTAATCTCGCAGCAATCTGGAGGCCAGTGTGGTGTCATTACTAGAACATGCAAAAGGGCAACCAAAATGATAAAGCAACTCCTGGTTAGCCATTGTGAGAATAGGATGCTGGACTAGATGTTTCACTGCCCGAATCTAGCAGGCTCGTCTTATGTTCTTCTCTCTGTGTGCTTGCTTGAGAAAGTCAGGTCCATATTCCCATTCAGCTATGAAGCCAGCTGGGTGGTCTCGACCACTTTCAGCTTCACCTATCTCATTAAAGTAATGCATGATCTTGTGCAACTTATGCAATTTTCTATTTTCCTCTTCCTATAAATTGTTGTCACCCCTCCTCTTTCGTTACTGGAACCTCGCAAACATTTTAATGTTGCACCTATCTATCTACCTACACAAGTAATACAAACAGAAGATAAAGTTCTGATCTCACAGTTGAGGTCTGCAGAATTATGGTTGATCTTTTTATTTGTTAAACTGAACAAGTGTGTTTTTGTGTGTGTGTGTGTGAGAGAGAGAGAGAGAGAGAGCGCGCGCGCGCAAGTGAAAGAGAGAGAGAGAGCACACTTAGCTGCAGTTGCACAAATCCAGGCTTAAACAAGAAACCCAAAATCAACCCACAATCCTCCAATAAGGAAGTGCATGTGCAAATAATATTTGGTCCAGGACAATGACTAATAAAACTGAAATGGAAGTGTCACACAAGAATTTCAGCCTGGGTTCACTCTAGATTCCATTTCTTATGCTCTAACTAATATATATAATAATGCCTCTGTGTGAAATTATTTTATCTGGAAGTTGTGTCTCTTGTACAGAGCTAGCCCATGCGATCGCATCACATGGACTTGAGAGGTGTGTTCTGGCCATCATTCTCTGTGACATTGCTAAGGATTTTGCACAATACACTCAGCTGTGTTGGCACATGGTAATAATAGACTAACCCTTGGATAGTTTGCATCGTTGGAACACTGCTGCCTTGGCCTGCTTGTTAAGTGTTACTATCTTTGACAGCAACACAGCTGAAGCAAGAGTGAAGAAAATAGCTATTCCCGAATTGTGCATGTTGCTTAATGGGCTTGTCCTTAGCTTTGATTTCTCTTACTCTGCATAAACAGCTAACTGAAGAATCCTGCCTAGCCAGGCTTTGAAATTCCAGAACTGAAGCCCCCTTTTTAACATAGAAAGTGTGTGTGTGTTTTATTGAATTTCAGTAAATACTATTATAAAATTACCCCCCCCCCCAACAACAAATTACCCACCTCTTGAATTCTTATGAACTGGGGTTAAGTCTCACAGTTCAAGAAAAGGGCACCAATGACATATCTGTGCAGCAAAATAAAAAAGAGATTGTTCCTGAAAGGATGTCTTGCTTCACATTTCCTGGAAAAGTGGCACACTCCAGCCTTAATCTTCTGATGCTAAATGAACCCCATTTTAAAAGCATTTGCAAGGATGTAAAATACTGACAATACTGATTTGCGCCGTCTTCCTGTAGGGATTTATTTCTTTCTTTTTGGTACTGGATACTTCTAGTACCTGCAGTTTTACTTCATACCGTGTTCAGACTTCACTTGTTTTCTTATCACCGCCTTCTTAGAATGCATTGCATTGTACGAAAGCAACCAGAGTTCCTTCACGTTCACTCTTACCAAGCTGCAATTGGATTTAGCTCCTTCATCCTTGTGGGTCTGTTCCTGGCCTTTCCACAAGATGCTTTGCAGCTTCCGTGGCCTCGTTTCCCTCCTGTGGTTTCTTTATTTCTTCAAGGGAACAAATTGCATTTAGAATCTGAAGCAGTGCATAAGCAAGAGACTTGTGCTGCTTAGGGACTTTGGAGGAGAGCAAAGTGTGAGAGCAGACCTTTTAGAATGCATCACTGTTTGCAGCCCTGAGAAAAAGTTAAGAGGCAAGTCTCTACTTATTCCCCACTGCCATTTACTAAAAAGGGGTGGTTCACGCCTCCTGCAGCTGCCTACTAGAACTTCCCCTCTTGCTTATGTAACATAGTCCCCTAGGAAACCTACAGTAGTTCAGGTCAAAGTGCCCACACAGATCCTGCAGACTGTGCAGGTTGCTTTGGCACTCCAGGTATCTGTGTGTGATGAAGCAGGAAGCACAGCGGCTGGAGGGCAGGTGGCAGAAATTCCAACCTGAACCTGAATGAGCACAGGTGAGAGAGCAATTATTGCACCTTTCCAGTGGTGCTGTTGGCACTGCACCTCCATTTAGCTGTCTGACAGAGGTCTTATGGGTGGTGAAGGCCAGGAGAGCAGTGCTCTGATTCTGTCAGCAGCCTGATGGGACAATTTTGCTAGGATGATAATAATAATAATAATAATAATAATAATAATAATAATTTTATTATTTTTACCTGACCCATTTGACCTGGTTGCCCCAGCCACTCTGGGCGGCTTCCAACACCAGAATAGGGCAAAAGATACATACCTGTTTAGTGTAACAATTGAATGACATCCATATTGTTCTTCCTCCAAGTTAAGAGATGGTGTCTGTGTGAAAGCATGGGTGTAAAAAAAGAAGTGTGGGGAGGTAAATGCCCATCACTAAATTAAAAACCTTGTAGGGACAGTTTGTCAAAAGGGGAGAAAAACTACAACATAGTCTGTGTTAGGTTTCTGTGGAGTTAGAATGGGACAAGGCCAATTGGTGGTGCTACTGGGCCACTCCCAGGTGTTTTTGTGTGTGGAGGGGGTATCAAGCTACTGCTATGTGTGTTGTTTTTCTGGCCTTCCTTTTGTAAATGTTGAATGCTATTTTCGTTTTCAATTTGTATCCAACTGCCAGCCTGCACACACGCCTACCCTTTAATGAGCGCTCCTGTCGAGTGCAAGAGGCCTTCACAAATGCCATGCGGGTGGTGAGATGGAAGGAAGCAGCAGCAACTTTCGAAAGTACAGCCTTTAGAATATACGATCCTGCATTTGCTTTTAAAAGCCATTCTGATGTGATCTGGTGCCGAGAGAATGTTAGGCTCAAGGCCATATTGCAGCCTCACCTTTACTACAGTTTCCGTCATGCTTTGGCAGCCGTTGATTTCTCTCAAAGGCAGTGGAGCTGCTACTTAGCTGCGATTTTATTGTTTGGTGCTGTTGGATTAAACGGATCTCTCCAGAGTTGTCATGCTGGCATGCTTTGAAAAGGAGCTTCCTCTATTCTCTCTGTCTGGGTTTGTGGGATGACAGCAGTGGCACAGCATATTTAACACACTGTGCTCTGCCTATAAGTGACATGGACAGCATAAACATAGTTTTATTGCTTTGCTGTCAAGCGAAATTGCCCAGATGGGTGTGCACTGTAAAATAAAAATGGGGCGTATGGTGTGGTGGGAGAGGGAGACTGGGCAGGTGTATCAAACAATTTTTCACAGCTTATTTTTGAGTCCCTTTCAACAATTGCTAGCCTGTCAACTAGAAAAAGAGCTGCTTCCTCTTCTTTGACAGGTCCAGTTTTGTCCATGTCCCAGAACAATAAACCATTAGCCAAGGTTAAACAGCAGGACCCCTCCCCAAGTCTAATATTCAGTGGCCAGGTCCATGAAAATCTTGTTTTTCAGAATCTTCATGCTCAAATCTATTTGCAATGGCACATAATCTTAGTCATCAGCTGTAGACTTTGGTGCTTTCCTGTCTCTCACTAACAGAACCCTAAATGCTCATCCCTCAGTGTCCAGAGAAACAATAGTGGTTGTGGGCTCCCTCAGGAGGTGGTGGACTCTCCTTCCTTGGAGGTTTTGAAGCAGGGGTTGGATGGCCATCTGTCATGGATGCTTTAGCTGAGATTTCTGCATTGCAGGTGGTTGGACCAGATGATCCTCAGGGTCCCTTCCAACTCTACAATTCTGTGATTCTATGAAATACAAGCAGAGCAGACCTGCCTATTTCATTTCTCTCAGGGTGGCTTCTTACCACCCTGGGTAAGGACACTCCCCATGTGGAAAGTAATTGTGCACAAAACAATAGTATGCAGTAAACTTTCCCTGTATATAGTGGACCCTTGGGTCATTTATAGCTTCTCAGGGCACATGCAGCAGGTATAAGCACCCATATAGGCCAATCAACCTACAAGTGTCTGGCGTGCTAATTCCAACAGCAAGCTTTCTTTCCATATTGGCTTACTAGTAATTATTTGGAAGGTGTAGGGGATCCTGGCACTGAGAATTTCTGGCAAGTTTGAATGTCATAGTCAAGGTCAGATGAGCATTAAATAACCTGATGAAAGCTGTATCAAACTTCAAGCTTTCCTTTATGTATTTAGCTTCTGATGGATTTTCTTAAAAGAGCTGGTTTATGCCATCCTTTATCTACAAACCCTGCTGTTTCTCACAGCTACCAATTAACAATGAGATTCCATTCTTAAATGGATTTGTGTTGTTGTTTGGTGGACACTGTGGCCCACACTTCTAGTAATTGGGATGTTTTCCCAACTTACTTTCCCATCTGTTATTAAAATGAGAAGGTAGGGCTTGTTTATAAAATTACATTATGTTCTTTGCTTAACTTTTTCTTTTGCAAAAATTGTACCACCCAGCAGGTGTAGTATGAAGAGAGAGAGAGAGAAATCCGGAATGCATTGTAAAGTTGGCGCCTAGACAAACTTGTGGAGAAAAAGCAAAAACAAGCAAACAGTCACCTAGTGTCAGGGCATTGGGTCAATAATTGAGTGCAATCTTTATAAAATGCTGTTTATCTTCCCACAGGGCATACAAAACCATTGAAGAGGATGACTTGAAGTTTCCTCTTATATATGGAGAAGGCAAGAAGGTAGGAATCAGTGTTTTGCCATTTCAAAGGAATATGGTGCCTTATAACTGTTTACCACTCAATTTAGCCTCAAGCAGTCCAACGTTTTCCACTTGCTATCTCTTTATTTTATCATTCTGACAGCTTGAAAGAATATTGTGCCTGCCGTAAATCAGTTCCTGCTGTCTGTAAGGGGGAAAATGCAGTATGGGGGGGGGGGTGTGAAAGCAGTTTAATAACATTTACAGATGAATTTTCTTTTTTCACCCACTTAATTATTTTGTTTTCTTTCAAGCAATCGGGACTGAGAGAGGCTTTTTGAAAATAAAATATTTATTTATTTGATTTGCAGACAGCTCACTGCAGCTTGAGTACTACATTAAATGTGAGCCAATAAAAGCTGGAAAAAGACAAAAGACGTAATGTTTAGTTAGTTTTGAGCACAATCTTAGTGTATTGGGATCAAGCAAGACTGAACTTTATTGGTGCATGAATTTATTTTGTGTATGTGCTCTTAGCTGCATTCACTGCTCGGTTCAAGCTTAGGAATAAAATTCTCTTTCAGGAGAGGGGTGTGTGTGGAAAGACTGAGAATGCTCTTGAAAGAGATGCATAATTAAAAACAGCAAGGTTATTTGCACTGATCCCAGCATGCCTGAGAGATACAACTCTAGGATCAATAAAAGGGCACTGAAGTCTTAGATTATTGGCATTGGTGTGCTCACACTGTTTCTAAGGAACTGTTTCCCAATGGCTTTATTGCTTATTTGATTTTTGTTTTAATAGCCTATCTTCAGAATTAATCTAGCTATGCAGGACTCAAATCTGTATGATTTGATGGGCTGGTTTGTTTTCAGAAGTATTTGTACACCTGCTACTTCTAAATTTATTTTTCTCCCTGTTTTTGTGTTTGGGCTTAGTGGGTTTACTTCGCAGTGTATTTTAGAGCCAGAATTGAGAGTGTCCAGTATTGTCAGTAAACCAGTACCATCAGTAAAATGCGGTATCTGCACCATAAGCTGTCTCAAGAATCCTACTCTTTTGCTAAGGGATCTTGAAAATACCCCAGGGCTGATGCAAAGGTGTCAGGGAGCAGTGAGGTTGGTAGAGGACATTTGATTGTTCTGTGATGGCCTTCCCCAACCTTCTGCCCTCTAGACTACAACTCCCATTAGCCCCATCCAACACGTCTAGTGGTCAGTGATGGTTATAGTGGTAGTCAACTTCTGGGAGCAGCAGGCTGTCCCAAGTTTTCTTGCTAGGTATTTGTTGTTGTGTTCATTGTTTTGTAAAGAACTGTTGCCTCTATTTTAGGCCAAAAACCTCCCCAGTCCTTGCCAAAGTTTTTTGTATAATGAAAGAAGGGTACAGGTTATGCCCTGTAGGTGAGTTTATATGATTTGTCACACATGTTATAACTGCAGTCATTTACTTGAATGTGTGCAATTACTGTAGGTCTCAGGTGACCAGTCTTGGGCAACATTCCCTCAACTTGCTTGGTAATACAGTGGTACCTTGGGTTACAGACAGTTCAGGTTACAGACTCTGCTAACCCAGAAGTAGTACCTCGGGTTAAGAACTTCGCTTCAGGATGAGAACAGAAATCGCACGACGGTGGCGCAGCAGCAGCAGCGGGAGGTCCCATTAGCTAAAGTCGTACTTCAGGTTAAGAACAGTTTCAGGTTAAGAACGGACCTCCAGAACGAATTAAGTTATTAACCCGAGGTACCACTGTATAGGCTTTGACTCATGACAGGATATGGGCTGTTGATACGTAACCCCATATTTCAGGGTCTGGATTGCAGGCTGTCTTGGATGGGGTTGCCCTCACCCTGAAGACACTGGCTTGCAGCTTGAGGCCACTCCTCGATCCAGCACAGCTTCTGTACGATTGGACGGCAGTGGTGACTAGCACACCTTTGTACTGGTGGCTGTGGTGATGAGAACAGCTTTCTACCTGCTTTGGCTCACATGCCAGTTGCCTTTTTGTGGTGGGCATATTCCCCAGCCAACACAAGATTAGACTCAAGGGGGTTGTCTTCCTTGGGTATAGGCTTTCCAACCTGGGACAGGAACCCTGAATATGCCATGTTGGAAACTCTATGTATGAGTACGGTAGCAGCCCCCCCACCCAACAAATGCTGATCGTGTTTGTTGGGGAGGATATCCAGCACATAAATAATCTAAGTGGGGTGTGACTTCTTCCTATGTTCCTACTTGCCCCTTCATGCTTCACTTTACAAACATGTAAAGTGAGCTTTTGAGTAGGATTTATTGGTGCAGTTGCTGGTTACTGCTTTCACAAAGACACCTGCCTCCCAGAACAGCCCTGTAACTGGTTTCTTTCTCCGTTCCCAGGCTCGTGTCATGGCAACTATTGGGGTTACGAGAGGACTTGGAGACCATGACTTGAAGGTGCATGACTCAAACATCTACATCAAACCTTTTTTGTCTTCGTCGCCAGAGGTAAAACATTCACACCTTTTTTATGGGTACAGGACAAGGGACTTAAACTATGACTTTAAAAATCTTTGCAACATGTCTTAACCTGCTTGTGAAATGTCTAGGTGTCCACATGAAAAATGGCTGCAATGAACACCTTAAATAGGGAACATGGTCGTGACTTAAGGAAAAGATGGTCAAAACTCATTCCCCTGTCTAAGAGTACCATTCTATGCATGTTTACTCAAAAGTAAGTCCCTTTGTTCAGTGGGGCTCACTCCCAAGTAAGCGAGTTTAGGATTGCAGCCAAATATGGCTAGAGGATGTAAGTTAAATTTATAGCTGTCTAGAGGGATTTAGAAAGCCCATAAAGCACATTTGACAAACATTAGTATAAAAGTTATAGAACCATAAAGTGGACATTTGGCACTCTGTACTGGAAATTGACTACAGGGCAGGAAACATAGAGGAGCTGTTTGGTGGGTGTCTTATTTTTTAAAAGCGAACCCTAAAGGGGGGAGGGGGTTAATTGGCGAGTACAGCAGATAATAAAGCTGAGTACCAGACTTTAAAAGTTACATATAAATCATTTGGATTGTATTTCTATGTTTGTCAGTGAGTTAGATGAGAAGGAAAAATGCAATTAAGATAGGATTAATTTTATTTAAGTAGCTCTGTTGATCAGTTGTAAAGTAGCCGAGGATTGCTTATGTTGACTGTTTCTCTTGAATTCCATAGTGAAAAATGGGTCATATCAGGAGTGTTGCATGTTGTGCTTTGAACTTGGTAAAGCTTTCAAAACACATTTTGTGTCATTTAGGACATCTTCACATAAAACTCTTAAGCCCAGAATAACTCCCAAGGTAACTGTTTTCCCTGCTTCAGGCCATCACTTTCATAAAATATATGACCATTTCTTATGGAAGGAGACCCAGAAGAACGACAAGGATTTCAAGGATGAGAATGAGAACATTTTGTGGCTAGTTGAGTCTGAAGTGATAGGAACATTTTCTACCTGGGTGTAGATTAAAGGAGAGTGTATCAAGATGGTGCTGCTCTTGTTCCTAGCTGGGTGCTGTACCATAAAGCAAAAAATGAAGAGAGTGCTCAAGACAGGTAGCTATCTCGAATCACCCTCACATACACTATAGGAAAATAGTGATGGAACACATAGTGCAGTGCAGTGGTTGGGAACAACCTAATTTGGCCCATGAGGCCATTTCCCCCCCCCCCGATACCCCACATGCTCCACAACTGACATGTTGGGGGGGGGGGTAGGTATTGTTGATTCTTCCTTGGTAGCCAGGGCTCAGCTGATTGACAAGGACAACAAGCCCCTTTGAAGTTGTCCATTTGTGGGAGTAGCTTGGACTCAGGTACCAATCTGCAGTGAAAAGAAAATGTCCATTTTTGCAGGTGTAATGAATCCCTTTGCAGGCATGCTCTCAGATCCAATCAGCTGACAGTGTGACTTCAGAGGGCTTACATTCAGCATCGGCCAGCTGATGGGCACCGAGAGCAAACTTTGTTTCTCAAATGTGCCACATTTATTCCATCATTAGCTGTCTTAGCTCTCCATCCAGCCCACCCAACCCACACATCATATTTAATTAGGAAGAAATGACTTGGTTGGATATTGGCACTGTGACTGGCACTTCTGAAAAGCTGTGGGATTACAATCACTAAATATGGAAGCTGGCTCTGCCATTCTGGGGTTGGGGAATGTTTATCTGGTTCTTGCCTTTCAACTTGATGTTTAATTGTTGGCTTTTTTTAATCTGAAAATTAATACATATTTAAAGCAAGCAAACAAGGAAAGGTTTAAGTGTTGACATACAGCCTCTGTGTAATTTTGTGTTCATTGTATAGATTTAACTATATTTTTAAAGGCTACATTGCTATAAACAAGCAGAAGCCACTATATATTCTGTTTGTTCTGATACATACTTTAATAGGAGGGAGGTCTAGACCTTTGTTGTATGAAAGAGATGCATTGTGTTTATCTTCTTGCTTTTAGTTAATGAGAAGTGGGAATGAGCATGGATACTTTGCGCTGCGTTATAGGTTTCTGGTGGTGTAACACTTTTTTGGTGTCTAGAGGGTGTGAGTTATGTTCCTCTGCAGTGGACTTGACAACTTTTGGGTTTTATTTTTGACACTTTGAATGAGGAATGAACAATTGTGTGTCTAGCTCATCAGCTTCTAAGTCCTTAATCGCATCTTCCACCTTAGTAAATGACATACCTCATTTTTTAAAATCCAAGTTTCTCCATTAGTTAAAGGGAATATTGAATGTTTGCACTGGGATCTAACTAAATTAAGAAGTCTAAGTACTCCATATACATTTCCTAATCCTGGATTTCAAAGATTAGCACAACACAAAGAGAGGATAAATGATTCTCTTCCAGCAATGCCAGGTGTGTTTCCCAACACAACCGCAGAGCACTGACCCTGCCAGCCGTAAGGATAAATCAGCATTCCCAGCCAGGTGTGCTGTTTCCAAATCCTAGTCCCGATAATAACTTCCTTTTGTCAGTTGTCACAAGGTCACTTCACTTCTCTGAAAATACAGCTACTGCTGGAGTAATTAAAGTGCTCCGTTAGTAATTCAGAAGGACTCCTGAAGGTTTTGTTTTCGGACTTAAATGAGCCAGGTGGGGAGTATGAAACAGGCAGCTAGAAGACCTGTATCTCTCACAGAAGACACACTTGGAAATACATAAAATGACCTTTATCCTTCTGCTGGTTCAATAAAATCTGTCAGTGCAGCCAAGGAATATATTTTGGATGCCATACTCAGCAGGCTGTAAGTGAACATTTATTTTGTAAAGTTTTTTAATCAGCATGCAGGACTATGAGAAATACTCAGGTATGTGAGTTTTCTGTTAGTTCCATTTCTGTCAAAACATTTGAGAATATCCTGCACGTCACATACATAGATCAGCTTCAGGTTGGTTTGTCAGACTAGGGCGTGTCACCTTCTCTCGATTGTCATGCAGCTGAACCATACATGTTTCCCCAGTGTTTTCCCTTTATAGAGGTGGGAGCTTAGTGAAAAGCTGCTGCTGCAGACTAAAATTGTCTGTAATGGTAGTGTGGTGTAGTGGTTAAGAGCGATAGTCTCGTAATCTGGGGAACCGGGTTCGCGTCTCCGCTCCTCCACATGCAGCTGCTGGGTGACCTTGGGCCAGTCACACTTCTTTGAAGTCTCTCAGCCCCACTCACCTCACAGAGTGTTTGTTGTGGGGGAGGAAGGGAAAGGAGAATGTTAGCCGCTTTGAGACTCCTGAAGGGGAGTGAAAGGCGGGATATCAAATCCAAACTCCTCCTCTTCTTCCTGCCAAGTGTTGACTTAGAGGTGACTGTAAAACGAGAGAAAGCAGCACTTGGACATAGTGCTGGTGCAACTCCCCCTTCAGAAAGTAGTCTAAGTAGGTAAGAATCTCCACTTAAATGTGTAGGACTGTACACGTGGCCACATTTGATCTTAACTGCTAGGGAAACAAGTAGATTTTTTGGGTAGCAGAAACATACAACATTCATTAGAAGGACACCCACAAAAACAAACCCTTGTTTCTCCTTCACCTAATGAGTTTGTTTTTGTTTTTCAGGTGAGGGTATATGATCTTCTCCAGTATGAGCATGGACCTGATGATGTGTTGATCCTGGCAACAGATGGACTCTGGGACGTACTATTAAATGAAGAAGTGGCAGAAGCAGTCACTAATTTTCTGCCAAACTGTGACCCTGATGACCCCCACAGGTTTGTAATCTCTCCCTTTTATATTTCCTTAGCAAGGTGCTTTTCAGATTCAGACTGCTTGCCAGGAATGTGTTGTTGCCTTTGCAGTGCTTCCACTGATCAATATTAGAAGCTTCAGCAGGAACAAATGCACGTTCTGAAAAGCTTTATTCCAATTAGGTCCTAAGGAGAATGAGTTGCTTGAAAACTACTTCAGCAGTTTTGTAAAGTTGCCTTGACAGTTGCATTCCAAATTTGCTACATTAGTGAATAAAGCATTCAGTAATGCACTGCTAGAGATATTAATCTCCAAGTTCCTGAAATGCTTTCTCATTTATCTGTTACTAAGAAGGGGCAGCCTCCCTTTTATTCCAGTTACGTATAGAGCGTTTTCCTGTTGCCACTGCTTGCTTTCCTTATGTTTAGCATTGATTTTCATGAATTAATGCTTATTTGGCAGTTAGACTGGTGAGTGGGAGTGGCTGCTGGGACCATATAACACCAGTTTTAAAGGATCTACATTGGCTCCCAGTATGTTTCCGAGCACAATTCAGAGTGTTGGTACTGACCTTTAATGACCTAAACGGCCATGGCTCTATATACCTGAAGCAGCATTTCCACCCACATCATTCAGACCTAGCATGGAGATCCAGCTCTGAGGGCCTTCTGGTGATTCCCTCACTGCAAGAAGTGAAGTTACAAGGAACCAGGCAAGAGGGCTTTTCTCAGTGGTGTCCACCTTGTAGAACGCCCTCCCATCAGGTATCAAACAGATAAACAACTCTATGGCTTTTAGAAGACATCTGAAGGCAGCCCTGCATAGGGAAGTTTTTAATGTTTGATGTTTTTTATTTTCTGCTGAAAGCCAGTCAGAGTGTCTGGGGCAAACCAGTCAGATGGGAGACGCATAAATAATAGTAATATAATTCAGTTCAATCTCCCCCCATCTTTTTAAAAAAAGTATTTTAAAGAATATGAAGATAATATGCTTTTACCTTGAAATACAGCAGTTCTACCTCAAGTCTTTACAAATTGTGGATCTTAGTGTCTGATATATATGTATCTGTTTTAATTGCTTTGTCCAGTATTGATGATCCCTAGGTTCTTCGGCTATTGACTGCAAATTTCTACAGGATTTCTCTCGGTTCCTTACTGAAAAGGAGAGAATATCCAGCAGACAATAAGAATCTTCCATACATGGTACAAAAGTATAACCAACCCCTGCCCATAAATAGAGTAATGTCAGACATCTTTCTATTAAGACCCATGGCACAAAGAGAAAGGTCTCTCAGTGATGAGATCCTGATGCAATTTGGCTTTCTCCATGGCTGATTGCATGTGTTAGAGAAAGAGAAAGAGATCTGATCATGGGTCTCATTCATCTATTAATTATTTTATTTGTATGCCACCTTTCCATAGTAAAAACCATGCTCATGGCAGCTTACAACATGAAAAAATGTGTGTAATTACAAACATAAGTAGTCATAAACAATAAATAAAACTCATCAAAAAGTAAACAAATTGAACATTTTCCACATACATCTAAAAAGATATATACTAAAAATATCAGGCACAACCCCTCTCCCAACTTATTTCTTAAGAACTTAGAAAACCACCTTCCATCACCGTCTGGCCACTGGTTCCTTTTGCTCACTGTTGTATACACTGGCACCAGTTTTCCAGGGAGCCTTTGTATATCCACCCTGGACATGTTTACCTCAAGAACCTAGGACCATCTGCACATGTAAAGGATGCGCTCTACTACTGTATTGCAGCCTTCCCCAACTTAGTGCCCTCCACATGTTCTGGAATGTAACTCCTCCTTGAACATTAGCCATGCTGGTTGAGGCTGATGATGTGCTCTCCAGGTGTTTTGGACGACTGGGTTGGAAAAAGACAGCCATACAAGCAGAGGGGCTGGCAGGCTTTTCCGTTTTGACTGGTCTGTAAAATAGAAACACAAATCCTGCACTTCAAATCTTATACTTTTTGAGAGGTTATATGGAATGCTTTCCTTGCCCAGCAAGTAATAAACCTTTACTATTATACAGCATCTATAATCTGTGACTGTTTCTTCTTCATGCAGGTACACATTAGCAGCTCAGGATTTGGTAATGCGAGCCAGAGGAGTGCTGAAAGACAGAGGCTGGAGGATATCCAATGACAGACTGGGCTCAGGAGATGACATTTCTGTCTTCGTCATTCCTTTGATACATGGAAACAGAATCTTGTAAAACAAACACAAATGCTGGTAATAGGAAAGGTGTTGTTTTTTTTACAGTAAGAACCTCTGGAAAAGGCAGGCTATCAAGAAAAGAGATCCAAGTTTAACTTAAAAATTATGTTCTAAGCTTGGTTAGACTGGGATATTTCTACATGAAACATAGAGGCTGAATTGCAATGATTTAAAGGCATCTCCTAGAAACTGCAGCTTCCCTGTGGGGTTTTGTTTTTTGTGTGCGTGCATATCAGGACCAGGACTTTAATGCTGCTAGTATATTAGTGATTTATTTTTAATGTCCCTCCTGGTGAGGACCCTAGTGTAACCTGATAGAATATTTTTCTTTCCCAGTTTAATGTAGCCAGAAATAACACGAGATGCAAATTGGGAAAGCTATTAAAATTGGTAATGTAGCCCATTTCCCCCATTATTAATTGACTGGCTAACTTTGCTTTTGAGCAAATTCAAGCTATAAGTTACTAAGGTGAACAAAACCTAACACAGCAGTTAATTATTTTTTTGTTCAAATCTTGTTAATGTTTCAGTGGATAATTTCAAAAAGATGTTTTATTTATGTCAGTAAATCAAGCTTTTCCTCTTGTACACCATCATAAACATTTTGGAACCTTACAGTTACCCTTTATATGTTTAGATGGTGAAGCCAACCTTTTCTCTTGACAAGGTCTAATCTACACCTCCTGTTAGCACACTTGCCTAAGAGAATAGGGAAAGCTGTTCGGCTGGAAAATGTGTTCCTTATTGTCAAGATTTTTGTATTTATAACTATGATGTAGCAGACTGGGAGAATTCTTGATTTAGAAAGATTTCCCCAGAAATCACCGTTTCTTTGGCACCACACGCTTTCATTCATTGAATGCTTCTGTCTCCTCTAATTTATATCCTGTTGAAAGGATCGTTATATACGTACTGTTTCATTTATTGTATTTGGTAATTTGTCTTCTGATTTCTCTCTTATTAACTATGTAAGGCTGGTATGCTTCAGAAGTCTCCTCCAGAACAGTAGCTTTTCATCTTCTTTCCTGCTATGCCCTTTCAGCATCAATTTCGTTTATTGCTTCTCTGATATTGCTAGTAGACATTGCTTGACATTGTTAATCCAAAAGGTGGAGGGAGGAGCCATTGCAGAGTGATAAGACTCATCAGCTTGTTTGACATTCTGTACCTAGGCTTTCGATTATTAACATAGCAACAGAATAGAAACTTAAGGATTTACATTTACCTGTACAACCACACATTTTATGTATTCTAGGATGAGAATGAGTCATCCAAATTATCATCATTCGTATTGTTACAGGTGACTCAAAATTTGGTCCTCAGGTATTATCTCCCTGGCCAAGAACTAAAGAAACATATCCTTTTGGTTTTTTAAAAACAGTTTTAGGTAGCTGAGAGCAAATGAGTTGACAGTGATTGTGGGCAGTTGATGAGCCATCTCAGAAATGTTAGGTTTTTTTCTGAAGAGAAGCTACCAACATAGCAAGAGTATGGTACCACATGTTCCCATAAATCTTTTCTGTGTTTATATTCTCCCCCCCCCCAAAAAAATACTCTTAATAGAATTAGCCTGGAAATAATTATTTGCTTAAACAATATATTGTACATTTCTGTTGGAGTAGGCATTTTATTAATGCTACTATAGTCAACTCTGCATTCCACCCCTGCACCAGATGTTAAGTTGTTTCAGTATGCTGCTGCAGCAGCAAATAAGTTTCAATCTGCAACTGAATAGTTCAGAAAAGTGTTAATTCTGACATGAAGTAAATCTGCTTGCAATAATGTTTTTCTGATACCATAAAATCTAAAATTTCATGAAAAGTAGATTTTCATAATGCAGTGTCTTTTCACAAATCAGCAATACTTCTCAAATTTATTCTCAATAAAGTACCTCGTTTTTCCAATCATATATGTTCAGATTAGCAGGTCACATTTTGCCTAAAAAAACTGATAGTGTAACCCTTCCACACAGCCTCCCTGTTTTGTTTTTTTCAGTTCAGGCATATCATTTTTCTTGGTCATCAGGTCATCATTTGCTTTCAATCTCATGATGGGAGACATTCTTAGGCAGCAAACATTTCATTTGTAGAATATTACTATTAATGTAACAACACTTTCTAACACAATATATACACCCTGGCTAAGATTTACAGGTGTTACTGTCTTCATTCTGTTTGTATACTTTTTGCACAGAACTTGAACACATTTCCCATTTCCAGTGCCATATGTGAAAAGAACGTATTTAGTGGCAAACAATCCCATTGGACCAACCAAATAAAAGGACTTTTGCCAGTGCAGGAAAACTTTAAATTGGATTTTCATTTTGACTCATAAGAACACACTACATATGATAGTAACTTAGGTCTGTACATCAAACTGGTTCAGAATGACCAGTAGTTCTGAGTGCATCCAATTCTTCCTAGAATAGTATCTAGACTGCTACACTTTATCATGTCATGAAAAAATGCTATTTTTGAAACATTTAAATGAAACATTACGATACTTCATCCAGATTTGGTGATACAATTTCAAATGCTGCTTAATTTGAATAGTATGAGATAGATAGATATCTATCAGTAGTAACATCATTGAGAGTGATCCTGAAAATGCCCACCTTGTTTTTAAAAGAGGCAGCAGTGAAACGCTTAAAGTAGCAACAAAAACAAACACTTGCTATTGTTCAGACGTACTTTTAGGACTGAATCAATAACCCAAATTGCACCATCCCTTTCAAACGCTTTGCTTAAGTAATCCTGTATTTGCTACCGAGCAATTCCCAGAGAGACCAAAGCTAAACTCTGGATTGTTAAATAAAATTTGTGTTTAATTCAAACTAAACAAACTCTTTGAATTCATTTAGAAATTAAGCCAACTTATTCTGAACTTTTACTTGCCCCCATTTCATAAGATACACTCGGTAATGGTTTTCACCAACTTAGAGCTGTATAGAACATTTCGATTGTTTTATTTAATAATCCTTTCAAAATAGCAATGCCCTATCTAGATGAATATATTTTATGACAGCCAGTAGACAGGATTCAGAAAGAAGTGAGTGGCAACCCCTACCCCCTTAAAAGCCTGCTCCCATTGCTGGAAACTCTCTAGACTGACATCCTATAAACTTTAAGGCTACTTTTGGAACTGTTGCTTTGCTCCTGTGGGTAAGCAAAAGTGTTTTCTGCTCATGCATTTAGTGAGGGATGGATCTTGCCCCATGCGCTTTATTATTGGGCTGCAGCACAGAACATTTGCCAAGCCTGGCTGAAAAGTATGCAAACTGGACAGCAAAATTCCATTCACACTTCAATAACTGAATTCCAGGTGTGTAGTAATACTGTTTTTTGTTTTTAAAAAGAAATTGCAATATGGAATTTAGTATTGTCTAGAAATAATTCACTTTGCTGCTGCTGCGTCAACAGTTTTATAACCCAAGACAAGGTTGAAAATCATGCTTAAAAGTAAACCAGTTACATATATTTTAAAGGTGAAAGGTTACTGGAAATTAAGGTTATAGCTTGGGAAATTGGTGGGCTGGAAAATCGTCACTGGGCCACCATCTATTTCAACAATGTTGGTAACAGTGTTAGAAATTATTAGAATAACTTGCCTAAAGAAAATGGGGAAAACCCATACTTTCATACCAACTATCTCACCTAGGTCAGAACTGGAAGAGCTTTTAGGCAAATAAAAATTGAGATAAGAGAGGAAATTCACTTGTCTTATGGAGCTGCTACAGCCACATGATCAATGTTTGCTATCCGATTGTAAATATTCAAAGATAACATTGTCCAAATTTGCAAATCAGCACTACAGAAATTGCCCAAGACACATTTTATTAGATCGCTTAGCTTATCTACTCTTTCCTTCTCCCCTGATTTTAAAACATTCTAGAACAACCTCCTGATTCTGTCTGCCCTTTCCAGTTCATACAGTTCAGGGGAAATTCCTCTTTACAGTAAATATCTGACAGCTGTAACTCAAAATGTCTAACTTCTTCCTAATCAGAATTTACCAAAATTATTCTATTTTTATCAAATAATCAAAGAGTTGTTTTTCAGTACTTGCCCAATGTCCATAAAGAGAGTTGTATTGTCAGTTTTAAAACTAGCAGTCCGGGATACTTGTTCAATAAGAACGTTCTTCAAGGTACTTCGCTAAGTGACATGTTGAAATAAAATATTTTGTAGGTTGTTGCTTGAACTTTACAGGTACTTGTCTTTCATACAGCACAATCCTACTAAATTTCTTTTAGTCCTTTGCCCTTTGCTTAATGCACTCTTGCAGTTTTGTTTCTTATGTTGTGACTTATGTGAAAATTGCACACTTGTAATTTTTCTTTCCTGTCGTATGAAGATGACATAGACAGTGGCCAAATACCTCTTCAATCATTCTGCCAAATTCTACCTACATTATACTTGAAGGAGGCTTCTCCCTGTCAACCTCCACTTTACTTTGATGTTCCATTGTATTTCAGTTTAATTTTGCCATTTTCTTCCTTTATTGGCACAGTGACTGTAAGCAAGGAATGTACTATATTCTGGGCTCAGCATTCCAAACAATGAAGAGAGTCTTCGGGATAAGAATTGTTTGGATCAATGTACTTAAGCGTGGTGACTGTGAAATGTCAAAACTTTTTTGTAACCCGAGAACAAAAATGTTTAGTAAAGGGATATATTTTACGTGTTTTGAAACTTTTAAGTGCAATGAAATAAGGAAGCTGGAAAATGTATGCACAACAAAGTTTTAAAATGATATTGTAAAAAATAAATAAATATAAAAACTTATTTTGGGTAGTATTGCTGTGAGCTTCTTTTCTGGGGCATATAGCTGGTGAATGCTGTCAGTGAAAATATGATATAGCCTACAATTCCCCATCCTTCAGCTTTCTTTTGAGCTGTCTCAGCCAAACTATAGCTGCATAGGTACATACTGCACCTTCTTTTTAAATTTTTCCATTTGTTAAGTTCTCTTGCAGTGCATGTTCAAGCACTCAGCTATCAATTCTGTTTGCTGAAAGAACAAATTGGGAATAAGCAGAGAAGAAAATTGATGTAAGTAAAATCACCTAACTGAATTCCAGAGCAAATGCCCAGTTGGTTGTTACAGATTTTTGTATGGTTTGGGTCAGTGGAGTGCTGCTTGTAAAATTCCAAAGACGCACATAATGAGTGAACAGCTGTTGTTTCTACATATGGACAAAATTACTTTAAAAAAGTTTGTACTCTGTTACTGTCAAGTGAATAATATGTCAACTAGCACTTCATGTTTTTATAGTATTTTAATTGCTTTTCAGTAATTAGTCAGAAGTTAGAAGATAAATGCTTGCTTAATAATAAAACTTGGAGAAAGCTGTAATGCACATTTCTGAAGTTTGGCTGGTGACTGAAACTCCATAATGCAGCTAGCTAGGAATTCTGTTCTGCAAGTGTATTATAAATACTGGCAGATATCAGGGAGAGCTTTAAGGGGATTCTGTGTTTCTAAATAATTGAAAGGATACTAAAAATGGTTTAGACACATCAAACAATACCAAGAAGCTTAAAAACTTTAGTTTTGTATAATGCTGAGACAACAAAGGGAAGTGGGAATATTTTAGCTCCATGTGCAAGGCTTAAAGCTGATGAGGAAGGGGTGGCTTAGCTACAAGGGAGAGGGGTGAGAGAAAAAGATAACAGCAAAGGGTTAGTCAGTGCTCTCCTTTCCAGTGTGTATAGTAACAGGGGCTTCAGCAGGGCCCTCTTATAACTTTCACTCAGATAAACAGTGATTTGCCTGTGCAGTGAAGTGAGCAGATGGATTGTATAATAAGGGGAAAGCTATGCTAAGCTTGGTTGATGGTCCAAGCTGGAGGGGGGGATGACTAACTATAGCCCATGGAAGAATCAAGGTGAGATGTATAATGTATGATGGAGGTTCTTCGTATCGGAGGCTTTGCTGGGGCCAGATAGAAATTTCCAAAGGTTAGATTTACCCTTGTTACCTATTCATAAACATTCTGTTTCAGGAGAATCCACCATTGATTACATAATCACATTGCAGGTTGTCTGAGTTTATTTTAAAAGCAGTTTCTTGAGCAAGGCAACCATAGTTCTTTCTCTTTCTTTTAAAAATAATATTATAACCCACAGAGCCCTGTTTCCTATGAAGGCATTGGTTGAATATATAGGATAAATATTTCTCTTTCATATTGTTGTTTGTACTTGCAAATATCCATGCAAGTTGGCAAATATTTCATAATAGGCACTACTGTTTGTTTTGAGAATTAGTTCCTAATATGTGGCACAGTTCTTTGAATTCAACATATACATATATTTTGAGAGGGCATTGTTGATGCTGGCATATGTTTAGTATAGATTTATGAGGTACCCAGACTGAGAATGGACTAGAATGTTTCCCCATTGTTTTAATTTTACAGGATCAAAATTATTTAACATTGCTCTGGAAAACAAACTGAAAATTAACATTTGCTGAAGAAGTAAATTCCTAACGTGTATGTGACAATAAAAAATATGGTATGTAAAATGCATTACTCCCCAGCCTTTTCTAGCAATTGTGCTATCAGCATAAGCATTTCAGCTTGCCAGACAAAATGACACCCCGCCCTGCCATCTTCCCCTGGAGTGTTGTTCTCTTGACCCCTGCCCCCACCCAACTTAGAGGAGGGAAAGCCCAGTTGTTCTATCATAAAGGTAAAGGACCCCTGGACGGTTAAGTCCAGTCAAAGGCGACTATGGGATTGCAGTGCTCATCTTGCTTTCAGGCCAAGGGAGCCAGCGTTTGTCCACAGACAGCTTTCCAGGTCATGTGGCCAGCATGACTAAACCGCTTCTGGTGCAATGGAACACTGTGGCGGAAACCAGAGCACATGGAAATGCTGTTTACCTTCCTGCCACAGCAGTACCTATTTATCTACTTGCACTGGTACGCTTTCGAACTGCTAAGTTGGCAGGAGCTGGGACAGAGCAATGGGAGCTCACGCTGTTGTGGGAATTCGAGCTGCCAACCTTCTGAGCAGCTATCTTAAGTTGTATGGGCTTCTGCTAGCAGGACTTGTTACTTGATTCCAGACCTAAGACCTTAATGACATAGACCTATGGGTTGTAGTTAACACTGCACAGCAGAATTCCATTTGTGCACTAGGGTTTCCCCTTCCTCTCTTCCCATGTGCCCCAAAATCTGCTCCAGAGGACCCTTCAACCCTCTGGTGCAGATGTTGAGGATGCATGGGGAACCACATGGAGAAGGGGAAAGTCAATTCATGCAAGTGGAAAGTCTCTTGCTTGAGCAGAACAGCAGAGTTGTATACAACTCATTGCTTCTCAACTGTTTCAAATGGGAGCCATTGGTAAACTTAGCCTTCCAGGGACCACCTATAAACTAACTTCACTTTTCAAGTTCTACTTTCACCTTCCATAACAAAGTGTAAGAATATTATACCAGTAGTCAGCACCAAGCAAGTATACACTTCATTTTAAGCTCAATATAGGAACATACAGGCAGAATACATTTGAATAGAACTGAAGTATGACAAAGGGAGAAACAAGTGAGCCTATCTCATAAAAAGGCCTCATGACCTTAATGGTTTGTTGTTGGCCTGGAGAAAGGCAGCTTGGGAAGGGGGGAGGCAGTTGCTGCTACCCCTCCAGGAAAAATTGGCATTGCAGTTTATGGAACAGAGGTCTATTGTTCTCATTTTCTCTGCTCACTTCCTCAAAACATCCAAGTAAAAATGAAATTGTCCAACCTTTTGCAGTTATCAGGTGGGGCCATGGCAGCACATAACATGATGCTATCCCATCATATGTTGTGCTGGTTTAGATGCTATGAGGAAGAGACACATGGAACGGCAGCAGCTATTTGGCTCTAGCTAAATCCTAATATGGTTACTCTTCCAGACCTTTTCAATATATTTCTAATTTTACTGTGCGATCAGAAAATGAAGAGCCACAACTTTGCTTTATAAAGCATAATACTGCTTTTTATACTTGGTCCATGAATTTCTTAGTAACTATCACCATTTAAAAGACATTTTAAGGATGTTCCTTGTGCATTACCTTTTGTTGCTCACATGAAGTTTGAAATAGAAACCTGTGTGTGCATTTTCCTATTGCAAAATAGGCAGCAATTTTAAAGCAAGAAAAATGGCATGAGTGGCACCACCATTCTATTTCAAAATAATTTCTAATAATAATTAAGGGTAATTACATATTAGCAAAGCAATGACTTGTTTCAAAATCAGTGGCACAGTTGATTTTTTTTTGGAGAGCTCAATTGCCCAGGCCTGCCTTATCCCTTTGTCCCCCACTATCTTATTCAATAATCATTCTTCTTCATGCAAATGTAGATGGAGTGAACAGGGAAAGGTTAAAATGGAAGCAGGCTATCTTTCATCAACATTGTAATTTTACTGCTTGGCTTGGTGCCAAATACTCGCTGCAGTCACTAGCTGCCATTCCAACATGAGTGAAAGGATCTTTAATAAGAGTGTAAATAAAAGCCAGGCTGAGAAATGAGTTTTCCATCCCAGCAATCACTGGCCTAACCTCTGCCGTAAATAGTCTTTCAGAGCAGCACAGATGGAATACCTGCACCTGGGGATCAAGGCAATCTCTGAGCAGTGCAATTTAAGCAGCTGGGTACAATCGAAACATGAATTAGCTGGGATAGGCTGAAGAATTCCATTTTATATATATTATGTAGAAACAAATAGTTCACTATAAATTTCCCTTTCACAATGGAGTTGCTTTTTTAAAGCCATTTCTCTCTTGGAAGGGGCAGATGACTACAGCTGTTGAATTAATTAAACCAGGAGAATTTCTCATAAGATGGTATAACAATAGGTATTTAATTTATGATTATTGATTCAATAGTGTGAAAGTGATTTATCTGATCACAGCAGAGGTAGCAACGGCACCACAAGAACGATAGGTCATTCTAGGTTTATGTGTCTGAGTGGCTTTATTGATTCTGAACTACTGAGTCAGATGTACTTGGTAACTGAACCCTCAATACTTTTAAAAAGCCCTTTATACCACCATTGGTAACAATTTATTGTACTGATCAAGTGTTGCTCTGTAGTGGAGTGACAGCAAACGTATGTCAGAACTAGTAACGTTTTGTTGTTGTTGCTCAGTAGATCAGTCTTTTAAAAAACAAAATCATGTGCTATTAAGGCCCCATGACATTTTACTGCTTGTTAAAAGGAGACAGCATTACGCAATCTGTGCTAGGATCTATATTATATTGGAATATAGCTAAAGATATAGCTGAAACGTTTTGGCACATGACAAAATCTCAAGCTGCATGACTTGGTACCAATGTGAACAGTGGGCATTATGCTAAGTTATTTCATGAGTATTAAAGTCGCATGCCTACATATAATAGTGATAGCAATAAATAGGCATACAAAGATGACAATATGGACCAGCACAACAACCATGTTCATTGGACCAGTTTAAAAATGGCAAGTTACATTACATTTACATTAAAAATGTAAATATTTCTTTCAATTAAGTTGCTATTTAGTAATGGTGCATCAATGCACAATCACATTCTCTTCCTTAATCTTCTTAGATTTTATTCTAGTCTAAAGAATGGTTTACTTTTATTTGTATAAAGGCTTTTTATTTTTATGCACATGCATAACATTTAAGACTATTGATACAGGAACAAATGAATGACCCTGCTTCCTTTCTTATGGCCTCTATGCATACACAGGAAGAATGAGTGTAACAGTATATGAAATCGTCACATTCCATTCTTTTATCTTCTATACAACTATGTCACAGCACAACTCATGGAATAACCTTCCATAAACACCAATGTGTTACGGACTCTGGTTCATAAACTAATATTTGCCTCCTATCAAATTGCAGCCAAAAGGCATTGCAATCTGCACTCCACTTGGATGAAGATGTGTTGTACAAAAGGCAAACAATGACTGCACCAATCTCTCTTAGAAGAGAAGTTGGATAATAAATTTATCTTCCCTTCCCTTAATATATAAACATTAAAAACAATTCAGCTCTAGCCATGGGTAACAAGTTTTATATAATTATTAGTTATGCCAAACATTTATAAGCAATCTTTGTACATTAAAAGGTGTCTCCAGAAAAATTAAATAGAACTTAAGTGAACCCAGTACTGCACATCTGCACCCACATAAGCAACTTGAGCAGAAGGGTGTTTCTGCCAAGGAGCCAAATCTAGCTAGGAGGATACCAAGAATGAGCACTTGTAAGAGTTTCTTAAGTGGCACAACTCTTATGCCTCCATGGCAGAGGTTTTCAATCTTTTTGAGTCCATGGCTTTCTTGACCAACTACATTATTTCTACAGCACCCCTGTGGGAATCAGGAGTCCAGTTATGTCACCCCTTGCCTGCAGAGCTGGTAGCCTCAACATTTTTCAAACACCCTCCCTCAGCCTCATCTCCTCTCCCCTCTCCTTAGGAGTTGTCTGGGCAGCCACAGGCCCTGTTCTCTGAACTGCCCCACCCCCACCCCAGAGAGGTGCCTCCTCACACTGCCCACAAGGGCCTGGGAAGCACCCCCTGGCCAGCCCCAGAGGCACCATTCGCCTGGAGAGCTTGTAGCCAGGGCTGCTGCAACAAACAGCCGTGCAAGCCTTTAGGAGGCAGAGACGTGGGGGGGGGGGACAGAGGGAGAAGCCAGTGTGTGCGTGTGCATGGTGAGGGTGCTGTTTACATGCATGTCCCTAACCCCATCCACTTTTGAGCATTCACATATTCAGGCATTAAGAATTTACAACTCCCAACAGTAAATTAAGGAAACCCTACAAATTAACCCATTGTTTCATGAGCTATTAATACAGAAATGGGAAACTTGTAGTACGCCTGTTGTTGGGCTCAAATTTACACCAGGCCCAGCCAGCATGAACAAGTCAGGGATGATGGGAATTATAGTCTATCATCTGGAGGGCCTTAGATAATTCATATTTGCATCAATGTATCATAGCATCTAGGAAACTCCTTCTAGTCACCCTAGCTTGAGATTAGATGGGCGACCAGGGGGAGGACCTTTCCTGTTCTGGCACTCCCTCTCCAGGTATTTGGCAATTCCACACCATATAGTCAACACATATGCAATACACGACTTTTCCAAAAAAATCCTGGAAGCTAGTTTAAGGGTGCTAAGAATTTTTAGCTCTGTGAGGGGTGAACTACAGGTCCCGGATTCTTTGGGGGAAATCATATACTTCAAATGTATGGCATGATCCCGCCCATTATTTGCCTGCCATAACCACAGCTAGCCTTCAGGGACTTGGCCAAGACTAGCTCTTTCTACCAAGTATTGAAGAAGTAGACTTACTTCATTGTTCTCTGTGGTTGTGGTTATTTTAAATCTTGTATTATATATAATTTATTATTATAGTTTTATTTTGTAGTAAGCACTTTCTTAACAAGTTACAGGAAGGTGAAGTATACAAAATCAAATAATTGCATCCAACTTTTTAGCCCCACTGACAATTTTGAAGAAATACCAACAAAACACCTGAGAGACATCCCAGAACACTGATGAATATTCAAATATTCAAGCATTCTTTCCCCATTCATGAGATGGAATAATCTGATGAATGTATTATGCAGCATTTCTCAATAGTTTGGCTTCATGATAAACTCTGTGATGAAAGGCAGGCAGAATATGATATACTTTAATAAATGGGTAGACTCACTATACTAGTTAAATCTATGTCTACAACTCAGTATTTTCCCCAAGTACTCAAAACTTTGCTCTCAAGCCATGCAGATTTCATAAATTGTAAGTTACTAAAACCACTTGGAATAGTGTAGGGAAATGTAACATTTAACAGCACCTTCAGCACCAATTATGTTCTTAACTACACCTACATGTAATAGCTGCTCACTTTAAACCCATCCTGTGCAAGAGTTCTACTAGCCCATCCCACTTTCCTAAAATGCCCTCTAAAATAATAAGCCTGAAGGGAATGGAAGGCAATTTTAGTACAATAGCTTGAATATAGGTTTAGTTAGTAGAAACTATTTTGTTCATGGAAGTGGTTCCCAACTTAGTAGTGAGAAAAGTGAACCCAAGTCCTGTAGGGCTATTTTTAAGGTCAGTCTGTGTCTTCCTTTTTCAACATATTTCTCATACCCTCACAGAGTGGCACGGAAAGAAGTAGCTTCTGCAAGAGTTCACAGAACAGGACTAATACATTTTCTCATCCTTCTCAGTTCTTTGGATTTAAGCCCTTATTTCTGCTTCAAGAAGATCAATGTAATACTGAATTCAGCCCCAGGCATTAATGCCTTATCTACTGATACCAATGAAATACAACTGCAAATACCCGAAAAGGTTATTTATAGGCAAAACTCACGAGAAAGAAAAGCTCCCATTCAATTCATTTAATGAATTTTAAATTGTGTCTAGTTCCATGCAGTTATGTTGCTTTTGTGCATATACCTTTAAAAAGCAGTGCCAGCTGTATAACTACTAGGATTAAATTATAATGCTGTCTTGCTAGTGGTAGGGGTCATATTGGAATGATGGGCACTAGTCTGAAAAACAGAAGAGCAACTGATGACTTAGCTATGGGAAAGATATCTACTTAAGAGCAAAACAAATTGCTCCAATCGTTCAATGCTTTGTAAATTGCAGAACTAATTATATTCTTCCCAGCCCTGGAACTAGGGAGGGGAAGAAAATCGTACTCAATATATATCTACCTATGTATGCACACATAAAGAGAAGAGATACTTGCAACCCACAAACTGCTTTTACAGTGAATTCTACCCTATTTTTGGTATACTACACTAATGGAATAAATCTTGTTGAGAAGCGCTGAGCATTTTGCCAAATTCACCAGCAGCTAAAATGAAAACATCACTCCTAAAGCTATGTAAAGTTCATGAAGGGTTGCACTCAGAGAAATTAATGGACACAATGAACTTAGGTCAGAAATTCCAGTGGGTCTGCTCTGAGTAGAGTTGGATACAACCAAAGTTCTCTCTTACTTGGTGTAGGAGTCTGCAGTAAAGACCCACATCCAATTATGTACTTCAAACTGCATTACAAAGACAGTTTGAACTTGGATGAGTAATTATTCATCATAGTTCCCTGTTGTGTGCAAAAATCTGATTGGTTTCCTAACTGATGGTGCTGAAACCCTTAAAATTTAAAAAGCAATTTCATCCTGACCTCATATAATGATTTACAAGGAATTTTTTGCACATTTTCAAAAATCCTATATTCACTCCCCATTCTTATGGGATACTGATTCCAACAATACTACTGAGAGGCTGAATATAGTCAGAATTTTTTCCCTGAGGTTTCATAAAATTATTCAATGTAGAAATGTTTGTGTTCGATGAATCTTTTAAAAAATTAATCATAAAGTTTCCTTGTGTATCCTGAAAGTACTTTTTTAAGTGTTCTAGATCCAAGTTTAAGCTACATCTTTTTGATAAAGTGAAAAATGACACGTTTGCCACAAAGACTACATTTTCCCATTACTGCTCTAACTTGTGTCCTCTATTTTTTCATCATATCTTCTTTAAACAGGCCACCCTACCTTACAGCTTTCTAAGTTTCAGGTGTTTTTTTAAACAAAGAAACTCACTGGAGCTCAGCATACAGCACCAAAGATATTAAATAAAGATAAATGTGTTTTATTATATAAGCTATTCAAATTAACTTATTCCTATCTTTTCATGAATTAGCCATACAAAGTTTGAAAAAAATAAGAAATCCAACACCTAACTAATAAAGCATACAACACAGAGAGGACGTTGCTCACAATACTAAGTACTGAACAACGAACCTTTACAAGTAATAAACCTATTGTTTTCCAATCTATAGGTCAGTATATTCATTTCAGCAAGGGCAAACACTAGTTTAATTAAGGAGCTTTTATATAGTGATCATACTAGTTTGTGTTTCATACTAGTATTAAAAAGCCTTTAAGATATTTTACCCACAGTTCTTTCGCCAATTATTTTTAATTCTGTCATCTAATAATAGTGGAATTTGGGTAAATTGAGTTATATCCAACATGAATCATACTCAAAAGTAGGTCCTCTGAAATCAATGGGCTGAAGTCCATTGATTTTAATGAATCTCCTCTGAGCAGGACTAATGCTGGATGTCACTATTTCACTTTACTTTTTATCCTAAGGTTTTAAAATATGGAGATATTAGAATTCATGAAATATTAGATGCTTCTAAACTTAATTAAATATTAGTTAAATGATACACTGGAGGGAAAACAAACTAGTTAAGACAGCTATGCACTTACCTGGTAATGTCCCATTATAAATGGGACTCTTGAGTAGACATGTGTAGATTTGCACTGTTAATACTAAAGCTGAAGACTATAGCATCTGTCATAAGGAAGGCATGTGACATTATGTATTATTCTTACAAAAGATTAGGTACTGATATCATTGTCTTATTTAATGCTACTGTTTTTTAGTATTTTAATATGCAGTGCAGAATAAATGCACAGTCGTTAAAATTTATGAAAACCTCATAAATGGTGTTTTATTGATGTTATTTCCATAACCAGAATTCAAACAGTAATTGCCACTCATAATATCCCAAACTCATCAGCCCAGCAACACAATCTAAACATATGTCCTTGCTGGTGTAATACAAGTATCAAAATTTCACTATAAATATGTAAGTGCCCATCTAAAGATTTAAAGAAATTTGTCGTATGAGATGCTGTCTATTCAGCACATGCAAGATGTACAATAAATTTTAGCTTTCCACAGATATGTAATAGATAACAACAAACAGGCATTTTCTTTAACCAAACTAATAATCTGAATAGAACAGTATCTGTCAGGACGTCACTAAGGAATACAACATGCAATACTGACGTACATACTGTGCATTTCAAAATTCAGACATTTCCTGAGGAAATAAAAAACTGGAAAATGCAACATTTCAGTTGTGCGAAGCCAAGCGCTGCAAAGCCATATACTGAGAGGCATTAAACACACACAGAGAAACGGCAATCCCTGGGAAAACAAAGGGGATTCCCATTGTCATTGTCTTCATCTGCAGCTGATCATCACCAGCACTAGCAAGGCAGTAGCTTGCGCAGTTATCTCCACAGCGGGCAATGTCACAACCCGACCAACAGCACAAACTACTACCTCAGCCAGGGCCATGGTGCTCCCGACCCCATCCTGGAAGGAGAGAAGAAAGGCGGGCATGTTCCACCCACAATAAAATGAAGAGCCCAGAGAGAGAGAGAGAGAGAGAGAGGAAGGAAGGAGCCATGGCAAAAGGGTTCGGGCTCTTTCTGACGGTCCTCTTGTCTCCTTTATCTGCAGCAGACATCAGCCAGACTCCCTTCTTTGCGAAGGGCAGGAGGAAACCCCGCCCAGAGCGCGCATTACAACGCCGCCGCCACCCCCCACCTACCCCGCCGCCGCCACCCGCTCTGCCCTTTTCCTTGCATGACCTGAAACTGACGCGAGGGAGTCTCGTTTATTAGGTACATTACAGGCCACAGCTGGTGCAGTCCCCAGGAGCTTAATTGTCAATCGGCGCGAGACGGAAAAGCGAAGGCGCGGGAGGGGAGGAGGAACAAGGGGGAACAAAACTGAGGAGAAAATTCGCGCTCCCATATTCCCTGACACTCACTCGCCTTCACCTCAGCTTTAGATTGTTCTGCGGCGGAGAGGGAAGCAGGGACCGGTGCCCTCCCCCTCCCCTCTCAAAATTCGAACATGACCGTTGCAGGCTCTCTCCCCCCCCACACACCAACTGCCCGATCGCGCGCGCCGGCCCCCCGAGGGAATAAAAGGCGGTGAGGCGCTTGACGAGGCGCCATTCCTGGCGGCTGAGGGCACACGATGGCGCTTGCCGCCTCACGCGCCGCCAAGCGGATAGACGAAGGCGGGAGAGGAGAAAGGAAGAACACGGTTTTTTCGGTCGCTTCCTTCAAGGACAGCAGTTATATTCTGCTCCTCTGACGGCGGCGAAAGCATCTTCCTCTCCGTGCCGCCTTCCCCACCCCCCGCGCTGTATCGCAGTGAAAGACGCCGCCGCGCTCCCGCCCTTTCCGAGGCTCCGCCGATTTCCCTTTCTCCGGAAGGATGAGAAGTCCCCCCACTTCCCTCCGCCTATTGCTCGCCTCCCTCTTGGCGCGCCCGGCCACCCAAACCATAGAGATGGAGAAAGGGGGGAGCGCGAGTACTCACGTTCTGTCCACGTGACTAGTAGGCCTGGCCCGTCAGAAAGCCTTCCAGCGCCATCTTGAACAAGAACACACCGGCAACGGAGCGGGGCTGCGGGGGGTGGGCTGGGAGGTCGGTGCTCTCGACCTTCTCTGCTGCGGCCCCCGAGGAAAAGACGGCGCCGGTCAATTAATCCCTCGGGCAAACAGGAACTCGCTTTAAAGCCCTTGCCTCAAGGAATGCTGGGAAATGGGATGTGTTTCCCCCCCTCCCTTTTCTTCGCGTGAGGAGGAAGAGCAAATCTCGGCGCGAAAATATAGAGGGGTGTGGGCACCTGACGACCAGTCTCGCGCTCCGAGCGAAGTCTGCTGGGAAATGTAGTCCAGGACAAGCTAGGCCTAGCCGAGGAATTGAGTAAAATTTGCGTTCGCCAGGCGTTAAGTTGCCTATCGAGCTGCAACGGGGCACAACAGATAAAAGGCGAAAAATACTATGTGATACGGCTGAAATCCTAAAAATAAGCCATGTTGAACATAACGGGACTTTGAATAATCACCTGCAGTGTAATGGACAAAGGTCGTTGTCGTTTTGAAATGCATTTAAACTCGTCTTTTGCTGTAAATAATTTCTATTCGTTCTAAGCAGGCGACATGCAAAACGATAAGAAGTTCAAATGTATCACCCATATTAAAATAGTATGTGGAAAGATTTTAAAGGGAAACTAGTGAAATCCTATACATGTCTACTCAGGGGTAAGCCTCATTGAATTGACTAGGATTTATAACGTAAAATGAGTATTGGCTTGCAGCCTAAATCACAAAAAAAGTTGTAGGTGATCTTACCACCTCATTACTACCAACATTAATACAGATAGAGGCCAATTAATCAAAACTTAAGCAGTGCACATTATATGCAAAAAAAATATACGCAAAAGAAAAGAAGTAAAACTTAAAAACTAAATTATTTATCTGGCTAGACTTGTTGAAATAAAGTTTTTAGCAGGCACCTACAACAATATAGTGGGAACAACCATGCTTGCTGCTGTAATTGAAAGCCTCCCCAGAAGAGCTTAACAGTAGCCCACGTGGCACAATGTGTTTCCACCAAAAGCTGAAGTAAGGCTTTAAAGCTAAAAACTTGAACACATTAACAGCTAGCGCCAAGATCCAAAAGTTGTTTTACTATATTTTGTGCTGTCCATGCATGCTTCAGTAGCTTCTGTAAAGTTACAGGCAGAAAAGTGAACTTATACTCAAAGTGCATAAATGACAAAAACAAGATCTATACATGGAGTATACAGATTATTTACAAGGTTTATTGATATGGTAAGAGGCTGTGGATTGACAGAATCCAAAGCTTTCCTGTTTTGAACAGGAAGTAGAGCTGGGGGGAAACTCCCAATGGGAGGGGAAAATTATTACAAAAGCAGCCTTAAGTGGCCAAATTAAAAAGCAGGAAATTCATTCCTCCAAGGATTGCATGCACTGACACTTCCTCTGCCTCAGTTTCTTCCTCTCACATCTGACAGATTGCTCTGCTAAACATTCTAAAGACCAACATGTAATGTACCTTTTCACACATTTAGATTAATCCTCATAAGTTCAGGGCAGATTGTGTGGTAAACTGAAATCAATCTGATACACTATATGGGGGACTTACCCATGTAAATATGTAGAGAGTTTTAGCCTTACATTACTATGAGAAAATGGTAAGAGAAAATACCAATTGTGATAACCAATTCAAAGCAAATTTTCTATTTATGCCTGATATTTTCTAAACAAAAGAACATACAAACTGGCTGAAAACTATAAAAAAGTTAATTTACCACTAAATCAAGATAGCATTAATTCAAATCATTGGCTCATATTGCTTCCTGGAGCAGGTAAGCATCAGAAAGACTATTGTTCTACAACACAGAAAGAAAATGTCAAGCTATCTGGCTGGCAAATAGGAGTCATAATTTGAGAGCATATTGCAGACCTTATGGTAATGAGCTCATTGGGCAATTCTGGTGAAATACAAGACGGCATGTCCTGGAGGTAGTAGGAACAGTGTCTCTTCCCCAATCTTTGTATCAAGCTTGCAACATATACAGCACACGATCCACTGTAACAGTCAAGATGATTTCAAAAGGAAACAGGGCTTGGCATATCTTCCTTTTCAGAGGGTAGCAACCTTTAACTCAATGGCTGCAATCCTGGGCACACATACCGGTAATTGAAAGTAAGCACTAATGGTGGATAGAATAGGATTCAGCTAAATATGTTTGGGCTTGTAAGTGCAGACTTTACCATGTTCATTTGTACTACATTCAGAACACTTAAGATATAACAATTTAATGCAACCTCACTGAAATAAAAAGTGAAACTTTTTTAATCCATACAAATATGCTTTTTGGCTGTTCCATGACAAAAGGTGCAAGTCTACAAAGCACGACAGAACAGTCACCATGGAGGCTTCTGAGGTAAGAGCACAGAAAGGGCTCCCTTATAGTAGTTAATGGCATGTGCCTTATCTGTGACACTATTTATGTGGCAGGTGACCATACATGCTGGTAAAGTGTGTCACCTCCATAGTAACTTATTGTTTTGCTGAGGTTCTCACAGCAGAGAATGGACAATAGAATAAAACTTGCTATCCAACATATTCCAGTATTATCAAGATTAGGATCTGACTAAAATTTAAGTGGTGTGGCCTAGGGATAAGATTTCTTTTCAACAATGAAGAGGTTTTACAGGAAATACCCATTCCATGGCACTTCATAGTAAAGGGAAACAAACAATTTTACTTCATGACAGTTTACTATATCTCTAAACTATCTTCAAAAATACACTTCTCGGTTTGTATCACACACATATTATACTCAAAGAGTAGAACAGCTATTCTTCAGGTTGAAAAGACGTTACAAAACAAAGCACTTAAAATTATTGAAACAATGACAAGAAATACAAGTAAAATATTGCTGATACTTAAAATCATTTTGCTTTAGTCATAATTCAACAATAGTGACCAATGCTGTTGGGGCGAAACCGAAAAAAATATACATTTCAACTAAAAGGGTTTTTTAAAAAGCAGAGCTACAAAAAAAGGGCTGACAGTAAAACAATTATTTAGTGAAATGAGGTATGGTAGTGTTTTGAATGCTACACAGCAATTTTCTGCTTATGCAGATTCATTTATTTCAACATGGCAGCTCACAGATTTTTGCCACTATCTTTATTCATATGTCCTGTTAGCAGAATTGTTATTCATTGGCCACAGATAAGATACATTCAAATATGCCAAAAGAGAAAAGGAAAAAATCATCTGCATGATCAGATATGAATGAACATATCTGCCAACAAAGAAGGCAAATATTAAGTAAAAATGCAAGCATACAACTTAGTATTCATAATAAATACATTTTCAAGCTTTTAACATTATTGATGTTTAAAAAAGAATTTAAACAATAAATGCAACTTTTTTTTTACAGAACTGTACGATTTATTATACACACAAGTACATTTTCCCTTTGTTTACAAAGGCTGGTTACAGATAATGTGGAATGTTACAGTACCTTCTTGCATAAAATTTTAGTACAATTTTGTACTTGAAAAAACGGTGCAAAACACCTGCCTAATAAATCCAAATGAATTAGGTTTCTGTTTTTTTCTTAATTACATCATTAACACATACACAACAAGCTGTACATAAGCCCACTTTTCAATCACCAATTCAAGTTACTGTAGCAAGTACTGTACTTTAAAATGGATTCCAGTCAGTGAGTCAAAGGCTTGCATTGCTATTCACCCAGAAACATTTGAGATGCAAGCTTGAAGTGATATGAATCACAGAATTCTGGTTAGTACAGTTTAAAGGCGGTCAACACTGCTTGCCAAGTACTGGTCATGAGATTTCATCAAAGATGTCTCACATTAGAACAAACATTCGTTTGATGGATGCATTTTTCTTGAAAAGCAAAAATTTGGTCAGGACTCTCCATTCTGTACCTTGGATGCTGGTGGGTGCATAAAGTCCTTAAAGGGAACTAAAGCTTCTTTGAGAGCAGAACAGACCTCTGAAGATGAGCAGGTGATACATTCTACTAAAGTTGGATACAAAGCAATAACCTGTGCCCATGTGTTAGCATCAACTGTAAAAAAATAAAAATAAGTAATTTTATAGTGTATTCTTTAAAGAGTATTTTTCCACCTCACCCTGACGTAAAGAGGAGAAAGATACAGATCATCCACAGAATAACAAAAAGGTAAATGCAGATGCCCTCTCATACCAGCCCAGTTAATAAACATAACAGAAAAAACAGCATGTTTAGCCAAAGACCACTGCAGCTTAGATTCAATAAATACGTATGTTTTCTCAGCATCTTAATTCCTTTGCTAAATTGCCGTTTATTCAAGAGTAGGCCTAGGATTGTAACCTTAAGTTGTGACTCGAGGAAAATCGGAGCACAATGGCGGGGAGAACTGGCGCGGCCGCATTTGAGCGGCTAAACCACGCCCCCGCACTGTCACCCTATTGGGTGCCCATCCGGGGGTGCGGCACGTCAGCGACGATGGCAGGGCCGGGGGCGGATCGCCCCCTGCGTGAAACGGGAATCGGCTCCCAGTCACAACCCCTCCCCTCCGGAAGGAGGAGAGGCTTTGTGATTCTTCCATCTGAATGATAGAATCTGTGTACACTTCCTATGAAACAAGCTCACACAGTTTGAAGCATTAGCCAGTTCATACTTGATTGTGGACTCCGGAAGGCTAAAACAACCAGATTGAATTGACTAGACCCATCATTTTACTGTGGTATCCAAGAGCTGTAAAAATTTGGACCTGCTTAGAGATACATTTGTTAGAAAATGTACAGGCAAATCTAACCATGAGTCAACATAAAGAACTATGCATAGTATTATTTAAGACTGTTCAATAAGTAAACTCTATAGTAGAGGTGCGCCTGCCTTGCCCCATGACAGTGAGTGCCCGGGGCGTGCTGCTTTTACTGTGGCTGGGCCCCTTTATTTAAAATTTGTGGGTGCCTGGGCACCCAGAGCCCCACATAGTTGGCGACTATGATATAGTACTATAAGGGGTGATCTCACTGAGGAACGTATGAAGATACATATTTTACACACACAGTTTTTATTTTACTTACCATTTTCTGGTTGAGTTTTTTTAAGAGAATCTATGAGGGTACTGACAGCTTTTAAAACAAATATTATTTCTGTGACTTGTTGCCTATAAAAGGAAGAACAAAATCAGATGTGAATTTAAGTTCGAGGAAAACTGATTAACTTGAGCTTATGCAAAATAAATTTCTGCAATGATTTCTAACAAAATCTAAAACTGAACTTTTAAAACTATTATCTTTTCACTGTGACATCTCAATTTAGGATGGATTATATCTAGTTTCATTTTCAGAATGAAGTACAAGAGTATTATAAATATCAATAGAGACGTCATCAAGTGAATGTTGACAGGACTCCAACCAAGATGGATCCCCTGAAGAATAAGGAGCAGATATCAAATGCTCAGGGGAACTGAAGTTTGCAGAAGTACAAGCAATTGGGGGGCGGGGACTAAGGTGGCACCCCTTGTAAAAAGAAAAGCAAAGCTCTGAGTATTATCAGCAACTACAGAATGCCAAGTGTCTCCTGGTCAAAACAAAGCAAAACAAAACAAAACAGGAACTGAACTGGGGGAATAACCTAGAAGGCATCACTAGATAGCTTGAAGCCTGAACAGGAACACCCCACATTGCAACTGTTTTGCAGTTTCCACTTGTTTCTAGTATACATCATTTTTAGGAATTTAAAAATACTATGGCAGGGATACAAATAATTTTGCAGTGAGCAATCCCCAGGCACGTCATTTGGAAATTAAGGGATATTTCAAAAGCAGCTTCCATTAGGGCAGGTATTGGGAACCTTTGTTCCTCCAGATGTTGCTGAACAACTCCCATCAGCCCCAGCAAAGCATGGCCAATGGCCAGGGATGGTGGAAGCTGTACCTCAACAACACTGGCATTGGGGCATGGAAGGGCATTGGGCCATTCAAACAGAAGATCAAATCTTAGCTGATGAGCAGGGAATTCAGTCATGCTTGGTCACTATCTCCCAAACTGGCAAATTTGACAGATGGGAGTGGTATCACCCACTTGCCAAATATGGCCCATATGTGTAGGGGGAGATAAACAATTGTAATACTAGGCTGAAAAGGTTCCCTACCCCTAAACTACATTTCGGGTGCTAAAATTTACGCTCCGTTTTTGAATGCTTCTTAAAGAGTTGCTGTGGCCAAATTAATGGTGATTAGTCAAAAAGATTTAACTGATCATCAGTATCTACCAAATCAACTAAGAGTTTATTATATTTTTGTTATGGTCATTATATGTAGTAAACTAGAAGACAGAGCTACTATTATTTTCAGGTGACCAAGATAGACAGATATACAAGCCTTTCAGCTACCAATGCTTTTGTAACAACATTCTTTTACATACTGGGCAGGCACATGGGAACCCCAACACAAAAAGGCCTTAAGGAGGACAGCAACATACAAAGCTTTATAAGCAGAAATAAGCAGCTCCCTTAAACTTAAACACACCCACACCCACACCCCACACACAGTACATACCGTGGAAGGGGGCACTTGCCACTTAGCCTTTCATCTTCTATGTAGCGATACAGCACATCTTGTGATCGTTTTAAGAGAACCGAAAGTGCCATTCGTGAAATGTAGCCTTCTTGAGGAGTTGTCACTTTATTACTGAATGAAAACTGAAGCAATGTTTCAAAACACATCTTTGAAAATTCCTCTCTCATACGAATATCAATTTCGGCTTCTGTCAAAAACAAACAAACAAAAAACTATTTAAATGTACTTCTTGAAATATATTATTTTAAATGAATTGTTGGACTAGCAGAGCATATGTGAAAGGATAATGATCACAAAAGCTAATTGTATCTTAGATAACATATATATAAATATATACATTAAAAGTACAAATAAACTGGACAACTTTAAACACGTTTAAAAATAAGTCTCTTGTGCACTGTTCAGCTGTGCTAAAGAATAAAACAACACTAATCTAAAGGGTGTTATCTGTGCCTAATTATTCATCTAGTGCACATGATATTTAATATTTTCAGTCCAAATGTTTACCGTATAAGGAATCCTTCCATGTGTCTCCTTATACGACTTTATTGCTTGGTTAACATACCTGTAAATGAAGATGACTGCGAATGTATTGAGCCTTTATTGAGCATAGTCATAATTTGACCAACAAATTCCTTGGGAATAAAGTTAGCATAAGGCAGTATCTCTGTGCTGATGAGCTGAACCACCTATAACAGATGAGAACATATAAATGTTATGTTGAAAAGTCATTCACCAGAAGTTCATTAACACCCAGGAGATTTGGACACCGTTGCAGAAATAAATAATGTCAACAAACACGAATATAAAGAGCCTCTGCCTTTTTAGCATGAGATCTGTACGCACATGGCCCATGTCTAGGTGAAGCACAGGAGCAAGCTTTGGGCTCTTACACCCTCCCTGCACTATTGACAGAACCTTGAATGTGAACCAAAAGGTGCATTAATCCTTACTTGAATAGGTTCCTAGTATATTAACTAAATTACGTAATCTAGTTTTGATTAATTAAACATTTTGGTAGCAAATATTTTGAGTCACTTGACAGGAAATATGCACTCACCTCAACATCAATGCTTTCATTTCTCTGAAACTCTTGAATAGAAAGATTATCTGGAGGGGAACTGAAAGGAAATGGAGAATTGCCTTAACATATGGGATTGAGAGACCAATTTGTTTGTGTGTGTGTGTGTGTGTGTGCGCACACACACAATTGCTTTATGTGTTTTATTGTGTTGTGAAATCGTTTTGAGATGCTTCACAAGAAACAATTAAAATATGAAATTCACAATATTATATGAGGAACCACGGGATGAAGCTTTTCAGACCCTTGACCATACTAAATATCCCAGTGTGCAAATCCTTTATGAGCAATTTGAGTATATTTAAATAGTTTACAATCCTTATATATTTCAACTTGCAAATTGTATTTAATTTTTAAATTTTGCAAATGGGGAACTGAGGCCGATACTCATATCCAGTAAGCCACACAGCAGCAGGATTTGAAAGAGTGGCTCATGCACTGAACCAAAAGAGTCAAAAAGACATTTACGGCAGACACTTTCTTTTTATACCTCCCTGTTTCATTTCATGCTTAATCAACTTAGTATATTAAACTGGACAGTTGAAGGCAGATTATTCTTGCACTTACTATAAATGAAATAATACATCCCTATCTTTTCAGCTTTCAAGTGAGACAAAGACACACGGCAGAACACAACACTGTTGAATGCTATCATGTCTTTTTGCATCTCAAAACAAGGAATAATTATTCTGACTTTTCAGAGAGCCTCTCACCGTTTTTCAAAATGTCAAGTACAGAATTTGACAAGCACAGAATTTTCCTTTATCACAATTTAGGTTACTATTGCAAACTATCTGGTATATTGAAAGGGCTAATTAAACTACTGCGTGCCTGCAGAGACAGAAGGCAAGACCATCTCCCAAACATTATGTTATGTTTCTACTGCATAAACACAGTGCTGGCCATAGTTAAATATTTAAATTCATTTTCTGTGAAACAGAAAATGAGCAGTGGGATATTGATATAAAAATAGTGGGTCTAATAATAATAATAATAATAATAATAATATGTAATGGTGATACTAAGCTGACAGGCTTCTGTCAGCAAAATAGAGAGAGAAATAATTCTCAGCAATTCCTTCTCTCTGCACTGCAGACCTCCATTCCACCCCAATTATTACAGACAGCTGGGTGACCCTCTGGAGCCAGTTTGGAAGCAGAAGGAGGGCTGGAGACTGAAAAGAGGGGAAGAGGAGTAGCTGAAAACTGTTTTCCTTCCTATTCTGCTGACACTAGTCTAACTGTCAGCTGAGCAACACCACTGGATGCAACCCAGTGACTGTAAACTTTGTAAAAACACTAATTCTGGTAAGATCAAACTCAATTTGAAATGTTAATTCCAAAATTTAAGAAACTGTGCAGAAAAGTCTTTCAAAGGAAGAAGCTGTATGTGTCATCTTAATTTGTGCACAACTTAAAATATATCACTATATAGAATGCCTATTACAGTTGCTTAATGCTTCCTATACTTTAAAAAAAACTATTTCCAATTATGTGTAAGCTTGCACAAATTCAGCCAGTATTATGAAATATGTGGTTGCCTACTGCAATTTACAGAGCTATGCTATGAATGTTTACTCAGTAAGTCTCACTGTGAACATACACTATTTAATGTATGTTTGGACTGCAGTCTTACTGGTGTTATTGTTCAGTACAGAAGCTTGTTAGGGATTGGCAGAAGTCATGGATCCTCATGATCACATCTTTCCCACTGCATGGGGAGTTTTAAGAAATTGTGACTCAGCATATGCTTTGCTCAACAAGGCTTAAAAGTCAGACTTCTTGAGCATGAATATTCACTATACAGTGGTACCTCGGGTTACATACGCTTCAGGTTACAGACTCTGCTAACCCAGAAATAGTGCTTCAGGTTAATAACTTTGCTTCAGGATGAGAACAGAAATCGTGGTCCGGCAGCACGGTGGCAGCAGGAGGCCCCATTAGCTAAAGTGGTGCTTCAGGTTAAGAACAGTTTCAGGTTAAGAACGGACCTCCGGAACGAATTAAGTACTTAACCTGAGGTACCGCTGTAGTGTCAGAGCCAAAAACTTTAGAAACACTCAAGATTAGGTTTCACTTATTGGTACAGTACTGCTATTTCATCCTTATTTGTTGGACCAGTTCAGCCTATATTCACTAGCTAAAGACTACAAAGTTTTTAGTACACATGCCCATCTAGCTTTTGAGAACCTTTAGTGCAGAGCTTTCCAAACTTTTCATGTTGGTGACACACTTTTTAGACATGCATAATTTCATGACACAGTAATTCAGTTTTACTATCAAACCAGAGGTTAAACTAATCCCTTTCCAGCCCCGGGAGGAGAGCAGGGAGCGTTCGCACGACACACCGGCACACTAATGTGTTGCGGCACAGAGTTTGGAAAGCTCTGCTTTAATGACACAGAATGGGGAAAAAACAATGAGCCTCAAAGTTTTCATAAGGTAATATAATTTAGGAAATTACATAATGGTGTTAATTCTCATAATTTGCATCTGTGTCTACTTAGCGCTTTCCTAGTCATGGAACCATTCCAAAGTTTGAGGAAGAATCAAGTGTTCTAAGATAGAGGTGTTTAAGAGCCAATTTCATAAATAATAAAATCGGATGTGTTCTATTTCAAGTTTCTTCACTCTGCCTTTAATCCCACACAAACAAGAAGTTGCACTTTACCTTTTAGTAAATAAAAAGTTTTCAAAAGTGTTGGCTAACTCTGGCCACATGCTGTCAAATTTTCCAGAGGAAGCATGCTGCCTTGCAACTGGTAGGCCAATGGAAAGAACTTTCAGGAGAGAAGAAACTGCCAGCTTCCAGGTGCTTTCTGAAGGACAAGCATACTTCAAACTAAGTGGCATTCTCAGTGTCTGCAAAAATAAGGATGCTTACGTAAGTCGAACAGTAAGGTGTACAAGAAAGAAATGTGCACTTTCTTATTTTTTGTACTTGTAACACAAAGAAAGAAGCTCACTTAAAGTACAGATCAAATACATAAATAGAGAAAGATTGTGCCTGCAGGCAAGGAAGACAGAAAGAAAAAGAAGCAAAAGTGGCCACCTAGGTTTCCGCATGCAAACATTACAGGACCGGAAGGGAAGACGGGAGTGTCATGACAGTGAGCAATAATAATGGAAATAGATAAATTTTGGGAATTTTATAATACTAGAATGCTTTTTACTGTCTAGTTCCGAATACTCCATTCTTACGTTTGATAGAAACCCATTTTCAAAATGAATATAAATGCTAATCCACACAGGCCATTTCCTTTAGTTTGCACATGTGGAAATTTCAAATACTATTCTTGGGGTAGAAATTTTTCATTCTGCATTCCTACTAAAAATGGTAATGGCAATTCCTTTCCCTCAGTTTGTGTGTGCCATGACTGCTTTGTCATTAAAGGTAAAGGGACCCCTGACCATTAGGTCTAGTCGTGACTGACTCTGGGGTTGTGGCGCTCATCTCGCTTTACTGGCCGAGGGAGCCGGCGTACAGCTTCCGGGTCATGTGGCCAGCATGACTAAGCCGCTTCTGGCGAACCAGAGCAGCACACGGAAATGCCGTTTACCTTCCCGCCGGAGTGGTACCTATTTATCTACTTGCACTTTGACATGCTTTCGAACTGCTAGGTTGGCAGGAGCAGGGACCGAGCAACGGGAGCTCACCCCATTGCGGGGTTTCGAACCGCCGACCTTCTGATCGGCAAATCCTAGGCTCTGTGGTTTAAGCCTAACAGCGCCACCCGCGTCCCTAATGCTTTGTCATTAGCCAGGAGCAAAAACTGATTGGGAGCCATCTAATCCCCAAGAGTTTCTTCTCCTGCTTTCATGCTCCTGGTGCAGCAAGAGCCCAACCTGACGATGCCAGCAAGAAATCCATGGTTATCATCGTTATTTATATATGTATAACTATGTGTGTGAATATATATACACAGAATCATGAAGAAAACAAATGTCACACAAACCCAGCAATGTGTTTCTAAATGTAATAGAGGTTAGTCATTACATGCCAGCCAACTGCAGATTTTATTCAATTACACTAGCACTAGGACACCCTAGTCCTCTTGCTTCCGATTACCATAGTCTAGTCTCCAACAGTGGCATTGTTTTCCAGTGTGCAAGGGACTAAAACGAAGATCCAAGCACCAACTATATGGATAGCTGTCAAAGTTGACCCAAATTTTTGCAGAACATATTTATGGACAGTAATTATTGTAACACAAAATGGTTATTGCTAAAATCAAAACAGAATCACTCTTAGTGCTCCAGAGCCAGTCCACAAGCTAACCTCAGAGCAGAAGAACTATAATTAAAGAATTATCTTAAAATTTATATATGAATATTTACCTTGATAATATTTTGAAGAACTCTCTCATTTACAACAGCTTTGTGACAAGCTGTCTTTTGGTACAGGTCTACCACAACTTCTAAAGACCTCTCAGCAAATGGTACATAATTCAATGCTACCCACTCTGCCTAGAAAAGTAAGATTGGGACATCAGTGCATGTAGAGAAACAAGACTATCTGAAAAAAAAAAATCAAAAAATCCTGCAATGGACCTATTTTGATGCCATGCAAATTTTTTTGAAAATTCCACAAGGAAAATTATTTGATCCATGAAAAACTTACAAAAATAAATCTTCCAAGCCCTCACACATACAGAATTGAGAATAGGGGTGCACAATTGAAATTTAAAAGTATTTTTTAAGCAAGTGAAATGTTGCAATTTATGCAGCAAGAAGACTAAGCACAATCTTTAAAGAATTTGAACTCACCGGTGCAAACAGTTGTATCTATTGTGATTCCATTGTGTTGCATGATAAACAGAATAAGGGAAAATTAATACACATACACACAGTATCTATTAAAATTCTGATGACTCATTCTTCTGTTGAGTATGATTAGTATTGTAAATGCATTCAAAGCAATGGTATCACAAAACAGAAGAATGAAAAGAGAGCCTAACAGGAAATTTTAGAATGCAAAACTGAGTGCAGGTTGATTAAAGCAGCTTTGTTAGGCTAATATAGATATATTTTGCTAGTTTTCACTACAAATGTATAGTTTTCTTTTCTAATAGAATGCAGTCTCAAAATGGAAAGGTAACAAGAAAAAAAGGAAAGAACTTGAAATGAAAAACCAGCAAACATTTATTAAATTAGTTGATAACACAAATGTCCAAATGCAGGAAAATGATGGCATTTAAATAACTCATGCAAAGCTGATCATATCTGGAAGCCAGTGACCTCAAAAACAGAACTGCTAAAATTCAACACACCTCACCTGATTGTATTTTGCATTTGCAATGTGCTTTGTTTCTAGCTGTCCATATTGCGGTGGTTTACAGGAAAATTCAACAAATGCCAGCAACTGATCAAAGATAGCAGGATACATTATTTGCATGCTTTCTGAACCCACACATATGGCCTATAAGAAGCAAAACAAAAGCATTAATATTTCTAGAAACATAAAGCACGCAATAATGCAACTCAGGGCCATTCAATAAAGCTCCATTTTAAAAGACTCAGGGCAGAAAAAAGAAATTACCTCCCTCACAAAGCACCTGGTTGAACTATGGAATTCGCTATCACAAGACGTAGTTAGAATGACAAACTTGGATGGCTTTAAAAGAATCAGATTCATGGAGAAGTGTATCAATGGCTAATAGCCAGAATTGCTATGTCCTACCCTTCACCGTCAGAGGCAGTATTTCTCTGAATACCGATTCCTGGGACTCACAAGTAGGGAGAGTTCTGCTACACTTAGGTCTTGCTTGCGAGCTTCCAAGAGGCATCTGGTTGTCTACTGGGAGAATAGGCTGCTAGGCTTGATGGTAGGACTTTGGTCTGATCCAGCAGACCTCTTCTTATATTCTTATCAACAGTACAGTGGTACCTTGGGTTAAGAACTTAATTCGTTCTGGAGGTCTGTTCTTAACCTGAAACTGTACTTAACCTGAAGACCACTTTAGCTAATGGGGCCTCCCACTGCTGCTGCACCATTGCTGCACGATTTCTGTTCTCATCCTGAAGCAAAGTTCTTAACCCGAGGTAATATTTCTGTGTTAGCGGAGTCTGTAACCTGAAGCATATGTAACCTGAAGCATATGTAACCTGAGGTACCATTGTATATGGCATAAGTACACAAACAAGAGGGTTCTGGCCATATATTTTATGGAATGATAGAAATGGAAGGGACCTTAAAGGCCATCAAGCCCAACCTCTGTTTGCTGAGATGATGATTAAGTTTGATTTTGGTTATGAAGTATCTCTCTTCCCTACCACAACATACATACACACTATCAACAATTTGTTACAAGAATCTGAGACGCTGTGGGCACTTAGTTTCCGAAGCATGAAGAAAGGGTCAACAAACTACTAACTAGCACACAAAACATACATTGGATGCATTCCAGTCTGTGGAACTGTGACAACAGCGTTCAGAAGGGGTGTTCTGTAATATTATAACAGAAAATACGCATCAATTGCTGGGGTTAACTTGGTAACTGCTCTGCCAGGGTGGATTTGATTTAAAGCATGATTTAAATCACTAGTCAGTAAGACTTGATGTAAATCACTAGTCAGTAAGATTTGATTTAAATCATTTTCCCCCCCAGAAAGACTCATTCTTGCTGGTTTAATCTTAATATCTACAACCAGATGAAGGTTTCATTTTTGGAATAATAAATTTTCAGAGTAGTTTTTACAGTTATATCAAAAATTACTGATTTGGTTATACTATTAGAAATACATAAACAAATAATTATGAAATTATTGTGAGGTTCAATAAGTTAACTGTTTATATTTGGACAACTTTTCTGCTGTACTTTATTGGAAGGAGAAAAATAATCATTTCCTTAATAACAATTTAAACAATTTATTTAACTAAAACAATAACATTATAGCATATGTATCCATGTTTGTTAACTGATGTGGTTAAACAGTTTTGTTTTGTTTTTGTTTCTTAAAAATTAGATTGAGTTTTGGAACACATGAAAAGCTTAAAACAAATCCTTATTTCCTAATGAATAGCCTTTGGACTATAATGTAATTTAAACAGAAAACTATCCTTAGAAAGATTTTTCCTCCAAAGGCATTTTATTTTAAAAATCTAATTTTAAAAAAACAAACTGATTTAATTTTTTTAAAAATCCATTTTTTTGATTATTACTTTTAAAAAAAATCATTGATTGTTATCCACCCTGTGCTCTGCATTTATTCCACAACAGAACATTTAAAAATAAGAACTCTCAGTACAATCTTATCCTTAAATTACACTAAACAGATGGGAACTCAACTAAAATTCCACTCTGTGTAAAATACAATCTTATATAATGTCATGGTTGTGATGGTGGTACACAATGCCCGTGCATGTGACAAAAAGAACTGGATTTCAGGGTGTTGCAGGTGCAGAGCAGAGCTTAGTCTGAATCCTATGCTTTCTTAGATTTTCACTGTCCTTGACAATGGCATAACATGATGTCATCAAAAGAAGTGGATTAAATTCACACACACTCCAACATCTCCCTTGCTTTTCCACAGGTTAGACACCAATTCAATACATATAAAGTATGTTTCTCCCAGTGTTATGTAGTCCACAAGTAAGACTTATAGTAGTGAGAGACCAGTGGGAAAACTATTCCTATGAGTGGTCGCCATCCTTTTTCACTCTGGGCGTCTCAAACTGTTCACATTGCACAGCAACATAACTGGTTCAGCAGTGATGGAAACTCGCTTCTCCAGTTTCTCAGTGCACTGCTTTCTCCTCAATATTACCAACCAGCTCATGATATTTATTAAAGGTAATGGTAAAGGGACCCCTGACCATTAGGTCCAGTCGTGGCCAACTCTGGGGTTGCAGCGCTCATCTTGCTTTATTGGCCGAGGGAGCCGGCGTGCAGCTTCTGGGTCATGTGGCCAGCATGACTAAGCTGCTTCTGGCGAACCAGAGCAGCGCATGGAAATGCCACTTCCCGCCAGCGTGGTACCTATTTTTCTACTTGCACTTTGGCGTGCTTTTGAACTGCCAGGTTGGCAGGAGCAGGGACCGAGCAACAGGAGCTCACCCCATCATGGGGATTCGAACCACCGGCCTTCGGATCAGCAAGTCCTAGGCTCTGTGGTTTAACCCACAGCGCCACCCACGTCCCCCCATGATATTTATTACTGTGAGCTTATTCTGATAAGTAGGCATTCTTCTTTGTCTCTGTGTCCTCTATATTTATTACTTGAAATAACTTTCCAACCCCCTCACACCGCAATGCAAATATAAATACGATGTGTGCTATGCACATCGAGTGGAATAAGTGGCACCACAGTGAGGCTGCAGAATGGTTGCTGCGTTTAGCATGACACTCCTTCCTTCTTCATATGAGTATGGCTAATTCTTTATCAAAAGGCTGTTGGTGGCTCTGTCTTGGCTTCCAAGGGATTCTCTGTATAAAGGGAACCTTAAAGCTTATGGCTGAAAGTATCAGCTGCTGATTCTTAACCCATAAGCCACCTGTGCCTCTCACATAATCAACTTTGGCATTTTCTTTACAATATCATACAAAATTTTTCTTGATTCACTGCAATTCTGTATGAACGTCTGGTTCAACAACTTTATGAAGATGACCTAACTGCAAATGTAATCGGCTGAAGTCACGTTTGAACAGGAAGAAACCTGCAGCAAGCAGAAAAGACAGGCCTGGAAGAGGCTCTCAAGGAACAAAAGTACCTTATAAAACTATTAGCGTTGCCAATTCTATCTACCAATATTTAACCTATTCACATTATAGATGGCAATATGAAGTTGCATGTCTGCCTTTCAGAAAGAATTTTAAAACTACATTATTACCTTTTGTAAGACATCTAAAGCTGTTAGAACCGCTTCTTGCAAACTTGTTAGAACTGCCTCCGTGTATGATGGCAGGATGAAAGGGGATGCATCTGAACTGATTGGAACAGAAACTGCACCATGTAGAATAACACCCAATTTTTGGAGATCGTCCATACTGAAACCTGTTTTGATGTGCTGGTAAAGGGCTGGGAATATCTGTATTAAAGCTGTTAGAAAAGGCTGGCTGGGGATAAAAGTCATTTTATCGCAAGAAACTGGAGGCTTTGTGCTTTCTGAGCCAATCCTAAACCAGCTGTTCCAGGCAGCCCACCAAAGATTCAAGTCTTCAATTTCATCTGTTATTACAGGAGGTTCCGCAACATTATACCTTCCAATCCTTTCTCCTATAGAATCAGTTCTCATAAAAGATCTTCCAAGGCCAGTGGCAGTCACTGTTCCTATGAGGACAGGCACAGGCATATTAATAGCAGGTGGTGTGTCAGGTTTTTCAGTTTCTCTAACAGGGGACACAATTTGTAAGATTTCCTGAAAGCTTTTCAAAGCAGCCAGAGAAACTTCATTGTTTTTGCTGAGTGCAGCTGACTGGATGTGATCAAGGAGGACATCCCAAGCTTGAGAAAAATCTCCTGTTGGGGAAAAAGAAGTTTCAGAAAGTGGTCCATTTCATTATCATTGCCCCCCCCTCTCCTTTTTAAAAGCGACTTTTAGTAAGTGGCATAATAATGACGATACATCGTAAGAAAAAAGCTCAGCAGGAGAAATCAGAGGATAGGTGTGCTATATAACCAAGAACACACTGTTACAAGGTAGCATTTAAGCCTGCCAAAGATCTGTGGCTACAGAATACGCAGTATATTATTTGCACTTATTAGTTGCTTTTCTTTTTTTTTAACAAAATGTAACTCAAAGTGATTTACAAAAATAGCACATTTGAAAAAACTAAAACAGAGTAAAAGCTAAAAATGCATTTGTATTTATAAAAAGTCAGGACTAGAGTACCCCACCCTCTAGAGGAGGCCGGATAAGGCCAGGTAGCAGAGGGTGTGTTGTGACCTGTTCTGAGATTATTTTATGATGCATGGTGGGATATAAATCTTAATATAACTGTGGAATCTTCCCCTGCCCAAGTAAAAATATTCACTGGCCATAAACATGCAAAGAAGACATTATACCTAAGGACTGTAGCAGGTATCTCCTTGTGTTAAATATTCTAGCTACTCCAGCCAACGTTAACACCCATGTTTCAGCCCACTGTTTCTCTGCTGTATCTCTTGAATGGTGAATGAGGATATTGCCACCACCAGACTCAATCTTCTCTTTATCAGCCGTTGTAGACGACTCCCTCACTCGATCCAGCAAATGAAACAGAACCTATAAAATGAAGCATTCCAGAACTTAATAGTCTAGCTGTGCCTTGCAACTGAAGCTTACAAAATAATAAACAAAAATGTGGGCAAGTTATTTTCTTTCTCAGGCAAAGTATGTTAAAGATTCCAGTTTACTTAAATCGACCAACACCAACATTTTTAGCCTGTAGATTTTGCTCAGAATTATCAGTACATTTCAACACCATGTTCACCTGGAAGTTCACAACCACACTTAAAATAGTCTGCGCTGACAAGCACTCCACTACGTTTTCTCAAAAAGCATTTTGCTGCAACATGCCTGACATTGACTGCAATGGGAGTTCATAAAGGTGTGTTCCAATATCAGTGACTTTGTAGAAAATGTGGAAGCACATCTTTCAAAAAATGCACAGCTTCCATCTTAGCTAAGATGCACATGAAGCAGAATGTCATGAATGTTGAGATAAGAGAGACAGAAAGGAAAAATAGATTATGCATGAGAAGGAAGTTGTGCATCTATAAGGCAAATTATTAAGAAGCCCATGTTGCAGTTTAAAGTAGGTTATAGGTCTGGAAAGGCTAAAGCCCACTGAATTACTTGGCAAAACACAGGTAAATACAACTAGGATAAGACACAGTTGTGATATTACTGTTTTAAGATGTATGGTTTTCGTACTGTACCTTCCAAATAACTGTGTGCCACGTTGAGTGCTGAAGTAAAGTTCCATGAGCACCAATTGTAGAGAATAAGGTCTGCCCAGCACTCTTTCTCACGGCAGGCCGTGGATCTACACAGAGCTCCCCTAGTTTGGCATACAGACATAGCCAAAGGCAGTCAAAGGGTGGCGCTGGGTGAAAAGGACGGTTCAGTGCTATTCCTTTTTCTTCTGCTTGCTTCTGTAGCAATGCTTCCTCTTTGTTCAGATCTTTTTCAATAATTTCACCTCTTTGGAAGAAATAGTCTGAAATGTTCCACTGCAAAAACAAAGAATGCATCTTCATATATTATGTTTACAGAGCACAGAGAAGGGTGGCAGCCATCCTGTTGAACTAATTACACTAAAAATTGTGCCAAGCTCCATGCTAGTACTAGTTTTGCTGGCTAGTTTTCACATTTTTATGCAGGAAGGTTTTGAGAAGTGTTGCTGGAGTGCTAAGTTGAGTTCCCTTTTAAATGGGTTTTTATGGTAGCTGGTTTTAAATACTACTTTAAACAGTGAGGTTGTCTTAATTCTTTGATGCTGCTTTGGGTTTCATTTTAAAAAAATAAAGGAACAAGTGTAAATGAATGAATGAATGAATGCATCCAGCAGCAAGGGGTAACATCCAAGAACATATTCTGGTTGACCTGTGAATTATAATCCTGAATGAGCAATAAATAAAAGACCAGGCTACAATTTCAATCCTGCTGCACACTTAACGATAAACCATATTTTATTTGGGACAAAATAATACTGAAAGTATGTCATGCTGATGCTACTCTTACTCATTTCTGGCAAGAAGGTCTTAGAACAGCTGTGTTCATTATTAATTTATACAGGACACAACCTGTTACTTGAAATACTTTAGTTTTCCAAAGAAAGACTTAGCTTTCATCTCAGTGGACTCAGCTTTTCCTCCCGGGTGCCTGATTCTAACTAATAAGCACAATCCAGAGAAAGCAGAACTGGCTTAAATTACATCAAAAATCAATGGAACTTGACACTTAACTCTCCCTTGAAAGCTGTGTCCAATCAGTTCAAAAAATCTCAACACCATAGAATATGTTTTCTGGAACTTGCACACCAACTCCTTCTATTTTGTATCAATGAATCAGGAATTGCATTTCTCAATATCTGAAACATAAAAACCTGGGAGCTGCTGTTTGTTAAGGAGTTGTAGCTCTGACGGGGTAAACTACAATTCCCAGGATTCTTTTTTGGGGGGGGGGATGCACTTTAAATGTATATTGTGTGTATGCAGTCCAAGTCTTACAGAGCAGTCCTTTGCACATTTACTTAAAAGTCAATCTCTCTGTTAAATTAGGCGAAATAATGCTAAACATTAGAAAGTAAAGGTTCACAGCTAGGGATTAAACTAAACACTCACCAAGAGACCAATTGATGTTAAGCTAATGTTGAGTTCTTGATTGTGAAGCCCAAAGCTTCCAGCAACATCTACAACAATCTGTAGGCAAGTACATGGCATTGTTGGCAAGAAGTCAGTCACAACCAACTGTAGGCACTGGAAGGCAGTTCTTATTAGAGACTCTCTATTAACAAAGCAAAACAAAAATTTCTAGGTTTATCAAATGGTCATAAAATCTCATACTACCAAACAGATGATTGTCCAATTGATACATTCAACTAGATACGTGGTAGCTCTGCATCAGTCAAACTCTTCGTGCTTAGCTGCTTACTATACAGACTTGTCCATTTTTAACATGCTCAAGGAAGCCAATCCCCTCCACCAAATTATGGGACGTGGGTGGCGCTGTGCTCTAAATCACTGAACCTCTTGGGTTTGCAGATCGGAAGGTCAACAGTTCGAATCCCCATGACGGGGTGAGCTCCCGTTGCTCTGTCCCAGCTTCTGCCAACCTAGCAGTTCGAAAGCACACCAGTGCAAGTAGATAAATAAATACTGCTGCGGTGGGAAGGTAAACGGCATTTCTGTGTGCTCTGGCTTCCATCACAGTGTTCCGTTGTTTCAGAAGTGGTTTAGTCATGCTGGCCACATGACCGGAAAGCTGTGCGTGGACAAACGCAGGCTCATTCAGCTTGAAGCAAGATGAGCGCCGCACTGGATAGTCGTCTTTTATTGGACTTAATAGTCCAGGGGTCCTTTACCTTTTACCACCAAGTTGTATGGAACTGGCAAGTCTACACATTAATGGCTTGTCACATGAAATACCACCATTCTCTTCGACTTTCATATGACCATCATGCAATGTCTTGTATGTGTGGCATAGGTCATTCACTTTACAGAAGCAAGAACAAACCACAATGCACTAAATACATTTAAGGTTTATATTTGAGAGTATTAGTTAAAAGGTTATAAAGTTTGGGGAAAAATAAGCAGCTTTTCTTTTCATATAAACACTAGGTGCCAAAAGATGAAGCTTTAGAGGACATCAGAATACTTAATTTTTTAGTTATGTGCTAGAGCCACAAAAAACTTGTTACCCTAGGAATGAGATTACTATATTTTGCACAATAATTTGGTGCAATAATGATAAAAAAATAAAACTACGGAGCAGCACCACAAAGTGACCTAAAAAACGGAAGCAGCAATGAAGATTAGCAATAGTAAATGTTTGCATCTTGGCTTCAAGAAACTTACCCCTGATCACTTCTGATTGCTCCCATGACTCCAAGTACCAAGGGCCACCCAGGCCCTAGACTGTCACCCTGACTTTGCAAAATCTGTAGCACACATTCTAGTTGCTTGAGCCTAATATCAGGGTGATTGATGTTTGACAGTTCTTTCAGTGGATTTAGAAGCAGCAACTGAAGTCTCTAGAAATAAAAGGGAAGCAGAGACTGAACTTTAGTTACTAAAGCATCTTGAAGCTAAACAGCATCATACTCAGAAGTGACAAGCTCAGTGGGGAGGCAGGGACCTATTGGACACCAGTGGCAGCTGCGGAGGGTCAGAAAGCAAAACACTTAAATTCTACATCAGGTGGTCTCCAGCCTAAATCCAGTCTAGGCAGTACAGTGGTACCTCAGGTTAAGTACTTAATTCGTTCCGGAGGTCCATTCTTAAGCTGAAACTGTTCTTAACCTGAAGCACCACTTTAGCTTATGGTGCTTTCCGCTGCCGCCACGCCGCCGGAGCACAATTTCTGTTCTCATCCTGAAGCAAAGTTCTTAACCCGAGGTAATATTTCTGGGTTAGCGGAGTCTGTAACCTGAAGCATATGTAACCTGAGGTACCACTTCCTGGTGCAGATCACTTCCTGGTGCAACTGGACTTCTCTGCAACCCATCCCCTCTGCAGGGAGGTGGGACCAATTCGGATGGTCCGCCCCCGCCACTTAATGGATCCAAATGGTTTCCAGAGAGTGGTAGGGGATGCTTTATCCCATGTTGATGGCCTTTCAGCCGATTCCCTGGTGGCCCGCTGGAATGTGGAGTTAACCAGGGCTATTGACTGTTTGGCTCCAAAGTGCCCTCTCCGATTGCATGGAGCCCGGACAGCCCCGTGGTTTTCCACGGATCTGAGGGCAATGAAACAATCATTGAGACGGCTAGAGCGCCGGTGGCGGATAACTCATTCCGAATCTGACCGGACACAGGTTAGAGCTCAACGTCGAGCCTACCAAGTGGCGATAGCAACAGCGAAGAAGACCTTCTTCGCCACCTCTATTGCATCTGCAGAAAACAGCAGCAGGAATCTTTTTCAGGTGGTTCACAATTTAGCGGAACCACCTGCAACATCTGGGCCCAGTACGGGCCACATGATCTCCTGCAATGATTTTGCAAAGTTTTTTGCAGATAAAATCGCTCAGATTTGGGAAGAAGTAGACTCCACCGTGGGAGCAGGGCCAGGGCGGGAGAGTGCTAGAATCCTGTCTAGTCAAGTTGCGTGGGATCATTTCCAACCTGTTACCTCCAAGGATGTGGACAGGCTGCTTGGACGAGTGAAGCCAACCACCTGTCTCCTGGATCCTTGCCCATCCTGGCTTATAAAAGCTAGCCGGGAAGGACTGGGCGATGGGCTTCGTGGGGTGGTGAATGCTTCCCTCTGTGAGGGAGCCTTCCCAGACCCGCCGAAAGAGGCGGTTATTAAACCGCTTCTTAAAAAACCATCTTTAGATGTGGCCACGATGGCCAATTATCGCCCAGTCTCAAATCTTCCATTCTTGGGCAAGGTGATTGTGCGAGTGGTTGCTGAACAACTCCAGGCATGCCTGGAAGAAGCGGACCATTTGGATCCCTTCCAGTTGGGATTCAGGCCTCATCATGGGACTGAAACTGCCTTGGTCGCACTGGTTGATGATCTCCGGCGGGCTAGGGACAAAGGTGAGAGCTGTTTCCTAGTTCTGCTGGATCTCTCAGCGGCGTTTGATACCATCGACCATAACATCCTTCTGGACCGTCTTGAGGGGCTGGGAGCTGGGGGCACTGTCATACAGTGGTTCCGCTCCTTCCTCCTGGGCCGTGTTCAGAAAGTGGTGGTGGGGGATGAGTGTTCAGACCCCTGGGCTCTCACTTGTGGGGTGCCTCAGGGTTCTGTCCTCTCCCCATGCTTTTCAACATTTACATGCAGCCACTGGGAGAGATCATCAGGAGGTTTGGGCTGGGTGTTCATCAGTATGCGGATGATACCCAGCTCTACCTCTCTTTTAAATCAGAACCAGTGAAGGCGGTGAAGGTCCTGTGTGAGTGTCTGGAGGCGGTTGGTGGATGGATGGCGGCTAACAGATTGAGGTTGAATCCTGACAAGACAGAAGTACTGTTTATGGGGGACAGGAGGCGGGCAGGTGTGGAGGATTCCCTGGTCCTGAATGGGGTAACTGTGCCCCTGAAGGACCAGGTGCACAGCCTGGGAGTCATTTTGGACTCACAGCTGTCCATGGAGGCACAGGTCAAATCTGTATCCAGGGCAGCTGTTTACCAGCTCCATCTGGTACGTAGGCTGAGACCCTATCTGCCTCCAGACTGTCTCGCCAGAGTGGTGCATGCTCTGGTTATCTCCCACTTGGACTACTGCAATGCGCTCTACGTGGGGCTACCTTTGAAGGTGACCCGGAAACTACAACTACATCCAGAATGCGGCAGCTAGACTGGTGACTGGGAGCGGCCGCCAAGACCATATAACACCGGTCTTGAAAGACCTACATTGGCTCCCAGTACGTTTCCAAGCACAATTCAAAGTGTTGGTGCTGACCTTTAAAGCCCTAAACGGCCTTGGTCCAGTATATCTGAAGGAGCGTCTCCACCCCCATCGTTCTGCCCGGACACTGAGGTCCAGCTCCAAGGGCCTTCTTGCGGTTCCCTCACTGCGAGAGGCCAAGTTACAGGGAACCAGGCAGAGGGCCTTCTCGGTAGTGGCGCCCGCCCTGTGGAACACCCTCCCATCAGATGTCAAAGCGATAAACAACTACCTGACATTCAGAAGACATCTGAAGGCAGCCCTGTTCAGGGAAGTTTTTAATATGTGACATTTTAGTGTATTTTTCATCTTTGTTGGAAGCCGCCCAGAGTGGCTGGGGAAACCCAGCCAGATGGGCAGGGTACAAATAATAAATTATTATTATTATTATTATTATTGTTGTTGTTGTTGTTGTTATACCACTGTACTGCCAGCTGCCTCAACTCAAAAGATCCTGGCCAGCAGCTACTTTTCTAGCATATCATCATTAGAAGTGTAGCTACAGCCAGATCTAAAAGGGTTAGAAGAGAGGAGAAAAGAGTGGGAAAATCTAAGTGCCTAGTAGCCACCAGCTGTCTGTGTCTCCTGCTGCTTACTCATATACAGCGAAAAGTCCACACAAGATGCCTGGGTTATTGCCTCATTGTTACTCGACCTGATTCCCCTAATACCCCACAACCTCCATTCTGCAATAAAGCCTCCTGTTTATTGTAGTGCTGAATCTTGTAAAAAAATAGTGAGCAGAAGAAAGAAACAGAAACAGAAGCATCCCTACAGCCTCCAGGTTGGGAGCCAACATACTGTTCTGGTGTCTACCTAGCTAGGTATGAAGCTACTGTAACAAAATACTGGGGTTCCAGTTCTACACTGACTAACTTAGGAGTAAGCCCCTTAGGTCTGAATCAGCACACATAGGACAGCACTGCTATTTAGCCCAACAAGCAGCCACTTCTACTGGCTGGAAGAGCAGCCTTGACTCCTACAAGTCAGCTATGTAGGATGGGAAATTCCAGAAGCACAGACATTCCAGCTATATATTCATTACGTAGCTAACAATGCACAAAACTGTGGAAAATAACTTCTGATTATTATTGACAATTAATATACATTACTCGATGACTGCTTGCTATGGAGCATAATTTCCAGAAATTTTTTTATTTCCTGGAGCGTTATTTTACCTGGTTCTGAGAGAGTGAAGGATCATGGTTAAATGTCAGCCCAGCCTTGATGAGAGACGTTAAAGCTTCTGCTCCCCATTCCCTCATCCGTGAGTTTGGATGTTGGCAAACCTAAATATACAATATAGCTTTCTTTATTCAAGCCGGAATGCACATTAATAAACATTCAACATTAATAATAGGTTTTCAATCTATGAATTCTTTTGAAATACTGATAACCATAAGCTGATCTGGTACATATATACAACAATTGCTGTGTTATTATATTAATAGTAATTTCTGCGGCCCTTTCAGCATGCATGGTGCTTTGTCATTCTTATCTCATGTGGCTTCTGAAAATAGGAAATACAAGATACATATTTCTTATTTGACTAATAATTAATTCTAGGTTTAGATGTTTTGTATCTTAATAAATTCTCTATCCAATTCTAATGATATATGTGATTGCAGATTTACCAACTGTGCAAGCTGGCCCTAAGCTACAAATGAGTCATTCTATGTATATCAAAATCTCTCCTTGCAGCTCAATCTTTTTCCTTATGAGGTTTTACAATATGATCTATTGCCATCAAACAGCAAAATGAAAAGATTCACTCATTAGCACAAAGTCAAACAGTAAATAAGGAAGACAAACTTGCAAGAAAAACTTACCTTCTGCATAAAAAGAGAGAGGAAGCAGTAGGGAAGAAGTAAAAAAATATGAAACCAAGACAGCGAGCAATAATCTTTAATATATCATCACTGAGCTTTACACCATAAACAGTTTTAATACAGAGATACAGTGTTTCCAAAGTGGGTCCTGTGTGATTAGAATGGTTCTGTAATATTGTAAAATAGATGTTGAGAACTGATCTATTTCTCCAAGGGGAAAAAGCCTTATTGTTTGTCAAGCCTCTCAAACAAAACCACTTTTACGATGCCTATCAATCCTAAAAATGTGGAAAAGTTCATTTGCTAATCCTGTGTGAAAAAGAGATATACACTGCATGTTAAAAAGAGATACTGCAGAAATTTCCCCAAATCCATACATACATTTCCCTCCTTGCTACAGAGCCACGACTGGAGGGGGGGGGGTGTCCCAGGAATGTGGGACTCCATGTCTCTTTATCTGGTCACCTGGGCTCCCCCCTAGGCCATGCATTCTCCCTGGTTCTATTTCCATGCCCTCCTTCTGCTTGACTGATTGCTATGAAAATAAATCTTGCTTGCCTGGATAGCAGCAGGAGTGTAGGTGTATGTGGGTGTACGCACACACTCTACATCTGACTTTCGTGGGACTGGAATGTAGTCTAGTGTATAAAGGTAAGAGTCACATCCTGTGCTCCACCCACTTTTGCCTCTTGCCCCGCCCTCCATTCATAGAGTTAAACCTCGGTTGTCGAATGTAATCCATTCTGGAAGACTGTTCGACATTCGAAATGTCGGACAACTGAGGATTCAAAGGGTGGTTGGCAAAGTCAGTGGAGAAAAAAAGGGAAGGGGGCCTATAAGCTGTTCGGCTTCCGAAAAACATTCAAAAACAAGAGCATTTACTTCCGGGTTTTTGGCGTTCAGGAGCCGAAACATTCAAAAACGGAGCCGTTCGGGAACCACGGTTTGACTGTATGTGGCTCTCCAGAACAACCCCCACATGAGAATGCAGTCCTTGGGCTGAAAAACCCCATTGTGGAGAATCACCACCTGTCAGATAATCTTGGATTTATATTTTTTTCAACCATTAGAATATAAAACCTAACATTCTATAAAACACCCTTATTACTTATCAAGTTACAGAGATATCTGTAATAAAAAAAAAAGAAAGCTCCACAAATAAACTTAAAAGAAAGGGTGTTGGTCAGTCCTATAGAACAGGAATGTCCAACAGGTCGATTGCGATCTACTGGTAGATCCCTGCAAGGTTTTGGTAGATCGTGGTTGTTCTCTAGCTCCCTTTCCTTAGCATCGCTTAAACTGACTCCTGCCCCGCCCCGCCCTCCAATGTTGTTTGATCTCTGGAAGGGAAGACGGAGCTTTATTAATCCATAGCGATCTTTTTATGAGTGACTTGACCCATTTGTCCCTTGCCTTTTTTGGGGGGACTTCTTTGGGGGGGGGGGGTTAAAGGTTTTTTAACCTCCTCAAAACTGGTTTTTCCCCTCCCTAAAAAAAGCTCAACAAGCTGAACTCTCAAAAAATGGGGGTAGAGCACTGCCAGTTTTTAATTCTGAAAGTAGATCGCAGTCTCTTGAGAGCTGGCTAAACCTGCTATGGAATTTAAATCCAAAACTGCATTTTCCAGTAGCATCCAGTTTGAAATTAAGATATGAGAATTTTGTGAGTTTTTTCGTTCAATTCAGTATAAATGGTAGTACAAGTCCTTCCATTTTAGCCAGTGAAACTCATTGTGTTTCTATTTTATATATACATTTGTTATCTACAACTAAACTTTTATTGACAACTTAAAAAGATTACATTTTACACAGACTGCAAATGTCTATGCATTTTTCTGTTAAGGTAATCCTGGCATTTTAGCCAGCCATGTAATAACTAGAACAGACAACTACTTTATCCTAATCATATAAAGAGCAATATTCCTATGTATCATCAGGATGCGTCCTTCACTAATTTGCAATTATGAAACAGCTTCTGACAAGTGATTCCCATAAGTGTTTCTATAGGATGGGATTACACATATGTGCACTTAAATCCATATATGACAAACCATTCATAAGCAGTTAAATAAGACTAATATTTGACTTATGAACAGACATGTGCATAATTTCTTCCCAGGTGATGACTATACTAGCACAAGGGACTTATTTGAAATAACTATGGTATGCACGAGAACATTGCAACTATGTAATGGAGTTTATCATGTGGATCCTTTCCAAACTAATCATCATCCTACCAGGAGGAAAAGTACTCAGGCACACACAGCCTTGTACCAAAAGTCCTTAGACAGCTCAATATTAGATATATCTGAGGAAGTGAACAACAGAGAGTCCTCTTTAATAGAGGTAAATGAATTCCGCCCTCCTGCTTCCAAGCTTCCAGCATTCTTTGCATGCACATTCTTTTTACAGTAAATGATATCATGGGAAACTCCTAAGCCTGGAACTACAATGGAACATAACTGGTTACCAGGAAGAGTAGCTCCAGTCTCCATAGATGTCAAGGATACAATAAGAGGTGTCTTTTCATTTGAGATGATTAAAATCAGTTTGACAGCACCATCTCACTTACCTAGAATTAAGTCCAACTGAACACACTGGTACTACATCTGAGTAAACATACACAGGATTGCACTGTAAGTATTATGTTCCTCCGTCTACATTTTGTAATCTTTTCTAAGATACTACACCTTTATTTCTGCCTTTGCAGATGTACGCCTTTAAGTATGATATGTCAACTTGCCTTGGCTCTGCTTTTCAACATCATCAAAACAGCTTGATTTAATATGAAGCTATAGAACCCACACTTAAATAGCATTGAGGGGAAAACAATGCAAATTCTATAAGAAACAAAAAATAATGTAGAAACAGAATAGAAAATAAGATGAAATTAAAAACCAATGTAGCATAATTGGCTTTCAAAAAAACAACAACAACAAACCCTTATGTTTTTAAGTTTTAATACCACAGAGGAAAAATACAAAGGTTCACCTAATGGTTATAAAAATATTGTTTACCTCTAGGAGATGGCCAGTCAGTGGTCTCCATAAAATTTCAATCCTATGCATGTTAACTAGTCCTGTTTCGAGCAACTTAGCAACAGCAAACAGTGATGGCTCCTAAGCATAAACAGAATTCAAAACAGTCACTTGACTTAACAACCTATTGCATTATATTTTTCCATTTAAAGTATTTATACTCTGCATTTCTACTTCCTTAAAACAGCTCATTTTCTGAGTTAGTTCCTAATGCTAATCTTTCTATTTGCTGTTTCGCCACATTTTAATATGGTACATTTAAACTTAAAAAAACAATTGCATTAGTGTACCTTCCTGTGAAGCTCACATATCATGTTGTTATAATGCCCTAAATTCAGTAGTAGAATCATTAGCACAATTCATTCTATATGATGCTGACTTAACAGATAATATATTGCACTGCAAGAAATTTAAAAACCAAAGCTAGGAGTTAGTTAATTTATAAAGCATGTCTGAAAACCAGAATAAAATATACCATACCTTATTATTACCATAAGCCATGTCCATCGCTTCCAGCGACAAGGAGCAAAGTGCATTTATTAAATGATGTAATGAAACATCATCTAGGTACCTGTGGAAAGGATCAATTATTAGAACGATTGCCAAAAGGGATTAGAAACAAACATTGTGATCTAAAAGTCAGTTCTCTTACTGTGAGCTTTCAAATAGCCTGGAAAGTATGTTGGAGATAACTGGTAAGTCAGTCATAACAGCTGTAGTTAGAACCTGAAAGGATACAATTAAATTATGTAAGCAAATGCGTAACATAAGAATACAATGTGATTTATTCTGCTACACAGTAAACAAATTCTTACGGTGCTAGGTCCTTCCACAGCTCTTCCAGGCTTCAAAGCACCTCCAACTCCAGGCTTTAAACCAAGAATCCATACAAGATGCTGAAATGAAAAACACATTTTTAAACTTAAGTGCTTGCATAAAGGTCCACGTTAAACATTAAACAAGAGTTTAAAACAATCTATGGTTTTATGTGAATGAGCAGAATGTGCCGCACACTTCACTACATTTCTGCAGTGCTTCTCTTTTGCATTTTGCTGTGCTGCACATGAAACAAGCCAAAGTTTGACTTGTTGTATTGTCCAAACTCAGGCTTGTGCTTTGTTTGAAAAGAAACAAACCACAATTCTAGCTCTGGGCACGTAAGAGCAGCGTGCACCAACACACATCTCATTTACATTAAACAGGTTTTTTTGTTTTAAACTATGGGTTTGTGTGACATTCAAACTAGGCCATAAAAAATACTTTTCAAAGTTTGCACTTCTGTGACAAAGGACAGATCCACATCATACATTTAAAGCATATCCTATACACATTTAAAGCACATTACTTCCCCCAAGGAATCTTGGGGGATGAAGTTTGTTAAGGGTGCTGGAAATTGTAGCTCTATGAGGATGAGAGTACAGTTCTTAGGATTCTTTGGAGGAAGTCATGTGCTTTAAATGTGTGTGGGGTGTGCTTTAAATGTATGGTGTGGATCTGCCCAAAGTGTATTACATGCTAATATTACAACTTTAAAAATTCTACTTGAATCCTCCAGCTGTATTGTGTATGGTTTTTCCCCAGCTCGAATATGGTACTTGGCTACCTTCATTACAGTTGTGGGTACATTTCATTTAGTCACAGAAAGATAAGGGAAGCAAAAAGCTCATTTGCTGAAGTGCTGACCATGTTCATCGAAAGCTACAAAAATCGCCATGCTTTAATTACAAAAAGTTTGAAAAGCACAGTTGTGTGGGGCTGACTTGCATCATGGAAGGAATTTCACTCAAAGAGAATATCCACCCAAGAAGTTAAAACAAAATGCAAGTCCAGAAAGGTAAATCAAGCATTAACCATTACTCACCTGGAGAGTAGCTAACACAAGTTGCCAGGATGTACCAAGGACAGCTCCATGACAATGAGCCAAGCTAAGTAATGTCCTCATGCACTGTATATTCTTAGAAGTAAGCTAGGAGAGCATTTAAACAGTTAGAATTTTCGAAGTAGAGAAAATAATAGCATTTGTGGAAAAAACGGTAATAGCAAACACGATGGTGGAAACCCTGCAATCCGTTCTTTTATTTCCCCCCTCTGTCTAGACCTACATGTATGTGATTAATTTACACTGGAGTTAAATTACAGCAGCTAAATGACACTGGAAGAACCTAACCATTTTAATTCATTCAAACCTCTTAATCCTTCTATTTCAACATGCAAATCATTATGATAGCTAGTTTGTCCTACTATTTTCTACTCTTCAAGAGAAAATGGGGCAGAAAAAGAAGATTCTCCTTTCCAACTGGAAACATGCAGTCCAGGATACAAAAGAATGTGTTGAAGTAAAACCTGCATATACTCAGTGAAATTCTTGGCATCCTTTATTTATTTATTTATTTGAGGTTTTACTTAAAGTTTTAAAATTTACTGGACAGATAACTGATATTGCGAAACAGAAACAGCTATTGTTTGAAGAAAATTTTTTCCACAGCCTTTCTTCAGCATGGTCCCATTGACTTCAATGGATGCAGAACTCCGGGTTATAAGCAAACATTTGCCACTCAGTCTACACAGAGAATGCAAATTGTACATTGCATTTGTTGCACTGATATTGTGAATTTTAGTACAAGGCTGGTCTTTTGAAACTTTGTCGAAAAGAGCATTTATTCTGGCTGGTAGATTCATCTACATATACAGGATATCAAAGAAAAATATTGTCAGCTTTAAGGAATTATTTCTAGAAATCTGAAACATCCTTCCAGCGCAGAAATTATGTTTATATTTGCAACTAGTAAATTAAAACAACCTCAATCTTAACCTAGCACCACAAACTCACTGTGTATCTCCTATAAGCTCATGAATGTTTTACTATATCTACCTGTATTATCCCATTAATAGTAAAACGTGGTCTTTCAAGATTTTAGGAATGAAACAGCAATCTCCTTCTCAATTTGGTCATATTGAGAGTAGCAGTAGGGCTAAGTTAGACAGCTAAAACTTAAGGATAGTATGGAACTGCAGTTTCTTTTCTCCTTAACCGTTGTTAGATATTCAGACCACAGAATTCACAGTAACAAATGGAGGTATATGGAATGATAGCAAGAGGGGACACAAAACAAAACATGAAAGAGGCAAGACTCATCCACGAAAGAATCAGTGAACATTATAGCAATATAGAATGACCACCCACTTCACCAGCACTATAATAGAAAAGGGAAGGTTAAGATCCAAAGCAGCAGGATGGATTCTAAAGTAAGGGAGCACAGGAACAGCAATCCAGCCATAATGAATGGGTATTCTTCAAGTTAGGACAAATTATTTTGCTACCAAAATACCGGTAAGCAAGGCAAGAGAAAGCAACAAGAGGCAAGTTACTTACCTCGGGAAACTCTTAAAAGGACTAATAGAGAGAAGCAGAAATTGTATACTGTAAAAGAGGCGGGAACGTATTCTATCCAGTCAGCTTAGAAAGGAAACCAAGGCTCCTAACCTAGCACTGGTTTCATAGAAGTAGATGTCTGATGGAAGAACAGGCAGGAAGGGCCCAGAACAATAATCTACAGTGACAATGAAAGTCCCAAGACTGGGCACTCTGGCTTGTCTCATCCAAAATGGCCACCTGGCTGCTGGGAGGGTACCTGAAGAGATGGGTGTGTAGTTGGGCTCCCCCTTCTCTGCATGCAGGAAACAGGGGGGAGAGGAAGGGAAGGAAGCTGGTGCAAATTTTGCTTCTGCTGGGTGGCTGTTCCTCGTAGTAGATTGGTGAAAAAGGAAAACTAAGGGGGAAAACATGGATGAAGCGGCTTGACAGACAAATGGTACAAACAGGAAGAGCAGACAACAGACACACAGGAAATGTCTAAGTTCATAAGCCATGCCCATAATCTAACTATAAGCACCAGTTCCAACATTAGGTCATATTCTAGCATAGCCATGCAACAAAACAGTGCTACGAAGACAGGAGCAGGCTGGGTTCCCCAAGCATCCCCGTACTTGTCCCCGTATAAGTGAGCGGCTGACATTCAAGGAGGAGAATGCACTTTAAAAAGACCCTGAAAGGGACTGAGGTGGGGACCTGGGAATGTTTCAGTTTCTAATCTGGGGATATATACAAACTGAAATGTGAATACAAATTAACTGAAGTATTCACCCAAACCTATATAAATGCTTTGTGTAATTATTATATTGCTGAAAATAGGATGAATGTAAGTCCATGGCAAGCAAGCCAAGATTCCAAAAGCTGATTCACATCTTTTTTGTTCGTAAAAGAATGTCTGCTTCAAAATGCATGAAAAGCACTGAGTGCAAGATTTCTTATTTGGACATATGGTTTGGAAAGCTGCCATGTACAACTCCCCGACTGACATATTTAGACCACGTTCTATGCCACCATTCATACGTTATGATGTACACATACTTGCAACACAAGATTAATAGTACAATCCAATGTTTAATGGGATAAGTATGTTTAAGGTTTGCATGCTTAGGATGACATGCAGCTTGCTTGTGCACATGAGACTTCCCATTCCTGTCCTTCTCCCTGCAGGCCCTGCTCCCCTACTTCTGCTCTGAATGGAGGACCCGCCAGAGTACATGTGGGAGGGAGAGAAAGGGGAAATCCCTTTGCATCTGCTGGTGCAGATCTTGTCCATAATCTTTTTGTTGCTAGACAACCTTTATTCCGAAAGCTGTCACAATGTAAGATAGTCTGTTTTTCAATGTTTTATTGTGTTTTTATATATGCTGTAAGCCGCCCACAGTGGATGGGGAAACCCAGCTGATGGGCAGACTATAAATAATAAAATTGTTGTTGTTGTTGTTGTTAAATGATATATGTTAAGTGGCTCCATCTTTGCACATAAATTAAGATACCAACCACTGGAATTCTGCTAGATACTTTTTGTAATCTGGGTGCTTTTCTAAAAGCTGCAAAATTAGATGCTAATATTTTAAACAACATGAACTGAATTGCTAACATTCTTAAATATTGGTGACCAAAACTGGACACAGAGGAGGCCCTTTCAGTTAACTGAAATCAGTGGGACATTTCATTGACACACAAAGGTAATTAGGTATGCGGCATGAATCTAAAATATTCCTGCTAAGTCTCTCAAATCCAATTCCACATTACTTTCTTTTACTACATGCTTACTCCAATATATCCGCTGGACTATGGGGCAGATGCGTCACTGGACTTTTGAGATAAAAGTGAAAGTCTAGTAAAATTAAACCATCAAATAAGAAAATGATATTTACAAATTATATTTTACCATTACTGTTCCCTGTGGTTGGAGAGCGAGTGGTTGTCCTACTGCTACAACTTGCTGGTGAGACTCACTTGATGGACTAATCATCTGAACGTTCTGCCCCTGGATGGAATATGCTAAAAAGCAAAAGAAGAATTCTAAGATTTTAGTTATAAGATACAGACTTCACCTTCCCAAGACAGAAATTTTGGGCAATTCCCACCTCTCACTACTGCACCCAGAAAGGTTCCCAAACCCTCTGGAAGAGAGTGGGGCCTGCTGCTGTGAATTTCAGGGAGACGCTGGCAAAAATTGCCTGTCCCCAGCAGAAGCAACCCTTGACCGCAACTCTCCTCAGAAGTTGCCTTCGCCTGAGGGAATAAAGCCTGCATCTAACCCTCTGAAAAGGATATGAAGTTTGAAAATACACACACATAGAAGTAAATTTACTTATTTAAGTTACCAACACTAAACTATTTTTAGGATGGTAACAGAAGTAACATTTGATACATTATATTTATTTCTAAAAGGGCAAATAGTTAATCCCTTTAAAAATCACAAGAGGTAAAGTAAAAAAAAATTTTTTTTCAGTAATTCCACCCCATATCACTGATTTTCATACAGGAAAAGGACACCCATGTATATTAAAAAAACCCAAGAAAATATATTAGAAAAAAATTAAGGGAATATAGTTGCTCTAAATGCTATTTTAAAAGCCATTTCTTTTTAAAACTGGGTTATAGTCACACTTATGGTCTGTGGCAGATATGAAGATTATGCTGTACCTAAAGTTCTTAATACAATTTCCATTACATTTAAAGCTATAAATATTATTTTCAGTTTATAACAGGAATCAAGCTGCAAGGCTTTAAAAGGGGTGAAGAACAGAGCACTCATGTGGGCTGTTAATGTGGTTCTGCCTCTGAAAGAAAAAAAAAATACTACTCTTTCAGGATCAAGCTATATCTCAAGTGGCTGTAGATAGGGAAGACCAGATTATTTCACATTAGACTATGGTTCACCTCAAACACTTCCATAGCATCATATACCATTCTGCCAAGCATTTGTTTATCAAATATGTGTCTGGAAAAGCAAAAAATTTCAACCACGTTATTGCTGTTTGCTTATAATTGTGTATGCTCTTGTTTACAAGAAGAAAAGTAAGACCAAATAATATCCTTACATTTACCAGAAAGTGCAGCAGTAGTAGTGTTCAGCACAGTTAGGGCGTAATGAGGAGGCAGGGAACCTTTGCAAATGGCAGTAATGAAGGCATCTCTTGATGTTACGAGACCAAGTTTTCCACACAGTGCAGCCATAGTCAATTCTGCTTTTAAAATATTTTCTGTGGCAGCTTCATCAGTGCTGAAATAGTACAAATAAGTAAAAGGCATGATTCATACATATAAGAAGAAGCCGAAAAGGGAACACTCATGCTTACGCATTTACTATGAGGAAAAAATTCTATGGAAATATTCAAAAAGGATCAGCAGCCATGTTGGCCCTTGGGGGTGTGTGGGTAGAATCAAAAATTCATAGCAGGTTACTAGGACTAACCAAAATGTCACAAAACGCTGACAAAAAAATTACTATAAAGATACAGGAGACATTTAACTGATCAAGTTTTTTAAATAACACCAGTTTTATAATACCGTATAACACCAGTTTTATAATACCGTATTCTTAAAATCTACACATTTCAGAGATGCAGAAAAAAAGGATTTTTTTCTAAACCATATTGATTTGTAAATGGACTGGGGATTAACACTTTTAATGTATAACAATATTTTTAACTGATTCATTTGCTATTTATCTGTATTTTAAATCCCCGTTGTTAGTCAGTTTGACTGATTGGCAAACTGTTTGTTGTAAAAATGTGAAGAATAAATAAATAAAGCTGTCTTTTAAGAGTAAACAAATCATTTCCACACAGCTGTGCCATGCATGCTTATAACTGAAGCACTGTAAAGCTAAGTAAATAATAAAATATTACTGCAGAGAGAAAAAAAGGCCCATATAATATTCTTAACATCCAATAAATCTATTACTGAGTCACATCCATTCTTTTATACTTTCTCCCCTCAACGTATAATTATGTCTTCTTTAGTATTTGGGAACTCTGCTACCTCGGTACTCAATGCAGTTGAGGTTCTAGGTTTCAAACTTGTTTCAAACCCAAGGTAAGAACAGAAAGCTCTGAAGAATGAAGCATAATTGTAAACTGACTGAATACCTTGCATCCAGAAGTAAAGACAGTGCAGCAAGTAGACCACACCAGCATGCGTTCACCATTTCTTCCCAAACTGCTCTGCTGACTTGGGAGAGGAGGATGAGAGTAATTTTAAAACAACATTTAGTAACATGAATACAGTATAGCAGACTCACTTGCTGATGCATTTTTCTTTTAGTATATATATATATATCCCATTTCCAGTCTACTAGACATTCCCAGTAAGTTGGTACAAGACAGGCTATAAGGCAGACTGGGTTCACTTGGACTACCTTTCCACTCTACAGTTTCAGAGTCAAATATGGCTGCCATGAATAACAGCAACAGCCTGGCTGGGAGGTGTGACAAATTATCTAATGAGGACCATAGCTTTGTCTGTCAGGGCAAGTTTTCAAGAGAAAATCCAAGATCCAAAAAAACTATTTTAGGCACCTTAGTTCAGTGGGGTTTTTTTGAAAAAGCAGACATATATACATGTTCTTAGAACTTATAATAATGCAAGGCAGCTACAAAAATGGGGATGAGTAGGAACCAAAACAAGCATTCCTTTTGAAAAACTAGGAAGAGGGGCAATAAAAAGAAAGAAGTAATTTACATTCAGTTAAAAAGTGAAGGTGAGGAGGAAGTAGAGCTCACCTACACACAGAAATACCTACAACAGGTCCTATACATCTGTAAGCAGCTTTATATTACTTTCCTTTTATTAACCTTAACCAATACCAATCACTATCACATACCTGTTTCTTTGTCAGTTTGGTCGGATGCTGAATTAAAATCTTGCAGGTCTGAGGACTGTGTCGGTGAAGACTGTGTATCGGCTGTTGTTACTTGACTCTCCATTTCAACCTGTCCCAATTCTTCCTCAATCATGTTAGTGATGCCACGGACAAGATCCAGTAAAGAATGGAACGCTACTGACATGGCATAGCCTTCAGGAATTGTGGGTGGCTCAACTTTGTCCAACATCTCCAGGCTAAGTTTGGGGCGGGGATTAAACAAATAAATGTAAGCAAAAGGAATAATATGCCCTTGGTACCCATCGCTTAGCTAACAAAATACTCTGTTGCAAATATCACAATTTGCAAAGCAAACCAAATATCAGATTAACATTAGAACTGAAATATTGCTGTAAAACTGAGGTTTCTTACACTGATACTAGTATACTATGTGCAATCATAGTTAATTGCTCCAAACATCAATGCTCAAAGGAGAGCTAGCTCCCTAAACCTTTCAAATATTTCCCAGATGTATTCACTTACATTGCAATCCTATGTATGTTTACTTGGAAGTTACTGCCAGAGGGCTGGTTTGCACATAATACTAAACCATGTTTTAGCACTATGTAAAAAAGCTTTACTGAAAATGGAACAGGCTCTCAAACATCCTCCTCCTCCACCCGCACAGTTGGGAAGCCAAGATTCCTTTCTATTTTAAAGATGATTGGCTTAGCATTATATGTAAACCAAGAATCCTGGTTTAAATTAAGCAATGATAAGCTGCTAAACAAGCCAGTTTTGTGGTTTGAAGTCTTCCTCCGCCCCCCACGCACTTGGAATCATTGTGCTTTGTCCACATAGTGCTAAAGCATTGTTTACCATTGCATGTGCATGAGCCAATTGTGTCCAATGAGGCTTGTTTCTTAGTGTGTTAGTAAGCATTTCAATCATCTGAAAGCCTACAGAAATGCAGGCATTCAATTTATTTATACAGATTAAAAAAAAATCTACCTTACAAATATAAATTATTCAACACTACAACATATATCTGTGCTGGTAATTCCTTAGGGTCACCGGAGGTACTTTTTAACAGTTATGTTTGTCTTCTGATGTCATAACTAAAGAAACACACTATAATTATAAACCATCCCAAGACTTGAACAGCAACCCAAATAAACAGAGCCTAATAAGAATCCAGAGGAAGTATGTACTGAAAGGAGGTTAGGGCACCACAGAAAAGCAATTTCTAATCCATCTGGAGAAGAAACAGATCTGAGGCACAATCGAGAAAGAAACCAATACACAGACACGATCAGAACGACTCCAAGTGCCCACCAGGGTAGCACTTGCCTGATGCTACCCAGGGCTGTTTCCAGAACAGATCTTCTCCATATTCCTGCTTAGTTACAACTACTTAGGATGTGGCAAATTCATGGTTTTAAAAATCAATACTTTACTTACTAGGTCGCTTTAGCACTGCCCTGTGTTGACACGCTGAGGATGGGTATCCAGGTTCCTCTGTATTCAAAAGCAGGCAAGACTGTCACACTTCCACCCATCCCTAACATTCCGGGATTGGTCTGTGCTGAGGCTGTACCACCAGGCACGCTTCCTCCTATACAGTGAATCAAGTGGGGGAATTAACTGCACTTCAATATTAATTTAATTAGTCAAACGCAACATACCGTATATACTCAAGTATAAGGCAACCCGAATACAAGCCGAGGCACCTCATTTTACCACAAAAAACTGGGAAAACTTATTGACTCGAGTATAAGCTGGTTCACAAACCTGGTGGTGGTGGCAGCGGTGGAGGAAGAACAAGCAGCCCAAAAGGGCTGCTTTCGGGCTGCTCGTTCCTCCGCCGCTGCCGCCAAAGGCGGCGGAGGAGGAAAGAGCAGCCCAAAAGGACCCTCACTCGAGTATAAGCCGAGGGGGGCTTTTTCAGCATAAAAAATGTGCTGAAAAATTTGGCTTATACTCGAGTATATATGGGAACCCTTTTTCTTAATATCATTAAGACAACATTCCTATAAGCAAAGGTTATTCAAACAATGTTTTATCCATCTGTTTTGAATGCCCCCTCCTGGCCAATCTTTTCCAGTGCATCTTGCATTTCATTAAAGATGTCTTACCGACACCAGTGGAGATACACTGAAAAGCTAAAGTCACTCAGAGCTCAGAAATTTAAAATATTAGCAAATTAAACCATTCAAAAGTTATGAGATGCAGCATATGCATTAAGATTTTGAGGTATTTGCTGAAACAGGCGCTGGCAGGGTTAGCCCAGGGCATTTTGCCACTAGAGGGAAAATGGGAAATGCTGCCTCCACACCTCCGCCACCTTCACCTGCTGAGGAACCTGCTGCATGGGTGTCCTGGCCCTGGGTGCTGGTATGGTGGTTTAAAAAATATGACAGCTTTAACTGTTTGATATGATAGGCTTCATGCCTTCCATTCAGAGTTACAGAGTATGGCTCTATGCAAGTTCTTCTAAAAGGCTTTATTTTACCGTTTGCAAGAATGATCAAGTTATCATTCTCATGAATACAACTCATAGTACTAATTGAGCTAAATAAATAAAATGTTTATTGAAACCAGTACTCCTAAGAGGGAATGACTGATAAATGGCTCAAAATAGTCCTAGGGGCTAGTTTACCTGTTTGGTTTGTTGCAGCTGATGCATTCCCTGTATTTGGTACGAGAAACAGTGACTGAATAAATGATCCCAGAGCATTCACGATGTCACGGAATACCTTAGTTGAATGCTGCTTCATATCGTAAGACTGACAGAAGGACCTGTTACACAATTCGGACAGAGTAAAAATGCAGTTATTTAGAAAATGCTTTTGTGACTTCATCAGTGACTCTACATTATAAAACACTCTTTCTTATACTGATTGGAAAGAGTATGTGGTAGACACAGAAATGCTTCATGTTCTACAGGACAACGTTTAAATGCTAGAATTTAAAACAAATTTAAGGATATTAAAATCAGTGACCCATTATTTGTATACATGCACACCTAACACAATACCTGTACACTGTTATTTCATTTATCCAAATATTTTATCGAAAGCATTACTTCAATTGGTATATGGTATATCAACTAATATACTTCCACTACCTTAATAACTGAGGTTGCACACAAAGTCTGTGTATCGATTCTACGGCAACAGCTCTTAGCCACTGAGGTTTGTCTGCATCCAGAAACTTCACAAGCAACGATAGAAAGATCTCACATTCAGTTACCTAAACAAAAATACTTTCATTAATTAAAAGAAAATTCTGAACTAGGCATCCTTTCCCTTAACACGGAATTTCTGCTACTAAGGCAGGGCCCCTCCCTGCAAATGTTTGCACTTGCAATTTGGGGAGAAGGGCTATTTGGCACAGTCCCATAGCAAGGAAGCTAATAGCACTTGTGGGGCTAGAGAAAGGGGAGGATGGGATAAACTGGAAAGGAATAGTTTGCTGTTCCAGTTACACATTCTTAGGCTTAGCTACAGGCTCAGTGGGAACAAGAGGGTGGTGGCAAAGGGACAAGCTGAGCTTTGAGACAGTATATGAAGGAAAGAAGAGGTGGAATAAATAATTTTCTATAGCCTAACAATTTCTGAACAACTAAAGATTGAGGGGAAGCATTATCCTTAGGTTATTCTGTTATCAAGGCGTTACAGTATTGCCACGGTCCTCTTTAGGCATATGTGTCTGCAGTTTCACCTCCCTCAAGTCAAACAGAGGACTATTGGTGTGACTATTTCCTAGCATAACCAGGGATTATTTGTATGCTGACAGCTAAGAGAAAAGATTGTGAAGAAGCCTGTTCTACATTGAGCTCCCTTAAAATTCAGGGGGGAAAACCACATTTTGCATGGTATTTAAGACTTATCCTGTGCATAATAGTGATATTAAAACCGTCCTCTTACCAGTAAACTATAAAACTGTTTGATCAAAACGGAAACTACTCTCAAAAGGCGCATGCAGATCGGGAAATATGGTTTTTCCACTGGTGCTGGTGAAGATGAAGTACTGGAACCTTGTCTAAATTTTATATTTGGTGAGAAGAGCTTTATCACTAGTGGACAGACCCTTTCTTTAAGGAGGAAGCTGAATTCTTGATGCTGGAAAATAAAAGGACACTGTTAGAAGGCTAACTAATTTTATATCTATCTATCTATCTATCTATCTATCTATCTATCTATCTATCATCTATCTATCTCAAATCATTAAAGTTTAGGAACAAAGGCTTATACTAGGGACCTCACCAACCTTCCACAGTAACCCCTTTGATACCAAAGATGGGGAAGCAAAATTGATGGACTTTTAAATCCATTGATGAACTTTTAAAGTCTGATGGTCATTCACACTCCAGCACTGCCCATTGCCCCCTTGCCCTTTAGATAATCCCCCCATGGGTAGTACTGCTCATTCTGTTGCTCTAAAGTTAACCAAAACACAATCTAAGTATTAGGTTAAGAGGCACCAATCATACAGATGCCAAAGATACAGATGTTAACAAAAATGGCCGAGTCTTTCCTATTTCAGAAACAAAGGCCTGGATCTTAACTGAGCTTCTGCTGGCAGGAGCATCCCAAGCTGAGCTTTGCTCACATGAAGCTCCTGTCAGTGAAAGAAGCAGTAGGGCAGGCATAGGCAAACTCGGCCCTCCAGATGTTTTCGGACTTCAATTCCCATCACCTGACCACTGGTCCTGTTAGCTAGGGATCATGGGAGTTGTAGTCCCAAAACATCTGGAGGGCCGAGTTTGCCTATGCCTGCAGTAGGGCAACTTTCACTAATTCCCCCTCCCTCCAATAGTCTCTCGTGCTTCCAAAAAAATCAACTCTGGAAGGTTGGAAGAGCTATGGAACAGCGTAAGAAGCAGCGCAGGAGGATGGGGGGAAATCAGCAAAAATGGCCTCTTCCCTTACTTTCCAGGAGTGGATCCCACACGCAGATATTGGTCCCATCTGTGAAAAGGAGCCCTTCCCTTCACAGATGTCTAGTTAGGACCCCCAACCACAATATATATAGTTTCTAAAGTCTTTGTAGCTGAAATTCCCCTCCCCTTTCTAAAAACAAAAGCACTCACTTGTAAAAATACTTGCGGGAAATCATTGAGGACTGACTCAAGCAGTTCCAGACCAAATGTCCGGGTCATTTCTGTCATGCCTACAAGCCAGTAAGGTGCATCAGCATTAACCAGCTGACAAAGATCCTAAAAAAAACCAACAACACTCTTGTACTTTTATTCTCAGGAATCAGCCTGGAAACCTTCCCCCCCCCCCCCCCCAATTTTCACCCAGTCTTTACTTTGCCATGTAATTCACCATATGGAATTTTTAGACATACCATCAAACCATACTCTGGTATTAACACGTCTGAGTTTCAGTCACTCCTTCCTCGTTCACATACACAATCCTCTATATCCTTTCCTGGTTTGAGGAAGCTACTATTTGCCTAAAGAAGCCTACTATACTTTGTGATTGCCTTGCAAATTGAGTCTAGAAATGGGATCTGTTCTTCATTTTTATCCTGTTTTTCAGAGAAGGGCAAATCATAGTTCAGATGATGATGAACTGTAAAGGTAAAGGGACCCCTGACCGTTAGGTCCAGTCGTGGCCGACTCTGGGGTTGCGGCACTCATCTCGCTTTATTGGCCGAGGGAGCCGGCGTTTGTCCGCAGACAGCTTCTGGGTCATGTGGCCAGCATGACAAAGACACTTTTGGCGAACCAGAGCAGCACACGGAAACGCCGTTTACCTTCCCGCCAGAGCGGTACCTATTTATCTACTTGCATTTTGATTTGCTTTCGAACTGCTAGGTTGGCAGGAGCAGGACTGAGCAACGGGAGCTCACCCCATTGTGGGGATTCGAACCGCCGACCTTCTGATCGGCAAGTCCTAGGCTCTGTGGTTTAACCCACAGCGCCACCCAGTCCCTTATGATGAACTGTAGTTTGCCTTAAATCAGGGCTGAATGCAGGCCCGTGTTTTGCCAGTCCATGATTTTGCATTGCATTAGAACCAGCATTATATCTGAATCAGTCCATTGTTAAGAAATTGCATTTGCCTTTATTTAATTTCATTATTCTGTCCAGCAATTTAAATCCACCAGTTAGATAGTACTGTTTCTTTTTAAGTTGCTGAAAACATTGAGACTATCCTGACTTTCATCTATGCTAAACACATCCAAACCTTTAGCTTCTCAAATTGCTCCCTTTTACCATCTCTGTAGCTCCTCCGTATATTGAGCTGTATAGCTTTTAGAGATGAGCAGAAGAATTATGCCCAGCATGCTATGCTTTTCCTCCATAATATTAAGAATGCTCTGTGTACGTTAACCTTTTCTCTCTCTTCAAAATGCTTGCATCATATTATCTCTCAAACCAAAAGTAACAAATGACTATTGACTGATCTCAGAAGCTTAACTTTGTACATAAATTAGACTGTATATAATAAAAAGAACGACAAGAATTCAAGTAAGTTCCAATACCTGAAAAAGCATATATGCATCTTTAGCACATGGTTTCAAGGTGCTGACAGATCTTCTGTTACTGTTTCCTTGAATTCCTATTGGTTGCTCTATAATATCTGTACAAAACACAGATCCAGTTCAGAAACACAATGTTAAGAAAGAATGCATGGCTGTTCAATTATATATATATATATTAACTAAGGCTGATGCAGCAACTTGGGGGTTTTAGCAGGTGCTTGTGGTCGACACCAACATTCCCCCCCAAAGTTGCTCTCTCTCTCTTCCCTCTTGCTACTGCCGGGTAGAACAGAGTTGCATTTAGTTACTTTTCCAGTTTCAGAGATGTGACAAGTAACATTCAGAAGGCATGTAGTAGAGAACTGGCAATCAAGAAGCACATTTCTCCAACTAAACACAAGGTAAAAAGCATGACTTGCAGTTACTGAACAACCTGCCAATTCAAAGCCTACATCAGACAGCTTCATTAAAAAACACACACGATGCAACACTTGAACAAATTGGTATCCATGCTTCAAAAGCCACCTTTCCTTTATCGATTACACTTTCCAAGTTAATAGAATGCTGAATTTTGACCTGGACTGGGTAGGCCTGGGCTGAAATCCCCACTCATCTCAGCATACCCTATGCAGGATTGCTGTGACGATAAAATGGGATAATATTTGACCTGGCCCTCCCAATTCCTCAGATGAAGCCAGTGGCGGAGCTTCATGCTCCGGCACTGGGGGGGGGGGGGGAGAGCAGGTGGGGGCAGGGCTGGGGCACATCCTGGGGGCGTGGTGCCCAGCGCGGGCGGGAGGGCAGCCATGATGGCACCCCACTGGGATCGCACTGCCAGGGGCAGTGCGCTTCCCCTGCATTCCTCTTCCTCCACCAGTGGATGACGTGCTATACACTAATCTATTTCCTTTTAGAATCAGGGTACTGCTATATTGGGCTCCACCTACTTATAGCAAACAGACTTTTGCTATAAGTACCAAATGTTATGTAATATTTTAATTGCGATACAAACACATACCCACCTTTATAGTGTTCATCCTCAGCAACGACTCTTTCGAAAACAACAGTAACTACTTGCCGTACTGTGGCTGCCGCAGTATTATTTGTGATATTGTCTTTTGTGAAGTGCAACCGAAAGCAAAGGACAATTGCCTAAAACAAATTTAAACAGTACTCATTACACAACCCAAATAATAATCAAAGCGAAGGTGTAGAAATGATAAGTTTCTAAAACATGAAGTAAGTTGAATTTAAAGATGTTTAAGTTTCCGCCATCCTAAAATGCATCTATCTTGGAAACTGGCTCCTCCTTTATGTTTCATCAAAAGCCTCTTCACATGTGAAAAGAAAAATAATAATGTACAAGTCACACGATTGCTTCAACACTTTCATATCAAGAATGCCTCAAGGATGCCCCTCTGACTGTCACCCGTGTGCCAAGTACAAACAGCAATAATACAAAGAGACACTCTCAGACAGCCTCACAACTGTGCAGCTCTCTTTTACTGAAAACTTGATCCAAACTATGCATAATCCGATCACCATAGCTGACATAACTTTTAATGGATGAGATTAAGTAGTTGCAGCATAATTTTGATAAGCTTGTAGTTTAACTCAACATTTTATTTTGCCAGCTTTAAAACATTTTACATTGCCCAGAAACCTAATTTATAATCTAAGTGTAAAATGATATTGAAAACTTTTTCGGCAAAAGCTCAGATGAAGAACAAATATATTTTGGTCCTTTTCTTCCATGATGCCCACCTGAAGGATTACTCTCCTATTTGCCAGAAAAGGCAATTTGCCAATTGCGAAAAGGGCCATCTTGGATTCCCCCCCGATTTTACTAATTCATCCACACTAATGAAAGACCTAAATGATCCTTTTCCTAATATTGCTATTTGTGATTGCTATTATTAAGGAAACATAGGAGACCATGGGTCACTCTCAGTCTTTTCCTGAGAAGAATTTCAAAGCTAAGGTATTACTTGAACAGGCCTGTAGGTATTGTGTAAATAAGCCACACTGGTGTGCCATTTTTCTGAATATTTCTTTGGTGTACAATGAAAGACAGCCTGTGAAACTTATTTGAGATTCACCATGGAATTTTCAAGATCAGCTCATATTTATTGGTTAACATATAATGAAATACCACAATTTGATTTATACAGTGCCTACCTTAGAAAGTGCTTCATCATGGACAACTGTATTGGTTGTTAATAATACAAGGACCGTCTGAAGAAGCTTGAGTTCTTCAAGGCTATTTTCCATCAGTTGCCAAAGCATATTGATAACATTTCCAGCAGCAACCTTGGGAACAAAAATTGAGATGGGCTATTCGATGCCAAGATACTATGTGAGGGGAAAATGACTACAGAAGTGTCAATCATTAATTCTATCATACTTAATAAATATTGAAAATGCTTTTTCACTCTGTAAAGATCTGCAGGGGATCGCCTCAATATGTTCTTTTCTTTCACTGACCTTTTAAGAAGGCCCCAATCCACCTCTACTGGAAGCAGGACTGCAACTCACTCAGCCTACCCAAGAAAGAGGTGGGGAAGGGAAAAACTGCTACCACCTGGGAATAACAAAGCACTTTTGGAACTACTGAGATTAAATAGCCCAGAGGCAGCAGTCATAGAAGAGAGGGAGACTGGCTTGCAGAAGAAAAAGCAAAGGCACATAATCTCTTAACCCTTCTTCCCCTGATAGCGGGGAGGGTCAGGGAACCCTGTTAATAGGCTTTCCTTCCAGCTCAACTCCTTAAGGAGAGAATACCATGAGACTGGTTCACTGCATGTGACCCTAGAGGGTCCCAAGAAGGACAACTTGACCTGTCACTCCTCAAACTTAATAGCCTGAAGAAAGGAATACTAGGGTGCCATGGAGCTTAGAAGCTGGGGAGAATCAGCAAGTGTGATGGGTCCACCAGCAGTATTGTGTGAGGACTCAGCACTGTGCGAGACAAGATGAGGTCACTGAAAAGAGAATTTTTATTTGTGTGGGAATTTCATTCCCTGGGTGAGTGTTAAGTTGTACCAGCAGCCAAAGCCTCAATAAAGCTAGAGCAGCTGACCGTTTTGCATTATAATCCTAAAGTGTAAGGCTTGGTGTAATTCTCCTGGGTGACTTGCATACACCTCCCCTTCCCCTCAGTTTTCAAGTTGTGCTACACCAACATCAATGTTAACACTAGCCAGAGAGACCTTAAACTGCAGTTTGTGTACCAGCGTCTAACCGTGACTCAACATAGTGCCGTAGGTATATTTATATGTTTATGCTGCCTTTACGCTAGCATAGTTCAGGACACATGACTCATCCCCTACCAACTCCACTTTATCCTCACAACAGGCCTGTAGAGTAGGTGAGAGTTGGCAAATGGTTCAAAAATATTCAGTGAGCTTCGTGGCTGAGTGAGTCTCCTCTAACCTCAACACTTAACATACTACACACCATACTAACTCTCATAATGCTAAATACATTTCATCTGAAAATAAAACTGAAGGGGAATGCTCCTGCAATAAGCCACCCCTAATAATCCCTCTGGGGTAGTGTTACATCTACACTTATCCTAAAGGCTATGCCTAGTCAGTTATCTTATTGGGATGCTCTAATTTTTTTAATGATTCTTCAGCTATGTAAATTAGGCCTTCCATACCATTACTTGACTACCCCAAGTCTTACCTCTGAAACAACTTCATGAGACATGAGCCTTTGTATAGCTGCTAGACATAGTTGGGTGATCTTTGGTTCTTTTGTTCCACAACCCATTAGAAAAGGCTGAACCACTTCTGAGCTGTTCTCTTTCAAGGCTTTCAAATGGAGAAAAAATAAATATACAATATCACAAGTCCGCAGCTTTGATTAATAAAGAAAACCATCTGTTGAAAATTAATATAATTATAGTGGTATTTCATGGAAAATATATATAAAAGAGATGGAAAGAGTTACAAATTTGGAACTTTTACTTTAATTTTATATCCACAGTAAGAACCTTTTGGAGCAGCTGCTTGAATCTTCTTTCACCTGCCTGTTTGCACAGCATTCACTCCTTGCATTCACTTTGCTTTCCAAGCCTCTGAATTACCCCATTCTCATACACCATATGCAATATTCTACTGACTCTCCTATGTGCCCAATTTGTCATGGGCAAGATAGCTCTGTGATCCAACACAGCAGAAAATAACTCCTTATGTTCATTGCACAAGAATACAAGAGTCTGAGCAGAGTACTATGGAACTGAAGACTGATTATTTGATGTCACCTTTCCTTCAAAGAGCAAGTCTCAATTGCAGCCTACTTGTTTCAACATAGGCTTGCTCTATGTCAACACACTGCTTGCACAGTATAGTAATATTTAATTTAATTGAAAGGTAGCCTAGTTTGCAAAATCGTACATGTGCCAGGTTCTCAAAGATACCCATAGTGAGTCTATAGGAATTATAGTTTTAAATTATACATTGATATTAAACTCTATCTGGAATTTTATCCTTTGACAGTGAATACAATACACAACTCTCAAAACTATAGCTACTGCTGAAGTATATACACTTCTGATTCCAAACATGGAAATTTTAAACCAGATTTTTGTCTTACAACTAAGCAGTATCCAGTATTTTGTCTTACACTTAACCGGGGATGGGGTGGGGAGAGAGAGACTAGCTGAAGAAACTAATTAAAACAAGCAGTTCTTATGCAAATAAGCAGGATTCAGCACTCAAATTCACTTAAGTATACACACAGTGGGTACACCCTGACAGAGGTTTACCAAAGTTCTGAGCTGGTAAAGAATGGGATCCATAAATTATGTTGTATGAAATGCATCTCTTTTCTAGAATCTTATTAGGTACTCTAGGGTGATGGTCTATTTCTTGCACAAGGATGTTTGATCCAGCAGGAAACATCTGCTCATGGGTGAGAAGGGGAAGTGGCTTTTGCCTATTTCCTCTCCCAAATCTGTTCTGAGGGTCCCTCAATCCTCCAGAACAGTTTGGGGGAGGGTGTTAGGTCCATCAGGAAAATCAGCCCAAATTATCTCTTCCCCTTCCATGAGCAGATGAATCTGCTGGTGCAACAGTGCAAAGAACACTAACAGATTATAACCCATAACACTGAGAATTATATTACGAATATCCAGCATACTGAACTACAGAGACAATCCAAAGGGGCATCAGTTATATAACCCCTCAACCCAGTTCTGTAATATCAGTGACACTACAGCAGATTAATTAGAAACAGTAACAGAGATATTGATGACCTTCGTGGTCCCTTCCAACTCTACAATTCTACGATACAAAATAGCATTTCAAATCATATCAGAGCGCAATTACTTGAAACTGGAAAAGCCTAGAGAGAGTGAAAGGCCTCAAACTGTGTATGGTTTGTTTGTTTTTTAAAAGAGAAATCTTGATTTGGTTTTCTAGGAAAATGTAAGTAATGAAAGCATCTATATTAATACACAGATGTATCGTGTCTTAGAAGATTATTCACGGGTTTATCAAGGCAGCCATTAAACCTAAAAGCGTTAGGTAAAGGTAAAGGGACCCCTGACTACTAGGTCCAGTCATGACCGACTGGGGTTGCAGCACTCATCTCGCTTTACTGGCCGAGGGAGCCGGCGTACATCTTCCAGGTCATGTGGCCAGCATGACTAAACCACTTTTGGCGAACCAGAGCAGCGCACGGAAACGCCGTTCACCTTCCCGCCGGAGTGGTACCTATTTATCTACTTGCACTTTGACATGCTTTCGAACTGCTAGGTTGGCAGGAGCAGGGACCGAGCAACGGGAGCTCACCCCATCGTGGGGATTCGAACTGCCGACCTTCTGATTGGCAAGTCCTAGGCTCTGTGGTTTAACCCACAGCGCCTTGTAAATAATGTTGAGTTGAAAGAGGAATTGTACAACGTAAATTAAAGTACTAGGATATAGATAAAAAGTACTAGTAAGCATTCCCAAGTGCTACTGTATTGGTGTTCTAGGCATATAATATTTGAAGTCTAATTAGCTAATTATTCTCCCTAATTAGGGCAAAGGGCCATAGTTCAGTGGTAGAGCATCTGCTCTGCAATGCAGAAGGTTTCTGAACAATCCCTGGCATTTCCAGGTAGGGCTGGAAATGTCCCCTAGGCTGAAACCCCAAAGAGCTGTCAGTGTGGTAGGCAATGGTCTGACTCAGTACGAAGTAGTTTCTGAGGTTCTATTATGTCATATAAATTTATACTGGGTGTGGGTGGAATTCCACTGTTGCTGTTTTCTAGGTTGCTTATGTCTTTTAAGACTAATCCCGAGTTTTGTTACTAGTTGTAAGTCTTGCCCATAATGATATTTGTGAGGCTGCAACTGTCTTCCATACACTAAATCACTGTATGCTATCTAGTTCTTTAAACAGATATGATGAGATGCTTCTGTCTCTTAGTGCAAGTTTGTTTGGATTATAGCTGACATTACCTGTCATAGCTTCCCCACTTATGTCAGCATTCATGATAGCAATGAAAACAAAAGAAAAATAAATTAAATAGAAGTGTTAAAGTGAAAAAATAGGGCAAGAACTATTCTAAAGTATATTCTTTAAGTAATACTAGAGTAATTATTCAAAATCAACTACTCTAAACAATAAAAACTAATTGTGGAATCATTTTTGCTGCAACAGACCACCTGCCCCTGCCCTTCTGTACTCATGTACTCTCAAGTACACAGAAGCAACTATAAATATTTTCTCTGGTGACACTAACGCTTAAGACTTGCTAGTGCAACATCACACTTAAAAGAATAATAACCAACAAGAGAAGTATTTTTCTAATCTTAATTAGTTATTTAAGATACCGGTTGTGGACCAGTGAACAGGAGGAAATGGAATAGAAAAATAAAGCATTTTTCAAAGTCTATTGGTTCATAACAGTAATATGAGTGAATATAAAACTAATCAGATTGGGTAACTGGAATGAAGATGGTAACAGGTAAATCTCAAATGAAAGATTTGAGTTTAACAGGGTTCACTTCCAGGAAAGTGGGTATAGGTGTCCTTGGTGACATCATACATTTTCCTCCATAAAATCTAAATAATACAAAGTTCATATAATACTACCACAATATTGGAGCAAAGTACACATGAGAACAGTTAAATTTTTTAAATGGACAAATTATTGGGAGGTGGGAGAGGAAAGTTGGTGAAAACTTTCCTGTTCTGGCAACTTCTTGTTGCACTGGGCAAATGGGGCTCATATATGGTAAACTCTTTTTACAGGTTTTTTTTTAATCTCCTAAGGCAATTCTTTATATTTTTTATATTCTGACTGTTGTTGACTGGGGTGGGTGGCTGACAGGCACTTGGGAACCCCAGCACAAGGGGATTTCTGCAGGCATTACAAAGTTCGCTGTACAGGGCTTCCAATCAGCAGCATACTTTCCAGGATGACAGAACAGATGATGTCACCTGCCCCACATAAAGCATCAGATGTGGGGCAGGTGGTGAAAAAAGTCTTGTTGGCCAAATTTCATGGAATGCCAAGTTTGACCAGCGGGCCAGACATTCCCTAGCCCTTTTTTTAAGAAGTGGGCATGGGGTATCCAGATAAGCTCCAATTTAAGTACTAGTTGGAAGATCTTCAGAGCTACTTAGCTTTAGGAAGGGAATTACACAATTTATTTGAATTTTGAATGCTTTCAAATCACTGCCACTATTGCCATCTGTACAAAATTATCTCTGACTCCTACAGACACTCTTTCCAGTTGTCTTCACTTCCAGTTTGCAAAACATCATAAGACGCAGTTTTAAAATCTGTGAGATTTGGGGATATTTTACTCTCTCAATAAGTACAAGCAATATATTAAATTGTATTTGGTTACCCTAAAATTCTACATTAAAATCATAGATTCATTCAGTAATTAATATAACTAAAGAAAGAAGGCTGAAACTGGCAATATTTCATTTACTGTCCATTAAATTTCACAGAATAAGTTGTGGGAGGAATGTTTTGGAGAGGTCCTCTCTATCACTTTTACTTCTCCAAACACACCCATGCAGCAACACATCCTTTTCTCCATATCACCAGCAATTTTGCTTCTTTGTTCTGCTGTTCAACTGGAAGGAGACATCAATTTTCACTTGGATGACCCATAAGACAGTTTGGAATTGGGAGGAAAAAGAGCAGACATGTGCATATTGGCTTAGTCTCCAGAAGCCATTTTCCTGCAGCATCTCTCTCATGAAACAGGGCACCTACATCTATAAAATGTCTGTCAAACTATAAGTTTTGGAGTACTTCAGTAACAGCTAATACAGTAACATACAGTGGTACCTCGCAAGACGAATGCCTCACAAGACGAAAGAGTTTTTCGTTTTTTGAGTTGCTTCGCAAGACGAATTTCCCTATGGGCTTGCTTCGCAAGACGAAAACGTCTTGCGAGTTTGTTTCCTTTTTCTTAAAACCTTTAATACCGTTAAAACCGTGCTTCGCAAGACAAAAAAAATCGCAAGACGAAAAAACTCGCACAACGAATTAATTTCGTCTTGCGAGGCACCACTGTAATACATGATTGTTGTTGTTGTTTGTATAATGCAAATAGCAGTAAAAATACATGGAACACAATAAGGAACAGGGGGTATGCAACCCAAAATAATATATGGGCAAACACAAATGATATACCCTCAACCCCGGAAGACTGTCCTCTACAGGATGGTATTGAATTGCATCCAGTTCTGTGCTTTGTTTTGGCACAAGACACTGTACACTGTGTTAACTTACACCAATAATAGCTAAAACACACAAAAAAGCAGGGTGTGCACCCTGTATTAAGATTGGTGTCACTCCAGATCATACAACCATACCTCCAGGAGTGTGTTTCTACATATTCTGGCCAATAGCATGCTCAGGGTCACCATGACATCCATGGGGCTGCCCCAACGTAGCTCAACATTTGTAGGAGGGCACACTCAATATTTGTCATCCTTGGTTGAGAAGGGAGAGGATAAACTGGGAGGTGGGGTGTTGTTGTCGAGTTTTAGAATTTCAGAATTCTAAAACTGCAGGAATGGAGGACCTATTAAAATGGCCAACTCCTGGAGACTAATGGATTCGAATGGTTTTCCGGAGGGCCCCAGGGAGCTTTCCAATTGGCAAGGCTGGCTCTTCTGCCAAACACAGAGGTGACATGGGAGTCTGAACACCCCTCCCAACGAGCAAAGTAAGCAGAGCTCTGTGTTATGCTCTAGAGTGAGAACTATTAAGCGAGTGAGCAGGTGGGGGAAAATCACAGCAAATGTACTCAGGTCAGACTCTATTCAGTAGGTCTGAAGGTGGCAAAGTAAGCTTCCTCTGTGCCCCAGTTTTGTCATCCAGTGCAGTTGTTCTGGGTGGCTAAGGCCTATAACCTGTGGGCCTAGGCACATGGTAGAGCCTGTGACTGTTTGCAAGGCATTATGAGGATAAAATCACTTGCACCCACTGGAACTTGGACTCCAGGTTTTAGAGCAGGCAATTCTGGAGCACTTATTTGTTGGATGTTGTCGGACAGGTTTCAGTTGTTGCAGCCTGAGGGCGTGGACAGAGCATTTGGTAAGGTTTGTGCAACAACTGTTGGATCCTTGCCCCTCTTCATTTACAAAATTGGGCAGGGAGGGGTCAGCTGGTTGAACTAGGAAGGTAATTAATGCTTTCTTACAAGAGGGAATGGATGCATTTGCATGGCATGCCACTGGCTTCACATTGCGGAGCGACACAACCCTCTATACCCAGTTCAAATCAAATGCTAAGCTAGGAATCATAGTTTGCTGGGGTGGGGATAATGAGGTGGAATCCTAAAGAACGTAAACAGGTGCTTGCTGTGTAAACTTTCCCTGAACTTGAGTACCTGGAAATCAGTGAGGATTCAAACAGGATCTTCAGACACCAAAGACTATCCCAGAATTTTGATAACTGTATATATTTCACCTGCTTTGATGAAAAATTGGACTAGCACACTGTCATAACTTTTATTGAAAACCCATAGACTATTATTATCTTCATGTTCTAAAAGCACTAAAGATATTCAACACCAAATCACATACAAAGCTTTGATTTAAAGAGACTTAAAATGAATTTTCTGATTTGGATTTTTGGTGTTTGCAAATATTTACCTGACAAGACATCACTGTTTCGTGCAGCTATCGTTTTTACTTTTATTATTCCTGACTCAGCAGCCTGTAAAGAAAAGACAAGAGATTATTAATTTATTAGTTTTTTCTTAGAAGCATTTTATCCTATTCTTCAGCTGAAATGGCTCCCACAGCAGCTTACTAAAATCAGTAGTAAGTCATCGCTGACCTCAGGCTTACAATCTAAAAGCTACTTCTCAGACTGTACTATATGAAAGCAATTCTTCATTTAACAGAAGTGAAATTAAAGTTGTTATGCCTGCAAAATCTTGCGGCAGAAATTGCTTCCCATGAAAGCATAATTCAATGCCCCAGAATGTGATGTATTAACAACCGAGTCTTATTACATCTCCCATCTCCACCTTAAGACCTTCACATCGTTATCTCTTTATTATTTGCAAATTTTCTCACTTTTTAAGGTCCCCTATGATATACCCAAGTGCGTTCAATAAACGCCTAGTTAAAAAAACACAGTTCTGAGGTGTTGGCATGGAAATTGCTTAAAGGATAAACATAATAAATACACAATTTCTGTCTAAGAACATCCCATGGCAACCCAAACTATTTTTTTCTGAACTTATTCATGTTTCACACACAATATCCAAGGCATTCAGAGAGGTAGACATGAATACGAATCTTGTGTCTACACAGATAGCGTGCATGCACCAATCAGCACAGTCTATACTTCCAACCACTCCCTTATACACAGATTAGATGCCAACTAAATCTAATACACAACACTCTTGCTAATGCAGCAGAAAATCCAACAAGGGTACTGTAACTAAAAAGATGTTAAAACATTCTTGACTCAGCTGAAAAGTTAACTAGAATGCCACAATGTTCTACTTTTTATGTATTCCCTAACAAGGTTCTGCTACAAAAAAAAAGTTAAATGAAACCAGGGTTGCAAGATTTTATAGCTCAATTCCAATCAAAAGTAAGTCCCATTGAGTTTAATAGAAGTTGTGACCAGTTAAGTGTGTATAGAACTGCATTATTAGCAAATTAATAAAGTACTTAATCACTCTGTTTTACCAAAGAGAAAAAAGATACCAGAGTATTTTGTGTATTTAACATTAAATAGTAAGTTTTCATGACATTCTATGTAGTCCAATTTTAAACCACATATTCTTATATCAATCATTGTTTCATATACAACCTTGGGGGAAACTTATAGAAGCTAACATGTCTAATATAATAAACAACTTGTTCATATTTCTTTCTGTTTCAAGGGCTTCTGTAAATGACTTTGTTAAAGAATCCAGTTTAAAAACCTTGCAAACCATCACACGATCAAGCATATTGCCTTATTTGAATGCCAAAGTGCTGTGTGAACTGTGTGAAATGAAATTTAATTTAATTTAATTATTTTTGTAACATAATTTGCTAGATGTTTAAAACAGCTCCATAAAATGTAACAATCAGAAGAGGGGGGAAACAAACAAGCACGAATATTTAAAGGGACCAGGAGGGGGAAAGGTGAGAGAATAAAATATACAACTAGCTTTGAATTATTGACATATATATTTACATATGTTTTAGGGAAGCTTTTAATGTTTGACAGACTATTGTATTTTAATATTTTGTTGGAAGCCGCCCAAAGTGGCTGGGGAAACCCAGCCAGATGGGCGGGGTATAAATAAATTATTATTACAGTGGTACCTCAGGTTATATACGCTTCAGGTTACATACGCTTCAGGTTACAGACTCCGCTAACCCAGAAATATTACCTCGTGTTAAGAACTTTGCTTCAGGATGAGAACAGAAATTGTGCTCTGGCGGCACGGCAGCAGCAGGAGGCCCCATTAGCTAAAGTGGTGCTTCAGGTTAAGAACAGTTTCAGGTTAAGTACGGACCTCCGGAATAAATTATTATTATTATTATTATTATTATTTTACAGTGCAGCTCCTTCAATAAGTGAAGTTAGTACATTTTAAAGACTAGTGTACAGCTGAAAAATTCAAAGTCCTTTTAAGTATTCCTATTAGCTTGCTAAATATTTTACCACACCAATGCCTGTGCTCCTAGATAGCAGATAACTTTGCCTCAGCAGTAACCTGAACCTTCTGTAAAACTGCAATCCTAGTTCAGAATCTTGAAACTGCTGACTCAGCTAGAAAGGCAACGCTACTCAAAATTGTCAGCTTATGCTGACGGGCTCTAAATGAAAGCAGGAGCAGAGCTGTGGAGGACTAACAGTCAGCCGTATCAAGTAATTGCTAAAGCTACCTTGCTGAGGACAATGAAATAAAAGGTCCATTCTTAACCTGAAAATGTTCTTAACTAGAGGCGTGCTTTTGCTAATGGGGGCCTCTTGTTGCTGCTGCGCTGCCGGCACACAATTTCTGTTCTCATCCTGGGGCAAAGTTCTCAACTTGAGGTAATTCTTCCAGGTTAGTGGAGTTTGTAACCTGAGGCATTTGTAACTTGAAGTACCACTGTATATACAAAAGAGTAACCACCATAGTATTACTCAGCATACAGATATAGCCTGGCTTTGTCCAGCACATGTATTAGTGGTACATGGCACAAAGACTCCATTAACCACAGGCCCTGGCTTCACTGTCTGTTTGCAAGATCACACTGAGCATATGATTGTACTTTTAAATATATCCCTTCTAATCGTAAAGTTTTTATTATCAAGCTTGAACATAGATTGACAATGGAAGTTAAATGTGTATAAACTGAAATTCAACACAAACAGGTTTTCCATTTATCCCTATAATTTTATTAATGTTGTGTTATTACAATTTGTAGCCAAGACCATTAAACATTAAATCTGAGCCCCCAAAATCTGCTCTGGAGGGTGAACCTGGATCACCTGGTAATAAGTCCCAATGCGTTCAGCGAGAGCAGATGTGCAATGGACTGCACTGCTAGTGGATCTAAGGCATTACAAGCTACATAAAATGAAGCGTTATAGCTATACACCTGCCAAATTACGTGGTGTTGGAATGATAGTAAAAATACTAAAACAAAAAAATTCTGCTTTATTTTCATGTACAGGATTCACTACTGGGTTTAAAAAAATGGTTAATGTTCCTTGTGCAATGAGTACCATGCAGTTCAATGCTACTTTAGAAACCAGACATGTAGTGCAGGCTAACAAAGAACAAAGGTTACTTTATATCCTGCCTCCCCCAAATGTTTGTCCTCTCAAATTCTTTAAATTGTGAATATATCCTACAAAAAAGGAAATAATAATAGGCGGGTCTAACTGTAGCATTTTAAAATAGTGTATTTACCAAACAGTTCACTTTCTGTTAGCCCTGATATTCTAAAATATTGCATCTTGCATACTGTAGAGTTGTAACATTTTATGGAAACTAAAGGAAAATTCTGTAGAAACTGTGATTCTCAAATTTTGTTCTTAAAACTTTGAAGACTTACTACTCAAATCTGCCTTAAGGGAAGTCAAATCTTCCATCAAATCAAGCAATCATTTCTCTCCTACTCACATCCTTCAGTGCTATCTATGATGCTACCTGCTACTAACTTTGCCACCAACTTGGCAAATCTACAAACCTGATGCATGACTACGTGGTGAGTTACACCCAAATGTTTTGGATTTTTATGCATGGAAGGCTTTGACTGAAGCTCTAATAGCCCCCCCCCGATCATCTTCATCTTGTTGTTGTTGTTGTTATTATTATTATCATTATCATTATTATCATTATTATCACCACCACCATCATCCCCACCCATCTGGAAGCTCTGGGTGGCTTCCAACACACATCAAAACATAATAAAACGCCAAACATTAAAAACTTCCTGATACAGGGCTGCCTTCAGATGTCTTCTAAATGTTGTGTAGTTCTTTATCTATTTCACATCTGATGGGAGGGCATTCCACAGGGAGGGCGCCGCTGCTGAGAAGGCCCTCTGCCTGGTTCCCTGTAACCTCACTTCTTGCAGTGAGGGAACCGCCAGATAGCCCTTGGAGGTAGGCTTCAGTGTCCGGGCAGAACAATGCGGGTGGAGATGCTCCTTCAGGTATACAATACTATTACCCCCACCCCGTCAAAAAACCCTTTCATGGGAATATACTTTAATTGGCATATTCGTTTGTGTCCTATAGGTTGAAGCTATGGATTTCAAGTACACCCTAGAACACTTTTGGTATCAATGAGGTGAGGTTCGCACTATACAACAGAAGACCCTTTGCTCCACATTTTAATCTAGGCACAGTACAACAAATCTATAACAAAGTACAACAAAACATTAGAACCTCAGGTTAGCACATTAAGAGGTTGTTTTATATCAAATTAACATATTTGTTTACTTTCCCCATAGCCGCCTTATGGAACGCAATGCTAGCAACATGCAATTCTCTTTCAATTCATTAAAAACATCACTACAGTCTTAGCTTATTGATTTCAACAATCAAGAGCTCCTGAATTTTTACAGGGGCAAATATCATTACACAGAGATGGGAACCTCAGGCTTGGGGGGCAACTGCAGCCCTCTAGACATCTCTGTATGGTCATTCCCCAAGCCATGCTCCTTACCAGCCCTCCATGCTTATGACTGGCTAGAATGTGGTCTGATAATACTCTGATGGTAATATCACCTGGATGGACAATGACAGCAGTGCTCAAGCACCACACTCTGGAAACAACCATCCAAGTAGGACCAGAACCACTGCAAAACAGTGCCACCCAACCCTAACTCATATTATATTATTATTAGTTATGATTCTCACCTTCGGCATTGATCATTTCACTCTGCAAAAAACAAACTTTGCTTGATTTACTTAGTTTTACGATATTAAACAGGGCATGCTTCTCAGAGCTCAAGTTCTTAAAATTCTGAAGTCCTTACCAAAGTTTGAAGACTCACATACGCAAACCATCAACAACAACCTCTCGCAAGTGGGAAAAGACAGCAATATGATACGTACATGGGAGCTGTTCCAAGTGCCACTTTCAAATTTAATATACAACGGAAACCTGCTTACCTATCGGTGGCAAAACAGGAACAGCTTGCAAACTCGTTTGGGTAATGCAATCCTTGTTGATTACCCAAACAGTTGCTACCACCAGTGCCTTGAAACCTACTATATTCAAAGCCGCCTGTCTCCAAACAAGGGCCTCCAAGTTATCCTAACAGATGATAAGAAGGCTTTTGCCTATCTTTTGAGCGGTATCGATTGCCTCCCCCAGCAAAAAAAAAAGGGGCAGCATTGCTAAGCCTGGGAGATGCACACTTAAAAAGTTCGCCCACTAGAGAGACTGAAGTCTGGGAAGAGGGAGGTGGAACCGGGAACTGCTTGTTACAAGAAAGTGCTGCAAGCGGACCGTGGTGGCCAAGTGGTGCAGACGTTTGCAATGTAGACGCAGCCACCCGACTCGGTTCCACTCCGGGATTTCAGTTCTCAACGGGGGTGGGTGGAGAGGAAAGGCCTCAGCGAGACCCCACGTACCTCTTCCTAAAGCAGGCCGGGGAAAGGCCAACACGACACAACAAATACACACAAACACTGACACGCCCCCCCCCCGACAGTCCAGTTTCTCTCCCCCCACCAAAAAAAATCCCTCACCTCCTTGACGGGAGGAAATTTCTTCCGGCACTCCAGGCTCAGGGCCCGCAGGTCGCCTTGCATGTTTTCCAGCAGTTTCTTCACGGCCTCGGGGCTGCTCGTCCCGGCCATGGCTCCTCCGCCGTGTGGGGAAGGCAGCGACGCGAAGCCGGCAAGGGACAGGCCCGGCCGAGCCAGCGTCGCCGTCTGAATGTGGCGGCGCCCGGAGGCCGTCAAGTCCCGGGCGGAGCCACAGGCAAAAGCAGCACCACCACCACCAGCAGCAGCAGCCGCCTCAGCCTCCAAGGCCGGCCCCGCCGCGTCCACGTCCGCTCCCGCTCCCACAATGCCGGGCGCCGCCGCTGCCGCCGCCGCCGCCGCACGTCAGGCCCGCTTCCGCACCACAGAGGCCTCGCGAAGAAGGGGCGGCGCGAAGGAGGGCCCGCAGGGCGGCGCGGCCCGAGGACGGCGGGGCTGAGGCGGGTCTGTCAGGGGCGGGAAGATGGGGGGCAAAGACGGGGCGCGACCCTGTCCGGCCTTGGTTTGTACGCAGTCCCGGAGCAGAAGAGGCCGTCGGTTCCTCAGAGCATGTGCAGTTCTTGCTTCTTCCCCCATGCAAGGTGGCATGGAGGGGATTCCAGCTCCTCTTTCTTGAAATCGCCGGCACTTATTTCCTTCAGGGAAGTTTTTAGTGTGGGATGTTGTCTTGTTTTCTTACTATTTTTTTTGTTGGGATCCGCCCGGAGTGGCTGGGTCAGCCCAGTCAGATGGGCGGCATATAAGTAATAAATTATTCTTATTATTATTTTTATCAGCAGCCCCGACTCGGCTTTTTTTAAAAAGGTCCCTGCCACTGCCTCTCAGATTTGCCATATCAAAGAGATATGGGATTATCCATGTTGTTTACTGTCAGCTCAATGCCATATACATCCTTACCCCGCCGTAAAACCTAGCGAGTTCGGTAGGTCTTGCGCAAGGGGGAATCGATACAGGTTCGCAATCTTAATAAGCATTTTGAACCATCGACATCACCCGTGGCTGGCAAATGCTCCTTAATCAAACAATGGAAATTGTGTAGCACGTTGCATTGCATTTTACCTTAAAAAAAAACCAAAAAGGTATCTGTTTAAGATTTGTGTTGTATCCCGCCCCCTACTTTAAAATAACAGTGTTGTCTTTTTTTTCTTTTTTACGGTTCGTAACACCCTTCTGTTACTGATAATAGCTTCAGATGCCAACACCACTGCCAGTAAGGGAAAACTTGCTTCCATTATGGATTGAGTGGGTTACAGCTGATCAGCCCTGTTGCTTTGGCCCAGAGGACCTTTGCAGGAACAACTGTTGCCTGGCAATTGGCAGGTGCCAGCAGGAGAAGCTTGCGTCCATCATGGGTTGAATGAGATCCAGTTGCTCAGTCCTCTTCCCTTACATCGGAGAACACCAATGAAGGCCAAGCTTGAATGCAGGAAAAGCCACCTGCGTAACCCCGTAGTGGCATTTCTTAAGTAACATTTTTATTGTGAGAATTGTTTTTTGTAAGCTGCTTGGAGAGCATCCCAGGGTTATGAAGTGAGATAAAAGCATTATAAATACTATTCCTGGGTGTTTTATTTGTTTGTTTGTTTTGCTTAAGTATGAGGTGCATTTACTGATATTAGTATCCATGCTTCCAGTTCTTGCTTCTTTAAAGGGGAAGTTGGCAGCTGTCCCTCATTTTAAGATACACATTCCTTATGCCAAGATACTACAGTTCTACAATGTGTACTTAGTGGAACAGATTATAACATTGCCAAAGTTGCGTAATCTAGAAAGAGCCTATGATCTCTTCATGAGCAATCGGCAGCAGACCTAGGCGAGCAATTTGCCTCACAGAGCCTCAGGCTAGCCTGCAATCGTTCCTAAGGCTTCTTTTTATCATGCACCCTCATTTACTTTCAGCTTGTGACAAGAGTGATGCATCCCACATTACGTGTTTAGCTGCACAGTTTAAGGTGTGCTCTAAACATAGTCTAATTGTCATGAGCACATATTTGAAAATGTGCGGTAGAGAAGTAGTCAGCAGAGAGCTAGGTTTTCCTACATTTTCCTGACAAGTGTACATTAGCGTCAAGAGAAAATATACTGCTGTGTTAAGGTGTGGAAAACGCCAGGGGGTGTGGAGGGGAGTAAATGATTTTCTTTATCTGCCTCCTCACCAGTATGAACAGAGCTGACAAACCAGGAGCTGGGCCAGAGGATTGTGGACTCTGCCAAAACCTCTCCTCCTTTCAGCACTAGGCTAGAGCATCAAGTCATAGCTATAAGTGGAGGAAGTGCTACTGACTCTTCAGTTCTTGTTCTATTCAAATATGGCTCTTGTTAAACTAATAGCTCAATAATACTGGCATGGTGATGACTTAAGAAAATAAAATTAAGAGCCACCATGTCACTGTGACACTACTGTAAGACATGTACATGATTAAGATTACATTTATGCACATGATTGATTAAAGCATTTGCCTTTAGCATGGCTACTCACATGCCCAAAATACGTAGCCTCTAAAATATTTTAATTGCAATATCCTGCCACATTGCCTTAATTGTACCTTGCAATCCAATCCTAAATGTATGCTGAGGTAAGAATACACTCAAGTACTTCAGTAATAAGGAAATACAGAATATAGCTAGAATACTGGCTTCTGGCTTTTTCTTGGATTAAGAATGCATACTTCTGAAAATACAAATTAATGCACATCAAATAAAAGAGACTGGATTAACTTAAATGAGTTAGCAAACTCTTTGTTGGTAGTGAACAGCTTAAGTTATAAGAAGGTGCAGTGTTAAAACAACTATATAATTACTTGAAGCCAGAGGTTTTCAACCGTTATTGAGTCCATGGCTCCCTTGACCAACCACCTTCTTTCTGCGTACCCCTGTGGGACTCAGAAACAAGTTATGTCACCTCTTGCCTGCAGAGCTGGCTGCTTCTCACCTTTTTCCAAACACCCTTGTGGGGTGTGCCCTCAGCCTTCTCTCCTTGGGTGTCCTCCGGGCAGCTGCTGCTGCCTCTGGTCTCTGAGCTGTCCCACCTCCTGCTCAAGTGAGGTGTCTCCTCACACTGCCCCACAGGGGCCTGGGAAGAGGAGACCTTCAGCCTTAGTGGCGCAATGGAGACTGGCCAAAGGTGAACATGAGGCCAGCATCTTACCTTGGGAGGCAGCAGTGGCGGCAGCAGGCACTCAGCTCCCAGGCAGGCATTGCACACAGCAAGCACATGAAAGACCAGAACAGCGCCTGCCTGCCCACCCTCCTGCTTGTCTGTTCATTTCCCAACAGCAAGGGCCGGCGGGCTGGGCTCCCTCACCAGCTTGCTTGCTTACTCTGAGGCCACCTCAGCTCCTAGCAACCAGCACCCCCTGGCCAGCCCCAGAGGCACCATTCGCCTGGGGAGCTTGTAGCCAGGGCTGATGCAACAAACAGCTGTACAAGCCTTGGGGAGGAAGAGAGGCAGGAGGGCATCAGAGGAGGGAGGGAAGGAAAGAGGGACAGAGGCCAGTGTTGCCCACGGCACCCCTGAACATCATTCAAGGCACCCTAGGGTGCCAAAGCACACTGGTTGAAAACCACTGCTTTAAGCTATTGTAAAGTGTCCTGAGATAATTTGATAAAGTGTAGTACAAAAATATTTGAAACACCACCAGGTATTCACTGTATTAAAATTAGCATTGTTTGAGATCCTAAGGGATCAAAAAGCTTCAGTCTCAAGTAAAATCCACCACTGTATCTACACATTAGCCCACCAAATGATCAACCAGTATCATCCAGATTACAGTATGCCATGGACTGAGAATAGGAATGGGAAAATAGTGCACTGCAAGGGTACATGGCATACACAGAAAACTGCTCCAGAAAATTCAAAAATTAAGCTAGTCCTAAAACACTTTAAGGGACGCAGGTGGCGCTGTGGGTTAAACCACAGAGCCTAGGACTTGCCAATCAGAAGGTCGGCAGTTCGAATCCCTGTGACGGGGTGAGCTCCCGTTGCTTGGTCCCAGCTCCTGCCAACCTAGCAGTTTGAAAGCACAAAGTGCAAGTAGATAAATAGGTACCACTCCAGCGGGAAGGTAAACGGCGTTTCCGTGCACTGCTCTGGTTCACCAGAAGCGGCTTAGTCATGCTGGCCACATGGCCCGGAAGCTGTCTGCAGACAAACGCCGGCTCCCTCGGCCAATAAAGCGAGATGAGCGCCGCAACCCCAGAGTCGGTCACGACTGGACCTAATGGTCAGGGGTCCCCTTACCTTTACCTTTTAAAACACTTTAACCAGTGGTGGTGAACCTGTAGTCCTCAAACTGTTGATGGACGTCTGATCCCAGAAATATCTGTAGGACCATAGCTTCCCCACCCCTTACTTAAACCAAGTTCTAATACTATCTGTGTTTTATTTGCTCTATTCCTGTAAGGATTCCAAGAACTCCAGATACCTCAGTTGTGCCTCATACAGATGGCTAAAATACAGATGTAAAATATTTGAAACACTTGGCTTATTAGGAATTTCAAATTGCTTTCTTTATACTAGAGCAAACTAGTACTTCATCATTTATCTCATGATCAACCCAACAGCTTGTTTCTCTCATTTCTAGTTTCCAGTACTACTGAAAATTGCTTTGAAATATTTTCTTGATCATTTAGGCTCGTGCAAAGGGCTGAAGTCAGGCAGCAGCATGTTGCATATACTTCTCCACACAGTGTATAGTTATGGCATTCATTCCCACAAGAAGCAGTGATGCCTACCAATTTAGATGGCTTTAAAAGATTAAATAAATTCATAAAAAATACAGCTATCAATGGCTACTAGCTATGATGGCTATGTTCTACGTCCACTGTTGGAAACAGTATGCCTTTGAACATCAGTCGCAAGGAATCACAAGGAGGGAGAGTGCTGTTGAGCTCAGGTCCTGCTTTGGCGCCTCCCATAGGCATCTGGTTGGCCACTGTGGGAAAAGCATGTCGGACTAGATGAGCCAATAGCCTGACCTAGCAAGACCTTATGTTCATGATCATACCACATACATGAGCCCTCCAAGAACTGAGTCTGAGAAAGAGACAGAGGAGGAGGTGATAACTGAGTTTGATGAGATGTATAGGGGGAAAATGTCACTAAGCAAAGTGTAGGTATTACCATCCAAGAGTAAAGCAGCTATTAGAAGTTTGTGGTACAGGCCAAAGGGGATAAGGCTCAAGACAGTTCTTCGTTCCTCACTTGTACTACCTCATTTTAGAGGTCAAATGCAGCCCAAATTATGATTTGGAATCTGAACAGCTCTGTAAATTTGGGGTCAATCCAACTCATACATCTATATGGTCAGGATATTATCACCTAAGGTAAAGGTAAAAGGACCCCTGACCATTAGGTCCAGTCGTGACCGACTCTGGGGTTGCGGCGCTCATCTCGCTTTATTGGCCGAGGGAGCCGGCGTACAGCTTCTGGGTCATGTGGCCAGCATGACTAAGCCGCTTCTGGCGAACCAGAGCAGCGAATGGAAACGCCGTTTACCTTCCCGCCGGAGTGGTACCTATTTATCTACTTGCACTTTGACGTGCTTTTGAACTGCTAGGTTGGCAGGAGCAGGGACCAAGCAATGGGAGTTCACCCCTTCGCGGGGATTCGAACCGCCAACCTTCTGATCGGCAAGTCCTAGGCTCTGTGGTTTAACCCACAGCTCCACCCGCTAGGATATGATAAAATGATTAAAGTGTCATCTGCTTTCATGCACTGTGCCCCAAGGCTCTCACTGATTTATCTACAATGGACTGAACCACAGTAGAAGATTTTGGCTACCCCCCAAAGTCATACCTATTCTATTGGCAGCCCACAAGTTACCCATACAGTATGTGTTCCATTTCAAGCTTAATTTTGATGCAAAGTGTTTTCATGAGTGCCTCTGGTTCTTTTCAGTTCAGTTCAGTTCCTGTATTGATCATAGGCCATAACAGGGATAAAAAAATAATATAGATGAAATGGTTAATAACACATTATTGCTACAGGCAAAAAGGTAAGTGAATGAAAATCAGATGTTACTACAGTGATCATAGCAGCACAATTCTTTTCAGAAATTACAAGTCAAATAAGTCAGCGTGGGTGTTGCTGCATCTTATCCTACTAGCTCCACTCTAAATTGGGGAGCCTGATGTGTCTTTTTGACCGCAGTATTGTTCAGGGGTGTGAAAGTACTAATAAACCCGAAAATACTATTATATTATGCCCCAAAAATACAGTGTGTGGTTTTTATACACAATATAAAATATACCTCTCATCGAATCTGGGTAGAATCCTCCTTAAGGTTTTGTTACAAATTGATCTTAGAAGCATTCAGTTTACTGTACAGCTGTAGAATCAACAGAACAAAAAACTATATACAACATTTTAGGACCACACACCTATTTAACTGAAACACTCCCCAATTTAAAGCATGCAATCGTGCTTTAAGTTTTAAGGACTCCTGTGTCCCACCCACATGTAGAGTCCACGTGTCAGCTGGCTGTGCGTACTGTCCCTAATAATAATAAAACAAGCCTGTCAAAAGGAAAACACAATCACACTCTCTAAAAAACTACGGTAATAAATATTTATGTCATAAACAATAAAAAATAGACCAGTTATGCAGATAAATAAGAAATATCTTCAAGTGGAATTCACTAAAAGTAAGACATATGTGACCTTTTGTATTTTTATTTAACCACTGTGGAAGTTTAAATTTACTCAAAAGGTTATAGTACAGCCCCTTTAAGGCTGAGCAACCATAACATGCTGGATTGATATTTTTTCTTAAAAAAATGTTTATTAGTAGCGAATGTTTGAATAACTTAGGTACTTGGAGAACTAATTAGTAGTAAAATGTTCTAGTTTAGTCTTTCTATAAAAATTTTTTCCACCCTACATCACTGCCAGTGCTTCTGTCATGGGGACCATTCAGATATTTAGCCCTTCTATGCATTCTGAAGAGTTCAGGAAGAACTCTGCCCACATGGTTTTTTAGAATGTTTGTCAACTCCTTGAATTGCTAGTACTTCAAGATGGCGGGACTTTCTAGTTATAGGTATTTTTTATCTAGTTCCCTGTAGTAGGAACTAGATATTTATATTGTCAGTGTCCTTTTTACAACCCATGGTAATATAATATATTTGACAACATGTGGCGATCCATTACCAAAAACTTCCTAGTAAAAGAAAAATGAAAAGACTAAATAAGGCCTTGAATAGCTTTATTGAAATTTTTATAAATAAAACATGCGCATTTCAAATGTAAACCCAAGTGAACTCAAGTGCAGACAATTTTTTAACCTCTGTCATGCAGGAGGCTAAGCTTACATTTAAAAAAACAGAAAGCAGCTTTAAAATACCAGGATGAAACACCAGCTTTTAATATCAAAGTATAAAGCAAAGCCATGTCCACAAACCTAATTTTTTTATCCTGGTCAAATGCAATTTTAAACTTTCAAATGCTAACATAAATAAATAATTTACCAAAATGTGCACTCACAGAGTGAACTTTATTTACAATACACAATTTATAACTTATTGTATTTGATTAGTTCAAGTGAAGATCATACTTTTTGCTTTTAACAATGGTGGGACTTCAGGTAGTAGATATGTGAAGTGGGCCTCCACACTTAGGGAGTTCCTGTCAAAGGCAGTATTGTATATGAATCAACAATACATTCTTCCAACTATATCAAAGGGAAAGCAGCAAATAAAAAAAATGTTTCAAACTGTTACACTTATTTTTGGCATCCCAGACTTCTTGAACACAGTTAATTAAAATCCAATTCAAGGTATGTATGCTTTATCTACTTACTGTACAGGTTCTGACTCTTGAACATGCAAATGCCAAATCTTCTATAATAAAGTTACCTTTTTTGAGATAAGATGTAAGGCTATGGTGAATTCCACCAAGAACGCACATGAAAATTAACAGACCTACCTTTAAACCAGTTGCCCATTAACAATTTGAAGGCAAGTTATATGGAAAAGTCATCTAAGCTTGATGCACAGTCGTTACTATGAATACAGTATACTATTAAAAATCGGACCCTATTACACGGCATGTAGTTTGCAAAATTGCCAAACTACCAAAAATGGGGTGGGGTGGGGACTTTTACAGCACAATTAAAATTTTTGGACTGACACCAGATTAAAATTACGCACATCTTATAAGCAAGGTAACAGGAATTATGTTTACAAAGTAGATCCAACAAGCAATGAGGGATACTTACATTTAATTGAAAAATTCAATTCCTTAATGCAGCATGAAATCCAGAACCTGTTCCACAGCAGCAGTAAGATGAACATAATATTCTGGAAGTTTACTTATACCACAAAAGGTTAAAACACCTTTTCCAAGTTATTTTCTATCATGATTAAGTTTCTTTTTAATCAACGTTTATTTCAGGGATAAACTTGAAAATTTGGTGTTGCAAGAATACTGCTGCACTTATTGGTCACATATACTAGGCAAATTGAAGTTTGTTACATGTATATGGACACACCTATCCAAAAATAAAGGCTTGGCAGTAATATTCTTGTGGTGTTACACAAAAACCAAATCCACAAATTGTTGATAATAACTCGCATCCGAAACAAAAAATCCATAATTCATCCAAACTGCAGCAGAAATTGTAAAGGGGTTTATTTGTGATTTCCTATACGTATATAGCTTGTGAATACAAGATTGTAAAGGTAATAGGAGACAAATTCTGTTAACGTTTTCATTGTGTTTCACTTCAAGTACTGCACAAGTTAAAATGTAATAAGGATTTACATTCTGTCATCTGAAATTTCCCATCTCAGATTTTATTTTTAATTTGGTGGGTAATTTCAATGCTTTAGTAGGTATCTCCCACAAGAAAGTTTTTCTCTGTATGGCTTCTAGGTCTTCCATTAGTTAGTGTGCATACAATTTTCATTCTCTATATCGTTGTCATTCTCGTTACTGTCTTCATCACTCTCTAATGGGATGCCTGTGGCGGCAGAAGCACCTTGTTTAGTTTCCCGGTCAAGAGGAAAAAAGCCAGTTCCACTTATTGTGTCCTGTCTCTGGTAGAAGAGCACATACGCTGCTTTGGACTGCAAAATAAGGAACAACCAAGTTTTAGTATTATCTCCATTTTCATAGGTTGAAAAACAAGGGCCCAGAAAGCCGACAATGGTATTCACAGAAAGGATTCTGTATTTGTACTGTTTTTCACTACGGCACCCAAATTCATATTGGTATTTATGAACTGACATAATTAAACCTTTCCGCAACTGCTTTCTATTGAAGAACGTATTACTCATTTGGTAAGCCTTTCTAGATTTCCAAGGCTGTTCTTCAAGCCAAAGTACTAAGTATGTAACATTTTGGCATACTGCTATTTCAAATTACACTGTAAATCGGGGTGGGCAGACTTCAGGTTTGTGGGAGCTCTTTTCCTTTTTTTTTTTTTAAATATAACCAACCAAAGGGAACTTTTACTCAGAGTAGATTCACTGAAATGAGTGGACCTAAGTAATGTCATGCCATTATTTGATAGGCCTACTGTGAGTAAAAATTGGTTGGATTCAACTCTCAGATTAAAAAAAAAATCATGGGACCAGAAATTTGTTCTGAGTTTAGAACAGAACTGAGCTCACAGTTCTTCCACACAAAAACCCGACTTCTGGTAATTCCCATTTCAGAAATGTAATGTGGGTGGGGTGGGGAAGTTATTTTGTCATTGCCATTATTATGTTGAGAGTCAGAAATCCTTGCTCAGAAATCCACCAGGAGATCCGTATTTAACTCCTGATTATCCCTGTTGCAAATTATTTTCTTACTAAAATATATATGCAAGTCCATGTTACGTCTTGTTTCTAGGAAAATAAAATATACTTGCCACTATTTGTTCCTCAGATGCAGTGGACACGCTACTGTCATCAAAGTAGTACCATTTTCCATCATCTTTATTTTTTGCAAAAGCAGTGTCTAGGATAGGACAAGAATATTTTCCCTTAAAGTGCTAATAACAGGCCACAATAAAGAAATGTATTATCTTATGAACAAACTAAATTACTTACAATGCCCTCCACCCATTCCTCCATAGTGGTTTGAAACTGCAATCAAATTATAGCGGCAAGGCCCAGCATTTGGATTAATAAGGAATTCCGACATATCCAAATCACTGTTTCAAAGAAAGTATCTCATTAATTCTGGATTTATATTCAAGAACTGGTTGCAGGTTTTACATCTGATTTCAACACAACTGAGACAAAGCACTCACTCCAAACCTTATGCAAAGCAACAGATGTAGGTCTTTTAACTGGTACGTATTCATCAAGGCATTTTCATACACACTTATATTTACTGGGCGTCCTTGTTAAAGAAGAAATGGGAGAAGCCAGCCTATTTAGTGTTTAGAGTGTCAGACCAGGACTAGAAAGAACAGCTAAATCAGGCATAGGCAAACTCTGACCCGCCAGATGTTGTTGAACTACAATTCCCATCATATCTAGCTAACAGGACCAGAGGTCAGGGATGATGGGAATTGTAGTCTCAAAACATCTGGAGGGCAGAGTTTGCCTATGCCTGAGCTAAATCCATGATGCTCACTTGAGCCTATCTCAACAGGATGTTGTGAATATAAAATTGGGATCTGGAAGAGCAATGTATTCTACCTTGAGTTCCGTGGAAGATAGAAATGTACTAAATAACTAAAATCAAGCAATCCTCAAATATTAACTGCTCATTCATGTAGAAAGCTTTTAAAGGGGCATTTTTACTCTAGGCAACACTATCAATAAGAACTTTCTTCCAAGCCTTTCTGAAGTCACAACTGAAAATGTATTTAAGATTAGAATGATAGGACCGTACATTAATATCTGAGGAATTGTTTGGACAGAAACTAATTAGCAGGGTAGCCCACTGCTAGGAAAACACAGGGGTCATTTTTAATTTGGAGCAGTGAAGAGCAGGTTGTGCAACATCAATGAAAGCTATGTAACAGCACTGAAAATGTCTTAGCTGTAGTAACCTTGACCGTTACTAGCAAGGCAAATGCAACTTATGCTAAGCAAATTATTCTTTTAGGGCACCTGGAAAATGCTTTGTTGTGTTCACAGTGAGTTAAGCCTACATAATCAATAAATTAAATAAATAAATCAAAACAAAACAGAAAAAAACTAAACTATTCAATTGTTGTTAAATATGGTTTTCTTACGTTATAGGGAAGTCAACCAAAGTATCCAACTTATCTCTCATGTATCTGCTGTAAGAAAAACGTTTTAAATGCACTACCAGTACTGGTGGCAGCGACCACAAGTCTAGTTTTTTGGTAGCTTGCTGATGTTCTTTACAATTTGGGCAATACCTACAAGAAAAACACATTTCAAGTCAAAGTTTTGCGTCACAGTGAAATTAAAACATCATGTAATTAATGCTTCTCCATGACTGAGTAAAGCTCGTCTTGACAAATACGAAGGTATTCTTTAGATCGGGGGCTGGCAACCTGTGGCACTCCAGATTCCATCCTGACAGAGGCTGGTGGGCTTTGGGAGTCCAAGGACACATGTTCCACACACCGGCTTTAGGGCCTATACTTAATAAACTAAACATCTACTTATTCAAATTCATGATCTTAATTAACAGTGTGATCTGGAGAGATCCCCTGCTTCTGTTTCTTCTGAAGCCGATGCAAACGGAACGCTTTACCACTCCTAATAGGGTTAACATAAAAGGTGATGGGTAAATGAATGACTAATCCTAGCTCTTCAGACATAAGTTATTTCTGGCCTGCATATTGGCTCTGCTCAACCTTCGCCAGCTGGTGCCTTCCAGATGTTTTGAAATACAACTCCTGTCAATCCCTGTAAACATGATGGGAGTCGTCCAAAACATATGAAAGGCATCAAGCTAGCAAAGGTTCCTCTAGCTCCTAAGCATATCTATACTGTCCAAGGCCTAAAAAACACACGGGGGAAGTTGCATTTAGGACTGAAGTCTTTATGGATTTGAGTCACATATGTCCCTTTAGATATTTTCAATTTTTTTCTTAAGAAAAAGGAGAAGATTTAGGCTCATGTGTTTCTTGCCTCACTTCTCTCGGTAATGGAAGAAATATGTGGACCCATCTCTCCTAGCAAGAATTCTTTCAAAGTGTTAATTCTAACATGCAATATAGCAAGCTTTCACTCGGCTTTGGTATACGTTTTAAATAGAAAAGCCTGACTAGCTTTTCAGATACCTTTTAATTGAGTAACTTTTTAAAGAAATGTAACTGATATTATAGTTTGAAGTCTTGTCACAGAAGAAATATTTTACTCCAATTTATCCTAAATAGAACCCAATAAGGCAGACATGTATATACAAAGTATTTTTTTAAAAAATGTGATCCCACTGAGATCTGAACATGAAATTTTGCCAGTAGCTCTTAGAAATATTAAATAATCAATAACTTTTTTTTTGAAAAATTTAATCATATAATTTTTTTAATCCCTTTAAAAAATGTTAAATTTTGTCACTTACATTTAAATTTTAAAGTAAGTGCATCATATGACATATCATATTAAAGTCCATGAAGAGATCGGTGTTTTTAGTTTTGACGTATCTCAATTCTAGGCTGAGCTTTTAAGGTTTTTCTGTAGTCTGGCAAGGCCAAAATTGTCAATTTCTAGAAATTTCAAGCCCTCATAACTCACAAACGGGACGAGATTTTTTTAAAAATAAAATTTTAGATTTAAACTGAGTTTTGATCAGTCAAAAAGTGTACAAAATATTAAGAAAACTGAATGACACAAGATAAAAAAGTTGAATCACTTGATATGGAATGACCCTGGTAGGGGACCCCCTACTTGAGGCTTAGCCCTCTTTAGAGCAGGACTTGAAACTGAAGCTGGGGTAAAATTTGAGCCTCTTGCATTGTCAGGGATACAATCTGATGAGTGCTGTGCAATCTCCCCCCTCTAACCCCTTTCCTTCTACCCATTCACACTCATTAAGCAATTGCTCTTACCATGGGTCTTCAGCACCTAGCTTTTCCTTTGTTGTGAACAATTCAATGCAATCTTTTAATTTCACAAAGGGCTTTTTGGGAGGTCTATATTCCACGCTCTCATGTTTTTCAAAATCCTAAAGAGAAGTATTTCTTGCGTTAAGAGAACAAATAAAACAAAACTCATTTTAGTGATGTTGTCTTACTATAAAACAAGGTCTACAAGCTCCCAATTCTGGAAAAGCTAACCCAAATGGAAAACAAACTTTCCCTATATTGAACTATGCTAAATTATTTCGAAAGAATTTACCGTTCCCTAGGCTTGGTGTCCTTTTGCCCTGTTTTGGAATTTGTCTGATTTGGGGGGGAGCATTTAGGACAACCCCCAAAATCAAATGATGGCGCAAAGTGATTTCTGCTGGTTTGGGTAAGAGGGAGCTTACTATGCTGGTACAGAAGGTGAAAGCAAAAAAAAGGGAAGAATCTTCTCTGCTACCAGATCAATAAGCTCTGTTCCCTGAAATCCTTTTGAGTTCTCAAGTTGTGGCCCCTGAGTTGGATGCCCCCAGTTACCCACCTCTGAACAGGGTGGCGACTTAGGGATGGCCATTTCAGCCTACTCCTTAATTCAACCAGAATATTATTATTTTTTACAAAAAATCACATACCTCAGCAGCATTTTCATCGAAGAATCGCTTTTTATATTCGGGGTCCCAATCCAAAGCCAAGAAAGATCTTTCTAAACAGAAGAGTAGAAACCTCCTTTAAAAATGCTGTATTTATTTTAATAAATAATAATAATAATAATAGTCCTATAAGTACCAACCCAAACATATTAAGTGGCTTACATGGGTTTTAAAAAAAAGTTACTTCATGAATATTTTTGTTCTGCATTTGTTTTAATCACATATATAATTTTGTTGTTTATTCTTTTAGTACATTGCCCTGGGCTTTGTACCCGCTAGATACAATGTAGGCACTTAGTAGTACACAGTCATCTCTAGATAGAATACTGTCTAAAAGGGCCAAGACTTGCTAACCGTTTGCCAAGTTTGTATACACACCCATCTGATATACTATATCCAGTTTAGGTATCAATTGCAACCAAACTAAGACACAGTAGCCAAACCTCAGCTAACCATGTTTTGGGAATCTCTAGATTAGAGCTAATGTAATGTGTTAACGTTGTGATATAACGAGTTATATGCAAGACTGTCTTTGAAGACAGCTCAGAAACTGCTTTTATTCTGTAATGTTTCTATCTTTTAAAATGGTTTTTAAATTTTTTTCTAGTGTATGCTGCTCTTGGAATTTAATTGAAGGGTGGGACATAAATAATAATTGAAAAAAATGGTTCAAACCAACACAGGAAGCCTGAAAACTCGTGTATCTTTTGGGAATGGACTTAAAAGAAGTTCTCAGGGGTGGGTGGGGAAAGCCTCCTTGTGCCTTTTGATACCACTGACCATAGTATCCTTCTAGGCCAGGGGTTGTCAACCTGGTCCCTACCGCCTACCAGTGGGCATTTCAGGATTCTAGGTGGGCGGTAGGGGGTTCTACGGCACAAGCTGAATCCCCCTTCCATCGAGCACTGGTGGGTGGTAAGGAAATTTTACCATCAAGAAAGATGCATTAGTGGGCAGTAGGTATAAAAAGGTTGACCCCTGTTCTAGGCTGTCTTCCCAGAGTAGGACTTGGAGGCACAGTCTTAGGGTGATGGTGGTCCTTGCTGGAGCCGTTGGAAGACTACTGCTTCAACCCATAGAACAAGTTATTTGGACCACCTACAAGCACATGAACCTGCCCATGACTCAAAATCAAGTGTGGGAGGCCTGATCTCGCACCTTTCACTGTGCTCAAACAGCTTGGCAAGCACCTGATACAGGGCTTTTTCAGTAGCGGCCCCATACTTCTGAAGTTCCCTTACTCAAGAACCATGCTTGGCCCCATCCCTTGCGGGCTTTCTGTGGTCCCTAAAGACTTCCTTATTCCACCAAGCTTTTTATTTTATTTTACTGCTGGTTCTCTATTTTCAATTTTATCTCCATTTTATTATATGACGGTTTGATTTTTTTTTATCATAATCAGCATTCAGGAGCTTGCCTCAAAACAAAGGATAAAAATAAACAGCAAAGCAACAAAATACACAGAACATTTTAACAGGAAATGTTAACAACAGAATGGAGTAGAATCAAAGCTACCCCACTATAAAAAACAACAACTTACCATCTAGCCTAAGTTGCCTGTCATCAAATCTAATATGCCTGGTGTCATCTTTAACATAATTGATGTCAGTATTGCCTAAACTGTTAAACTGGAATGTGAACAATCGCTTTTTGTGCCCTATAAGTTGATCCTTGCAGGAGTCCTCTGTGCATAATCCATTCTCGGAATCATTGTCCCCTCCAACAGAGTCTTCTGACTGGCTGTTTTCATTTTCAGAAGGAAGTTCCTGATCCTGGCTGGATTCATCATCTTGTTCGTCAGTTTCCATTTCACCTGGGATGGAGGATATAGCGGCACCGCCTGTCATTTGCACAGAATGTTACACATCTCACATCATTGTGAATTTAGTTCTCCCTCTTGGTTCCTGCTTCAGTGGATCTCCCGCCCTTCCACCCTTTTTTCATACGTTTGACATCTTGGCCTTGCTATGGACCTTGGTTGGTCGCCTGTTGAGGGGGCCTGGTAGGAATTTTTCCACTTGGCAAATTGGCACCAGCCATGTGGTTTTCGCCTACCTCATAGCAATCGTCACAACTTTGTAGGGTGTGGCGGTTAGGCATTGGTAAAACCTGGTTTATGGGAGGGCAGGTTGTGGCCATCACCTGCCCCTCCTCTTTAAGGGTATTCCGTTAAAGGGATCCAGGGCTGTGGATCTCATCCAAAGCCCGGGTATGGGCTAGGGCCATGCCACAACCCCATCTGGGACCCTGGGGGAGCTCTTAGTTGATGTACATCATCAGAGCTCCCCTTACTGGTGGTTGACCCTTACCGGACTACCTGCATGGCGGGCAGGAGTCAGATATAGTCGGTTCAATTCCAGTGCCTAAGCCAATGCCACTCATATGCTGCATTCTGTAACCAATAAAGTTGTGGCCTTAATTAGCCCATTAACCTAAAAGACTGGTGTCCATGTGTTTTCTTATTCAACAAATGGGGGAGGGCTCAGGGCCTTGACACGCAAGAAATATGGACCCACCACAAGTGTTTTGTCTGTTTCTGTAATGTGGTTCCTGAGATCCAAAAGTGCTAGAGATTTAATGGGAGGTTTACAACAATCAAGGCAGGTTTCAGAGCACCTTTCAAAACTGAACCAAAGCTTTAGGCAGCTATTGATAATTCAGGTCTTACTTGGGGATCCTTCTTCATGAATTCCATTTGGGCCATTACCATTGATACCATTGTCCTTGCAGCACTGCAAGGATGCTTCGGTGTCTTCTGTTTCAGTAGAAGTTTTCACATATCGGCTGGAACACATCAATTGTTACACAATTTTTTTAAAAAAATATTTTTTTAAAAAAATGTTTCATCATTTTCCCAAGTAACAAATAGTGAAACATCTTAAGACAAAACAAAACAAGGTGATGCACAATATAACTTTCCTCCCATCCTCCATGTGAGCAGTACTCCTCTTTCACGAAGCTGTGTAAGAGAACAATAACTGCTATTACTGTAGAAACACAAGCGGTTACTATACCAAGCTATCCTTCCGAAATATTTTACATTTATTCTAACTTGTTAGTGTATTTGCAAGGGAAAAAATTAAAAGGATCAGGCACAATTGTGACACTAATGGTTGTGCAACTATGGCCAAAGTCCAGGGCTCCACCCAAAACAATCCAAACAGCTTACATAATTATAGATGCCCCTTTTATTGTTCTTACTTTTAAAATATATCATTGTCTGCAACAAAATGAGGCTTATTCCCAAATAAACATGTTTAGCAGAGAAGCACTAGAAGCAACCTCCTTAAGCCATCATGAAGATTGGATTAAAGTGAATCTGCATATGCTCAGACTATTTACTTCTTTACTGTTTTTTGTTATCCCTCCCTGCCCCCTCTAACGTATCAGGAGTGTAATGAATGGTAAGCAGGGAGGATCAAAGGTCTTTTTCAATTGTGATCATCCCTGCTAGCTTTAGCTTTGTTCTGGCATCCAGGTGACCTAACACAGCCCTGCGTTTCCTTCATGGCGTCTAGGTTAGCAATGTCCAAATATGTGACATACATTCTTAGTGCAATTAGGAGTGCATTCCCAGCATTTCTCTTGTACGCTTACCACATTCTCAAAAGCAGAAGATTATACAGCTTATCTTCAGTATTGTTTCTAGGCACTGCTATAAGGAAAGGCTGACCAAAATGTGTGGAACCACTGTGGTGGCTGTAACCGCTGTGCCGAAACTTCTCCCTTAAACAAACTGGAATCACAATTTGCTCCGTGTCTTCAGTTCTGTTGATGCCAATTTCAAATCTAAGGCAGAATACAGACCCACACAATTAAACATAGTGACATAAAGCACACAATTTTGCCAAGCAGTCAATGAAGGAGCGTCTCCACCCCCATCGTTCAGCCCAGACACTGAGATCCAGTGCTGAGGGCCTTCTGGCAGTTCCCTCATTGCGAGAAGTGAGGTTACAGGGAACCAGACAGAGGGCCTTCTCGGTAGTGGCGCCCGCCCTGTGGAACGCCCTCCCTTCAGATGTGAAGGAAATAAGTAGCTATCTTATCTTTAAAAGACATCTGAAGGCAGCCCTGTTTAGGGAAGTTTTTAATATCTAATGCTGTATTGTTTTTAACACTCAATTCTAAGACGCCCAGAGTGGCCGGGGAAACTCGGCCAGATGGATGGGGTATAAATAATAAATTATCATTATTATTATTTAGTAGACGAAACCACATGAAATTCATGACAAACGGAATACCGTTTAGATTAAGTTCGTTTTCTACTTACACATAAATGTCATCACGCTCCATAATACTACTCAGATTTTCATCCATTGCAAATATCCTATGGAACCTATGATTGTATATATCAGTAACTATCATCTAAAAAAGAAACAGAATACGTATCACTTGAATTTGCTTAGGAAGTCAGACAACATTAAACATGATCTACATTTGTCCATTGAGCACCATACCTTATCTGCAGCCACCCCAGACAAAGTTGATAATGCTGTGCAGAGATCCTGTATATTTCCAATTTTTGGAACTACTACTTTATACTAAAAAATAAAATGCAAACAGTGTCATTAATAAGAAAGCGGAAAGGCAACTTAATATAACTTCCAACTTTATACATTGATGTGACTATGAGATTGGCTATGAGAAGGAAGAAGTGCCCTAAGAAACGTATCTAGCTGAGATTTGCCAGTATAAATAAAGCTGTTGTTTATGTATATATCTAAATTTCAAAGCGTCTAATTCCACACATGGAAAGGGAAAGAATTTTGATTAGAACCAAATGGTTCAAACTAGTTAGGAAATTTCATAGGATCCTATGAACAATCGGTTACTGGGCAACCACAGATTAAGCAGGCAAACCTATATTTAGCCAAACTAAGAGGCATCCGTGCTAAATGCCAAGTGCTGATTCTTACTTTCTTTTTAATATTCAAATTTCGGAATATTATTGGTTAAGCCAAACTCAGTTTTCTACTGTGGAAAACCAGAGATTCCAAAATAATTTCCACCTTTCCAGTTACCTAGAACTTGGTGCAACTAAGGTCTCCATATAGAAAGGATAGTTGATCTGCTATAAATCACCACATTATTTCCCCTTAAAAATACATTTTCATAGCCTATGAGCTCAGTTGACTTTGACATACTGAGGTAAGGGTCACCCAGAAGCCTAGGACACCAATCTCTGATAGCTTGTGTGTGTGTTGCAGGGGACAACTGTAACGCTGCATTTTGGATGTAAGGAGCAGGCCATGTCCCATCTCAAAGCTGTCATCTTCCAACTTGCATTTTCTTTCTTGCCTTCCAAACACACCCAGCTCCTTTCCAGCCTGTAGTAAAGCATTACCATCTTTCTTCGTTGTAGATTTCACTTATAAACAAGTGCTATCATCTATTAGATCATCTGATGATCACCCTTTTTTATTGCTTGTGTTTATGCATTGTGTGTCTATTTATAAATTCTGCCTCCTTGAGAAATTATATGTCAAACAAGTCAATTTAATGAACAAAAGCAGATATTCATCAATGTAGAAAATAAACACACACACACTTAGCTTGCACTATTTATAATGGTTGTATCTGGTCACTATGGCAGCAGAATTTTTTAACGCAGGCAAACGATGCAGGTTTGAGATACATACACAATGAACAACTACGATCAGTGTTCGAAACTCCCATTGCTCTAGGCGCATTTTGCAATAGGGAATTTCATTTGCACAAGCCATTTCTGAGCTCTGGGCCTAAGATTTCAGATTAAAACTGTGAAGTGGAAGGAAAGGAGGACCTCTTTCTGCTTCCCCACTTCCAGCTACTCTCTGAAGACTGGAGAAGAGACCCTCTTAAGAATATTAGGGGGGTGGGCAGGAGAAAGACTAGACCATGTGAAAAATAAACATAATATTTTCAGCTTTATATTATTGTTATAAAGAAAAGCGTGCCTACACGTTCTGTTGTTGAGCCCATGGCCTAGGTTTAAGGTGCCATTTAGCGCCTAGCTTTCATATCTCAGTTTCTAACACGGACTACAATCAACACAAGAATTGATTGGGCCCTAACAATAATCAAAAGGGGCCTGACTCAGAATACCTGCTACATTTCTTCTGTTCTTTTTCATAATATAAGCAGACATATCAATTTCCTTTATCAGCTGCAAGATTTTTGCTGTAATGTGCAACTATAATTAGTACATAGCTTCAAAACAGAAATCCAATGAACATGCGTAAATACTATACTTCTCACCTGCATAGGTTTGGCAAGCGGATCCATTCTAACTAAATAAACTTCCAAAGTGCGTTCTTTTTTCATGGGTAGTGGAAGAGTCAAGTAACAAAAGGGGTCAAATGTTACGGAGATCTTAGCACATTCTGGACAAACTAGGGTTGATTTAAAAAGTCCGTGGAATATATCTACAATGATGGAATCGTTTCTCTTCAAATGGTTCTCCCAAGCTTCTTCAGCAACCACCTAAGTAAAAGCAAATGTTTGAAATAATGTATTTTTGCCCCCCATGAACTGTTTTATAACACTTGAATGTATTGAACAGGGCATGAGTGTGTAATGATTAGCACCAACCGACAGGGACCACATGAATTAGAAGGGCCAAGTTATTTTAAGCAAAGGGCATTAGAAAACACCATGAAAGGCAAGAATGGTAGGGCTTCCTCAAGTTAGCAGAAAGCTGGGATATGGCATTTACCACCTCCCAATTATCTGGAGTTTTTATTATGAGAAACATCCAAATGTTTTTCATACAGAAAAGTCTCAAGGAAATAAAACAGCTGCAGAGTAACCCAGACTTAGATTGTGTCTCTCTTCTATATTAAAGCCACTCTAATACTACTAAGAATGTAAGAGATACTGCTATCTTATCTAGCATTCCGTTCTCATAGTAGTCAACCAGATACCCTTGGAAAGCCCCCCCCCCCGCCCCCCAAACAGGACATGAGACTAGCGAAACAATACCACTGATTCATGATTCACAAGCAACTGGTATTCAGAGGAATACTGCCTTTGGTTCTGGAGGTTCTATAGTCATCATGACCATAGCACCTTAGTCTACTTGCTTTTTTATTTGTCTCTAAGTCGCTCTGGGAGCGGGGCACAAATGCTTTAAGTAAACAATTTCCTGTATAGGAATGTCAAGGTATTAAAAGGAAAGTCTTCAAGTATCAGTGGAAACTAGAGCCTTGGCTAAGATTTCTATTACAGTAATAAAACTACCAAATATTTTAAATGGAATTAGCCCTTTCGAAATACAGTGGTACCTCGGGTTACAAACGCTTCGGGTTACAAACTCCACTCACCCAGAAGTAGTACCTCGGGTTGAGAACTTTGCCTCAGGTTGGGAATGGAAATCATGCGCCGGTGGCGCAGCAGCAGGCCCCATTAGCAAAAATGCGCCTCAAGTTAAGAACGGTTTTGGGTTAACAACAGACCTCTGGAATGAAGTAAGTTTGTAAACCGAGGTACCACTGTAACTTAATGCCCCCCTAAGCAGCCTGCCACTAACCTATAGGTTTCAATTTCTACTCTCTTTGTTAAGTTCATCTACAGTCATACCTTGGTTTTCGAACAGCTTAGTTCACGAACAACTCGGAACTCGAACATCGCAAACCCAGAAGTAGGTGTTCCAGTTTGTGAAATTTGCCTTGGAAGCCGAACATCCGGCGCGGCTTCCAATTGGCTGCAGAACGCTTCTGCAGCCAACTGGAAGTTGCGTCTTGGCTTCCGAATGTTTTGGAAGTCGGACAGACTTCCGGAACACGTTCTGTTCTAAAACCAAGGTACAACTGTACTGGCAAGCACTCCTTTGTGGAGTTCACAGCTTGCTTGTTCTTTAACAAGATCACTCAAAGCTTAACTTATGTCCAGCTGGTTCGCTTTTGTCTATCAACAAAGTAAAAGTCACAACTGTGAAAAGCGGCAACTGCCTTTTTTGAAAAATCAATAGCATACACATTCTGCTTCAGTTTCATTAGTTCATTTTAATTACCTTTGAGAGTTTAAGTAATTGTCTGAGTTTGGTGACAGCAATATAGTACAGTGGTACCTCGGGTTAAGTACTTAATTCGTTCCGGAGGTCCGTTCATAACCTGAAACTGTTCTTAACCTGAAGCACCACTTTAGCTAATGGGGTCTCCTGCTGCTGCCGCGCCACCGGAGCACGATTTCTGTTCTCATCCTGAAGCAAAGTTCTTAACCTGAGGTACTATTTCTGGGTTAGCGGAGTCTTTAATCTGAAGCATATGTAACCTGAAGCGTATGTAACCTGAGGTACCACTGTATGCCTCTTTGAGTTCTATTCCAAATTTCAGCTGCTTATGGGTTGACAATATATTTTTATATACTTTTGGATTAATATTCTAAATATATTGCAATGAAATCAACATTTACCTTATCAGGCCTACCATCAGCATCTTTTAATTGAATATAAGGCTTTTTCCTAATACGATTCAAGTCTTCATGTAGGCCATCAAGAAGAAAGGCTAGAAGTTCTTGGCAATCTTGTTGCTGATATCCAGAAAACTGTGGTGCGAATCGTCCTACCTGTGTCTAGAGATAACACCACAAGATTACTATGCTGGTGCCACTTGACATGATGTAACTGAGCTTTAAGAACAGATGGTAAAAATATATTCTCTCTCGCATAGTTTGTTAAAATACACTATTGAAGTAGTGTGCAGTAGGACTTGGGGGCAAGGAAAGGGGATTGCTGTTGACTATAGGAATTATTTCCCCTCTGAGATTAAGAGTCTCATCTCTACCAACTGAGCTACAGAGAGAACAGAAATTATTATGGCTAGATATAAGTGTCTAGAGAAAGACACAAGGAGAGCAACAACAGAATTAAAACATTTTAAATGTATTTCAGTGTCCATTGATTCATTTAAAAAATAATAATAAAGAAAACATTCAATTAATACATTTCCACTTTTTAACAGTCTCACTCTATTGCAAAGTCATATACCATCTATAAACACAAATCTGAACATACCAGGACCTACTTCTTACCTTAAATGCTCTTGGAGTGACATAACTGTATTTTCCTGACCACATCTGTTTAATGAGTTCTGCATAAGATTTTGCAATTTCACCCCGCATTCCTAAAGGATTGTCAAAATTCAGCTCTTCTTGATACTTATCATTGAGGAAGTATTCTGTGAGTGGAGGGGTGTTGCTCAGACACTGTAAACAAATGTAAATGAAATACTATGTATACAAGACAGGCCTAGCCATTTAATTCCAACCTTGGTTTTTATGGTTTTCTATCAAGTCCCCATTTCTTTTTCACACTCGTCACATAGCACTACAAAAGTATTATGTAAGCTTAACAAGGCAACCGGTTTTCCAAAGCCTATAGTTTATCATTGCTCATATAACTAAATAAATTTAGCAGGATTCCAGCTATGTTTTTGTCTGCCAATAGCCATTCTGTATAAAAGAGTTTAAAGAACGCACAACAATAGAATCGGAAACATGGCATTTACCTATATAAATTCAACTTTGGGTTTTTGATATTATTCTACGAGCAACTCTTTTTTATCATTTAAAAACCCTTTCCAACCTAATAAGCACACTGAAACATCTACCTGAATTGCCGAGTTCATGAAACATGTATTTCCCAAGTTACTTAGGCCACAGAGGCCAGGCTGTTCATTGTGCCTTCCTGGCTCTGAGTAGTCATAATTCTTATAAGCAGTGTATGAGGGGAGGCAATAATTTGAGTTTTTCACACTGGAAGAAAACAGAACAGTTCACAATGTAATTGCATTATCTGTAGCTGTGATGTATATGTATAATTGTACATTTACATAGTAAAATACAAATAAATGGCTGTCTAGATTAAGTAAGTACTGTATGTGTAGCTGAAGAATGCCAATTCTGTACTTGAAACTCAGTTAGAAAAGGCCCTTAAGCTCTTCCACCACTTAACCTCTGGGGGGGAACAACACAATCCTTATACCTTGGTTCCTGAACGGGTTAGTTGTCAAACAAATCAGCTCCTGAATGCCACAAACCCGGAAGTAAGTGTTCTGGTTTGCGAAAGTTTTTGGGAAGCTGAACATCCGACGCAACTTCTGCTTGAGTGCAGAAAGCTCCTGCAGCCAATCAGAAGCCGCGCCTTGGTTTTCAAGCGGCTTTGGGAGTTGAACAGACTCCCGGAATGGATTAAGTTCGGGAACCAAGGTACTACTGTACAGGCTGCTACCTTTGCTCTCTTTCTACCCTTGAACAACAAGAACAGATCCACAGCTCACTTAGTTATTCATTTTTCAAACAAATTTAACACATTCAGACTTTAGGCATGAACAGCAACAATATAGAGCATATTTATTTTACATTTTGCTACCGTTAGAAATAAACAAGAAAAAAATGGAATAGCAAAATTATATTTCAATTACAGGTAGAAGTTGCGATATCCAAGGCCACCACTGGCCCAACGCAATGAGGATCTATTTTTGGATTCGCCACTAGGACAGCATGAGCCAGCAGACTGCGGAAGGCAGCCTGGAGTGACAAAGAATGTGTACAATGCCTTTTAGTAATGCATTTTAACTCGCATTATTATAGCCTTCTTTGCCTGCATAGAACAGACTCCTAACAGGAAACATGCTTGCTAATTGAAGGGTAATGTACTTAAGGAGGTCTAAAATAAGCATACTTAAGAGAAATGAAAGGGCAAAAATATCACAATGAAGCACCAGCTTGTTCAGGAACTACCACGATTTTGCTTGCATACATGTCTATCAATTCAGCTATGTTTCACTGATGTGCCAATGATACTAATGTAACATATGCACATTGAATTCCAGCCATGTAGCCTGTAGGATGAATATGCAAGATGTGGATCCGAAAATAACAGGGGTGTCCTTGCACAGGTGGAAAGTATATATGTATGCGCTAGAGCACACACAAGATGCAGAACAGTCTTCAAATGAATAAATTCACTCTGCTGCTATTTTATTATCTATCCAAAGCTGAAACAGTCTAATCCCACCTCAATATACGCCATCTTAGAGGCTTTCTGGGTCCAGTCTGAAAGGGGCGAAACTAGAAGAGGGCTTTTAGTTTTATTTGTTTTAATCTATATATTAGAATATCACTTTGTAACAGTTTCATTCAGCACACTGTCTTTCCTAGGGAAGCACTTTAGCTAACACAAACCACCACAAAGACACAAAACTTGGTAAAGTGCTTATCCAATGATCCATGTGTAGTCCATTATGTTTAAGTGAACTTACCACATGCAATGGTCAGTTCATAGGTACCATTAGCATACCACAATGATGTAATAATACATATGAAAGGGCCAGCATGGGTAATTTTAAACATGAGGTGGCATGCATGAAACCCTTACATGCATTACCCTTAGCCGCCTTACCCATATTTCAGCCTGGAGAATCTGAATTTCAATGAGATAAGTTACAGAATCATGTGATCAGGCTTAAGGAAGAATACTTGCTAAGTCACTAAGATGCTCAAAGCCAAAACACTGAAAGGTCACACCAGTTTTAAGGTATGTCCATAATCTTGAGTGCAAAGCACTGCAGATGCATTCCTGCGAAATCAAGCTAACGGAAGTGGTCCTGATTTCTTCCCAGTACATAAGCAGAAATCAAACTAATGTAAGGGAAGATATGTTTTAACGCTGATAGCAATTGTAACACAATAGAATGTAAATGTTCATAAAACCTATCACTTCTGTACAACCATGAATGGAAAAAAATATTCTGCTAGAGAAGCGGGGGCGGGCTCTTGTTCAAGTCCCTGGAAATAGCAGCTACTTTCCTTTCTACATTATGGGTGGAATTCAACATTTCACTCTTCCAGTTGTTCCAGTTGTGCAATCCATTTCAGCTGTTCTGTTCTGGGGATTCTCCTGACCCCCTTAAGCCCATTTCAGGGGGTACCCGGGGCAACAGAAGCCCCAATATGCATGCAGAAGTTCTGGCCTCGGCTTCCACAGATGGGCCTGGTTAGGTGAATCCCACCCTTTGGGTTTTACACAACATTAGTCATTCTTAGAGAAGACCCACCGAAACTAATGGGCATGACTAATTTAAGTCTATTCATTTCAATACGTTGATTCTGAGTAGGACTTAGTGGGATACAACCCAGTGTTAAGAAATATGAGAATGGACAATAAAGTTTAGGCAGATGCTCTTCTTTCTTTTCACAGATCACCTCTGCCCAAAATGCCTCATATTACCATGAAGTTCTCCTATCAATTACATTATCCTGTGAGATCCATGTTAAAGATTGTAGGTAATGATTAAATGTACCCATGACTCAGGAAAGTTATAAGCAATAGATAGAATTTGGAAGAGTGCAAGCTTGTGATAACTGAGTTGATCAAACAAAATAGATTTACAACAGTGTCAGAAGGTTATAGATTCTTTGGCAATAAAAGAATGGATAGACAAATGAGCTGTAGCCTCTGTCAATGAATGATGTTGCATGCATTGCAGTTTTCTTCCCCTTTTATGTGGATTTGTGAAAATGAATATTTATAGGATATAATTTTATTGAATACGTCAGACTACAAAATAAATTTATAAATAAATGCAGGAACTGTCTGCCTACTTTAATAATTAACTAACATATTTTAACAAACATATTTCTTCACTTTTGATTTCTGAATTTATTTATTTATTTATGTATTTGGAGGCATGATTTAAATGGGCAGACACTTGAAAGAAAATATTTTTTAAAAATATGTGCACTCCAACTCCTGGCCAGGAAAATCAATGTCCTATGGGCAAGAGATATCAGTTATATTTTAAATATTTAGCTAGTCCACAGGTACAGAAGACAGTGCTCTAAAATAAGAGATTAATTTACTAGGGTGAGAAGTAATGACATAAAAGTTCACCCCCTTTCAAAAGATGTCATGCAGTATGTATTTTGGAGTCAATATTAGAAATAAGTAACATTCTAAATGTAGAGTCAAACTACATATATCCTACTGTTAACCAGCTTTTTTTATGGGAAACACGATTTCTATTCCCAGGCTTACAATTAAATGCACATATTGAGCTTAGTAAAATGCATTCAAGTATGTTCAAGACTAGAGTTTAATGTAGTAGGATAATCACAATTTCCTAACATTGTACTTCTAGACATTCTTACTCAGAAGTATGACCCAGTGCATTCAGAGGTTCTTACTCCCAAATAACTTGGTACTGGAATCTAACCTAAATAATATTTCCCATTTTTTTGAAAAGGGACAAATCCAGGGGGGGAAACCAACACTTGCTTTACTAATGGGCTACTCAGAGGATTAACGTGGCAGTGTTTTCATCCAAAACAGGACTGGTCAGCAGTCCACCACTTATTCAAGCAAATCCAAAAAGTTGCTTCTAAAGTCAGAAGATTTTCAACACAACATAAGGAACTTAAGACCAAAAGAAAAAAAGAAAAAAAGAAATTCAAGGGTAATTCTGAGTTTACATGCAAATGCTTAAGAAGTTAAACCAGTTCCTCCCCGCTCTGCTATAAGCCATGCTGGCAAGAGCTGATGGGAGTTGGATTCTAACACCATCTAGAGAGCCACAGGCTAGTCACGCTTGCTTTATATACATATCCTACTCCAAGATCACTTGATATAGGGTGAATTAGAAATATTTTAAGAAACAAGTAAATAAAACATTTATACCTGCCTTCCTACAATGAGCCCAAGGTAGCTAGCAATGTTAAGTTTTCCCCAGCCCTTGTTCAAACTAAAATGTTGAGTTACAGTAACATGTAAGGTATTTCCCTAAGGCTAGGCAAATAGGCCCTGAGATTTAGAAACTAAACCTTACATATGCTGAATTAAAAAAGCACATCCTATAACCTTTCCTTCTAAAAGTGCATTTTCATCTTTGAACTTCAAAAATATAAAAAGTACCTGCCTGCCAGTTGCTGGACAGTTCCATGAAATGGAAGTGTAGCTGCCCTTTTTAATACAAGCCCAGGGCACTTCTGTTGATTCTGAAAATTTTTAGTTTCCACTTTAAAATGAGATTTAAAGCAGGCGGCCACTGTCCCATGGCTTCAGAGATTATGATATGCTTTTTCATTTAACATAGGCTATCAGTATTCTAATAAAAGGATAAGATCAGTTTAGGCTGTGGTTAGGTTGTTTATACACACCAAAAAGAAAACTTTTCTGTACTTACTATAGACACACAAACAAACTACAATAGACTGCAGTTAAATACATGCATTTCTTTAACTGAGAGAGTTGGGGCTACTCACAATTAGCGGAAGCGCAAGTGCCACTTCACCCCTTACGAAAACTCCCTTCTCATAAATGCAGTATTTAACTGGAAGATATTGTATAAAATATTTAGAAATTATCTTGCTTTTAAATACTTAAACATTTTCACATTCAATTCATAGCCACAAACTGAGATGTTTAGACTGAAAGGAAAAGTTGAATTTGTAGCTTCCGTTATTTTTCCAGTATTTCTACGAGAAAGGTTCTATGTGAACTATTTAACAGACACTTTCCTATTTGTAGTGGATTGCAGAAAATGCAATGCATCTGCGGGATGTGTTTTGAATTAAGAGGGATGTTTGATGAGTTAACCCAAGTTTTTTAAAAATAGGTTTAGAATATTAAATATTTGTTAGGGACACATATAGAATTATGTCTTTATAACAAAAGGGATCCAGAATGTAATTTGCTGAGGTTTTACTTGCTGTAACATATAATCCCAAAACTTCCCGCGGTCACAAAAATCTCTACATTCAGGTAGGTAGCTGTGTTGGTCTGATGCAGTCGAAATAAATTAAAAAAATTAAAAATTGTCCAGTAGCGCCTTAGAAGATGCTACTTGACAATTTTAATTTTTTTTTAATTTATTACAAAAATCTCTGAACTTGAATGCCAAGCCCCAGGAGTTGAAAAGCCTGAACAATGTTATGTGACTTTTGTTCCATGCATGCCATTTTTGCTGAAGTCTTTTCTTAATGCAATGGTTTCAAATCAGAATGTGGTGCTTTATAGTATCAGGGTGATTATGCAGTATCAGGGTTCTGAAGAAAAAGTAAAGCAGAAATGATCTTCTTCTGTTAGTTTCTCTCTGAACACCTTGGGGGTACTGGTGACCTTTAAGACTTGGCATCACTGCAGTTCCACAGCAATACAGTCCATCCAAGTTATTTATCTAGAATTAAAACAGTTTTGCCTTGAAATTATACTTGGATGATTAATATTAAAAGTTCTTAAGATGTGTCGCTTACTTTCTGTTGTTGATGTTGTTATAATTATTTGATAGAGATGGAGAGATCTTTGGTAAAGTTGAAAAATTGGATGCACCTGGGGACCTTTAAAAATATGAAAATGTTAAATTAGATAAAAATGCTGAGACTGCAAAATTAATAATGAAAAAAAAAAGGAAAAGCTAACAGATGAACAATGTATGTAAATAAGTATGAAAAATAAGGTTTTCAGGATCAGAGCAACAAACAGCCAAGGAAAGTTGTCCAACCTCAAAACATTTTAAAAAAACATTTCACTTGTAACTCTTCACAGATATCTTAAAAACAAAAACACAAAAACAGGAATTAAAACAGCCAAAGCCACAATTAACATTTGGCAAAGATATACTTTTACCAAAAATCACAAGTTAATTGCATCACAAATGAAATGCATCTTCTCCCTAATGGCAAGAGTCACTATTTTATGACGCTTTTAGTAATTTTAAAGATTAGTTGTGAAAGTGCAACAGTACATTAACAATAAGCACTCTGAAAGCAAGTTTAACAGCACCTTAAAGCACCAGTTCAATTCACTATTTTAAGCCAACTCATGACCATCACTACACTAAAAAAGCATTGTCAAAACAGTATTTCATATTCACCTATCTATATAAGAAATGCCGAAGTCTTGATTTGTTATTTTATTTGAAAAAAACACTGACTATGAAAATTTATACTACAAAGCTGCATTTTAGTACTATTAATCAAGGAAGCCAAGCCAAAAGTGCACCAATTTCAAATAAACTCCAACGATGGTTGGGAAAGATCTAAACATATAACATCATTTCATGCAACAAAGTCAGACAGAAGACTACAGGTTCACAAAAGTATGGTTATACATACCTCAACATTCCAACTCTATGATTCACCCTTTTTAAAAGTAAAATGCTACAATCTGGTTCATAAAAATAGTATAACCCAAGCAGAGCACAACAGCTCCTTTGCACCATAAAGTTATCAACTAACCTGATGTTCTACCTAGTCAAAATAATTATGTCTGGCCTATGTCAATGCACAGTTTTCCATCCACAATGAAAACACACCAACACTGATAATTAGAACAAAGGCCACCTTCAATGAGAAGATTTAAACTTTATACATATTAGTATCCAGTATTCAAAATGTTATCAATCATTTTGAACTAAGTAAAAATACTACCATATCATGGAAACACCCATTCTGAGAGAGGTTAAAGATAAATAGCACCAACTTATCAAAGTGCCTCTATCAATAAAGTATAATCACTCATCAAAAGAGTTTAGAACGTTACATCCAGGGAACAGCCACATTCTGATCCTTTCTTTAAACACTCATAAAAAGGCTCTTCTGTTCTAAGTTTGTTTTTAGCCACTAACATCTATCACCACTAACCACTGCCTTGAAGAGTGAAATCAGGTGGTTGAAGGCCTATCATTTGAAAGCAAAATGGGATGAAAATAAGATGGTAACTCCTCCATACTTGGGGAACTCTCTAGGTACACAAGAGTATCAAAGTCCGTAAATAAAATAAAAAACCCACCCGAGTTTACAGAATCCTGATAGTAGTTAAGCATAGAGAGAAAGGACTCAGCTATTCACGTTTTAAGTGTGTTTTAAGAGCAATAGACAATGTGACACTAGATGGCGATGGTGAGCCTTATGGGAAATTCAATGAATTTTCATAAATGCTTAAAAAATGTTTTTATATGCGTGTAGATTCCACCAAAGGAAGGGTGTATTGAAAATAAAGGTAGGCAGACTGTGAGAATGTATCGAGCCACTATAAGGTTGGGAGCAGTTTTAAGCTATGGAATGCTCTTGTTCACTGAAAAATAAGGACAAAAAGGAAAATCTGGATATATTCCCATCCTCAACTGCCTAACTAAACAGCTTGCAAATTCTCAGGTTTGGGGCTGGCAGCTCTCCGACAGTACCTAGCACACCAGGGAAAGATGGGAAGAGAAAAGGAGTCCTTAATCCTTTAATCACTTCTAAAGTTGCCTACCTTTCTCCACCCAACCTTACAAAGAGGCCTAAACATGCCTCCATTCCAGACTTACGGTAATGAAGTTCTGAGCAAGACTATTTCCTCTCAGAGGTTTTGGGAACAGTGTAACATTGTACTTCAGGTCCTACTAGTTCCCTCCATCATGCCTACAATTAAGGAAGCAAATCAGGACCACTCCAAAATAAAATAGTAGTTTCTGCATATGTTTGCAAGCTTGTTATTGGAAGGATTTTTTAATAAATCTTCACGGAAAGGCACGCTTGAGCCATTAGCATCCTGAGGCGGCCACGGCGGGATGGAATACTCAGTGGTGGAATATAGACTGCAACATTTTGTAGCAGTCCTCGTCTGTAGCCTCTATAATGGTTGTAGCCTTGACGAGAAGTCTCATCTGTATTTCTTAAAGATAATAACTGCTTTTGGGGGAAGAGGGTCACACACAGATAGTAAATGTAAGATTGACATCTAGCAAATCACACCTACAAAAGATTACCTCTGAAATTCATTGGGTGCATTTTTTTTTGGGGCCAACTATTTTAAGTTGGCAAGTGAAAGTTTGTGTGCATCACGACTTAATGCCGAGTACTTATTTTACAAGGGGTTACAAAAATGAATTGGTATAGCAGCATTCTGTGAAATTCTGTTAAAAGTCACATGAACGGCTATAACAAACCACACCGCAATGAAACTGGTCTTACACAACGGTAGGAACCAACTTACACATAGGATTTAGTTTAACTAATTCAGGTGGGTTAACTAAATCAGAGGAGTGGACATATAAGCACTTTCCCTCCCTTAACATACTTATCAAGAGTGCTTAAACGGTTTCATTGGCTTCAGAATCCCAATCCAGAACAGACAGGGGAAAGAGACGTTATGTTGGTCATCAGGCAATGGCATTTCCCTCTTGCCTTTCCCCACCCTCAAACCCTAGAAGCCTTCATAAGAGGAAGAAGTGTGAGGGGAGAGAGACTTTCTGTTCTTCATCATCAATGGCGTTTTACAAGTTGTGTGTCCTTGTTTCTCAATTTGATCCTTCTACATGGTTTTGTATGTTTTGTGGTATTTTATGCATTGTGGTTTGCTGTCATTTTTATTGATTATAGATCGGTAATTCTTTATTGTGGTTGATAAGTGTAAACTGTTTAATTATTATTCGCTGATGTTTAATTTTACTGTTTACAATTAGATTCTGATGGATAGTTGAATGTTGCTTTACTTGATATAAGCTGTTTATTTTAAAGTTATTGTGATTTTTAAAGTTATTGTGACTGGATCAGATTGTTACTGTTTGATGTTTCATTACGTTTTTGTATGTGTTGGAAGCCATATGTGTTGGATGGGGTATTAATAATAATAATAATAATAATAATAATAAACATTAATGTGAAAGTACAATCCTTCAATGTCTTGGTATGGAGTGGGATTTTATTTTTCCATGTTCCGATCAATTCCATCTTCAAAGTCAACTTAGCAGCTATGTTTCAAATATATTCCTAATCTTCACAATACTTTGACATAAGAAGCAATAATCCCTTCTGAGTGTAAAGAAAAGGTAATTTATTATATACCATAGAACTGTAATGAGCAGTACAAAGCTTTGGAGAAAAACAAGCATAGTAATGATGTGCTGTGGTCCCCTAAATAATAAGTACACACCATAAAATGAACTGACAATAATAGAGAAGCATATATTAAAATTATGTGCATGCCGGGGAGGGGGGAGTGAGCAAGTGAGGAAATACAGAAATTATAATCCACTTCATCAGATTAGTTCATCAACTTTGTATTAACATTCTAATCACAAATCATGACGAGGATACAAAGGGGTGATTTGTATGGGATCAAGCAACCTTTTTGAGCAGCTGATACCCATGCTGACTCAATCTGCTTCTAAAATGTCATGCAGTTTCAAAAGTAGTTTGCAATGCTCAAATGCCCCCAGCCTGCACATGGGGTTATTTTAATCAGAAATGTGTGGTTATTCAGGGATGGTTAAACAACCCTACCTCAGCATGGAAATGTTCTACATTGTTTTAGCTGAGAATAGCTAAACTCACACAATTAGTTTGGCAACTCTTGGATCTTTGAGGCGACCCACAAAACTGTACATGGTCAAGGTAACCCACAGTTTTACACAGTCAGCCATCGCAAAACCAGAAGGAGGAATCTTTTATTCACCTCCATTTTTGGTGCATCCGGTCTAGGAGTTAAGATTCATTCTGGGGGGTTAATCCCAGAGTTACTAAAATATCTGCCGATAGCTTTCTTCCTATTGAAAATAGCAGGAAGGGGCCCCTCAATTCCGACTGAGACAAAGCTACCTTAAAGAAATGTCTTTTGGGTGTTTTGTCTTGTTTTTTTACTATTTTTTGTAGAGAAGAACCACACTACTACTACCCTACTACTGAAAGCCGTATATTAAGAATTTGCTGGTCAAATACATCTCTATGACCTCCAATCCATCTAGGGGCACTACGTTCACAGAAGCAAGATTCCTTGTCTGTATACCAAAACAAAGACGAAACTGAGGACAAAATTAGGTATACAGACATGGAAGCTTGCTTCTGCAAGATTTAAATATATTAAAGTCAATTAAAGGATCCCAATATAAAGAATCGTAGCCACGCCTGAATGGGTCTTATGGCATACAAAGCATATTCAGCTAACAAGAGAACGTACCACAAACATTTAGAGACACATAAGATGAATAATACTTGGGTGACTTTATGACTTTCTTTCATAAAAGCAGCGTCATTGTATACAGAGGATTTTGGATCGCACCCCATGTCAAAATTGAATCATCTCATCTTAGTCTACCAAGCTAATTTGCTCACATTTAGTCACCAGATGCTAGAACTTAAGAGAAACCATGCCAACAGGAGAAATTGTCAGTTAGAATCTGTTGTCCTCAGCAATTGCTAAATGCACAAAAAGGAAAGCAAACACAGCATGCCGTAGAATGAAGTGCACTAAAGAGTTCTGGCCTGTAATAAACTTCAGTATTTTTACAGTCCTGCTAAATGAGACATAACCAAATACTGGTAAGGTTTCATAACAAACGATTCCTTCATGTTATCTGACACTCTCAGCCAATTTTTACATTAAATCCAACACATGAGGAGACACCATTCCAGGGTGGGTGAGTGTGGTGGTCTTGAGCACAGCTTTTAGCTTTGAAATAGAATTACAAAAAAGGAGTAACATTTACAAGCCACGTGCTACATGCATATGCCTGGTTAAAGACTGTGAGGAACATGCCGTCCTGGGGCTACCCATGCAATATAATTAAATAGTGTAGTAAGCAGTTTGAAAAATATACAGATTGGTATGGAGTCGTTCCTGACGTGAGGAAAGAGTTTCTAACAGCCTTCCATGTGGAAGGCTGGAAAATGAAAATTGGATCCAAGAGTTACTGACTTCAACAGTCCAAATATTCAAGATTAGGAGAAGCTAATTTGAATATTGTTAATTATCACAGAAACAAAGGAATCTGCCTTAAACTGAGTCATGACAATGGTCCACATAGTGTATAATTGCGTAGACTGATTAGATCTGGTTTCCAGACAGATCCTTTCCTAGCTATATGTGGAAATGTCAAAGATTGAACCTAGGATATTTTATGTGCAAAAAAGAATATGTTCTACCCTAAGCTACCTATCCCATCCTCAGAAGAGTTAGCTAAATGGCCCAGGAGCAAAGCATTTAATAAAGTATTTGGCTACATGAGACTGCTTAGATATAAAGATATGAGTACATCTTGCATACCCATTGTCAGAAAAGATAATGACCAACTAAACCAGTTGTGTTTGAACTCCTATTGATTTCAAAGAGATAGGAGGATTCTTGACTTTGTTGTCAATATAACAACAATTGACAGTAAAACTAATATTTGCAGAGAGTCATATGGTATATGTATTATAAATCACATTCAAGAGTGTATGCAGCCTCCATGACTTCATGGAAATGTTTAATTTAATAAAGTAAATATTCATGTGAATAAAAAGTTTTAATCTGGATACTTTTGAAAATAAAAACTTTTAATTCTTTTTTGTTTTGTTTTGATTAATTACTGCTTAAAGACATTTCTGAAGAAGTTTTTCATTTCACAATTAATATTATTCTTTGAGAGTCCTCTGTTTATCTGTTTTCTAATAGCAATGGAGGACCTCAATGTAAACCAAAGTGACTATGGAATCTCATACTGGGTGGAATAAAGTGTAAGTAATTCATTACAAACCATTACTTCTACTACTAAACAAAATGTAAAAGTAACAATTCCATGCCTATAATCTAACCTAAAATATGGGTCACACAACTAAAAAGAATAACGTAACAAGAAAAATGAACACCCAAGCATTTGACATTTATTTAGATGAATTATCAACATGGAAAGAGAGCTAAAATGACTTTAATCAGTGATGTGACTGATTGAAGAACGCGGACGAAAGCTGATTTAATATGGTTAAGTACACATGTCTAGCATCTAGGTAAGGCATTGCCTGTAACAAAGCAGCAGCAGCACAACAAAATATTGGCACCTAAAAAACTAACATGTTGAAGCAAGGCCCAATGGCTTCTCTTTGATGTGCTGAAATATTCTTTATTATTATTTAATACATTTATATCCCACCTTTTCCCACAATGGAATTCAAGTCAATGTGCATGGAACTCCTGTTTGACCAAACCCGGATTCAAACCTGCTAACCTTCAGTAGGATGGCTCAATAATGTGCCTTAAGGGCCAGATTCAACTAACGAGTCCTACTAGTGGAAGCTAGCACAAGGACTTCGGCTAGCACAACTGGGCTTTTTGCCTCTCTCCCTACCCTACAAATATGTGTGCGTCAGGGGAACTCCCACAACAGCGCACGGAGGATGTAAGATCGATCCATCTTGCAAGCCAAAAGGCTTGCGCTGATGGAATGATCTCAGTTCTACATGGAATTCCTCCCTCCAACTTTTTGACTGGCCATGTGTCTTGGTGGCTAACCAGATAATGTCTGCATATTCTAGCATAGGGGTGGGAAACTGTGGCCCCTTTCAAGATGTGTTGTTCTCCAGTTTTCAGCATTCCAGAGCATTCGCTGTGCTGGTTGGGGTCATTGGGAGTCCAACACCATCTGGAAGGCCATCTGTTCTAGGGTGCAATTTCCCTTAGATTAGAATGGGTATACTGCACAGTGCAGGTACACATCACACCCAGATGAACACTGTCTTAAAGGTGAAGTTAAAGTCTGAGTACACAAATGAATAATTCAGCACACGGCATAGTAGCGGGCTACTGTAACCTTCTCCAAATGTATTTCAGTACCAAAACCAAATATAAAACATTCGGTATAAAGATTCAAGTTTTGAAGGATTTTTGAAAGTGCAAATATTAAACGGTAAATTCTTACAGATATTAAACATTATTTTGTAGAGGTACTTCACCTGTATCTATAACCATTCAATCTTAAAAGCAGTCCGATTGCTTTCTATCACTTAGGGGAAGTATTTAAGCATCCAAAGTTTGCTTGGCCGCATATTCTGCTGAATTTGGAAACTTGCTCAATTTTAGCAATTATTCCCACGCATCTTCATGCTTATACAACTGCTATCTATTAATCTGTATCTAGATACAGTATGCAGAATCAGCTTCTGCATTTCAGTTTATATTTACAGCATTTCTATAGAAAAGGAAACTGTTCCACTCTCTCTTCTCCCACGCCTCCTTCAACGTCTTTTGAATTTTCTTCTCATTTTCCCCCTTTTGCCTTCAGCAGGATCACATGGCAATATAGGTAGGTTTTGAAGTATTTCATTAGGAAACGGGGTGTTTGTTCTTTTTGCTACATTTACCCTTATGAAAATTATTTGAAGCTGCTATATGAAATATTTAAAAGCATATTTTAGTACTCTACTAAGATGTACTGTTTGGTGCAAAAAGGCTTATTGTTTCTCTTTTCTAAACAATGTATTTTAGAACACTAAAGATTTTAGGACACTAACATTCTATTTAAATAATAAGTAAATAATGAAACGAAACTCAAAATATACAAGTACATATTGAACTTCAAGGAATGCCCTTCCATTCATACTGTGGAGTGAAATCTGGGCTTTTAAAGCCACATATTTATTTAGACCTATCAGATGCACAAAATGGACCTGTTTCTAACATACCATTTTAAAAAATAAATAATGTCAAGTGGTGATGGTGGCCAGTTCCAGGCATCCTTGGGGTAAATTGATAATAACCCATTTAGGAATATGCTTCCTAAAGTGACCTTCCCCAACCTCCTCCTTAACTATATTCTGTATATCGTAATTTAATATGTTATGGCTTTTTCTGTACATTGCTTTGTATGCCCATGGACATAGAATGTGACCAAGAAATACAATAAGTCACAGGATTGGTCTTATTCAATCCTATTATTGTAATACAATGAAGACAGAAGACAGAAGACGGAAGACAATCAATAATCATAGTATTTTTAAAAAGGTCATAAGGACAATAACATAAGCAATGATTAGTAATTTTGACATCTTTCCCATATAAAATAATCTATTCATATTTAGCCCAGATTCCTAATATTGCAATAATGACTTAACCACAGGTCTACAGAAATACATGCTCTTTAATAACATCTGAACAGTTACCAGCCACATAAACCTGTAGAATATAATTCTTGTTCTTCCAAGGAAAGGCATATATTACTAACATGAATGTACTGTTTCCAAAACCATGTTGAAAATATTTTGGGGTATAGAAGCAAATCCAATAAGCCATGTTGTGGGAAGCACTGATTTGTTTTAATCACTTACTTTGGAGCTGAAGGACCCCTTGGCCATGTTCCATCTTCATTTTTTTGTTCTATCACTAATACCTATATTGAATAAAATTTAAAGAGAAAAACTAACTTCATTACAGTTTAGGAAAATAAGAGTACAGTTTAAGACTATCAACTGGACATTAACCCACCTAGAAATGATATAACATCCATTATGGAAACAGTATGCATCTCAAGATTTTCCTGAGATTATCGCTCATTTAAAATCAGAACAAAAAACCTTCTCCTTGTGCACACATATAGACATACAGCAACACACACCTTGCCCGCACCTTGAAGAGGTGGCAAATACGCATCCCAAAACTGAATGTCTGTACTATTGATTGGGCTAATGAAATATATCTACAGATGAAAGTCAATTTTGTGTGAGCAAACTTTCACTCATCACACAAACTTTTCCTTCCTCTCAATTGGCTTCAAATCTCTGCCAACTCTCCAGAGCAAATTTTGGGGATGTGCAGGGAGCTGAAGAGAGGAAGTAGAAGCCCAGTTATGAAAACAGAAGTCCCTTCTTCTGGGAACTGGGCACAGCTGGTTATCACTGCTTACTCTTGCAGAAACAGGAAATGGATTCATGCCTTAAAACTGACAGTGCTATGTTTTGAAGTGGATACCGTATTTTTCGCTCTATAAGACTCACCAGACCACAAGACGCACCTAGTTTTTGGAGGAGGAAAACAAGAAAAAAAATATTCTGAATCTCAGAAGCCAGAATAGCAAGAGCGATCGCTGCGCAGTGAAAGGAGCAATCCCTCTTGCTGTTCTGGCTTCTGGGATAGCTGCACAGCCTGAATTCGCTCCATAAGACGCACACACATTTCCCGTTACTTTTTAGGAGGGAAAAAGTGAGTCTTATAGAGCAAAAATATGGTGTTTACTCACTTCCTCCGCTGCATTTTCCCCAACACTCCTTTATTATAAGCAGATATAATGAAGTTTCAAAAATGCAAAACACCAATACTATCAAACAAAAAGCTCTGATCTTTCTAAATGTGTCCTATCTGCAGCCTTCAACAGAATTGAGTGAGAATTTCTGAGAAACTTTGGAAATAGTGTGAATCCCCCCCCCCCCGGACTACATTAATATATAGCAAACCACTGTCTAACGGTGATACTGTTACATGTTTTGAAATATTTTATTTGGACAGGTACCAGAATGGGTTGTATTCTATCTTCTGCTTTTTAATCTGCATATAAAAACCTTTCCAATAAGAATTACACAAAGTCTTTTTTCAGGGTTATTGATAGATTATAATGACCAAGCTAGAATAAAAAGATAAAAGATTTTAAACCACTAATTACTACAGTATGCTGATGACATGGTTCAAGGGACCACCAACCAAACTTAGTTATCCAAAATGCAATGCCGCAGCCTAGAGAAAACCCTATAGGTTTTATATATCCTGGGTTGCGTCCAATGTTAGTCATACTCAGAGCAGACCCAATGAAATTAATGGACCTGACTAACTTAGGGTCATTAATTTCAGTGGATCTACTATAGCTATAACCCCTACAGTCCCAGTGAGACCAGGACTACATATTTTATATATCTATAGGCCTAGGCAGTGCATTTCTGGTAATTAAACATAGCAGGTGGCCATTGCAGATGGAAGCCAAGCTTTATTAATTTTAAACTTTAACATATTTAATGCATGATTTTGTTATGACTGGTTACAACCCAAAATTATACAGGTTAAATTCTTTTCACATACAGCATTATCGTTGAGCCTCGTTAGGCAACTCTGTAGAATATTCAACATTCTTTCATCACACAAAATGGACCAAAGAGTAGAAGGAGTAATTTCTTCCACATTTATTATAGAATAGAATAGAATAGAATAGAATAGAATAGAATAGAAATGTAGATGCTGAAAAGGCCTTTGATAAGCTGGAATGGCCTTTTCTATTTGAGACCCTTATATTGTTTAAGTTTGGAATCAAGTACAGAAGCTGGGTCTTAAACAAAGTAATAAGCTTAAATTTGCATAAGTGATATGTCATTATCCATTTTGAAATTAACTAAAAGCACAAGGCAAATGTGTTCTCTGACAGCACTATTATTTGATTTAGCTTTGGAACCACTGACATAAAAATAAAAGAAGGTGAAAGATAAAAGGCATGAAATTAAACAATGATAAAACATAACTATACATCAATGACAAATCTAATTCAGTCTTTGTCAGAAGTAGAAAAGCTGATAGCAGATTACAGACCATTAATTGGATATAAAGTCAATTAAGATAAAATAGAAATATTAGGTATTAATATAACCAAAATTTGAAAGGGGGCAAAAGAAAGATTTGCATATAGCTGGAAAAAAGCCTACATATCATCTCAGGATCAAAGTAACTAACAAACAATATGAATTATATAAAAATAATTATGTCATTTCGTATAATGACTGGATCAATCTTTAAAAAACAAAACATTTTTTTCTGGGAAAATATCCACTGTGAAAATGGCAGTGTTGCCAAAAATCTATTTCCTGTTTCAGACCCTCACAATTAAGAATATAAAATTCACACATACAAAACTTGAATATAAAACAGAATATATACTGCTCAAAAAGAGAATAAAGGTAACAGATATAAATAACACAAGCAATATTTTACAGGTAGATGACTATATATTTTTCTTTGGGCATTCTGGCCCTTATATGAATACAAGACTACATTCATATATTTTATAGTTTAATTAAATCTTACTTCTGGTCAGTATACGTAACACTATTTTTAGCCACCCAATATTAGAAGCTGAGTCTGTAATTTCACAAGCTGAATTTAAAATCACCATCGCATAAAATACTATTAGGAGATAGCACTTATAGAAGTACAGCCGTTAGAAACACCTTCTTAATATCTTCTTGGTTAAAGATATGGGATCCTAACAAATGGCTATTAACCTTAACAACATCCTCCTTGGAATCCCACTTGCCTTCTCGCCACAGCATGTGAATCTGGAGAAGGCTGTGGGGAAGGCACATTAGGCAAAACCATGGTAGGCTGGACATTTGCCCTGACAGACTGAATGGTATCAAGTATATTGGTATTTTTGGCAGCTTCTTTCAACTGTCTCATCACAAGAGGAGTAAATGTGACACTTTCTTCCTGCTGCACAACCACATTTTAGCCAGGGTGGCAGCAGTAGGAGCAGTATTGAACTGCAAGCTAGAAACCATTGAATCTCTATGCCGAGACTGATGTAGAACACTTGCTTGATCAGAGGTGGCAGTATGAGGGTAGCTTACTTGTGGCTTGGTAGCAGTGGCTTGCTGTGTAACCAACAGGCCAGAGGAGCAACAAACCCTTAAGCGATATGATATTAGAATAGGCCATGGAGTGCCCTTGAAAACTCCCAAAACGAATCCCTTGAAGATAAAATGGAATGAAAGAAGGAACTGGTGGGCTGGCCCAAACCCTTCATCCAATCCAGACAGCTGCTCATTTTGTCTGGAGTCCAAACAGTGCTGCTGCTATCCTATATAATGAGAATGGCACTTCTCCAACATCACTATAGATGGTCCCTCTTCTGCCTTCCACTGCTGCCACAGGGCATATGCCACCACTTGGAATGTGGCTGTCTGCTGCCACCACTGCCAATGTGGACCCATTTGGGTTTTTCAGGGATCTCGGTGACAACTAATACAGAATGAGGCAACTAGACTGGTGATTGGGAGTGGCCGCCAAGACCATGAAAGCCATACATTGGGTCCCAGTACGTTTCTGAGCACAATTCAAAGTGTTGGTGCTGACCTTTAAAGCCCTAAACGGCCTTGGCCCAGTACCTGAAGGAAGAACTGTCTCCACCCCCATCGTTCAGCCCGGACACTGAGGTCTAGCTCTGAGGGCCTTCTGGCGGTTCCCTCACTGTGAGAAGTGAGGTTATAGGGAACCAGGCAAAGGGCCTTCTCGGTACCGGAGCCCACCCTGTGGAACGCCCTCCCTTCAGATGTCAAGGAAATAAACAACTACCTGACTTTTAGAATACATCTGATGGCAACCCTGTATAGGAAACTTTTTACTGTCAATGTTTTATTATTTTTTTATGTGCTGTAAGCTGCTCAGAGTGACTGGGGAAACCCAGCCAGATGGGCGGGGCATTATTATTATTATTAATTATTATTATCTCATGTCTAGTGCTGCAGGGCCAATCAGGTTGTGCTGTGCTGCTGCAGTCCCTACAGCATCCAAAAAAAATTGTGGGTGCCTGTTTTCACACCATATTTGTCCTCCTTCAGGCTTGCCATGCCCCACACTCTGTCCACCTTCCTAGCCTCAGCTGCACTTTTCTCTTATCCTTCTGACACACTGCTGCTTAATTAGTCCAGTAAACTGAGACCTGATCTTAAAACAGGCAACAAGCAGCAACTCTGGAGGTTTTTAAACAGGCAGCAAGCGTTGGCTCTGGAAAAACTGTGTAGGGTCAGACCAATAGATTTCAAAGGGAAAGAATTTAGAAGTTGCTCAGGCCAAGGTTTATGGCCTGATCAAAATTCTATGATTTACAATTTAATTATTTTATAATTAATTGGTATGTTATAGAGCAATAGGGGAGGAATAAAGGAAGAACTAATTCAATAGCAAGGGGCAATTAGCTGTGGTTCTATTAGCAGGGGAATCCAACACATGCAGACACGGAGGGGAAGACAAGGTCTCAGAGAGAGACTGACACAAACATAGGTGGGGGAAATCCCAGGCAAAGAGGTAGCTCCAAAATAATAGGCTAAAATGGAAAAAAGGTAACTTTACCCAAACTCTGTAACACAGAATTAGGCATGCATCCACTCACTGCACCCAGATCTTCTCAAAGCATACAGAGAACCAGCAAAATTAGGTCTCTTTCAAGTAAGGCAGGAAAAACAAACTTCCGCTCCAAGGATGGAACAACTCAAAGATGCTCATGGAGTGATTACTTTTTCCTGCCTTCAAACGACTGGACGATAGCAACACACTTGGCGTCCTAGCGCCCAGTCAAGAAAATGTGGATTTAAAGGTGGAGTTTATGTGCAGTGGAATTGGGTTTTTACTATTGTTCATATAAAAAACTGATTTTGAGATGACATTTAAGAGTGGTTTTGCAATCTAGTATGGAAAGACACTGTTCAAGAATCACAAGTCACAAATCTTCATATAGTCCGATAACCATTTTCCCAGCCTCAGCAAATATGGTTAATTAAGTATAAAGCTGAAATAAACTTTAACCAAACATTAAGAATAAGATGTCCTCAATAAGCAATTTTACCATGAATGTATGCCAGAAGAGTAGAAAATCTCCAGAATTTCAGGTTCCTACATATAGCCTACCTGCCCCTGGTACAAGCCAGCATCCTGTATGGTACTGTCTGGTTTATTCAAAGGTTCAAATGTGTTACTCATGTATTTGTTCCACAACCTGGTCTCTTTTTCATCTGGAATATTGAAGATTTTCCTTATCTCCTTTTCAATTGTGTCTATATTGACAGAAATGGGAAAAAAGTTTTTTTAGAACCCATGGTATCATAATTACTTGGTTGCAGAAGTTGTAAATATCCATGTTACAACACACCACATACAAAAAGCAAATGGCAAGATTATACAGATACATGCAGCAGTATGAATTGAGGATATAAATTGGGTTTAGCCACTCATCCTACTCAATGTCTTAAAAGAATTGACCACACGCATTTTAAAAAGATTAGTAAGCTTCTTTGGCCTGACATTCATTTACGCTGAGGAATCTGACCTTTCCCAGTTTTCTCAGACTATGGTCAGATAAAAATCTTTATTATATACATTTACACTTATTCTATTCAAATTATAACATTAGGGAGAACTTTGTACTGGAGCTTTTTTTACACACAAATACGATTATTAATATTGTGAATGTGTCATAAAACATGTTCTACAAAACCCCACAAGATCCAAAGACACATTTTAAAGAGGGTTTTAAAAGCAGTAATTCATGTTATAAACAGCTATGGGCATACCGATTGTGTCAGCTTTACTAAATCTTCTTGTTACTACATTGTTCATATTTCCGTTTTCACACAATTTTAATTCGGTCAAATATACTTCTACTTTGCAGTGCTTGACAAACATACCCTGTTCAACTACCTGGAATACAAACAGATCAAGAATGGTTACTTGAATAGAATATATTAATCCCTAAATGCATAAAACAAAATTCTGAACACTTCCAAATACTCAGTTCTTATTTTAAAGTTTGATGTTTTATAACACTTTGAGAATTTTTATGATTTTAAAAAGCATGGAAGCTAGATCATAATCTTTTTTGTTTTTACGTTTAAAAACATGTTTATAATTAACAAGATAGCCCCTACTAATTCTATATAACATTACCAATATTCCCCAAAAAATACGGTACAATGAATAAAATATATATAATACCAGCAAGAGTTACAACATTGGTTAACTGATTTTCTAAGCAAGTGATATGGTAATTTTCACTTTTATCTAGGAAAATGATTTTCTAATTTGTTCCTTGCCATGTATTACTAACGAATGACAAAACTTGCAAATTGAAGTAAGCAGAATATTCACAATCACCTCGTATATACTTCCATCTGATCTTCTATGCTGTAACTGCATAAGTCAGCCATGTAGACTGTCCTGAAAATAGCCATCAGCCTGATATGTGATACATCAGACAAATATGGTGAAGAAGGAGGTACCAAATAACTGCTAGAAGTAATATGCTATAGCAACAGAATTAATGAACACTCACTAAAGGGAAGTATTAGTATATTAATAAAAATTTTCCAGGTATTTTGTAGCTTGATTTGGATATTTAGGGGAAACTGAATCTATAGAACTTGCTTATGCCAAATTATTTGTATGTACTGCTGCAGCTGAGCTTTAAGTGCAACAGAAGAGTGATACCACCTTGTGTTACTATAAAACACAGCTATTCTTGTTGCTAAGGTTACAATCAGGGATATGTGGATGCCACTATTTCAAAGAAGGACCGAAAGGCTGTAAAACGATGTTTGCATCAAATTTCAGCATGCTAAGAATTTGGGCTATCATTTTGTTTAAAAGTACATTTCAAATTTTTGATTTTTTAATTTTAAAGATTTAACATATTCAACAAGTTCTCAGAGCAGCTTATAAAAATTGTTTTATGTTGTACGCAGAGTTAAGCATGTTTATTGGGGCTGGTAGAAGCTGATTTCCTCCACAAGGCAGTACCCTTAGCCCCCTAAAAATGTTCCATGTAGGGTCAGGAGACCCTGCCGAATGGGGTGGGCTGTGGTCAGGGTGGGCTAAGGACTTCCAAGGAAATTGAGCAGAGGCAACTTCCTCAAGCAGGAAGGTACCTCTGCTCAAGTTTGGTACCTCTGTTCAACTTGTAGCTTCACATTATATATAAGACAAAGAAAGTCCCATGCTCTGCCCCCAGTTCAAAACTTTGTTGAGTTCCAGGGGTTATGTAGCAGGGCCTCTTTGTCCTTCCTTCTAAATGCAGAATTATTAGTTCTAAGTCTGGAAGGAAGAGCAGAACACCTCTAGAATGCAGCCCTGTGTTACGCAGAGTTGCATTTCAGAAGCTGCATGCAGGATCGCTTCCACTACTGTTTTAAAACTGAAATTGAAACTGAATCAAAACAGCTCTGTGCACATGAAGAAGGATACACAAGGTCCATCCTTCCATTTTACAGCTGCAATACCATGTATGCTTAACATTCCAGTGGGAAGTCCCACTGAACCTACTTCCGAGTTAACATGCATAGTATCTAAGCTGAATGCCGCTTAGATAATGAAGGGCTGCATAGAAAAACGAACTACTACTGCAAATGCAACACTGTGGAAACACAGGCTAATGGCTGCTGGTTGTCACGGATCTCTCCCTGTTTCTGGAAGTGGAAAGAAAGATGTGCATAGCAGCAAAGAGAGGGAGGTTGTGATGGCATGCAATGAGATGGAACGTCCAGGAAGGGTATCAAGTAAACAGATGTTGGTGGCATTTTATATACAAGCCAGATCTACCTTTGCTATGCTATTCCTAAACTGATGATTCATGATGGAGTGTGTAAAAATAACAATATTGTAAATTGTACCAATAATTCAAGCCAGCATATGCTCTTAATTTTTAGTTTTCATTGCAACCAAAACCTCTCTATGCAGCCAAGCAACTTACAAAAAACCCCTCAGATCAGCTGAGGTTTTGCTTATGGATAAGCCAATTTCTATTACTTGGCATTTTTCTGATTTGGTCCCTTATTTTCAGTAGAATGGTTCAACACCTTTGTAAGCAAGCAGTTTAGCAAAATGAAAAGTAAGCAGATTTTTGGCTCAACTACACAGCCACCAAGGTTCCTTTGGAACAATGTTTTATCTCAACAAAACTATCCGTCTATACTCTGCCAGAACAACCTGATATCTATGGGGCTTAGAAATATGAATATGAAATTGGGGTCCTCTTCCTTTCACTACTTATTATCATAGGTAAGATATTGGAGTAATGAAAACTGCAATACACAGGTTTTCCAGTAACCTTAAAACTGGATGTTAAAACAGAAGGCTTAGACATCAACACAGATAATCTTTCTTGCAAACAAAAATGTAGATATAATATTTTAGGTTATTATTTCAGCCACAGCGAAGCGACACATTTTCAAATTTTAGCCCACAATAAATCCCAAATATCCAACAAATGGATACAATATATGGTTTCTTCACAGGAGGAGCGAACACTACAAAAGATCTTAACTGGACAAAGATAGTTAATGTTCTCAGACAGCAACATGTAAGTAAGTCTTTCTGTAAAATACAATTAATAATAATAATAATAATAATGCCCTGCCCATCAGCTTTGTAAGCTAAGAAGATCTGTAGACAAAGGCAAATGGCAACAATTTTCATTTCTTCAACTCCTCCCAAAATATAAATCAATGAAGCTATTGTATCTTTATCCACCACTGAAACTGGATTACACGTGTTACCCATGATAAATACCAGTTTCAGTTGTTAGCCAGCAAATCAGAAAATGGTTAAAGTGGTTTTGCATACTGTGGTTTGTGCGATAACTGGACATGATATCAAAATGGACAAGCCATAGTTACAGCCATTACTCTCCTTGCAGTGCTACTGAACCACGGAGAAATGTGTGAAGCTGATTGCTAAGAGGACAGGAAACAAACAGACAAGCCACCCTAAACTGCTGTCTGCCTGTCTGGAAACTCAAACTATGATTCAACATGATACCTGAAGGGAACCTATACCCAGTGCTTTTTTTCAGGGGGTATTCAAGGGTTCGCAATACCAGCACCTCTTTTTATTGTTGTTAAAAAGTGTGGCACTTACTGTAACAACTTCAGGGTGAGTACCGGCACCTATTTTTCGGGGGGGGGGGGGGGAGCACTGCCTATATCCTCCAGAGAAAACTGAAGAGGTCTAGGAATGTGATACCTGGGTTAACTAGACTATTTCATAGGATTAATGCTGAGCCTCAATAGTTGACTACAAAAATAAAACACTGGCTTTAAGTACAGTAGTGGTTGGTGAGGCGGCATGGGTGGGGCATGAGTGTTGCTCTTGCAGCATCTCAAAACAGCAGGTCACTGACACTTATTGAGAAGGAAAGAGGAGCTCAGCACTGTGTGACGGAACATACTGGGTGGTCCTGCCATGATGTCAATGTCAAGTTCCCCATGCCTCACACTTCATATACCATGGGTAGGCAAACTAAGGCCTGTGGACGGTCCGGGAATCAGCGTGTTTTTACATAAGTAGAATGTGTGCTTTTATTTTAAATGCATCTGTGGATTATTTGTGGGGCACAGGAATTCATTTTCCCCCTCCCAAAATATAGTCCGGCCCCCCACAAGGTCTGAGGGACAGTAGACCGGCCCCCTGCTGAAAAGGTTTGCTGACCCCTGCAAACCTCGGTTCTCGAATGGCTCCATTTTCGAATGTTTCGGCTCCCAAACGCTGAAAACCTGGAAGTGAGTGCTCTGGTTTTTAAACGTTTTTCGGAACCCAAATGTCCAACATGGCTTCCACTGTGCAAAAACCTAGCTGTCAGTCAAGTGGAAGCCATGCCTTGGTTGTCAAACGTTTCAGAAGTTGAACGGTCTTTCAGAACGGATTACGTTCCACAACTGATGTTTGACTGGGTATAGATGACAAGTGCCATCTCTATTCTTTTAGGGTTTTTTTAAAAAAAGACTTTCCTCTTTCAGTGTTCTTCCAAATGGAGAGTGTTATCCTATCTTGTAACTGTACTGGATGTGAAATTGATTTCATGTATGCAACTGTTGTTTTACATGCACTTTTGATGTTTTTTAAATTTTCTTATATCAGCAATTGTTTTCACTGCTTTTAATTGTACTGCAAATGGCTTTGATAACCTCATAGGAAGTGATTCATACATGAAACTGATAAATAACTAATAATAACATATTACCTACTCTCCTTTTTTCCAAAGTACATATTATATAAGCAATGGGCATTCTGTGTAGAAAAAAGTGAGTATTATTCTGTAAACTGATACAGACATGAACAGACATACGAGAGCTGTTGCAAGGAACACTGCCTAGAAAGGGAGTCTTCTACTGAATGTATCATAAGAGAGTGCACATGCCAAGGAAGAAAGTGGAACGATACAGGAAAGTGAATGGTATGTCCAAGTTCCAGTAGAGTCTAATAATTCTCATCTTTAAAAATGCATCACCTGTAAATATTTCAGTACACAATGTATTTTTGCTATTAGCACAAAATGCTTCATACAGTAGTGTGTCCAAAATCTAAGTACAAAGTCAAGGTATATGATTAGAACAGACTTAAGCAGAACACAAAATTAAGCAATTCATGCAGTTAACAGTGCTGCAGTTGAAACAGTTATCACTATAAAACTGAAACAATATTTACCTAATTTAATGCTTATCTACATGGTTTGGGTTAGAACTTGCCTTGCTATGCCAAAGCAAGGACAAATTTCTACCCTACTCACAGAACTGTCAGGAGAAGTTAACAGAAATATTTTATCATTAACCAGGCCAGAAGTAACTAGGGCTGTACTAGGTTGGTGAAATAATAAATAAGATGATAAGAGTTGTCTCATCAATGTTTTGTTCTCATGCTTAAAAAAAAAGAATGTATCATTAACACTGAGTAAGAAATGAAGCCATTAATACTGATTAATGCCAGGACTCAATACTAGTTAACTTGCAAAAACCATGACGTGATATGGACATATTCAAATTACTCCTACGCATTTAACTGGTAGCACTGTAAGCGGAGCATTTCAAGCGCAAGTATAGATATTTCAGTATTCAATGTAAGAAGTACCTTGCGTGCAATTGGTTCCTGGCCATCCATAAGAGTATACCAGCTAACCAGCTTGTTCCAGCCTTCAGTTGGTAAAAGAATGTAGTCCAGCTCATCAATGAGATGTTCCTTGAGAGACTGACAGTCCCCATCTATGAGGAAATGTTTACATATTTAGGGATGGCAATATTTAGATGTCACAGTTGCTGTTTCTAAATTGTTCTTATTAAAAGATTTTCTTGGGTAACGAAAGTATTTAACACACTCTCTAATACAAAGGGACTGAAGATCACAAGTGATCAAGTTTGAGACAACTGAAATGTATTTATAAACTAACAACATATTCCCTGATGGAATAAAGGGTGATTGCCAATATCAAACAAGAGAAATCCCCTCAGGCAATATAGTTTCCCCTCCTCTACTCTTCCATGCTCTTCCCTAGCAGATTTGGGGAGCACATGAGGGGTTGTGGGGAGAAGGGGAAATCTGTGTCACAAACAATATTGATTCCACTAGTGGACAGACATTGTTGGATATCATCCAATCTGAACTACTGTATTTGAAAATGTTAATTTGTAAGAAGAAATTCCCAGATATTCTGGAACCTAAGAATGACAGGGTGAGATGACTGCAATAATATGCAATATTTATAATTCATATACATCAGGTTCCTGCTTTCTTTTTTAATACTCAACAGTAATTACCTTTGAGAAGTCCAGAATTGTCAATAGGACCAGGATAAACATTCTGATCTCCCATCTGATATTTGTCCCAGCTGTCAAATCCAACATACTTTTTCCACTGTTTGAACCAGCGGCTATCCACTAAATACCTTAAAAAGGAGGAAAATATACACATGAAAGATCAAAGTCTGAACCAAAGATGCAATTGACTGGCTTTTTATTGTATTTATATTTTGAGTAGTACTTTGGAGAATTTTCCAAAATACAGACACAACACACCTGCAGAGCTGCTTCCAGCATGAAGATTAAGACTGCTTTGACTAAATATGTATTATTACAGGAAAGAATGCAACCAACCATTCAGAAACTGCATTTACACAAATCTACTGAGACATACATCTTAAGAGACTATTAATTGAGTTTATTACCAGCAAGTAATCTGATGACTCTTATTAAAAAAAACCTTCAGAAAGAGATATTCACATTCATGTTCCTTACCATAATTAAATTATCAGTAAATTCTAGAATATTAAAATAAACATGAAATCAAACCAGAAGAAATGATTTTCCACTTTCATCCCTAACTTTTAAAATATGCCTGTCTATAGCAGATAACTGGGGCTTGTTCTTAACAGTGTTAATAACAGATGCCTGCTTAGCAATCTTGTTTTAAACCCCTCTACATCATATCAGAAAGCACAGATGAACAGTATTGCATAAGGCAGGCTTCCTTAACCTCGGCCCTCCAGATGTTTTGAGACTACAATTCCCATCATCCCTGACCACTGGTCCTGCTAGGTAGGGATCATGGGCGTTGTAGGCCAAAAACATCTGGAGGGCCGAGGTTGAGGAAGCCTGGCATAATACCTCCTCTAAGTAATCAACATCATATTTTTAATTGTAGTTCATGAGCACCCACTGTGGACAACCATCGGACCAATAATTCCCAAGAGAACAGAACTATGCAATCAAAGTGAAGACCAGAAAATTGTAGTAAGAAAAGGACTGTAGACTGCATGCAAATATGCATAGGATTGCACTGTAAATTGTATTTTATAAAGAGTGCCAGCCTTTATAGAATACAGTGGTGCCTCGCAAGACGAAATTAATCCGTTCCGCGAGTCTCTTCGTCTTGCGGTTTTTTTGTCTTGCGAAGCACGGCTATTAGCGGCTTAGCGGCTTTAAGAAAAAGGAAACAAACTCGCAAGACGTTTCGTCTTGCGGAACGACTCAAAAAACGCAAAACCCTTTCGTCTAGCGAGTTTTTCGTCTCGCAAGGCATTCGTCTTGCGGGGCACCACTGTACATTGTATACTCAACGTTCCTACGGATGGAAGAGAGACTCTACCCATTCTCATGAAGTGAAACAAATACTTAATCTCATCAGATCACAAACATGTGAGCATAAATGATTCAGATACAGCCAAAGCTTTGGTTGAAATAGTCAAAGAAACATTTTCATCCTAGACTTCAAGCTGCTAACTAAACAATTTAACCTGCTATAAAAACCTATTGACTACACTCCTTCACTGTTGTGAAACACAACACAGTTCAGTTCATTTTGCTCTGTGAAACTCATAGTTTACATTTTAGATGCTTATTTTTAAAAATAATTAAACCAGCCTGATCAAAAGGCAGCATTAAGTAGTGCTTATTCCTTTGTTGAAGCATTCTTCTCAAATGTATATTAATGTCCTTGGGAAAAACTGCTTTATGAAGTGGGGGGGGCTGTTCATCAAACTTATCTGTAATCGCTGGGATATTATTCTAGCACAGGAGTGGATTCTAACTGCTGTGTGTTCCAGTACATATTGATAGCAACAATCAACAACCAAATTTGTGTGATAAGGAAAAAGAAAGCATAGACCATTTATTTCTCTACTTCACATCTGTGCTTGAACATGATTCAGAAAGTACACATTACTTTAATATCAGTTGACTATACCTCAAATTCATAGTAAGGATACTGAAATCACTTCTGTACTTTTTGCCGTTGTGAATGTGCATTCTCTATGGCTTTCATAAGCCTTTCAGTGAAGACAGAAGCGGCAACAGTTTGATATTTTTAACTATTACAGCTGGGTTTGTAGACAAAGAAAGCAGAGAAACTGACCAGCATATTCTCCCTGCCAATATGTTTACATTTACAGCATACCCCATCTCATGGTCATGGGGTAGATAATAACCATTAAGCTGCCTTATGTGGAGTCAGACCAGTAGTCCATCTAACGCCCAATACCATCAATTCTGACTGGCAATGACTTTGCAAGGTCACTGGCATGGGTTTCCCCTATCACCTGTGGCCTGACTATTTAAATGCAAATGTCCAGGATTAAACTTCTGCATGCATCTTTCTAATCAAGCAACAATACATTCTAATGGTGTTCTATTAAGTATAGATCCCCTTGTTTTTATACACTCATCAAATTTTGGGAGAACCTTAAAAAAACATGCAGAGGACAAGACCTACTTATGACACTAAAAATGCAATTACAGCGAGCATCTTGGGTAAATTAAATAAAAGAAAATCCAGTAAGAGCTAAGTAAGTTTTAAGAAGCTATTAAATGCCTTTCAACTGGCTAACAGGAAAAATAAAACCAAACACATGAAAGTCACACTCAATCACCTGGGTTCTTTATCATGTGAAATGGCAGGGTAAAAATCTTGGTAACAGCTAACTACATCCCTGAACTACTGGAATTAATTTCTGAATGCATATTTGGCTGAGGATTCTTTACATGTTGACCAGTGACTCTAAGCACACAAAAAAAAACCCTGAAGTGAATCTACCTTTTGTCCTTTGTTTTAAAAATTAGGGATTAATTTTGTGCTTTGGGAAATGGGCTCCAAGAACAAACCACTTAAGGACTATACCATAAGAAATCAATGGTCCACCCTGACTCAGTATTCTGTACAGTGACTGGCAGCTGTTGTCCAGCCCTATTAGGATTCATCAGCTGAAGTTGCCAGGGACTGAGCTATGGACCATGAATGCCCAGCTGCTATGACACACAGCAATAGATACAAAGATTGTATCCTGTGTAAATACTCTATGTGTTAATATCTGTAGCATGCAGTTTGAACTAAAAATACGAAATGAATGGATTTTTATCTTCTTCCCATTATAAATCATATCTAAGTAATTTTTGCAGAAATTCTTCTTGTCTTCCGCACCTGATGTTTGGTGCATAGTCCCATACACATAAAAAATGTTTCTAGACAGAAAACAGCGACTGCCACAATCTTCTGCTATTCTAGGAAACACTGTGTGAACATCAAACATGATATAGAAGTCTACTTATGCACAGCCTTGAAGATCGTGCCTAGAGGTGTGATTGGCTATTAGAAAACACATCTGGATCAGAAGCAAACATAATTATTACACACTAAACTAGTGTCCAGGGATACGGGTGGCACTGTGGTCTAAACCACTGAGCCTAGGGCTTGCTGATTGGAAGGTGGGCGGTTTGAATCCCTGCGACGGGGTGAGCTCCCGTTGTTCAGTCCCAGTTCCTGCCAACCTAGCAGTTCGAAAGCATGTCAAAATGCAAGTAGATAAAAAGGAACCGCTCCAGTGGGAAAGTAAACGGCGTTTCTGTGCGCTGCTCTGGTTTCACCAGAAGCGGCTTAGTCATGCTGGCCACATGACCCAGAAAAACTGTCTGCGGACAAACGTCGGCTCCCTCGGCCAGTAAAGCGAGATGAACGCCGCAACCCCAGAGTCGTTCGCGACTGGACTTAACTGTCAGGGGTCCTTTACCCTTTTTAAACTAGTGTCCAACTAGTGGGAGGGTACTTACAAGTTCAAAAAACTATCTCTCTCCCTCCACATTCCTGAACTTAAATGCTAATGTTTCAAAAGCCAGACAGAAGGACTTTCATTACCTATTCACCGCCACAGCTCATAACTGGAAGGCTGGAGCTCAGTCTAGATAACTGGGCCTACTGCACCTTGCCCCCCCCCCCCGTAGCAGCCAGGGCAGCAGTGGGGGGGGGGGGGAAGCAGGGCACTCTCCACATTCTAAGTGGGTTTGTAATCCAAGACACCACAACACAAGCAAGGAGCAGGAGCAGCCAGTAGAATCAGATCCACTTTGTCTTTCTCCTTTACTCTTCCTTAACCATACTAAGCATGGCACACTCACTCTCAAACCCTCCATATGCACAAACATGCGTGCATATATAATTAATCGCAGCAAGCTAATACATGAACAGAGATCATGCTCCTTTCAATGGGCATTTCCCAAACATTACAGTTATGGTATATTGGGTGAACAAGCCCCATCACTACAATTAAGCTCCTTGTAAATATAACCCTGCCACGATGATGGAAGCAACATAAAGGTACTTGCAGGATTCTTAAATTAACCGAAGCATGTTACTGTTAACCAGGTCCATTGTTATGAAGCTCATTGCAGTCTCCTATCTATCTATCTATCTATCTATCTATCAGATGTAATGTGGCAGGTTTAGAGTTTTCAAAAATATTTGAGAAAATATCTTTAGTACATAGGAAGGTCCCTTATACTGAATCAGACCATTGGTCCATGGAGCTCATAAATGTCTATACCTGGGGTCACCAATGGGGTCACCTTGAAGGTGCAGAGTGCTACCCTGCTGCCCACAAAGCCTCCGAACTCCTCCCTCCCCTGCATTCCTCACAGCTGCTTTGGTTATGAGGCAGAAATGGTGATTATGTCCCCTCCCACTTCGAAAGTGCATAGTACCAAAGGAGAAAGTCAGAAATCAACACACTTTACCACTTCTTTTAGCCAGTGTTCGAAACTACCATTGTTCTAGGCACACTTTTCACTAGCGCAAACAGTTTCTGAGCTCTGGGTGCAGTACTGCGCCTAAGATTTCAGATTAAAACTGCAGAGTAGAAGGAAAGGAGGACCTTTTCCTGCCTCCCCACTTCCAGCTACTCTCTGAAGACTAGAGAAGAGACCCTCTCAAGAATATCAGGGGGATGGGCAGGGGAAGGACTAGACCATGTGAAAAATGAACATAATATTTTAGCTGCAGTTCATTTGTATTCGTTATAAAAAAAAGACGCCTAGACATTCCGTTGTTGCGTGCATAACCTGGGTTTAAGGTGCCATTTAGCTCCTAGCTTTCATATCTCTGTTTCTAAAACTGCTTTCAGCTCTATGTACTTTTCAAGGCTCAGCTCAGCACCTGAGCTGCTCATACTAGCCTTGAAAAGCACATACAGATCAACACCTGAGCAGCTGGACAGAAAAGGAGCAATCTGAGAGAATGGGAGGGAGATAGTGGTGAGCACTGTTGCTCACTGAGCACTCTCAAAATTTCAAGTATGTTCATGGGACCAAAAAGGTTGGCAATCTCCTTGCCTATGCAGACTGTCCATAGTTTCGGACAGGTGACTTTCCCCTGGAGATGCTTGGGACTAGAACTGGGAACTGCTGCATGCAAAGCATGTACACTATCTCTGAACTATAGTTCTTCTCTGTGACGAAGTATGTTGTCATACAAATGTTTGAAAAACGGAATCAGATGGTGAAATCTTCATGCTTAGAATAGGAGAAACTGTGTATAGCTTCTCAAATTACAGCAAACCTCTGAAGTTCAATTTATCTTAAAACAACACAAACATTACTCATTACTACACTTGCTTACAACTTTCATCGTCAACTCTCTGAGTTTAAGACTATACCTTCTCCTAATACTCCAGTATATAATATATCACAATAATTTAGTGTGAGATTTTATCTGGTAGTACAACCTTAAGCATGTTTATTCTGAAGTAAATCCCACTGAGATCACTGGGACCAGAATTCTACAAATACAGTTGTTAGGTTGCTTGTGGCAGCCATCGATTCATTATGAAGAAGACAACTAGTGTACCCCACCATAGAAGCTTTTAGTAAGCCATCAGCAATACAATGAAGCAGAGAGTGAGTCTTTCAAAATGGTGCCAAGCCATCAGGTTCAGTTGTATGGAGTGGCAGAAAGAAGTTGGAACAAATACTCATATCACCCACCATTCTTCTTCAGGGAGTGGGTATCAAAAGAATGCCTGTGCAGCAGGACAGAAGAAAGGTGAGTCTCACTTCCTATAGCCTACCTATGCCTAGTTAAAATATGTGAATCCCTAAACAGGACTTACTATCTGTCTTAATTTCATGCCGTCATACTTATGGGACCAGTTTTAGTAGCTAATTAGGGCTGCTGCTATACTATATACACACCTAGAAAAAAAAGCCCAAATGAAAAGAGTGGGACATATTTCTGAGTAAGCGTGCACAAATTTGTGTTAAACAATGAAAGGCAGATGAGAACTAGTGTAGTGCAGCATTTAATCCCTTCTCTCAGCCATAAAGTTCTCTGGTGGCCTTGAACCTCTTGTTATCACTCAGTCTACAGTCTACACTATCTTTCAGGGTTGCTGAGAGGATAAAATGGGGTGTCTGTGTATGGTGCACTGAGCTCTTGAGGGAAAAAGGGGGAGGCAGATGTGACAATGGACACACTTATTCACCTAGTTGTAGGGTAGTTCATAATTTGTAAAGAATATGCTGCATCTTCATTTCTAGTCTCAACTTCAAAAGAACTCTTCAAAATTATATAGTATGGTTGGGACAGAAATGTGTAACTAAGGTCTCACAGAATTTAATAAGTCTTACTTCTGAGTAAACATGTTCAGAATTGTACTGTAAAATTTATTCAGTGACCTGAAAATGCTTTACATATACTCTGTCAGCAATTCTCACATCAGCTCTTTAAGGTAGGCCAACACAGTTGTGATTTTGCAGGATGATTACTGAGAGAGTAGCAGCTTGTGGCTGAGATGAGATAATGTAATTCAAGTCAAGTTCAGATATCATGCTTCCACTCCAACTAACTATGTTTCCCCAGCTTGGGAAGATACTTTCTGGTTTATTAAATCAGATTACTGTGATTTGGAAACCATAATTTAATGCTGCCTATAACCCTGGCTTGCAAATCACAATAAACCTGTGCTGTGTGTAGGCAGGACTTAGAGAACAATTTCCAGCTCAGACATAATGGGAAACTGATTTGGCAAGCCAGGAAGTCTCCTCTAAAGCAGAGTGAAAAAAGAGGAAGACGGAACAGGGCGAATGCTCAAGCTTGTTCCCAGTTCCCAGTAGCAACAGTGCATTTGAACTGGGCCTTAACATGTAGGAAACTTCAGACTTCAGGGTGCAATGACAGACATAGAAAACAAATGAGAAATAGGTTAAGTGTTTAATTCCTACACACCTGTATTTGACAAGACTCAAGCCCACTTGCTTCTTGTATGGTAACATAAATTATAGTTGAACAAACCCAATGAATTGGTATAATTAACCCTGCAATCCTAAAACCTATCAGTAGGGAGTAATAAAGCAACCCTAACCCCGATCACTGGAAGGGGTTAGGATGTGATAGTGGTGTCACTCCACGCGATTCCATAACCATGGAAGTTGCTGCTGTACTCTCTGAAAGAACAGGAGCAAGGGAGTAGCGGCAGAGTTGGGCTGGACAAAGGCCCACTGGATTCCAGTTACTGATCATAGGCCTGTTTGCTGTAATAGCAAGGAGCTGGCACAGTAAAATCAACATTTTCGCTTACATACACCCCCCGCCTTGCGCTTTGGCCAGCAAGAGAAGCTCCACTGCACCATTCAGCCCTGGCATTTCTGACTAGCAGTTAGGATCGCTCTCTAAGCCCCATTTAAGACAGTGGTACTTATTTCTGAGTAAACATGCATCGGACTGTACTTTAACAAGTTTCAAACAACTTATGAAAAATCAGGCTGACTGACACACCTGACAGCCTCCATGCAGTCACCCTTGTGCTTGCTGCCTAAATAGGATTCACAAGGTGCAGCTGTTTGTATGAACTGTCACTGCGTGATACATGTTACTGCCATGACACAAGTAGTCACAACAGCCCATTTATGAAATCTTCACATATCCAGGCCACAATCCCACTGGCAGTTCTGCATGCTCCAAGATAACACAGTGGCTGCTGGATGCACAAAGTTATCCTCAATCTCCAAAATCCAAGAATTTCCCCATGGCCCAGGATTAACTTCTCTTTTAATAGAGGGGTGGGGGGGAACATGTGTGCATAATTGATCTGTTTAGTCACATCTTACTCCACAAATACCAAAACGTTCTTCAAGATTCAGCACAATTAAGCCAGGAGGTGACAAGATCCATTTCCCAGGTATTTCAGCTAGTACTGCACCAGAAGAAAAAACATAAAACAATGATACGGTTTGCTGATAAATACAATCTACAGGGAGGGTGGAGAGGAAAAGAAAGGAACGTTGTGGAAGAAACCAGGCGAGGTGAAACCCTAAAGGAAATCCAGAAGTGACAAGCAACAGTCAGGCAGAAAAGACAAGGCCTTGCAATATGTAAGCTTTCTGGGGGAAAGCCTATGCTGTGGATGAGAAACCTTAACCCAGAAAACAGTCACACTCGATCACTGGTTGCCTTCAATACACAGAAAAAAATAGGGTGTGTGTGTGGTTTTTTGTGTGTGGTAGTTTTCCGGCCGATTGAAACAATAGGAGAAAACACCTGGGAGAAGAAGTGCCTGCAACTGAAAGCCGGCTGGACCGGCTCGCCTCTTCCTCTCGCAGGTGAGAGAGGGAAGCAGCACCTTGGCACAAACCTTGCCTCTCCAGAACCTGTCATGGGAAAGATGCGCGGAGGGGCGGGTGGACGGCTGTGAGCGCCTGGCCCCGCCTTGGCGCCACCTGCGAGGCAAGGTGAGCCCCTTCGTCGATGGGGATGCCGCTCCCAGCGCATTTTGGGGGTTGGTGATGGTGGTGGGGGGGCGGAGAGGAAGGGCGGCGGGCTGCTGCCGCCTTCCACCCCCCCCCAAGAAAAAGAGGTGGGCGAGGCAGGCAGGATCCGCCCGCACCTGTCACTCAGAAGGGCCCCTCACCAGCCTCTCCCCCTCCTCGGCCTCCCCCTCCCCCATCCCTTCCCTGCCCCTCACCAGGTGTCGCCCTTGCGGAGCGCCGTCTTGAGCAGCGCCGCGATGTCCGAGCGCTGGGTCTCCAGGTCCGCCGCGCCTCCCTCCGCCATGTCTCCCAGCCCCGCGGCGCCGGCGGCGGCAGCAGCTGCGAAAGTGACGGCGGCGGGAGAGGCGGCGGCGGCGGCGGCGGTGACAGGAGCGGCGGCGGCGGAGGCAGCGGCGGCGGCGGCAGGAGCGGGCCGCGCTGCATGCTGGGAGTGACGCCGCGCGGCGACCGGGGAAACGCCCTCCACGACCCCCTCCCACTTCGGCAACCCCATCGGCAGAAGCAGCGCGGGGGGAGAGAGGAGAGAAAAGGACGCAGGGAAAGAGCGGGGGAAGGTTGCGGAGAGGGAAAGGACAGCGCCTCTGGGACGCGAGCGCCACCGGGCGGGCGGGAGGCCTGCGGCAGCGGAACAGGGCTGTGCGGGATGAGGGGGGGAAGAGTCTTCGCCAATCGGGCGGCTCGGACTACAACTCCCATCAGCCCCAAGCGCCCGGGCTGATGGGAGTTGTAGTCTGGAGGAATGTGTCGGGCGAGGGGTCGGGGGAAAAAGGATGGTCTAAGACGGCTGATGGATGTGATGCTGCCGAGGCCGCTGCGGTGGGATCTTTAGCGTAATATGCGGGGTATTCCTGCAGCCCCCGCCAGCAGCAGGAGGCATATCTTGCCGTAGAATCACAGGATTGTAGAATGAGAAGGGACCCCCAAGGGTCATCTAGTCCAACCCCGTTGGCATGCAGGGATCTGAGTGTTGCCTGCAGAATCGGGCGCTGTTCATTCTTAATTTTAAGCGGATAATAATGATAACTTAAGGTGGCTTCATATGGTGATATCTGCGCGGCATGTGCATTTTAATAAAACGTAGCCGTGGTGGGGTTGGGAGTGGTGGTAAGTAAATTAAATTAGAGGTGGTTAGGGAAGTTCATATCGACGAACTTGACGTCAAATGGGATGAGTAATGGCTTTAATTGAACCCATTTGCAAGGCGTTTGCTTTAAGCTGTTTGTTTCTGTAAGCCTCCAATAAAATCTCTAACATTAAAAATATAACTTGAGTGCCATTGCCCATTACTATGTGAGAAGTTACCCATTCCTTTGTCCTTTAACGACACTTAATAGTAGGCATTATTTTATTTTCATGTATACCTGCTGTTTTGAAGCTTATATACAGGCACACATACATATTCAAGGCTTCTAGGGAAAGGGGCAGTTGGATTTCAGTACAACCCTATAGATAAGCAATTCATATTGCTTTCATTGGGGCTTGCTCCCAGATAAGTGTGGTTTGAAACCCCAATCCCTTTTATTTGTATACCCTCTACTCAAAAGTGGTTCGCAAAAGTGTAAATGCATAAAACTCTACCCACAGTACTTCTATATAAAATAGTGTTCAAAATAATTTCATAATAGCTTGGTTTTTAAAAACCAACAACAGGAAAATCAAAAACCCATAAGTATTTAATAACACCTTCTGAGATGGCACCAACAGCAGAGAAGGACCATTCCTCAGTCCAGGTGCACAGAAATGCAAAGAAGCAGCTTTTAACCTAGAGGATAAATTGCAAAAGCTCCCTCCTCCCACATGGTGCATATGAGGCCAACCAAATGTTATCCAGAATCATTTGTAGGATGCCTAAACAGCATGTCCAAGCCATTTACACTTGTACAGTTGCAGCAGGCCAAATTCTAAGTGGGATGACTGCGTATGTTTGTACCGTATACAGTTTCAGCCTAATTCTATCCATGTTTACGCAGAAGTAAGTACCACTGGGACGCAGGTGGCGCTGTGGGTTAAACCACAGAGCCTCTTGGGCTTGCCGATTGGAAGGTCGGCGGTTCGAATCCCGCAACGGGGTGAGCTCCTGTTGCTCGGTCCCTGCTTCTGCCAACCTAGTAGTTTGAAAGCACGTCAATGTGCAAGTAGATAAATAGGTACTGCTCCGGTGGGAAGGTAAACGGTGTTTCCGTGCCCTGCTCTGGTTCGCCAGAAGTGGCTTAGTCATGCTGGCCACATGACCCAGAAGCTGTACGCCGGCTCCCTTGGCCAATAAAGCGAGATGAGTGCCGCAACCCCAGAGTCGTCCGCGACTGGACCTAATGGTCAGGGGTACCTTTACCTTTAAGTCCCACTAGTCAATAGGACTTGTTCCTAAGTGCACATAAGATTACACTGTAAGAAGAGCACAGGCCTCTTACAAATGCTAGAAACCTCTTCAGAAACTACTGCCCTTTCTTTTGCATAATCCAGCTGGACCAAATCTGTTTCCTTCTCCACCTGGAATAACTGCAAACCCAAACGAATAGCAATAATGTGGCCTGGTTTCAGCTAGGTATTTGAGTAATCGTAGGCAAACCCCCACTCCACTACTGATCAGTCACAACTCTGTTTTCACATACTGTTTATAGCTGTTGATGCATAAGCATTTTGAATTAGTTGCACAATCTATTCTCCAGATACACCTAGTAAAATACAAATATATGAAATCAATAGCACACTTATATTCTGCTTTTCTTCCATCGTGGAATTTAAGGCACAGCACATGAGATGCCCACAAGGTCTCTGTACAGATGCTGACCATATTTGGAGCTGCTTAGGTTCAGCAAAGTGACCTGCACTATGTGACCAAGGACCCATGCCCTGAGATACAAAGCACAAAATGTTTTGATTGGGAGTGCATTTTGCAGGAACTGAACCAGGGTCTGTGTTCCTTCGAGGGAAATGATGCATGGCAGAGTTTGCAGTTGAAATATGATTTATTTGCACATATTTGCACCAGAGAAGGAAAACTCTAATCCTAAACCTCTGCTGCCTTGCGGGATATCTTCAGAAGAAGAAAAGGCTAAGGCATAAACTCTACACCTGAGAGCCAGTGTGGTGTAGTGGTTAAGAGCGGTAGTCTCGTAATCTGGGGAACCGGGTTCGCGTCTCCGCTCCTCCACATGCAGCTGCTGGGTGACCTTGGGCCAGTCATACTTCTTTGAAGTCTCTCAGCCCCACTCACCTCACAGAGTGTTTGTTGTGGGGGAGGAAGGGAAAGGAGAATGTTAGCCGCTTTGAGACTCCTGAAGGGGAGTGAAAGGCGGGATATCAAATCCAAACTCTTCTTCTTCTTCTACACAAATGGAATCCCTAAGATGGTTGGGTAGAGTCTAGAACACCTCCTTCCTCCAATTCCTACAGCCAAGCTGGTGCCAAATGTATTGATCAGCTTCCCTTTGGTCCACATCAGCCAGTTTTGTCGTCTGGCCAACCCAGGTTTAAGCCCCACTGAGATCACTTCGGAACTGCAGCAAAAGCAACGTGGGAGGCAGCAGTTACAAGTTACAGGTCTCTGCAGCCACAGCAGCTGCTGTGATTCTCCAGTGGCTTGACTTCACCTCTGGAGATGCACTCCACTGTCTCTTGAGACAGACAGATGCCAACAACACTTTACACCAGAAGCTTTCAATGGAGAGCATCCACATCTCAGGAGAAGCCCGTTCTTCACAGCAGGCCAGCCTTGGACTCCCTCTCTCCCAGCCTGCCTTCAGCCGGTTCCCCAAGATGCTTCTTGGCTTCACAGCAGCTCCCCAACCTCTGCATTTCAAAAGGACACATTTTTCCTGTGTGAGGGACCAGGATTTTTCTCATCTTTGGATTCTCCGTCTTGTTGTTCTGCATATACCCTTAATCTCCTAATGCCCCCCTTCCGTTCTCCCTGCTACCTGTTGTTGCAGTTATGATTTTCTGGGTTATTTGATCAATAAATGTTTTCCTCCCCTTATCTCCTAAGGCTCCTCGATCTTCTCCTGTGCAATGGCAAACATGGAGATGATTCATGGGTGTGCTGCTGTGGCTGCCCTCACACCTTCCCCCTTGTGCAGCCAGCTACCACAGCACAATATCGCTTCCAGGCAGCTTGTCACGAGCTTGTCCTACACTCGAGTAGGACTCTGGCAGAGACACATGCCCGACTGGCATGTTCCTTCCCTCCTGGTCGATCGTTCTGAAGCTTCAAAAGCTTTCTTCTGCCTGAACATCACAGCGACTGATGCAGACAGACATTGGCACACTTAGGGATCCGCAGAGTCTTCGCAGCTTGCGTAACAGACCTCAGCAACTCAGAATTTTGGCTAATCTACTTTATTTACACACACACAGAGCACTGCAATATGGCTCCCTCTTTCTCTAGCATCAGACAGCAAAGAGAAAAAGAACAAAGGACAATAGTCCCACGGAACACAGTAACACAAACATCCTGTCTCCGTCGCTTCCCACTCTGTGGAGTCAAAACATGCACTATCATGTGAAAGACAACAATCCCATGACTGCAATCACGGAGCAGGAATTCTAACAATGTTTACCTCAAGCCAGACTGGCCAGACCTGCAAATAGGGGGTGGCACCAGCCACGGCTGATTTCCCAACATTTTAGTTTAAGAAGTAGAAAACTCAAGTTTAGAGCAACAGTTGAAAGTAGCATTTTGTTTTAAGGTTTTCTACCTGCTGTGCTAAAGCATCATGGCCACAAGCACTCTTCAAGACCATATCGCCCAGAATAACTCTTCCTCAGAGCAAGGGGAGAGAAGAGCTCTGGTGCAGCAACAAAAATGATTTTAAACTGGGAATGAAGTGGGGTGGCAGCAAATTCCTCCCGGCCAGTTCCTCACTGGGCCTGTGTGGGGCCCTCCAAAGCACGGGGCTTAGGATAAGCACCCCAATTCACCAGGCCATCGGCAGAACTGTACTTAAAAGGTAAAGGGACCCCTGACCATTAGGTCGAGTTGTGACGAACTCTGGGGTTGTGGCGCTCATCTCGCTTTATTGGCCGAGGGAGCCGGCGTACAGCTTCCGGGTCATGTGGCCAGCATGACTAAGCCGCTTCTGGCGAACCAGAGCAGCGCACGGAAACGCCGTTTACCTTCCCGCCGGAGCGGTACCTATTTATCTACTTGCACTTTGGCATGCTTTCAAACTGCTAGGTTGGCAGGAGCAGGGACCGAGCAACGGGAGCTCACCCCGTCGTGGGGATTCGAACCGCCGACCTTCTGATCGGCAAGTCCCAGGCTCTGTGGTTTAATCCACAGCGCCACCCGCATCCCTGTACTTACTTTGCAGAAATTAGGATTGCATGAGCTCCTGTACTGATGTTCTCATCTGGCAAATGCTGAAGGGTCAGCACCTGCTTCTCACCTATTCTGTGTTTGGCAGGAGGAATCTGCAGGCATCTGCACTGAGCTCCATCTCAGTTGCCATATGGGAAAGAGCTTAGTGCAGGTGGCCCTGATGAGTTCCTCTTTCAAAGCACAGGCTGCTAGGGATTTGCTTTAAGCCAGGAATCAGACCCTGGTTTCCTAACCTCGTAAGAAAGTTGAGATGAAACTGCAGCCTCTCAGTTTGGACATGGCAA